CCCAGAGACCAATGGTGGCCCAGAAATCAAGGCCGTCCCAGAAACCAATGGTGGCCCAGAAATCAAGGCCAGCTCAGAAATCAATGGTGGCTCAGAAATCAAGGCCAGCCCAGAAACCAATGTCTAGATGTGGGACGGGTCTCTTTTTGTCATGGGCATGGGAAGGGAATAGCATCATCTATCCCTGGCGTTATTACTTTGCTATGAAGGGATGTAAGAATTAATGAACGCGAGCTGTATGCATAGCTATTGCACGAAAAATTGAGAATACAAGCAAGAGAATTAAGAGCAGAATATTAATTAACGTCCGATGCGTGATAATATGTGAACCGTTCATTTTAATATCGAACTACTTGTAGATGATGTAGAAATACATAACTTGGGCGCAACTAATGTCGATAATATAGGTATATATTAACCACAAATAGACTTGTCGTCAAACCCTGGGCAAGATGGACCCGCAATACAGTAATTGGGATATAATAATAAGACCATCTCAATTGGCCGCCCTTTGTCCAATCATGGAAGTGTGGATCGTCGAGCTGGCATTCTCGGCATAGCGGATCATTGCTAGAGCCAAAGCCAAAGTTCTGGTTTCGAATGGGCCAACGCATCAAGCAAGTAGTGACCAGTAGTGGCCAGTAGCTCCCGCAACTCGTGATACTTTACTGTACTACAACCCGACGGCGAGAGAAAAGCAACCACAGCGACAATCCGCCAACCAACCCATTGCCATTGCAGGAGAACTCCAGTCAGCATGCCGTCGGAACTCATGCAGTCGCAGTCGCAAGCACACCCTCCAACGAGGCCAGCGGCGTCGCATCAGCGCTCGGCCAGTTCCACCCTCAACGAGTCGATCCCAACGAGCCCGTCTCGACCCCAACACGACGGAGGAGCAGGAGCAGGAGCACCTCATGGGACGAAGCCCCCAAAGGCACAAAAGCACGTCGTCCAGCATCATCACGGCGGTCTACGGACACATACTCGAGTCCCCTCTTCCAAAACGGTCCCAAAGCTCTCCAGAGCCCATGATCAGGGCTCGCTCACAGATCTAAAGAAAGCCGCCGTTCGGAACTCCTCAGCCACCAACCTCACCAAGAGGCACACCCCCAGCTCGGCGCTGAAGCGCAATCGCTCCTCCGCCGATATACCAAGACGCCCCAGGTCGCCGAAATCGAGGAGTAGCGACGAGGCAAAGGCCAAAGCGAAGAAGAAGGTTGCGACTGTTCAGTTTGAGCTGGGTGACGAGCAGGAGCAGGACGACGAGGATGCTGATGCGGCTGAGGGGTGGGAGGAAGCCAGCTCTTCCGCGTCGCCTGCATTGTCGAGGACCGTTTCGCGCAACGGGAGATTGAATGACAACGGTTCTGGACAGGCGTCTCCTCTCGCTCATCCCCAATCGCCTTCCAAGAAGAACGTCGACGACGACGACGGAGGGTCGCCCCTCAATGGGACCAGGAAGGATACAGATACAAGCACAACTACTACTACTACAAGCGCCGCAGATGCGAAATCTATAACAGAACGACTCCTCAAACGTGTCCCTTCGTACCACGCAACGACGACGAAGATGTCCCTCGCAACAGCGACGCCCACCACCGTAGGACAACACTCCTCCTCCTCCTCCTCCCTCGTCAGAACACCGCAGATAGGTAGTAAAGAAGATGTGATATCGCGATTCGTCACCGGATCCGGGACGCCGAGCGACAATTCCCCATTACTCCAACACCATCGCAATGAGCGGCACGCACAGAGAAACCAAGGCAAGGACGAAGTCAAACGCGCACAGTCAATGGGAAACCTCACCAACCCCTCCCAGTCGCAACCTCAGTCCGACGAATCCGACGAGGAACGCGCCATCCTCCCACGCTCGCGCAAATCTTCCACATCCACCGCACCCCCAAATAGCGCATACAATCCCCCGCAGCAATCGCGCACCCAGCAGAAACTCTGGCTCCAGCGCGCAAGCTCGAATATCGAGCCCGCCCAGATGACTCCCGGGTCGGGCGCTGGGTTAGTCGGCGACGGACGGGATCCGAGGATCAGATTGCAGCTAGAGAAGACCGGACTAGAGTATCTCGTTGTGAGGAGGTATCAAGATCCGGTAGGGAAGGCGGTTCGCCGGTTAGAAAAACTACCGGGGATGGAGAGCGTGAGGGAGAGGAGGATCCCGAAGGGGAGGGAGAGTAGGAGGGGTGTTCGGAGTAGGGGTGATGGGGTCGCGAGTGCCCATGGGAGTTTTGACGCGAGACGTTCGGGAGTGGGGAGTCTAGATAGTTTGGGGGGTGGAGAAGGCAGACAGGATGATGATTGCGTGGATGCTATATTGAGGAGTCTGTGGGAGAAGAGCTATGATCTGAGCGCGAGCGAGGATTGAAGACATCCCGCCTCACATCCATCCATCCAAGCATCCATCCATCCAACAAAACCCCATTATTCCCCTAACCGAATAGGCAGGCTTTTCCAAGGAGGCGATACAAGAAGTGTTTATATTCCCCGGGTTTTTTTCCACTTTGACCTTCCGCAATGGCTTCCATTTTTTGGCGGCGGGCGGAAAATAAAAAAGCACTTGATTAAGTACCTATGGAATATTTTTACCCACAGATACATTCACGTATCAAGACACACAAAAAATAGGCAATTGGGAGGTCTAGCAAACCTTTCGTGTAGGAAGACACGTTACGTACATTACATAACATGCGTTATCAATGACTGGGGAATAGGGGTTAGCGAAAGTATAAATCAGAATGAAACAAACTGGAAGATTATTGTTTTTATAGAGGAAGGAGGGAGGAGGGAGGAGGGAGGAGAAGAAATGTTGGTTGTGGGGAAGATTGCAATTGCTTGCTTGTTAGGTACCCAGATGAGAGCAAAAGGGGGATTCAAACATCAGAGAATAGCCTCGTCTTGGACGAGATGAATGAATGAATGAAATGAAATGAATAAATGTAAATATTCCTGTGGCATTTGGATTGGGATTGGTCTTTGATCAGTGAGTGAGTGTGCACCAATATTAAGGGGGATTAAAGGGGGGTGCTGCACGCACTAAGGGAACTTCTCAATTTTATAAGTATCTGCATTTTTTGTATTCATTTATAAAAGCTAGCAAGTGAATGAATCTCTTCGTCTTCGTCTTCGTATTTCTATCTTTTCAAATGCTCCATCCAAACACAATTCAAACACTATTGTCTTACTTTCCTCTCTCTATCATTCAATCTCCCCTTAGCAAAAAGTACAATCGAGTTCGAGCTATGCTTTGATATAGGTCCTTATCCATCACCCTATTTCAACGGCGATCCTCCGAGTGTAGAACCCTTCCCAGGCGTCCATCCCGACCCGGACCCGAAATTTGAGCCTCCTGTCCCGGGGGCAAGACCCATTGGCCTCCGGACAGGTGTTGTGGGATTACTTGGTGCTAGTGCTTGACCGTTGCCATTTCCACCTGCGCGGCCGCCATTATCTCCAGGAATTGGCGGAGTCTCTGTTCGCTCAACTACAACCCCGTCGCGCTTAGCATTCGGGGCTTTATAATTCATCTCCCTTCCTTTTCGATAGATATCCGCCAGCATAGTCTCTAGGATCCCCGCATCCTGAAACTCTTGGTACTTCCGATAAAGCTTCAGCGCGGTGCGTGCATCCTCGATACTATCGTGCGTCTCGAGCTGGATATCTTCCTTCAAGAGGTACCAGGCAAGGAACGCGAGAGATAGCTTGCGCAGCCGTGCCTTGACGAAGAAGAAGTCGATCGTGTCGATGATTTGCGGTTTAGGGACGTGGATATTGGCGACGCGGAAATCCTGCTTCAGACCGTGACCGAGGAACTTGCAGCCTAGGTTGAGCAGGATCCATAGTTTCTTGTAGGCCACTTTTAGCGGGACGATGTTATGTTTTGAGAGTCTGGGGTCGAGATCGCCGTGCACGATGCCCGAATATGAGGTTAGGTAGTCAACGATGGGTTCTTTGGATGCAATGTAATCGTCAATAAACGGTTCGCCTTCGTCTTCGCCCGCGCCACGGATGACAGACACACGTGCGAGAGCGTAGACTATGGGGCGGATGGTTTCGCGCTCGCCGTCAGAGTTCATTTCAATTTCGGGTTGGCGGACAGCGACGAATTCGGTATCTAGAGCTACAACCGTTCCTTCCTGGGGCGCTTCCTGGGGGGTTAGGGGGCGGTAGGTTTTCGTGCCAGGACTGGTGCTGCTTGGTGGTTAACATTTGTTGGTTGGTAGACAAGGGGGTTGAAGGGGGGCATACTTATGGTCTACGTAAAGCAGAGAAGTATCCAAACTCTGCTTCCAAGTGTTGTCAATGCGGTTATTGGCGACCTTAACTTGGTATGTGATGACAGAGGGAATTTTCCAAGACGTATTAAACGTCAAGGCCTCTTCTGCCTTGATCGGCCTAACCAGAAAATCATTGAAAAGATGCCACTGACTCTCTTCCGGAGCCGCAGGCTTGGAATGTGCAACTAAGGTATATTAGCAACTGCAACATCAGCTCAAGACGTAAAGATACATACCATTCACGAGGGAGACGAGATGGGACTTCTGCTGTTGTCCACTATCGATGTCGGCCGCTAGACCGATTAAAGAGTAGACTGTAATATTGTGTATGCCACGCTGTAGATGAAGTTTCAAATCTTCGCCTTGGTAGCAGAAGAATTGGCCCTGGTCGACAATGATCCCTATCTCTTCAGGTAGCCAGCCCGGTGTAGCCCAAAGTTGCTTTGCCTCGGCGGTGTTAACCGCAGCGTTTAGCATAAGGACAGCGGGAACACTATGGATCGTCTTGCGGGTTGCAAGGGATTGGTAGCGTTGGCATCTGCTGCACCACCCTCGACTTGTCGTTTCACGCTCTACACTCGATTTCAAAACTTGTGAGAAGGATACCTTTGGAGCCCGGGCATTTCGTACACCGAGTTTCTTGGACAAGTTAGCTTAGGTATGAAGAAAGGCGGCAATTACATACTGGTAAGGGGTAGACTAGGTCATTCACAAAAGTAGTACCCGGCCTCGTATGCTCACTACGACAATTCATACAACGTATCGCAGTCGTGGCGGAAGTTGCTAAGACCTTGTTCTATTAGCACGGGATATATCTAACAGGGGAAATGAAAATACATGGTCAAAAGCAGGAGTAAATGGCGGGATGCTTCTATAATCTTGTGTGATTCTATCGAGCAAAAATCGATTTAAGCCTTGAAGCATTGTTGTGAGGTTAGAGCCAGGGGCATCTTCTTCGAGGAGACCCAAGGGCCCGGCTATACAAATTTATAAGCTTGAACCATTTATATAAGATTGGGCCTTACCTTGAGGGTGATTACTCAGTGTCTTCAACATGTTTGTAGCTTGACAAATGGATCCCTCGGCCTTTTCAAGCATGTCGAACAGAAACCCCATTTCACATAGCAAACACAAGTCATTGGCGCATGCGGTTGCCGTGTGCTGTAATGCTAGGTTCCGGATTAGGGGAGTAAAATGCATGACTTGAAGTAGCGGGTTGGCGTAAGAATTTGAGATGTGGATCTCAAGTCCAGAATATGTGGTTTTGTTATAAAAGCTAAAAGAGTCAGTGAAATCCATATTTTAAATGGCGAGCAACATACCCAAAGTCGAAGTCATCCACTCCAAACTTGCTGTACTTAATTTCAACATTTCGATACATTACCGGAACCTCAGCTCTCATACTCGATAGCTCTGCAGTTCCAATAGCATCGGCAGCATCACTTATCCGCCGCTCGAGTGACGCATCATTAGCAGCCTCCCTGGCCTTTTCACTCAAAAACTTGGGGGCTTGAAGACATGTAGATGTCTTTTCTGTAGTTCTAGTATTCTCAACCTGGTTTCTCTTCATGCCCCGTGTATTTCGACCGTAGCCACCCCACTCCGTAACCTTCAGTGAGGCCATCAAAAGGGGGTCGATCTTGGGAGGCGGCGCGCCCACCTCAAAAATCATATGGCTCGGCCAGGCGGATAACAGTTGTTCTCGGTAGTATGGCATGCCAATACTATTGAGGGGGCTGTTACTAGTTAATGACGCATCAAATATTATACAGATGGCAGCACCTACGTATCAACGCTCCAATCCAACGGTTGTACGGTTTCCTCTGGCTCAGCAAACTCAACTGGATTACTGAGCTCTGCAAATCGTGTTCGGGATGGGGAACCCCAAAGATGAAGGTTAGACTCTCCGTCAACGAGTGCAATGGCCTCTCCTGATGGCGCAATTTCGACCATGCTCAAATACGTCAACACGTTCGCTTGTCTTACGTTGCTGGTATTTACGTTCATTAAGTCGACTATATGCATTTGGCCAAGCTGTGATACGACGATACTTGTCGTTGACATGCGAGGGTGCATGCGAACGTACGCCGCACCGGCAGGAAACGGAATAGGTGACATGGAAATCATGTTTTTCAAGTCAAATACGTTGACTAGAGGGTCAAGCATGTAGGACTGCTGCTGCCGGAGAGAATACCCACAAGTGACAATGAAATCATGCTGGGCGTCCATATCGTTAATGAGCGAGGAATGGGCATTCCATGTCTTGATAAGGTTGAAAGTTACTGAATCGAGAATGTTGACGGACCCCCCTTTTGTGGCTGCACATATATATCGGCTCCGCTTCATGATGGTATAGTGATCGTTCGTGGGTATCTGAGACTTTAGTCAAGTTCTTCCGAGCTTGTGGGTCCTCCCTACCTGTTTCGTAATTGTTCCTTTGTCCACGTCGATTGTAAACATCTGGTCCTGCAGCCCAGCAACGAGTATTTCGGATGCGCCTTTGGATGTGTAGCTCATACATCGGAGGTCTTTCATCTCGTCATGTCTATGTTTGAATACATCAGTGTTGTCTTGCTTGCTCAAGTCACTGTAGCGTACTGGATATGCCAGAGGGGCGGTCCACGTCGAGTGGCCATATGAACACTTCGCGGGCATAATGCTATGATGCCTTTCTCATGAAATAGCAGCTGCCGTACAGCGCCTTCCCCGGCTCTGAATGAGGTATATCGTGTGAGATCGGTGCCGTAGAAGCTCGAGACGCGCCCGAATTCGTTCCCAAGCCATATGAGTTCCTGGGAAGAGTCGAATCCCATCGCGGTAGCGGGGGTAGGAAGGGCATTATGCCCTGGGGGCGGGAGGAGCAACCGCCCGACCTAGAGAAGCATAATTCAGCAAAGTTTCTCGGTATCAATACGTCGGTGACGGACGCGTTGGTCGAGGCTAGTGGGCTACAGGGCTGCCCCTAGGATGCTCAAAGACACATGCGCCAATTTGAACAAAAGAGTGGAACTTACTTCCTCCCAGTCACCATCCATCTAGTTGGTTCGATCTCTTTCCATCAATCCATGGTTTGTATGCGTATGAAGTCGTTCGCAAGGTCCGTTGCCGGCAGCACAATTGCGTATCGATTATCTTAGCTGGAGCTCAGGTTGGGACATTCTGCCCTTGCTGCTTAGGGATTAGCGCCATTGATCTGCGCTGGGCGGTCAGCTCTAAACGGGGTGTGGGGCTACGCGAGGCTACGCCGCCGGGAGCGTTACAGGGCGACAGGGCGACAGGGCGAGTGGGCGCCGTCTTCAGCTCATCCTCGGACCCCATATGCGTGTCAAGGGGGTTGTTGGGGACAGCAAAGGTTTCGAGGCATTTCATCAATCATCACGGTATAACTGTTGCTACAAACAAATAACTCGTCTATGTTCTCATCTTCTTTTGCTATATATCCATCCAAGCAATCATGCAGTTCTACGACTTAGCCTTCCTCTCCCTAATAGCAGGATGTGGAGTCCTGTCCTATCAGCAATACCGCAAGAGCGACGGTGAGAGCGCGCCAGAGGAGAAGAGTCTAACACAGAATACTGTTACTCCTCGAGCAAAGGCCGAGGCCGCCCAATTTACGCGGCTGTTTTTGGCGGTATATTGTTTGGTGATGGCCTCGGACTGGCTCCAAGGTATGCCTCCATACTGGCTTATGTCGATGTATTCGCACTAACACGGTATGCGTCAAAGGACCATACGTCTACAGTCTATATAAGGACCAATTCAACCTCGAGGAAAGAATTGTAGGCCTCCTCTTCGTTACGGGATTCATCTCCGGTGCTATCTCTGGCTACTACGTAGGCCAATTCGCCGACAAACACGGCCGCAAAACAGCATGCTTGATATTCTGCATCACATACTCGTTAGGCTGCTTCTCCACTCTCGTCCCCAGCCTCCCAGTGCTATTCTGCGGTCGAGTTCTAGGCGGTCTTTCCACATCGATTATGTATAGTTGTTTCGAGGGCTGGATGGTGACGGAGTACCATAAACGACACTTGGATGAAGCTGGGATGAGCTTGAGCGGCTTGTTCGGAATTATGACTACGATGAATAGTGTTGTTGCTATCGTGGCTGGCGTGTTCAGCGAGTGGTTGGTCCGAATGACGAATACGAAGAGGGCTCCTTTCATGGCGAGTGCTGGTTTGCTTAGCATTGCATTCTGGCTTATTCTGGCTTATTGGGTATGCTCCATTACCAACCATCTTACCCCTTTGCATCCACTTACAATTATCCTCTCAGACCGAAAACTACGGTGACAGTCATACGGAAGATGCCACTTCCTCCAAATCTTCCTCCGCAACCGTCCCGGCCAAAAATGCCCTAAAAACAATTATTTCAGATAAGCGCATCCTTACCCTCGGCCTAGCATCATGCTTCTTCGAAGGCTCCATGTACCTATTCGTCTTCTTCTGGACCCCCGCCCTAAAAGCAGCCCGCGGGGAAGCATCTCCTCTGCCCCTGGGCATGATATTTGCCTGCTTCATGGCGTCTGTAATGCTCGGTTCCCTATTATTCAACCTTCTCATCACAAAATACGCGCTCCTCACCCCTCTTACCCTCCTAACTATAATATTCGCCTTGTCCTCCAGCGCCCTCGTCGTAACCATCACCCTCAAATCCGAGATCCTGACTTTCTGGTGTTTCTGTCTTTTTGAAATGTGCGTGGGTATGTATTTCCCAAGTATGGGGACTTTGAAGGGGAGATTTGTAGAAGATGGCGTAAGAGCGAGGGTTTACGGGATATTAAGAATCCCGCTGAATATTTTTGTGGTCGTGGCGTTGAGTTTGATGAAGGAAGGTGAAGTTTATAGAAATCAAGTGTTCCTAACGTGTGGTGGGCTTTTGGTTGTCACTTCGGGCATTTTCCACTGGATTGTCCAGGAGTGAGTAGGTGTTGCGGAGGCTGTACTAAATGGCGTTAAGATTTTTAATTACAAAGGTGGTTTTGGATTGGGCTCGGGAAGGGATGCAACATGTACTAGTATATAGGTCATCAAGAGTCGATGGAATGCTATGTCTTAAGAAGTAGATCATCTACATATATATGCTTTGAACACGGTGAATAACCCCGCTATCTCATCTAAATTGTATCGTATACGAGATTAAGCTATCTCAACTTGGAAGCATGGCATCACTTTAGTTATTACATATCCGATATATGGCTTTTAACCAACCATTTTGAAAGAACATCAGACAGTTGCTTCCTCGCGACCACTTTTCCAACGGGATTTAGCGTGGTTCATGGTCAGGGGCATCAGTATTTAATTGTTAGTAGTAGAGGTGATATCCTTAGATTTATTTAAGCTATTGGAAGAAACGAAGATAGGGATTGATTGCGATACGCTGAGAGGCACGGCATTGGGAGATGGCAGCACTGAACATGCCTGTCTAGTGTTTTATCTGCCTCCAAAAAAGACCTTACTTTCTGACTTTTCCCAGGAACTATTTATGTTAGTTGCTCCTAACTGTCAGGCACAAATGACATTGCCATTTTATTTTCCATTGTCACTAGGTGGGGTGCTGCCAAATATAATAACACTGTCGGTCGACAACCTCCCCCACAAGCGCTTTACTGGGTTATCTACGAGAAGGGTAAATCCCCAAGGCCAGGCCAGTTTCGTGGTACATACGTTATATGTTTCCTAGATACATTCCTGACCGCAACCTTATCAACCACTTCCTCTTGAGCTGTGGGAAGTTGGCGTGTGCCGCCCCGCTTCTGCGCGAGAAATGACGGCTTTATCTCTGCGGCCATTGCAGGTGCTGTTATAATTTTAGATCCTTCTTGCCTTTACTAATCCCTTGGATGGTTTTGACCAGCTTGCCCCATTAAATGACATTTTTCCAAATGCAGAATTCTTGTTCCGAATACCTCTATCCTGGAGTCTGTATTTCCCACTTACTGGTACTCGTACCCCCGTTGAGGAGATAGATATCCTTTCCACTCGAGTAGTTTTACTTATGGCCCTTTCCAAAGAGTTCGAAAGCGAGATCTGGAACAATGAAGTCCAAGGACAGCTCGCCGAATATCCCAGTCCATATCAGTGAATTACTCCACGAGCGGCCGTACTTTGCCACTCTGTTGGGAATTTAGTACCTAACAACGGTACCAAGCGCCCGGGAAACCCTCCCCGTTTGAAGTATAGAGGTTCCATATTAAAGGGATCACATAGTATGAGTGGGATATTGCCCTTTCGTTCAACTATCTGATCGATCCTAATGCAGCGCTAAGAAACCGAGGCAAAAAAAGCTCAGCGGATATACGACCTTGTAACAGAAACCCTTAAAACCCGCATCCATTACCGGCCCCCAGTCCTTAAAACACCGTGCAATATGCGTAGCAAATTCTATACCGCTAACGTCCATGCCGCTCTTCAAGAAAGCCACGCGAATGGGGCCTAGAGAGAATGACACGAAGATGTTTCCCCCCGCCTAAACTTCCTCCATTTGGCCGGCTGGTTCGTCATCCTCATCGCCAAAGCTTCCCACGGATGACATGTCGTCCTCATCATCTGATTCTGCTCCAGCTTCGTCTGCGGCATCTTTGCTGGCGTACTTTATGACATATTCTGTTGTACAATGAGTGCTGTATCCAACTCAGAGGCAACCCATCCACCTACCTTTGACCTTGGCATCATAACTCTTCGGTTCCCGCATCAACAACGCCGCAGCCTCGCCATTTAACGGATCTGTAGGGTTTGGATATCGAAGGAGCTGTGGGAGGAAGACTTCGAAGATGTTGATCATATCGAACATGGGCGACCAAGTCTGGTTAATGACATCGAGACAGACGGAGCCCGACCTAGACTACAATTAGTTTCCGCTGCATAAGGTGGGTAAATGCCGTACAACTCATCAATATTGGGGTGAAAGATGCGGTTGACGAAGCCAATACTTGGCGACTTGTAGGGATATTGGTCGGGCAGTTCCACGTGGACCTTCCACAGACCGCCTTGGAAAGGTGCTATACGCTGTCAATATCTACCGTATAGCGAGTGTATTCACCATGCACTGACTCTCTTCGGGGCCTTTGAACCGAACGTAAAATTCCTGCCTATAGTCCAAATGATCAATACCTCGGGCATATCCCCGACAAACTTGGAGCATACACTATCCACCAGAATGGTTAGTAAGGTATTGGAGATATTGTCGAGAGCTGGTTGACGTACTATTATCATTCACTAGAGTAACTTCATAGTCGCTCATGAGCCTTTTAACATGTAAGTACGGGGGCAAATGCTTGGTGGGGAAGACCTGAGCGCGTACATTCTATAGCAGCGGTTAGCAGGAATATCATTTTGATAGATAATATATGTGGGACTCACTTCATAACCTGCAAACGGAAGACTTCCTGTCAGTCTCTTCCACCCGCGGGGTTCCATTTGCAGCTTCACTCACATCAGTCTCTATTCGGCGGCGAGGACTAGACATCGTGGCGCTGGTTTAGCGGGGTATTGGGGTTTGCGCAGGTGTAGATGGGTTCTCAAGATATCGTTGTGTATCTCGAGGTTGTTTGCGTTGGGGTCCGAAAGAGAAGGACGATGGAGATAGTGGGGGGAGGTTGCGTGGGTGAATAAGGTATGATATGTATGGGTTGCAGAGTCAGGGAGTGAAGGTTGGATGACGACGGGAGTAATGGTTGAGTTGGGTTCCGATAAGAGTGGATGGGGCTTTATCGGCTGGACGACAATCTGCGAGTCGCCGTAGTAGCTGCCGCGGTATCGGGATTAATATCTGCGCCTCCGACTTGTTCTTTGTCCTTTGCAAGGCCTGCCTCCCTATAGAGTAAAGACTAGAGTAGATTCTTGCTAAGTACAAGTAACTAGAAGGGAAATAACAGATATAGCCTTGCTCAACCCAGTCCTTGATGCCATTTCATGGTCCCAAGTGAACACTGAGACTTGCAGTACCCCAATTCAATGACGGAACGATTTGGCACGTGAGGCTATTATTCACGCGCTCTCTGGTCAGGCGCAAACGGACAGGACAGAACAGGACAGGACAGGGTGCAAGGTAGATGTACTTCGATAACATGATTGTGTGTGATATGAAGGAGTAGGCGTGGCTTGATGGCGCCACGAAGGGCCTGGACCGTTAACTTGACCTCTTATCTTATAATAATAAAGCAGGAAGCCTGACAAATAGGATATTATATAATTATTATTAAAAAGAGAGAGTATCGTTTGGGTACGGGTACATGTACCTATAGATAGGTAGTAGGCAGGGAGTAGGTACCTAGGTACATAGTCCTACTGAGTACTTTCGTACTTTCGTACCAAGTACCAAGTACCAAGTACCAAGTACCAAGTACCAAGTACCAAGTACCAAGTACCAAGTACCAAGTACCTTAGGTAATACGAGGGACGTCTCGGTTGATGCACGCCCCAAAGTGGACTAGCGCACCGTCACGCGACCAGAAACCCCCCTCCAAGAGCCCAAGTGCCACCAACAACCCAAAGAACCCCGAGGCCCGACATTCTTACCGATAGCCTCGAAAAACGTCAGTATGAGAACCACTGCGTGAAACTCATCACGACTCCATAAAACCCCAATTTCAGCGCAGAAATGGCGGGCTTTGTTCTTCCTTCGTGTTCAGTAAGTCGCCGATCTCCTTGAGTCATCGTGGTTACGTTCAGCAAAGCAACGCACCTCCCGCTTTCCAGCAATGTCGCGATCAATATCCAGCTTGATGGGCTCCCTCCCTCGAGTATCCCAATTTATACGGCCGGCTTCCTTCACAGCCAGGCCTATTGTGTCGCAATGGCAGTGCCGAAACAGCTCCCACTCGCCCATGGGCTCCGCGAGTCTGAATACCCGCAAGAAAATCACACTCGGCTCCATACGGACACTGTACAAGAGAGGGGAGCCCATCACCATGCTCACGGCCCATGATTTTCCGAGCGGCCACGTCGCCGACGCAGCAGGAATGGAAATAGTCCTGGTCGGCGATAGCTTAGCCATGGTTGCCATGGGCATGGAAAATACCAACGAGGTCCTGATGGAGGAAATGCTGCTGCATTGCCGTTCCGTAGCCCGGGCAGCAAAGACCGCCCTGATTGTACGTACCCCCCCTTGGTAACCATGAACCAGGACCCCGCTAATGATTCGATTTCTCTAGATTGGCGATATGCCTATGGGATCATACGAGATAAGTCCAGAACAGGCTTTAGAGTCCGCGATCCGGTTCACCAAAGAAGGCCGCGTCCACGGCATCAAGCTCGAAGGAGGCGCTGAAATGGCACCCACAATAAAAAAGATCACCACCGCCGGTATTCCCGTTCTGGGCCATATTGGCCTCACACCACAACGGCAGAACGCCCTGGGAGGATTTCGGGTACAGGGGAAGACCTGTGCCGGTGCCATGCGGGTCCTTGAGGATGCATTGGCGATCCAAGAAGCTGGATGTTTCGCAACTGTTGTCGAAGCAGTGCCGGCAGAAGTTGCGGCCCTCATTACCAAGAGACTTTCCATTCCGACGATCGGTATTGGTGCTGGGAATGGTTGCTCCGGTCAGGTGCTGGTCCAAGTAGACATGACTGGCAACTTCCCACCGGGACGGTTCCTCCCCAAGTTTGTAAAGAAATATGGTGATGTCTGGGGCGAGAGCTTGAAGGCGATACATGCTTATCGGGATGAGACCAAGAGCCGTGCCTATCCTGCCTCGGAACATACCTATCCGATTCCTCAGGCGGAGCTCGTGGAATTTGAGCGCATCTTAAACGCGAAGGATGTTTAATACTATGCTAGTATACCCTTGCCGGGCTGTCGTGGGCTTTGGCTGAGCATTTGAATAGCGGCGTTTGGGTAGATTTTTGATAGAGCGAGCAGTAGCATCCGATAGTAGTCATCGTCATGAATTTTGAAATGAAAATGGGGTGCTATAACCCTTTACCCAAATGCAGGCGTCATCGAATACGTGATAATGAGCTGGTCCTTGGAGTCTTTAAAGCACTGCCCGCAAAATATATCAGCATTATAGTAACTTGTAAACCCCCATTTCCCGGCTGGCCCCTCTGCCCATCATCGAAGAGAGAACCCAACTCACCCTATGCAAATTTCCCACAACCTCATCCAGAGCCGGAGCAAAGCTCGAGTTCACATATAGAAACACGCTATCCGTAGGTGCAACCTTGAGCTTCTTCCTCACCCACCCAACGACCGTCTCGAATTTCTGTGTGCTGCTAACCTTCACCACCTGTTTCGGCACCATTGGTGCACTCCCCACCGGCTTGAAGTGCACCATGACCTTGGGGTTCGGGAATTCGCCAGCGTTGGCCAGGGCGCTTGATGCGTCGCGGGGTAGCGAGGTGAGCACCATGGAGGACGCCATGGTGAGTGGTAGGTCGGGTTCTTGGGCTGAGTCTGGGATGGCATCTTGGTTTTCGGACGGAGAGGAAGTCATTTTGTTGTTGGGTGTTGAGGGTAAGTGATGGAGGTTGGCTGCGTTGAGTGGATGTTTTGTGGTACATGTACTCGAGAACCGCAAGGTTGACGAGGCTGCGAAGTTACAGCACGCTGCCTTCCGAAGGGCGACAGGTAAACACACATGTGACAACAGAATTAAGCTTCATGTTTGGGATGAACAGTATATGAGATGGGTTTTATTTTGTACAAAGTATAATTACATCAGTTTCGTAGTGCCTCTATATCCACAATTTCCTTCACTGCTTCGGTTGTTAAAACCAGTGGGGTTTCTTCCTCAACACAGACACTGTCCTCTATCCTGATGCCCATTCCTCTGAAATGCTCAGGCCATTTGTCATCATCGGGGACATATATTCCAGGCTCTACAGTTACACAGTACCCTGACTTTAGCGGGACTGACCGCGAGAAACCTGGACAATCGTGGACGTCCAGTCCAATATAGTGACCGATGTGGTGAGGGAAGAGAGTGCGGATGTCATCTCCCTTAAGGTTAAATCCAATCTGGTTCAACGAATCTGTTAAACCACGCTCAGCAATTTGATGGATCTTGTCCAATGTCATATCTGCGTCCTCCCTGCACAGTGACACGCAACTTCTCTGGACCCGGAGTATGGCTTCATAGAGATCTCTTTGGGCGTCTGAGAACTTCCTATTGATTGGCCATGACCTCGTGATATCCGCAATATATCCTCCATATTCGCCGCCTGCGTCAACAAGCACGATTTCACCTTCGTTGAGGACGTCATTATTCCGGACATAATGGATACTCAAGGCATTCTGCCCCCCTGCAATGACTGGGACATAGGCACTAGCCTCGCAACCACCTTGCTTGAAATCATATTCCAAGAAGGCGCCGAGATCCTTCTCTTTATTCCATGGGCGGCGCATGGCATTTGTAAATGCCCTTCCGGATATTTTGCCAGCAATACGCATGTTGGTAATTTCTGATTGGCTCTTGACAACCCTTAGTTCGTTCATCAAAGGTTTTAGTGGTTTTACAGTGGCATCTTTGATCATCTTTTGAAAGTCATTTGGGGGTGAGTTCTGGTCCCGGAAAAACCGTCCAAACCCAGAGCACTTAGCAATGTCTGTATAGACTTCGCTAGCGCCATTAATAAGGGGCGGTAGCAGCGAATGTAGGTTGTTGATATCCCCCGACTATATGTACATTAGCATGCCCTATATTTGACACAAGAGGAAGAAGCACCTCATCAGCGTTGAAGACATCTAACGCGGCCTGCTCTCCAGACCGAGCCCCGTCCCATTTTTCCGCCCAAGCATCTTTGGGCCGGAGGAATAGATGGAAGATATAGTCTCCTGATGATCCGGTTTTCTGGATGACCGCTACGGCATCAGGTTCGTTGAATCCTGTCAAATAGAGAAAATTGGGTTCTTGGTGGAACTCATAGAACACCGCGCCGGACCGGTATTTCGTATCAGACGATGCCAGTATCGCTATGGCATTGTCAGGGAGACTTGCGGCTAGTTTCGACCTCCGATCCGCATATTCCTGTGCCGATATTCCAGGCGTGACTGCATGGCAGAACCGATTAGAATGTCTCCTTCGAATTCATGGTGTGCAAGCGACGTACGTTCTCCTGCTCGAAGCAGATGCGGATGTGTCTCGTGTACCGGCTGTCCAAACTGCAACTCAGCAGCAGATACCGAAGCATAACCTCTTCTTGAGTTACTAGGTTTTCGGGTTCTATTTTTCACCGCCGCTGGCCTGGACAAACGTTGAGAGGCGCCATGAATGTAATGGTCGGCTTGCAATGGTAATTTCGCGGATGATGCGATCGACGCATAAGGCCGATTAAAGTGCTCCGCCACTGGAGCCCCCAGAACAGCTGGGCGTAGGTTTTGCAATCGATGCAAAACAGGTCTTGCCAGCTTCATGATCGTGGTGGTTGGCGGTAAGCAGTGCCAATTAACTCTGAAGCCTCAAGTCTTGGTAATCATTATTATGACGGCATTATTCCAAAAGATACGAAGGTATTCGTTGAGAAGTTCAGCGTCAGCACAAAAAAACAAGCATAATAAGTTGTCCAAGTAAATAGACGTTGTGCAGCGAATGGTTGCTGTGGTGGTGGTGGTGTTTCGCGGGCGCGTCTTGGTGGGTCCAAGCGTCAAGCTTGTTCTACCGCTTTGTTGATGCTGCTGAACCACCACAAACATTGACATCGAAGCTTCAACTTCAAGCTTATCCCCACCACGTTCCCTTGAATTCGCACTCGTGGGCTGTGCCGTTTTACCAGACAGAAGCAGAGGATTCAACCATCTTTTCAATGCCTTTATAGACCTCGTCTGATGCTGGTTGGACGTGTTCAGTCGCGTGCACCCCACTCCTTCAGTCCCTTGCTGCTAGACTCCATAATACTTTCTTATGGCAGCAGTATCACTATCCCCATTGCCACATACCCTATCCACCATGTCGAGTAGGAGGGCACCTCTTGCAAGCAATCCTAATGCCGCCAATTCCCCATACCGGGCGGTGTCGAAGCAGAAGCGGTCCTATGCCACCATTCAACGCGAAGATGCCTATGGACAGCCTCCACCGGCAAAGAAGCAGATGCTCGATATACAACCGGCATTAAGAACCCCACCGCGTCACCAGAGCGCTCAGTCTTCAGCAGAGGGTCGGGTCTTTACGAGGCGGTCGAATGTCGGCCAACAAACAGCCTTCGAACGCAAATTGGTTGCGGTTCGAGAGAAGCCGGCTCAGCAATTAGTTGTGAAGGCTGAAAAGAACTCCGATGAGAATCTGGAGTCAATTAGACAATGGCAGAGGCATCACAGGAAGATTTTCCCAAGCTTCGTCTTTTACTTCGAGAGTATACCAGCGGATACCCGTGCCAAGTACACCAAGCAAGTAACTGCTCTGGGGGCGGTAAGTGCTCTACATATATAACAATTGTGAGAGAATGTTTGCTTACAATAATCGTAGCGGGAGGAAAAGTTCTTCTCAAACGCAGTTACCCATGTTGTAACTACTCGGGCCATTCCTCCAGAGCATGTTGTCAGTCCCATAGAGGCAGCAGGACAGTCGTCGACTACCACTGAATCCAATTCTCAAAATAGCCAGCCGCAAACGATCAATCCGTCACTGCTGGACAGGTCATCTGAATCTACACAGGCACACTCGGAATCTTTTGGGACGAGAGGAAAGTTTGCATTTGATGCCCAGATGAGCAGGAAAGTGTCCAATCATGGACATGATGCAGAAGTTAGACGACAGCATGCTCGAAATGCCGATGTGTTGTATCGAGCACGAGAACTAGGCATGAAGATATGGGCACTGGAAAAGTTGCAGCGGATGATGACAACGATGTTTGATACGGACACCGGTTACCAGGCAGTCCATGGCCATAATACAAGAAGTCATTCAGTCCAAGGAGCAGCAGCAATCCCTCGAACGACAACCGAGCTTTCGCAGCTTCTCCGAAACGAGAGGATCAACGGGCCTTCTGATCGAGATCTAACAGTAGCCACAAAGGAGATCACCGTTTTCAAAGGGCCTTTTATCTATATCCATGATATCGATGAGAAGCAAAAGCCGATCATGGTTCGGGAGTATACCAAGGTTGCCAACAAGGAAGACGGGGATTGGCCACAATTCCGTAGCGTGCCTAACGGGAAATGCCCATTTGTTGAGGAAGTTGACTACAACCGGCGAGAGGTTGAGCGAGAGAAGGAATTAATTCGACGGCAGCAAGAAAAAGAACAGACGATGGCTCCCAGGACCAGAGCTGCAACTGCTGCAATGCAGCCTCCAAAAGCAGTCTCCAGCAAGCGGGCATTGGCGGAAATAGAGAGTGGCTCAAGGAGAAATGTCACTGTGTCTACTAACGAAGCCAATCCATTCGCTCCGTCGAAGGCCCTGTCGCATCGAACCGAGCGTGCATCTTCCTCCCGGGGAAATCAAAATGCTTTTGTCAGCCGTGCAGGAGTAGGGCGCCTTTTTGGAGGAGAGCCCGTTGCTTCGGGGTTACAAGCGTCGAACATTACGTCTGCCATTCGTTCTCAGATGATATCCTCCACTGCGGCGCAACCGGGAGCCAAAGCTGGGACAACCAAGGAGGTCCATGGGTTGCAGAGAAAGATTCTAGAGAAGAATAGCGGTGGCCCAGGATCATATGGCCTAACAAGCTCCCACCGTATGACTGATATGAATGCTGTAGTCAGAGAGGAGATGGGAGGACGCCCCAACAAACGAAAGCAGGGACTTGAATTAATTGCGGAAGATATAAATCAATCCGAGGTTGGGGATAATTCGAGGAAAGTTGAAGCTGTTCACCAAGTGAAGGCTGTACAACAAAAAACGAAGAAACGAGATCTCAAGCCGGGATATTGCGAGAATTGCCTGGACAAGTTTGACGATTTTGATGAGGTATGATTAGCTCTGATGTGTTGGTGTGTTCTAAGCTAACCTGTTTTACAGCACATCTTGTCTCGCAAACATCGCAAGTTCGCTGAGAAGCCGGAGAATTGGGCCGAGCTTGATGATTTATTGAGAAAGTTAGCTCGGACTCCTCGCCAAGTCGAGTACGACGATTATTAATGGACTCTACTCTCGCTGACCTGCATTAACGAATATATCTGGCAATTGAGAACTACAGCAGAGTTTTTGTCCCCGGATCAAACTGTCCCGCAATCTGAAAATAGCACACTCACTAAGCGTAATGTTGGCGTCATGGGGCTTCTGGTTATTCAAATGACTTGTCTGCGCACTTTCTAGCGTTTTTCACTTCTTGTCTGCTTCGCAACTATACCACTGCTGGTTTGCATCTATACCAAGCTTCTTTTGACGCATTTCAGCCCTGGCTTGCATGCATTTTGGGCGGCAGGAGCGGACATCTTTTGGGGCTTGCATTTATATGGGCGTCTCGTTACGGCTCGTCAGCGTGTTGTTAGAGGTTGCAATGTATGTACTTGTGTGAGACTGGGCTGGCTGGGGGGGCGGTCTATATGTAGCTTCCCGTGTACATATGTATATTTCCCCACATGCCAATCCCTTCAGCTGATCTATTACTACTGTCTATTATAACTGTCTTACGAAGAGTTCTAGGCTATAGGCGGACGTATGGGAAATAATCCTGGTGGTGGTGGAATACAGACTGTTACAAACTCCAGCCCCTGAAGCAATACTAACTCTCCGTATGATTTGGAGTGAGAAACACAAACTCTCAAACTTCGATACTAACACTAGAGTTTCTTATAAACTATACCTCTACTACTATTAACTCCTTCGGTAAGGGGGTATCACTTTTATTTTGCATCTTTTGTCCATGTCCAATCCAAGCAGCTCGGCAACTTTATCTGATCATGTCAGCGGGGTACGGTAGGTGACTGCCGTACTCGGTGAGCTAAAGCTAGGAGGTAATAAGTAAGCTACTGTATTATTACTGCACTCTCAAGCTTGCGCACAGTCGTAGCACATGATCCCCAAGAAGTCCAAGAGCCTTAGGACGTGAACTGGTCGTGCTCATGGCAAATGGGAGAAGGCCATGACCCCCCCCTTAGCGAGTGGCGCGTTAAGGGTGGGTCTGAGGGCCCATGAGTTTTGATGGGGATCGCCGTGATATTTTGTTTTTCTTGCGGATGGGGAATGGGGGATGGATGATTTGTTCAAGCCTTCGAGGTGCGGTTTCATATGTGGAGCCGTTGGAGAAGAGTGGAAGAGGCGGTGTGCACGAAGGTTTTGCTTTCCTTGATTATTCGCACTTAGATTTCCATGTTATGTACATAATTCGGTACATATGTACATGGACGTCCTGTGTCGGATTGATCTTGAGCCCTGAGGTGAAACTGGAACCCCATAGCCAAGAGGTTGGAATAATAAGCGGTACTACGTATAACGGATGTAATCGGCAATCTTCTAGAATAAAATGGCCACGTTGCAATGTTCCACGAATGCCTTGCTTCCTCCGCAGAATGCAGAGACAAAGGAAAGTGGAGTTTCTTTGGAATTCTGCAGGTACGCGCATGGCTCGAAGACACTTCTTGCGGAGCCGTGGTGACGATGTCTTACCTTCGGGCTTGTTTGCCCTTGCAGGATCTCCATCGACACGTGGATTTCAATAAAGGCTTTTCTGATATCCGACCAGCCACCAGGGAGAAGAAGCCCGTAAGCGGAGAGGCTTGCGGAAATTGTCATACTGGAGCACCGATTCCGTTGATATCCAAATTCTCCACGAAATTCTCCACGAAATTCTCCACGAAATAATAATGTTCACTTGGGGATTGCTTCACGCAACCCGATCGCCCCCATAATACCAAGGCTAGTACTTCGTAATAAGGTATGTAATAACTATGTTGATGTGGTATTGGGTTGCTCGCCTCTTGAGAGATCCACCGAGAAGGATGCCGCATGCGACGCTGAGAACTCGGGAATCCTTTTCGTGTCGGATACGTGCAAGCAAACCCAAACCAAGCCATGCGGGTTGCCAAGTTCCAGGACCGGCTTCCTGATCCGATCTCCAGTAGTACCCTCAGCCTAAATATATACCGATCTGACGAAGTCTAATAGCAAGATAGAGGTGCAGACTGGGAGATGAAACCACTGGGGTCCGGACGGAGTATCGCATATAAAGAGCGTCCTGGATGGAGTACGAAGTACTACGTAGTAACGTAGCCGACTTGTTTATCGCCAAAGGAGCCACACCTTCCATACTTATAAATAAATAATAACGTAGCCGTTTCCGACGGAATGGAATGCTGCGGGAGCACGGCGTGACCTGGAAGCCATTTCCTGGGTCTTCCTAGGCGCTGCGTAGTCCGTGAGTCTTGGGGAGTAGTTCGGGCAGCTGATCATTATTCATTTCCAGCGCACGCTCCAGATCGAGCGCGCGCTATCCGCCCACTAGCTGTGGCTCCTCCACATGGTCAGAGAAGCTCGCTGACGAATCTCTCCAGCTCAGCACTTACTAACTGATTAGTCTTCTATAGTTCTGAGCCCACAGCTCCCAAACACGGCCGGAGTGATACAGTTGCGGCATCGCCGTAGGCCCCTCATAGGGCTTTGCGTGGTGGTGCTCCGAGAAGATGGATATCTAGCTAGCCTCCCAAGACACTCGAGCCCCTTTTCAGGTTTCAAGGACGGAAGTTTTTGGGTGTCTTCTAGCGGCCTTCTAGCCCTTCAGCCGGGAGGGCATCGGCGGACGACATTGGGCGCTGGGATGCTGGGCCATGCCGTTCCCATGTGTCTGTCCCCTGGCTGCTGGCGGAGGCTGACATGGAAGTTGGAACAGCGATGGCGTGGCACTACATACTACTGAGGCCTGACATGGCATGTGGCAGAGAGAGGCTAGCCATTGCCAATTGGGTGATTGAGGTTGAGATTGGGCTTGAGGAACTGGACAGGCTTGTCAGTAGTCGTCGGCCATGCCTGTGGACGCAAAGTGGCGCACCATCTCTCCCACGAGGAGTCTCCAGGCTCGTCCCCCCTAAGGACGGACGGGCCCTTCCTTCTGCCCCCCAAATGGTAAATGCTCCGTGTTCGTCCCTTTCGCTGGAATCCCCTCTCTGAGTTGTGGAGTAGTCGGCTGTTTGTTCTCAGTGATCTGTGTCGTTTGGTTCCTCAACCCGCTGTGGCCACTGGCCACGGTAAGCTGGCCGGCTGACTGCAGAAAGCATGTGTACTATACTAATACCTCACATTGAGCGGTACTCCGTACATCATCGAGTTGACCCAGCTTTCGAGCTCTCCAGAGGCCAACTCTAATATGCAAAGTGAGTGAGTTGCTTGTTCCTCCAGCGCGCCACTGCATGCAAATTGTAAATACGCTGTAGCATGGGCCTCCCTCCCCTCCCCTCCCCTCCCGTAAGCTCCACCCGCAAAAGCACTGGTGTCTGTGTAGCATTGGTCCGCTCTGCGGAGCGGTGCAATATAAAGGATGAGGCCTGTCCCTCGCCGCTTTCTCACGCTGTACAGGTGCTGTACAGTCTGTACCTTGTGGTTTCGGCCGTGTGTGACCCGCCTCGCCCCCTCCAGCGTCCCAGTATCCCAGTGCTCAGTGTTCAGTGTTCAGTGTCCAGCATCCTGTCTTCAAGGTTGAAGATCGACGGAAAAGGGTTTGTGCCTCCGTACAGTACCAGTGCTCTAGTCTAGTCTCTACTCCTCCCTCGATATCGGTGACCATCCTATTCTGTTCTCTCGACCGGCGACCCTCCCTCAGACATCGACATTCTGCCTGCGATACACCTAGAAGACCGCGACGGGAGCACTGAGCCGTATCTTGCTGCCCCAATCGATCCCACTCTCGACTCGAACGATTGGCGCTGGTGGATTAGGAATTTGGTGATCTGGTGAACTGGTGAAGTGTCGGTCTTGGTGTTGTGCTGTCACCGCCAACTCGCAATTTCTTTGCCTCGGGGCCTGTCGGTGCGGCTTTCATCATTCCCGACCTAGAGAGTCAAGACCCAGACATTTACTTGCCCTCCCGAGACCGCTTGGAAGTAGAAAACATTTGGAATCCTTCGTCCCTCGTCATCCCGCGCCCCTTTCCCAGGCAACATATCATCCAAAGCCCTTCGCTTTTCCCGGAGCGTGTAGCCTTCGCTTCGAACCCGCGCAACGCAGCCCTTCCACTGCCTCGTTCAGCATCCGATTGAGGACGAGGACGAGGACAAGCACTTGCTGTATGACAGGCGTGCTGCCTCTGAACATGCCGGTGCGGAGACACGGCTTTGAAGATCAATTTTATCAAATAGGGAGAGCGAGCGAGCGGCCTCTAGAGAATCAACCCCCCCGCCGCAACCATGGGGAATTCGCACGGCAAGCCGGTTTGCTTTGATGATGAGGGTAAGTGGCGTTCCTAGTAGTTGTGGATTTGGGAAAGATAATATCGCAAGCGCAAGCGCAAGCGCAATCTCAATCATGTCCCATAGGAAGAGGAGAGAGTGATATGCTGCTACTCAATGACTATTCATGCGCCGTATCATACATTAAAACAATCGCTAACGTATAACTATCCTAACAGTAAACCTAAATCATTTCCGATTGCTTCGTGTCGTGGGCAAGGGTGCATTTGGAAAGGTCCGGATCGTCGAGCGGAAAGATACTGGATTGACTTTCGCGCTCAAGTATATCCGCAAAGATGAGGGTTCGTTGATTCTATATCCCATCATTTCTGCCATTGCCCGCCCACTGACCAAGTTCGCTCGTTACAGTTATTCGGTCGGAGAGTGTGCGGAATATTCTACGAGAACGGCGGATGTTGGAGCACTTGAGCTACCAATTCATCTGCAATTTACGTTACAGTTTTCAAGATGTGGAGTACATGTAAGGATAGGCCCATTTCCTACGGGGCCGCCGACTAATCCAAACCTCGTAGGTATCTAGTAGTCGATTTAATGAACGGAGGCGACCTACGATTCCACATATCGAGAAAGACGTTCACGGAAGAGGCAGTCCGGTTCTGGATCGCAGAGCTGGGGTTTGCCCTGAGATACATACATTCACAAGGCATCATCCATCGAGACATCAAGCCAGATAATGTGCTGCTAGATTCGGAAGGTCATATCCATCTCGCAGACTTTGTTAGTCACACAAGCCCCAATGACCACCTAGAATATCTACTAACGGGAGTTAGAATGTCGCATCTGATTACACGCCGGGAAAGCCTCTCACAAGCAAATCTGGGACTCTCGCATATCTTGCCCCAGAAGTCTACACAGGACATGGATACGGTCCAGGCGCCGATTGGTGGTCACTAGGAGTTTTGTTTTACGAGTGTATATATAACAAAGTACGCTCTTACAATTTGCTCTAGCAGGTCAAAGGCTAATCTGATTCTGTAGCGGCCATTCGAAGGGAACACTCATTCCGTATTAGCGGCACAAATCACTAAAGCGAATCCGAATTTCCCCGTCACCGCACCCCCAGTATCGATGCCATGTCTTCACGCCATCAGTTCCGCCCTCGAGGAGGATCCAGGAAAACGCATGGGATCAGTTAGTTTCGAGAGCTTCACAGATAATCCTTTTTTCCGAGCTATAGATTTTGATGCGTTGGAGAGGAAAGAAATCGAACCCGTCTTTGTACCATCCGGGGAGAAGACAAATTTCGATGCCACATATGACCTTGAGGAACTACTCCTAGAAGAAGCGCCCCTGGAAGCCCGAGCCCGTCGACAAAAACCAAGAGAACAGTTGAGGGAAGATGCCACTGTCAAGGAGATTAGGGAAGAGGAGTTGTATAAAATGATTGAGACCGGGTTCACACCATTTGACTACACAACCGCGGCATACGAGCGGTTTGTCCTTCTTTCGCAATTCTATGTATTTCACACTAATTACCTACAGATATGCCAAAGAACTAGACCCCAACTCTACAGAAACTTCCGACAGTCCTGTAGATTCCACCGGCCCAGGGGGACCCGAACGAAGCGGCAATACCAGCGCACCACAATCAATAACCGGCCGTCCCACATCAAGAGCTCGAAAAGTTTCAAAATCACAACCATCTCTCTCCGGTTCCCCTCCAATACCCAATAACCCTCCTCCATTACCGAATGGCCGTCAAACTACCACCAGCGCGCCGAGCCACAGACCAGCCAACAATCGTACCCACACTTCCACAGCCGCTTCCCCGTCAACTATCCAACCTTACCAGCCATCATACAGCAGACCCCGGCAACCTGGGACTTCACAGAAAGAGTCTATAGGCGGCGGCATGAATGTCATCCTTGGCGAGACGGAAAGCTGGTCAGAGCTGGCAAAGAAAGACGCAACGCTACCACTAGACGCCAAATTATCAGAGCCCGAATTAAAACCTAATGGAATGCTAGGCTTCCTAAGTAGGAAGCGAGGTAGAGGGCACAGTCCAAAGCCACAAGAACGGGGAATATTAGGGAAGGAGGGTGCACGGGTTGTTATTTCGAAGTAAAGCTAGGCTGCTTGCTATTCGATTACCCATCCCCTGCACCCTCTCTCTCTCTCCCTCTCCATTGAAGGATCAGGAAATTATCAGGAACATTTTAAAAATGCATAGGACGCGACATGACCTGGATTACCGAATTTCTATTACACACATATACATGTATGCCTCCTGACATACGACGGCTTACGGTTGTATTTATGAAGGGAAGGTGGGAAGGGGCCGGGTGGCATAATTGGGCATTTTCACATATGGGAGCGCGGAGTCTGTCTATCTGAGCTTATAACCATTTTCATTTTACCTAGCTAGCTTGCTATATTTTTGGTGTGTTTTTTCATTAGACTTGATTGATTAGTCGTCGTGGTACTCCCCACCCACCCCCTAAGTTCAAGGAGGGGAATACGCAGATCGATCGATGCCGCTGGCATTACTTTCTGTTGGATGATTGCTTTTTTGGTTCTCATGTAGACATATATATATATATGGATGCATTTTTTGTATGTGTTATCTCTCGAGTCGCCGAGCTACTTGGTTAGCTGACGAGCGGGAGGGATGGCTTTGTAGATAGATAATGCATATAGTGATTGGTTGATACCAAAATACAAGAGGAATTACAATCTGCGGAAGGAAGCATCCTGGATGATATCATTATGATTTTGGTCAGAGGGAACTGTGATAGGTTATTGAAGCCACTTACTTACCCACTGAAGGTCTGACGTAGTTGTGATAAGGATGGTGTTTTGGTCAAGGGGGCTAGCTAGGTGCTCAAAGGAAGCTGTTGGCTGTAAATAGACGGGCGGCAGGGAGTCTAATCGCATATTGTGGCAATTTTCTTTCAAGCATAGATAATACCTCTCTCTAATCTAAACTTCCATCCTAATTGGCCCACTACTTCTTGCGCAGAGATAGGCTCTTAATCAGGGTACTTATACACATAGCAGTGGTCTATCGTTGAGAAATATATGCATATCAAAAGTTGATACAGTAGTTGAGAGGATATGCTCAAGAGGGGTGTGTTATATCTCCAGTACACATGAAATGATAAATATCAATTCAGAATTTCTGATACTTTAGCAAAAAAGTTTTCCCCCTATAAAAAAAAGACCCTTTCTTTCTTTCCCCATGTCATATAAGCAAAATAAAGAGTCGTTACAGCATCCTACCATACAACATGTTTCAAGAAAATAAAAGATCAAACTCGAAAACCAGATTTCATCAGATAAACGAGGGGTCGTAGCGAGGAATAAAAACGCAACCAAAACAAAATGCCCGTCAAAAATGAGGGTTAATTTCTGGACCACGACGCCGGTATCAATGGTTTATGATAAACCCCTGCCCCCATAAAAACAACCCTTCCATGGCGACTAATATCCGAAACCAGTGCCTTTTTAGTATATAATAGTTCCAACGCCCTCCAAGCCCAGCAAAAGAACCAAAATATGCTCCAATGAAGTTGCGCTTTCAATTAAGACCTGTGGCTGTAGTCATGCCGTCGGGCTTCTGAACATATGTTTTCATAATGCGGTTGAAGTCCGACTCGTTGACCACGGCACCGGTTTCGGAACACTTGGCTTTCTTTTGGAGGTCCTTACAGAGCAGATCTAGGTCAAATTCCCCTTCCTTAACCTTTGGACATTGTTGGAGACGGTCCCTATAGCCGATGTTAGCAAATATATATTACATACTCCAAGGTCGCACTGGACCAGAGAGATTTAGGAGTAGCCATACCAGATAGTGTTGCAGTTGAGCAGTTTCGTCGTGTCCTCTGCGGGTACCACTTCCTCGTCACCCTCGTTCTGCTGCTCGTCGATTTGCTGCACAAGATCCTTCTTGTGAGGCGCAGGGCTGGGCTCTATGTTGAAAGGACTGGTAAAATCAGGAACGGCGAAAGCATCACTGAAAAAGCTATCGCCAAAGGCGTCCCCAGAGATAATGTTATCTTGAGGTTCGCGATAATCGCCAAATAGCTGTGGGTCGAATTGATTGCCATTTTGTTGAGCAAACCAGTCAATGCCGTTTACGTCGAAGGCCGGGTTATCAATGTTTGATGAATCTGCAGCAGATTCAGAGAGTGTACGCGGGATTGGGTTGTTGGGGTTGCCGCAGGCCATGTTGAGTTTGTCACAGAAGGTGAGCTCACCTTCAATGCGATTGTTTTCTGAAGTGTGTTCTTCTCCAATGGTGGTTAGCGTAGAATCAGCAGCCTTATAAACTGGTGATTGCATGGTCGGCTCTGGGGAGGTGCCGCACGAGGAGCTTGGCCCATGGTTAGAATTTGACGATGCTGATGGTGAGCTGTATGTTGTATTGTGGCCGGTGCTGCCGGTGCCATTGCCGGATTCAGGGCTCGACCTTGACCCATTGGAGCCCTGACTGGTTTTGTTTCCAAAGAAATCGTATTCAGGGCTCTTTCCAACACTCTTAAGGATGGAAGGGCTGAAGAGACCAGACAGACTGGACATGTCCCCGTTGTCAAGCTGGACAGGGGACCTGGTCAACCCAACAGCCGAACCATTATTTGATAGAGATCCCAAAGAGTGGTTGCGAGGACTAACCTGCTTCTCTATGGGGCTAGTAGTCTGCTGTCCTGTAATTGATGGGGACACGGACTGCCTTGCGCCGTTGAGGGAGGTAGGCGCGGGGCCTGGAAGACGGCCAAACCTTGGGAACTCGAATTGGAAATTGACGTCGTTTGGATCGTTGAGTCCTCGGCTGGCGCCGAGGCTTCTTCCCGACAGAGGTGTAGGATAGCCATTGTTTAGTGAGGTGCTCCGGCCGACACCTCCGTTTACAGAGATTCTCTTGCGGTATTCGTTTAGCTCCACCGACATCTTGTCTATCTGAGCACGAAGAATACTATTCTCGTGATTGGCCGACTCTGAGGCCTTCTGAAGATCCTCAACCTTGGTCTCCAAGTCTTTGAGGTGCTTCTCCTTGCGCTCGCGGAAGGCTCGCTGCGCGGCACGGTTTTGAGCCTTGCGCTTCTGTAGAGCATGGTAGGTTAGTTGATGTTGCGCGGAGAAGTTTCATGTCCACATAGCACGTACCGAAGTAGGCTCGGATGTCAAGGGCTTTCTCCCAGGCTTCTTCGATCCCTTGTCCTCCCCCTCTCTACGTTTTCCGCCACCCTCCTCCTCGTCTCCGTCATCGTCTGGATGACTTCGTTTGTCGTGGGTATCAGCATCACCGTCGGAGGAGGTTCCCGGAAGCGTGCCAATCATCTGGCCCTCGGAGCCATTGCTAAAACCGTAGTCGAAACTTCCGTCGGCATCAAAATCATACTCGTAGTCAATGAACGGGCTATCATCAAAGCCGTTCAAGGTCCCCGAGCCTGGGGCCTGGACTGGGGATTCGGAGAAGGCCATCGGGGCCATCGCAAATACAGGATTGGATGGGGCCGTCGAAGCGGCGGGATTCGAATTGAGCGCTGCGAGGAGAAGTTCTTCTTGCCGAGCAGACAGCTTGAAGGCTGGGTTGGCGGCGTTGGTGCTGTTGTTAGCGGACGGGCTTTTGGCTGTATCCATGTGAGGGACCTGTTGCGGTGTTCAGTGTTTAGACCAAACGCATTCCCAATGCGATGCGCAGGCGACGAGATGTTGTCGTTCTGTTTCGGCGTTGAGGATGGAGCGGCTGGAGGTTGTGAGGTTTGCGGTTTGCGGGTTGAAGAGCAGTTTGGAAGTGCGAAGACAGGCAGCGAAGGGAAGGGCGTCAGCGGTCAAAGCAGGCGGAGGGCGGGGAGGGATTGGCTCCAGGGGTTCCGTCGGCGGAGTGGGAGTGGGAGTGGGGAGAGCGAGGAGAGGACAGAGAAATCAGTCCGAGTCTGTCTGACTATCAGTAGGTAAGGTGTTCTTGGTGGCTGGTTTATTGCGACACTACTACTGTGCAGTGCAGTACAGTGCAGTACAGTACAGTACAGTGCCTGTGGCGATAATGTCGTGTAGTGCAGTGTAAGTGTACGTGTAGTGCAATGGAGTATTTAGTTTACCATCCCGTTGCGCATAGGCATAGTGTCAAGAACGAGTCGAGACTCCGGTTGCTGATAAATCCACCAAAATGCGCAGAAACAGCAGCAGGGAAGGGGAAGTCGGCATTCGCGCCAACCAACTCGCCGAGGCGGGAGATGGGCAAAAGCACCATCATCATCATAATCATGCTCTTATTTTATGACAAGGGACTTGGGGCTTTTTGGTTTCACGGGTTGCCAACTACGGAGCATACTCCTCTAGCTAAGGCCATAATGGCATCGGCGTAAGAGCCAAAACCGCTTCAAGTGCTTCCAGAGCTTCAAGCGCAACCCGCAATAGCACGCGGCAATAGCGGGCTTCTTCCTTCTGCGTCTTCCTTCTGCGTCTTCCTTCGCCTTCTCCCAGAGTCCCAGAGTCCCCGAGTCCCAGCACCCCGCGCATCGGTTCTGCTCTCCACCGCAGTCTTTATCGCACCCGCCCGCCACCAATAGCGACGGATCACGGACAACACAGCCACCCCCCATTGTCACTTGGGTCACTTGGGTCACTTGGGTCAGCGCAAGGCAAGGAGAGGGATACTTGTCCTTATCCTCCAGAAGGTACAGTACAGTACATATGGTCATACTGTATATATTACCATAATGTACTACTGTACTGGTAGCGACAAGCAGGTCCCTACGAGGTCCTCCCTTATTAGTGTCGTACAAGTAAGTACCCGCTGGCCAGTGACTCAAACTCCATGCTGACGACATGTCATGGTGCGTTTTGGACCTTGCAACTCCATGCAACTTCAATGCAGGTGTGGCAAACTCTTCCAGTACATACAAGCGGATAAGAACCGGCACCGATACAGCTGGCCCAATACATTTCTCTCTTGGGGTGGAATGTGGCTCCGTTCCTTAAAGTGCAATAATGATGAAGGCCTTGGAAACTATACTTTGTATATTATATTTTGTGCCACCTTATTATTAGCTATTCTTTTGACAGCAAGCATGTACGTAACAACTGTGGCTGGCAAGGCAAGGCATGGTCGGCAATACGAGGTTGCTATGTCCTTAAAATCCGCTTGTAGACTCGCTGCACATCACGTGGCTATTGTCACGTGCCACTGTGGTCACCGAACCCCTCATCCTGGAACAACAACGGCCTGAGGCCGGATTGGGCAACCCTCAAGCTCTCGGAGTATTGCTGCAGCCTCACGTCAATCAGATGATCGCGCAACATCAAAGGGCCCGCTGAGCGACGCCATTCCCAGCTATAATCCCCCAATCGCATACCATAACTTAGCCATGGATCTGGCCTACGATCATATCCAGGAGGAGGCGCTCGCCCCTGAAAAGTCGACGGGGCAGCAGGACAAGCAGCCTGAGACCACAAACACCCTGAATTCCGACTTCCAGGAGGCATATAAAGCCATCTCATCTAGTCCCTGGGGCGCACGATTGGGGGGCTTCTTTGGCAGTGTTGTCAAGCAGGTCCGTATTCGGGTTAGAGTTAGCGGTGACTGGACTTGGTACTGACACCGATTAAAGGGCGAGTCTGTTTACAAGGAAGCACAAACCGAACTCTCTGCCGTGGGTGAAGAAGCGTCCAAAGGCCTCACTGATCTCAGATCGTCCATTATAAGTCGCACCAGATCGCTCTCCCTGGCCCAGACCCCTGCAACCGGCGACCAGGCCCAAGCGACAAAGGAAAAGGACGGCGAGAAGGATGTCTCCACGGACGAAGCGTTGAAGGAATCGGAGGGTGTCCTTGCTAGACTTCGTACAGAGGCGGCCAAACGACTCAAGGATATACAGGAGGCCGAAGACGCGGCAGATGAGGCGCTCTTGAAATTTGGAACGAACATAAGGAATTTCTTGAAGGATGCTGTGAGCATCGCACCACCGACTGAGGAGCCGGGCAAGCAAGGCAGTACAGTACTATTCGAGAGCAAGGATGCTTCCGGAAAGCGGGTGATCCACACCACACGATTCGACGCTCAACTCCATGTCATACATTCATCGTTAGACAGCTTCACCAAGGATCCCGTCAGCGAGGAATACGAACCATGGAAAAAGGCTTTTGACGTGGAGAAAAAGACCGAAGACATCAGCAAGGACCTAGAGAACTTCAACGAGTTGAGAGCATCGATGGAGAAGCTTGTCCCCGATACTGTTAAATATGAGGATTTCTGGATCCGATACTACTTCCTCAGACATAGCATTGAGACGGCTGAAGCAAGGAGACGAGATTTGCTCAAAGGTAGCCCCCCCCCCCCAATGTCACGAGTCACATTTTTAGATGCTAACTAAACCCAGGGGCAGCAGCTGAAGCAGAGGAAGAAGTTGGCTGGGATGAGGATTCAGATGATGAGGCCACCCCCAAAACTCCCAAAGTGAAGGGAGAACCAGCCAGAACAGCTTCCGCAGCATCATCAACAACACTTCACCCAGCAACCCAAACCCAAGCCCCTAGCGAAGGACTTCTCAAGCCGAAGGAGCCTCGGAAATCCAATGATGAGAAATCTCTGGGTGATAGCGATGGGAGTTATGATGTTGTTGGTGCCAGATCTGGTGTCCCAAGTCAAGCTCCTAGTAGTCCGAAGGAATCTCGGAAGGGCGATGATAGCGAGGATGAGGATTGGGAGTAGGCGTCTTGAACGCAGAATGATGGGTTTTGCTTGTGCACAGGCGTCTGGACGCGCGATACTGTCGGATTCCATACCTTCCAAGGCGTTTAGGTCAAGTGACTGTTGTTGATATCTCAAGTTCTTCACTCTCTCTACATTCTGTAGAGAATATATAATGCAATGCCAAAGTCTCCCGAGCGCCGTCCAACTTCAGAAATGTAATCGAGGATCCTGCATGATATGCCCCCTTTATCTCTTCTTTTTCGTGACCTTCGTAAACCCCTCCTCATCCACCTCTGGAACTACAGGCTCCCGGGTCCTAACCAGCGGAGGCGCCTCGTCCATATCAACATCCGCACCACCGGCTTCATCATCACTACCCTCCTCACTCGTCCCATCCTCATCCTCCCCATCTTCCTGCGCGTCGCCTTCGGCCTTCTTAAACAACCCGCCCAAATCCTCAGATCTCCCGCCTTTCTTATCCCACCTCTCCTTCAGCGTCTTAACCTCCGCAAACTCGCCCTTCTCGCAGTCCTTCTTGATCCGCAACATTTGTTCCGCAACCTCATACCCACTCTCGTCCTCCACATTAACCTCAAACTCATCCATCATAACCTGTAGCAGAAACTCCTCCACCCACTCGGCATCCGCATCGGGATTCTCGCTGAGGAGGTCGATCGTGGCTTGTGCAAACCATTCGCGTTTGTCGGCGCTATCAGGGCCGCCCCAGTTGTTGGTTACGGCGAGGCCGAGGGAGGGCCAGAAGAATAGAGCGAGGGTGGTGCCGAGCTCGAATTGTGCTTGTCGGGTATTGCTGGCGTTTGCCTGCATAGGTCCTGGCTGAGACGACGCCGACGCCATGGTGACTTGATCCTCGAACTCGGGATGCGCTAGTTCGTAGGGTTTGTGGTGGGATGTAGAATTTCGAGCATCATACCAAGGGTTACAGGTACATAAGTTAGCAAGAGCGGACTCAAAATTCAAATTCAAAAATATTGCGGGGTGCTGACAGGGGTTTCCCAGAGGGCGCTCGCTTCTTGATGACGTCGAAGACTTAAGGTAGAGCTCCAGTTGTGAGCTGTTCCTGGAATGGGAGAACCTCGCGGCGATCCAAACGACGTCTCCTACACGTACTTCTAATGTTTAAATGTTCCATTCCTAATGCACACCCAATGCGAATTATATCATATATCATGTATTCAATTGCATGACAGAGATATCCTTTCCTAACCTCGCTCGATCGCGAGACCTTTCTTTGTCCGCCTCCCAGGGCTAAAGCATACAATATCTGATCTGCAAATCCTCTCAGGAAGGCCAATAACATCATCATGGTGTTTAACACAGCGACAGTGAGCTCAGCTGTAACTCCTGTCGTAATCCATACATTTCTCAGTCATGTATGTACATCCAAAACCAAACCTCCCTTCTATTAGCCATTAACACGCGCCCTAGTACCTCAACCGCAAAGCACGCGCAGAAAAGCCCACAGCGCATATATCCTACGATGAAGGCCTCCAACTAATCCGCCAATTCCTCCTGTATGCCTCGCGCCATACCGTTGAAGATATCCAGCGTTTCACATCCCAATGGGTTCCCAACCCGCGATGGGTAAAAGTCAACGAGATCAAGATCTCCCAGGAGCACATCTCCAAGTCTGCCGATGCAATACAGATACAACTGGGCCACCACGGCATCTCGAGGGTTGGTGGTGAGACGTGGTGGCAATGGCGTAGGCCTGGCAGCGAATTGAAGGCCGAGTGGATTGAGATGAGAGCCGATTATCATCAACGGAAACGGTCGAAGGATTCTGGGAAGCGGGTTATGTTGTATATCCATGGTGGTGCGTATTACTTCGGCAGTGTCGATGAGCATCGGTATCAGATGCAGAGACATGCTAGGAAGCTGAAGGCGAGGGTTTTTGCACGGTAATTATTTTATCTTTCTGTCTCGTTGGTGACAGATTAACTAATTGTTCTGGCAGTGAGTGAGATATTACTATGGAGTTTGAATTTTCTTTTCTAATTGTTGTAGCGCGGTATCGACTTGCTCCCCAGTTCCCGTTCCCCTGCGGTCTCCATGATTGCTTGGCAGCATATTTATATCTTCTTACCATTCAGGATCCTTCGACTATTATCCTTGCCGGCGACTCTGCTGGCGGAGGGATGGTTTTAAGGTGAGAGATTGAAATCCTCTGCCTATCTTCAGCATTGGCTGATACATCGCAGCATGCTAGTAACTCTGCGCGATCAAGGGCTTCCATTGCCAGCTGGTGCTGTTCTCATATCGCCATGGGTGGATTTAACAAATTCCTTCCCAAGTGTAGCGTTGGATAATCCTATGGATTATATACCACCCTGGGGCTTCCACCATCGCCCTTCTCCCGCGTGGCCACCTCCAAATTCGGATGATATGTTGACCGCTGAGGAAGATATTGTGAAGAAACGGGCGCATATAGGTCACCAAAAGCATCCCGAGCAGAGTGAAGAAGATGCTGTTCGAGGGTTCCGCATATACCATAACGTTCAAGTCGAAAATCAAAATAACGAGGCCATACCAGAGACGGAAACGAGAAAGGATGGGAGGCCTCAACCTAATCCAGTACCTCGCAATGGCAACATGTCAATCATGATCGGTGGTAATCTGGTAGAAGTTAAGGACCAGATTCAAATGTATGCGACGAACCAGCTTATAACCCATCCCTTAGTCTCCCCGGTATTACAACCATCCCTGGGAGGTTTACCTCCACTCCTCATCATGGTTGGGGGTGGGGAGATGCTCAGAGACGAGCAAATCTACTTAGCTCACAAAGCAGCAAACCCGACGAAGTACCCTCCAAGCGACGCGTTCCTCGACGAGTATCCACACGATCATGCCAGAAGCCAAATTGACAGGTGGAAGCCTACTGATGTACAGTTACAGGTCTGGGACGATCTGTGTCATGTTGCACCTACGCTGAGCTTTACACGACCCGCTAAATATATGTATCGATCAATTGCGCAGTTTGGTGCATGGGCATTGGCAAAAGCACAGAAGGCCGGAATTGAGATTATGGACGATGATGATGTTTCAGTGATCTCCAGGTCCGAATCTGATGACGAGGACGTCAGGCCTGAGAAAGAAATGGTATGTTTGAGTGTAGAATGCCATTCAAGATCTGGCTAACAACTGGAAAGGGAACCGTCCCTGCAGAACCTCATCACGACTGCGGGCAAGTAGGCAAGGCCGGAGACCCTCTCCCCCGCTTCAAGAACCATATGATCCGGCAGTCCGTCGACCGCCATGGGAACACCTATCGTCTCCGACCGGAATCCAAACTTCCAGGATGCAACATGCCGGCAAATCAAATTGGAGTCATCAACGATGGCCTACTCAGAAAATGGATGGCACGGAAAGAAGAATGGGACACAAAGTACGCTTCCACAAAACGCAAAGTCCAGAAGCAGCGTGCCAGGGAAATAGCAAAAGGATACCAGGAATTTGGTAACGGCGAAGTCCCCCCTCCGTCTGCTTTGGCCGGCCGGAGACTGAAAGGAAAGGATCTAAAAGAAGGGAAGAATAAGCGTAGTATGGGCATGAGCCTTTGGGCACTATGGGGTAGCAAGCATGACGAGAAAACTATCGAGGCTGAGCAGGAAGCTGATAGAGCGCCCGAAACTACCTCTGTTTCGCCAGCTGGTGGCGCCGCTGCGAGGGGCTTGCATCCATCTCAGCCCGAGAAGGATATGGACAACAGGAGTAGATCAAGGAGACGGATTGTGACTGACGAGTATCAGACTAGCGACGGTGTTGACGAGAATACTTCTGCAGTTGACATGCTTGCCATCAAGGAGGGCAAAGGAAATACTCAGAACCAAGCGCCCAATTCCGCAGCTCAGCCATCCATTCTAGTTCGCGCCCCAACCAACCAAAACGAAGGCGATGACTTTGACCGCAAACGTCCCAAGGCTGGAGGCATCGCGTTTCCATTCAGCCTGTCGGGCCACAAGGCTACAGCTAGCATGACTACGCTAACTAGTGCGGTGGGTGTGAGCCCAGGGGAGGATATTGAGACTCCTGGCGCAAGGGAGGACGGGTTAGAAAGGGATTCGGAGAGAGAAGATGGGAAAGCGGTTGGGGATAGGAAAGCACTCGGTAAAGGGGTTCAGCGGCCGCCACTCGAAACGTTCGTTACTGCGTCAGAGGGCTTGCCTGTCGTTAATGGGTTGTAGTGCGGGCAGTTGTTTAGGTAAATATATCTATTATACGCAAGTAAAAAAGTATACCTACAAATTCCATATCCATATTCAAAATGGAGCCGGTAAGCTGCCAAAAATGAACTGATGCAGACCAACTTAGTTATTTTTTGCAACCACTCTTCTTATCAAATTAAACTTAACTACCTACCTAGGTACCTAGGTAGGTGTTTGCCTAGGATGTGTAATAAAACTTCGAGCGGCACATGCTTGCACATCCACGACAACCCCGATGATCTGGACGTTGTGAGGGCTCAGCGAATACTCCATTCCATTTCGGAAATCCACTGAGGGGGTGGGTTAGTGGAGCTGACCAATACCCCTATTCGGTTAGTTGAGTCGCTCTCCATGTGATGCTATCTGGGGAGTTGTTCACTCTGGGTATCTAGTATCTACGGTATCTACGGTATATATATATCAAAATAAGCATAAACCTTCTAACAACTAGAGACAGGCGACTAAGAAGCGTTGGTGCAGTGGTTAAAGCCACCGCTAACAAACCTAGGAAGCCCCTGGACGCTCCGCCAGAGACAACAAGAGGCTAGGGGGTAGTACAGCTCGAGTTTCTCGGTATCCAATGCTCCGTGAAGATATTTCTTTTGCTATTTATTTCTTTAATAGCTTCCTTTTATTTGCCGTCTCGCTGGTTCTACTCGAACAAGCGACGGCACGTCTGGCAGAGGTAGAGGCGGGCAGACAATGAATGACACCTTTACAGACCATAAATCCGTGTTTACTCCATACCCTATGCTATAAGAACCATTAAGGTCGATGGCGTGTGGCTTTTGACAAAGACTACACACACCATATGTAATGGTCGGACAGGGGTCTATTACCTGCTCATATTGAATGACAACAAATAAGTTACAGTGTTACACAAACAACAAACACTTTGGCGAAATTGTTGGTTTGCACGAAAAAGCTTTACCTCGAGACAAAACATGATGGAACGGTCTTGGGAGTTCGGAGCGTGGAGGCCTACTATATCACCTTCGCAAATGAACTGGAAAGCGCCGGAAGTAAAGGTATGCTTATTTCGTATTTCTGCCATATGACAACTAAGATTGACATTTTGCCAGGAGGTTCAGGAACTTCGTGATATACTCATCGACCAGGCAAAAGATGTTGTAGACAAGACCTACCTCCCATCAGTATGGGCGAGAAGAGGTAAAACCCTGTTAATTCTTGGCTATCCAGAATTATCAGCTGCAGACGCGTACAAGGCTATCAGGCTCTGTGATGCCGGCCTCTGCCATGATTCTACAACAGGCCTGAAAGTCCGGTTGATTGTTGGCATGTGGATTATGCTGCAAAGCTCAGAACTGGTATGTCTATAGGATTTTACATTCGCATGGAAGATTATTTACTAACATATTTTAGAGTTCATGGACTGCGTCAACGCCTGCTAGGGAGTGCCAAAGACGCGTTGCTGATCGGCTCAAGGACGATCGAAATGAAGCGTGAGTGCCTTGAAGTAGAAAGTCCCACGAATCTTTCTGACCCGATTATTAGATACAAGCTTTTACTCTCAGCCTTGCGTTATACACAGGACAATCGAGAAGCCGTGAATGTTTGCCACGAAGCTCAAATGCTATACCCACATGACCTCGCCTTCGCGGAAACCCTTGCGGCTATACAAAAGCGCATACGTTCGAGAGAAGGCGCGCTCAAGAAATCTGGAATGACAGCCGCAGACATTGAAGCTCAGATGCGGGTAGGGTGTATCAGGTTCAAACAGTACCCGTGGATGTCACCAAGCTTACTGAGGAGGAGCCCAGATCTTGTTTCTGCATGTAATGCAGCGTTGGAATCTTATTCGACTTGTATTGAGATGAAGGAATCCTCAATTGGAGAATCTGGCACGGCTGCTAATAACGATAATAGTACCAAGTGTTTTGGATATTTCGCGACTCGGGATATTCAAGCTGGAGAATTGGTATTAGCAGCACCAACCGCATTAGGAGTCTATAATCGGCAGACAACAGCTCGTTGCTACAACTGCTCTAAAAATCTGAACCCGTCATATGTTGCTGGCTTCCCTTGTTGTTCAGCTATACGATTCTGCAGTAGTGAGTGTCGAAGAATCGCGGAAGAGACTTATCATAAGATTCTCTGTGGAAAAGACTTCGGAGTGATATACAAAGACGCAGAGAGGGCGTGCGACACCGAGGATCCAGCAATCAACGTTCTCTTTTGGCTTCGATTGCTTGCCTGCTGCGTCCAAGAAGGTGGCCACCCCCTTGAGATGCCTCAGATGGCGAGATTGGTAGCGCAGTACGGGACAGACATCAATGTTGGTTGGTCACTACGTGCTAACGTTGTTGGCCCACTTCAAATCTTGGAATCATTCGGAGTCGACATCTTTGCCGATGCAAGATACGAGAGCTGGGTTCTTGAGACTATGTGGTAAGTCCCTTAAAGAATCTTTGCAATCGCCTCATCGTTTGACAAGTAATAGGCATCGCGTCAAGAACAACTACAACAGTATGGGCATAAATGGCGAACTGTTTGTTTATCTCAATGAGCATTACTCGGGTTTCAATCACAGCTGCCACTCCCCGCCCATGGTTGCTGCCAGGAGCATGATCTCAACCGCCGAGCTAGGAGCCATGCGATACATCCGAAAAGGAGAGGAGGTCCTCACTACGTATCTCGGGAGAGAAAAGCTTGCGGCCCCGAAGGAGGTAAGGCAGAGGCTGTTGATGCCATGGCTGGGTCGAAAATGTGTCTGTAGTAGATGCAAGTCAGTTGGGGATTAGAGAAAGCTGAAGCCAAGGATGTTGGTCCTCTGATATCACAATCTATCTCTTTCTAGCAGCTAGCTGCGGTATCAATAGGCTAATGGTAGGATTAGATAGAAATTAAAAACAGGTTAAACAGTATTCTGGTCTTGAATATTTTCTGTGAGTATAATAGAAATATCGTAATAACCATTTACAAGCAATCGAGTCTCTGGCAGAAAGATTAGCTGTGAACTATCACACAATAACTGTCTTGAGGTGAACTACAATGCCACCACTTGGGATTAGACATACTGGCAGCAGGTGTAGATGAGGCGTAGATGAAGATGGTATAAGTTGAGTAGAAGGAGAAAAGACTCATAGTATCCGTTTCATTCCCATTACAAGTTCAGAGTGATCCTGTGATCCTTCTTGAATAAACCCCTGGAATTTCGCAAGTGAAGAACGTAAGTTGAGCATTAGAAACTTGTTTAGGAACAGGAAGAAAACATTAGGGTATAAATTCATCTAATAGAGCCATTTCCACAAGTTCTAGTTTGGTGTGATGCAGATATGTGTATGTTTCTGATATTACTGTTTGCTCTGATTCCAAAATAACGCCGAATTCGCTGTGCACCAGCTCCCTTCCATCTTCTCATCTATGCATGCCAGGCCCTGCCTTAAACCAAACTCATCTGTACAGGTCCTATCCCATGTCGTTGCCCCATATATAGCACATGCCATGCCCGTACTCCAAATCCCAAACTTCCTATCTATCGACTTCTTCATACATAGTACATCATCAATACGTCTCCGGCAACCCATCAAAACTAGGCGCACTACCTTCGCACTTAAACTTCGGCTCATACGCCTTCGCAGGTAAGATACCGGCCTTCAATCCCGCTTGATAGCTCCATTGCGCCGCGCTCTCGGTCTTCCATGTCCAATAAAACCAACCCCAACCCTTTTCAAAACTATGCATCTGCGCCTCTGCGAACATCTGCAGGAACTCTTTATATGCGGATGAATAGGTAGAGGGGTCAGCGTTCGCGCTGCTACAGCTGCAAGAGGCGGATTTGGCGGGACAGCCCGGGGAGAGGACTTGTGTTTGCGGATCACCAGATAGGAATTTCCCTTCCCAGCGTGAGCCGAGGCCGACGTTGTTTAGGTTGGGCGCGCAGTCCGTGTCTGCTTGGGACCATTCTGCGAATAGGGTTGGGCCGAACCCTGTTGCTGTATTGGAGCTTAGGGAAGCTTGGTCGCTCCAGCCACGACAGGCGTAGTCTATTTTTGCGGAATGGTTGAATGAAATCTGATCTCGATTGAAGATGACGTATTGATGTGCATCGAGAACTAGGCCACTGAGGCCAGTTAGTTTGCCTTTCCAGTTCAAGAGGCCGCCAAAACCGTCACCAAAGACGACGTTGGCGTTTATGCCGTTCTTGCGGACGAGTGTATAGGCGCTGGATGTCCAGGCTATGACATCTGACGGCTGGAGGACAGTCATTTTTGGCTCATTAGCTAGGCCGTAGAAGGAAATGATGTTCTTGTAACGGTCTTGAGCGAAGAATTTCGAGAGTTGATCGTGGAGATCGAGGGATCTTTGGCCGTTTAAGGCTCCATCGGTTCCATTCAACCATCCAATTGACCCTTGACGTCCGCTGTGGTTCCATCCGTTTTGGCTGCCTGGCAATCCGTGAACGTCAAGGTTGATTCGGAGACCATGTTTCCGCGCCCATTCGATTGCTCTCAAGAGATATCGCCACGAGGTTCGGAAGACATATGGGTCGCCATCATATGTCTTGACCGCCCAGTACGAGAAGGGTATTCGGACGTGGTCTAGCCCGGCATTTGCGATATCTATGAATGTTTGCTCGCTTACAAACGTTGCGTAATGCTGTTCTAGTGTTGGTTTTGCTTGGTTTCCTAAATAAGTCGTCAAGGTCCACTCATCAATGACACCGTTCTTGTTAAACAGTGACGGCGTTATGAACGGCTCTAATGAGAGCCAGCCTCCAAGGTTCACTCCTCGTGCTGGCGTCTCCGAATAGGAGCCCCACGGCTTCCCAATTGGCGGCACATTGCCGTTCGCACTTTTTGAATCATCCCATTCCGAGTTTAGTCCCATGATGGGAAGCCCGCCCACTGTCTCATTTGTGTATGTCACATTAAAATCCGTCGTGTCATACCAGGAAAATGGATCGAGGTCGGTTCCTTTTGCCGCAACGGGGATGTCTGATTGAGATATCCCATCCAGATTTGAATTCGACGGTTTTCCGGAATCGTTGGTGGAGGCATTCGAGCTTGAGTCCGACTTCGAGCCTTTCTTCTTGCTGACAACAACGGCAACAGCTACTATAATAATGATAAGCACCAGGAGAACACCGCCAATAATTACTTTCACAAAAGTTAGTTCAACACCCAAGTGTAGTTCAAACGGCAACCCACATAAGCGCTGCTTCTTCTTCTTTTTGCCACTACTATGTTCATCATTATTCTTATGGCCGCCTCTCAACCCTTTCAGCCTCGGACCTTCGCCTTCTTCCAGCAGGGCACCGCTCACCACTCGCCGCTTCTTCCGTTTATGCTGCCGTCTACTTCTCTCTACCACTATCTTTTCGTCCACTACTTCGCGATGCCTTTTCCGCCGCGGCTTTTTGGGGGTGGTCTCCTCTGCTCTTGCTCGCGCTCTCTCGTGCTGATTCAACAGGTTGAGCCTGGCCAGCGAGTCCGCGGACAATGCTTGGGAGCTTGATTGGGAAGTTGTTGACTCGTGTGCGGGTTTCTTTGGGCTTTGGGGCTGCGATCTTCGCCTTTCATGGTGAGGATGGCTTCTTTCTCGCGTTTTTCGACGCGGTGACTCTCCAGGCGCCATCTCTTTCGTAGTCGTCCTCGTAATGCACCGTTCGTTCGTTCTGTTTGGACCGCCGTCTCGCGCGCTTCGACTGCCTTTGATGACCTATTTACAGTGGCAAAATATACTTCGATAAAAACCGCAAAACATGCTAATATTGTACAAAACGGAGATTGCCTTGGTATGGGTCGACTTGTCCTCGGTGTCATTTCCTTGGTCCCACGCAAACGCTTCACCCTTTGATTGCTTGGTTGCTGGGTTGGTTGGCCGGGCAACTATCGATTGAGAGCAAAGCCCGACCGCGACGATAAGGAGAACATGTCTCGGTTACCACCGGCTTTGAACTCCTCCCCTCTTTCCCGCCCTCAGCTTCGACAAGTTAGTGACTTACTGAGACATTCCTCTGAACATGAATTGTTCTTGTTTGCTATGTTCTCTTGCAAGTCAAGTCCTGCAACTACAGGATGCGGATAACACATAGGGCCTTCTCGCCCTCAAAAGCAATTGCTTCTTTGACAAATCGCATTGCCCATAATGTTGGCATACAGACATCACAAACATCCCGCCTTTATTCCACCCATCCTCCAAACGCCCGCCTGAACGTGCCAGTTGACTATTCCACCACTCCGCTCCTCGCCCACCGGGTTCAATCTGCTCTCGATAATCCTGAACTTCCGCCTGAAGTTCGCAATGGCACTACACAGCAGATGAACTTGTTCCAGTCGATCAACGACGCTCTGTCTTTGGCTCTAGCCGCTGACGACAATGTGCTCCTTTTCGGCGAAGATGTTGCATTCGGCGGTGTATTCCGGTGTAGTATGGGGCTTGCCGAGAAATATGGAGCGGATAGAGTCTTCAATACGCCGTTGACAGAACAGGGGATTGTTGGGTTCGCAATTGGGGCTGCTGCCGAAGGTGCAAAAGCAGTGGCAGAAATACAGTTCGCTGATTACGTTTACCCAGCATTCGATCAGTTGGTGAACGAAGCCGCGAAGTTTCGGTATAAGGATGGGGGTAACGGACGGCATGTGGGAGGATTAACAGTCAGGATGCCATGTGGTGGTGTTGGCCATGGAGCACTGTATGTATTCACAGTGATGAGAGGTTAGGATTTATGTTAACATCCTATAGATACCATTCCCAGTCGCCCGAGAGCTTATTCACGCACATCCCCGGTCTACGAGTCATAATGCCTCGATCACCCATACAAGCAAAAGGCTTGCTACTATCGGCCATCGCAAGTAACGATCCTTGTGTTTTCATGGAGCCCAAGGCGTTATACCGAGCTGCGGTCGAACAGGTTCCCACTGGATCGTATACTCTACCGCTTTCGAAAGCAGAGGTTTTGAAGGAAGGCTCGGATCTTACCATTATATCATACGGCCACCCTCTATATACGTGTTATTCTGCGATCGAGAAAGCAGAAAAAGATTTTGGCATCAATATAGAACTGATTGATCTCCGCACTGTTTACCCATGGGACAAGGAGTGCGTATTGCAGAGCGTCCGAAAGACCGGGAGATGTCTAGTCGTGCACGAGAGCATGGTTAATGCCGGGATTGGAGCCGAGGTTGCTGCCAGTATACAGGAGGACAAGGATACGTTCTTGAGACTTGAGGCGCCTGTGATGAGAGTTGCGGGATGGAGTACCCATATGCCTCTCATGTTTGAGAGGTTCAATATCCCGGATATTGCTAGTATGTTATGTCGTGAATCCATTATGGCATCGGTTACTAATTCTTTTGCAGGGGTGTACGATACCATTAAACGGGCCGTGGAGTATTGATACAATGTGGGGGCAGTCCGGTGGAGTTTTTGAATATTATCTATAGAATGACTTGGGGAACTTGGCCAAATTTCGTGGCAACACTCAACCTTGTGCTACCACTATGGCTCAGTCGTAATGAGGATACGAAGAGAAGGCATAGAATGAGACTTATTCGGTTGCCCATGTCATATAAGATCTAGAGATCTCCATAGACCCATAAAGATGCTTTAGTCACACGCTGTAGAGCCATGAATTCCGCTGCCTGGTTTATAATCTCAAATCATACATACTTCGTATTTGGCGCTGTACTGCGTCAATCCCTCTCCTATTCTCCTCTTGGCTCCCAAACTATAAGAATGTCAAGGCCGATATATACATACGAAGAACTTCCCCTGCTCGTCCCAAGAATCAATGCGTACTCAATAAACCCTGCCAAAGCTGGAGATATTAACTCCCTTATTAAACGGCATATTTCTTGGATCTTTTATTAAGAATCTTAGCGGCCATTCAGCCGTACTCTTCATCCCTGATGGAATCGTGGCAAAAGCCCCCTTCAAAGTTGGCGATTCACGCTTCGATCATGAGCATAATAGCTTCGGCATACTTGATTCATCACCACCTTTATATAGGTACTGTTCGAACATTTCTCTACCACCCAGAAATCATATTCATACAATTAATCGGCAATAGAATGCTCGGAGATCGTACTGATGGAGAGAACGGCAACCGCCCAGCCCTTCCATGGATGCATCAACTTTCAAGCCCAGTTGGATATCTAGAATCCTTTGGCCATGCACACGGCGATATTAAGCCTGCAAATATTCTTGTAAGTAACCAAGACCAGCTCAAGCTTTTATAGTCTGTTTCTGAAGATGGTTCCAATCAGGCTATTGAAAATACTAGTGCCGCTTCTTTAGGCTCTGAAAACGGATCGGCACAGCTTAGTCTGAGTGAGGAAGGGCTTCATGGAACTGAAAAGACCCCTATATCTACGATTAGTTTAGATCCCCTGATAAGTGTAAGAAACTCCTGGAATTGGCATAAACTGATGAATCCCATGCTCGCGCAATCTTCCACAATACAATGTGAGCCCATAATATAATATACGATAGGATGACAAATGCATTTAGTAGAGCGATAAGTTATCTGCGAAAGGAGAAACAAGCAATTGAATAGCAGTTGGGACGGCGTAGTGTAAAAGGGGAGAACATCGCCGTACCTGATCCTATTTTTGTGCCCCTTTCTGGGGAAAGCCACAAGCGAAGCGCGCACCAGCCACAATTGAGGGGTCCAGCCGTTCATGGGTTGAATCTGTCGTCTCACATCTAACATCGTAATCCATATAGCTCCAGCGAGCGTTTTGTTATAGTTACCAAGGCTCCTGGAACCCTTGTTTGATCTGCCATGGCTTCGCAGCTGGCTACAGTCTCCGCATTTGTGGAAGGAGCTCCGCCAGGAGAGGTGAGTTGTGACCCCCTTCATCAACGTACCTATCACTAACCTCCTTCAAGCTTGCAGATGTCATAGCTGGTACGATATCTCCTATATGGTCACCTACTCGATACTGATGCTCTATGCTAGACATCAAAGCTCTTACAATCGAAAGCCCCAACCTCGTTTCGCAACTTGGGCCCGCGTTCGAGAAATACAACGAGGAGCAGTTTGCGACAGTGAAGCTGCCTGGAAGCAGCCAACATGTGCGTTACAAGGATTGGGCATTAGGAGAAGTAGGCTAATGATATGTTGAAGGTCATAGTCAGCTCGCACAACTCTCTGGGAGACGGAAGCTATTATGATGTGGAAAGCTCGTCGAGTTTTGTTTTTGATCACCGTACACAGGTAGCCTGGCCCAGGGTTCGAGATACCAGTATATCAGCCGCTGATGAAAGCAGAAAGCAAGCGCAGTCCAGAGCTATGTTCTAGAGAGCAGCCATATAGACCTAGTGTATGTCCGTCGGAGGAGCGAGCGTATCTAGAGCTAACAAGTCGTAACAGGAAGTCCCTTTTGAAGAGCGTTGGAGCCCACGTCAAAGAATATTATCCTAGTGCATCATGTGGAATTTATCCTATTGAGGATGATTCAAAGATTGCCATACTTGTAGTGGCCAACAAGTACAGCCCAAATAACTTCTGGTGAGCTTGCCAATACTCGGGTCTAGAACCCCAGCGCTAATGGCACTAGGAATGGTCGCTGGCGTTCACTCTACATCTTCGACCCGTCCTCATCTTCTCTCAAAGGAAGTATAAAAGTCGATGTTCATTACTACGAAGATGGCAATGTCCGGCTCTTAACTACGAAGCCAGTTTCGCTATCGGTATCGTCAGCGTCTGCCAGCGCAATCGTTCGGGGAATTGCTACTGCGGAAAAGAAGTATCAGGAAGAGCTTAACAAAGGGTTCAATAACCTAAGTGAAGGGGCGTTTAAGGGTTTGAGGAGACAACTGCCGATCACGAGACAAAAGATCGAGTGGGACAAGATTGCGGGGTACCGGCTTGGTCAGGACATAGGCGGTGGGAGCTCCAAACGATAGGCGTTGCATCTCTACTTTCAATCAATAAATACACAGACGGATTACGGACAAGTACTTCGTGCTTAAAGCAGGTTGGGCTTCGGAATGTCTTGCTTGCTGTGTTCCAGTCCGAAAGACCCAGCTATTGATATATCGGATTTTGAGATTCCGAGTTACCTGATCTACGTGATTTATGGTGCCGCAGATACCATAGATCTAAGTACACATTCTGTACTCCATAGCACGCGCTTGGTCACAGGAAAGTTAGGTTGGTTGGGGTAGTCCCAAGGCCCCACAATGGCTCTAAATCAAAGCTGGGGCCGGTATATGATTTCGGGAGGTGAGCGCTCATCTAGACCGGAGACCCCATTACTTTATGCATGCTTGCCATGATACCTAATGATTGAAATGTAATGCTGTATTGCCGTATTTTGGAGGCTGCTAGGAACTGTTAATATAAAAGCAAGCTGTCTTCTATGCACGATAGGGGAAGGTACGTATTCGTATTCGTTTTCACCGATATCAGACGAGTACAGTATCAGTAGAGTACTTGTAGTACGTACTGTAGGCTACCTTAGGTACCACATACCACAAACACATTCGGCGACAATGCCTATCTGGTACGGGACATTCATTACCCGGGCACCCAGGTCTGGTTCAATTCTGCCAATCCAGCCAATCGCGGCGTGGCTGATTGCTGACCGAAAAACTCCGTCAAGCGAGAAAAGAGACCGTTTACCGAAGGGTCTCCGTAGTCTCACGTAGTCGGGAGATTATCTCTCCTTTTGATATCTCGAAGTCTGCAGAACTGCCACATCGACCAGATACAACCGGTGAAACTTCAATCCCTCTCCACGAGCCTCGATCTTTGCAATCCCATCAATATCCGCAGACATATCCAACCTGAGCCTAAGGATCACCTTCCGCTCTCAGTCGCGACTCGGTATTCTAGGATATAAGGAGTTAGAAGCCAAAAGTTACCGTCAAGATGTCGAAGGAGTTCACCTACGCTGATGTTGCGAGCCACGCCTCGAAGAAGGATCTCTATGTTGTGATCCACGACAAGGTGTACGATTCTACCGCCTTCGTTGATGAGCACCCGTAAGTCTCAATTTCCCTTCGGCGTGTTCCGAATGCGCAGATAGGAATGGAGATATGGCCTTTTCTCAATCCCGAGGAGAAGAACTTTGGGAACCCTGGGGGCAACACTCTCCTTCGAGGGGCTCGATCAGATAGGAGAGCTCAATTGTTGCCTTCCGGTCTCGGGGGTTGTGGACGGTACTTTATTGCCGTATTGCAATGCAGAGATGTCACAACTTGTTGCTTTTTCTCTACCTTTATCTTTGCATACATGCATTTTCAAATCATATAATGCCACGTCGCTAACTTGTACGTAGAGGTGGAGAGGAGGTCCTACTCGATGTCGGCGGACAAGACGCAACAGAAGCCTTTGAGGATGTCGGACACAGTGACGAGGCACGGGAAATCTTGGCTGATTTACTCGTCGGAACATTGAAGCGCCAGGTATGGGGATTCCTTGCGAATAGGTCCGGCTGGTTCTATCATACGATGCTAATTTCTGTATCTTCTAGGCGGGCGACCCAAAACCCAAGATCGCACCCGTTGCCAGCACAACATCATCATCGTCTAGTTCAACTGGTCTCGGAGTCGGTCTTTATGCTGTCGTTCTTATTGGTGGCGCTGCTGCATATTTCGCCTACCAATATATGCAATCCCAAGAGGCACAGGCATAGATAAGGAGTATTAGATAGGATGTTGGGACGTGGAGGAGTTTTCATGGGAAGGATTTTATGAAACAACAGGCACATTTGTTGCACTTTCTCTATATCCTACTTGTCATGCTAATAGAGATTCATTTGGAAAGACTTCCAAAAATGCTTCCACTTCAAAGTTTCAGGCGCTAACTTTCCATGCATATTTGCTTCAGAGTTTTGGATTGCTTCAGGGGCTTTATTGGCCGTGGTTTGTAGCTGATATTCTCAACACGTAACCCAGTTGTCCTCCAATTTAATAGAGTTTATCAGATACGCCGTTATATTTGTCCGTTGATCGGACTTAGCCGTTAGATCTAACGGAATTTTATCCCAGCAAGTTGCGGCTATTTCATGAACAGTGGTTATAAAATTCTCCTGAATCCCCAGTTGGCTGCGTGAAACCCATATTTATTTTGGATATGTCGAAAACTACCCTATCATATCATAATTTTGCATCAGCTACCTTCCAAACGCCGGGCTCCTGCCATGTAGATTAACGCCAACCACATTCTAGCCTTAAAGCACACACGTCTCCCACGCGCTCATGCATAAAGGCCTCCATCGTCATCCTCTTCATCATCATCTTGGGCTTTGGGCACTTCTTTCTTCTTCATCAAATCCTTCCTATCCAACGGGCAAGTTCCTTGCAATCTCAACCAAGGGCCCACACACTCTAAATCAAACCGATGGCTATCGTGGCACGGTAGGACCACGACGAGTGGGAACTCATCATCTAGAAACGGCTCTGCGCAAATCGGACACGTATCTGTCTTCTTTAACTGTTTCTTAGATACCCTCTCTAGGCTATCAAGATAGCTCTGTGGCACCCCGGGCACCTTTTCAGGCGGGGAGTCAATATCATCTTCGATGTGCGAGATTAAATCGCGGAGGAGGTCGGCGTTGTTTGCGTTTGAGGTCGTAGAGAGGAGAGTGCTAAGTTGGTCTCGGAGGAGGCGCTCTGCTGCGGACACTTCGACGGGCGTGGGGAGGGCATGCGGGTTGGAGGTTTCGATTTGGGAGAGCTGAGAGAAGAACGAGGACATCGAGGGACGCCGGGTAGGGCGTTTGGTGGTTGGCTTTATATTGTGCTCAACTATTAAATAGAGTTACAGAGCTTGCGCGGGGTACGGGAAATCTTGGGGATGTACTGTACCTTCGTAAGGGCTCGCCATGTTGAGGGATTGTTTCTTCAAAGCTTGTAGGGTGAAATAGAATTAAGACTATGCAATTGAATAATCAGACGGAGGGTAGTTAATTGCTTTGTTGAGTGATTTAGCTCAAGAACTATCACAAGGCAGAAGAAACACGCGTTGACGCTGTTGGATGCTGTAGAGCTCGCTTAGGGTGGGTTGAGGCCAAGGCTGAGAGACGAGGCTGTTGTGCCTATTGCCAAATTCATACTTCTTTTTCTAATTTATCTTCAAGCACATAAAGTAGTTTCAAGAAACGGCAAAGTAGGAATTTAATTGCTTTTTCTCGTAGCATGCGGTTCTTATTGCTCACGCTTTTACGGTCAAAGGCAGTTCTAGTGTTCTGCCTCAGCCGATTATCCGCTTCCATCTTAGCTTGAGGAGGTTGGCCGCCAGGTGAAGGAAATAATGCTAATAGAACAGAAATGTATTCCCCCTTCCCGCCGCACCTGCCTCACCTAATTATCCTGCTCACCTGAGCCGGGTGAGCACCGCGGCCAGCGCCGCTCTAAGCACTCGGCAGTGCCGCCTTGGGCAGACCTCGTGTATAATCCATCGCTACGTTCCTCTCCTCGTGTCGACTACTGCTACAATTGCTTTCCCTTACACTATTTTGTGAACGAACAGACCCTAACTTATACTTCAGCTTGTGTAGGGAAAAAGCACAGACGTCGGAGCAAAACTAGGCCGACTTTTCCTTCACAACGCCGAACTTTAGTTGCACTCAAGCTGAGCTACAACCCCGCGTTTGTCGACAAATCATGCTCCCTCTGAGCCAAGCTGGTATGCAAGCCCAAGCAGATCAGTCTACGGAGTAGCTGGTGAGATGCTATCCCCTAAGATTGCTCTATGGTGGTGATCATGATGCCCCCGCTGTGTCTTTCCCTATGTTGGATCGCCATCATATCCTGATCACCCGATATGGGGATGCCTTGTCAGGGCAGAGTTTCAGACGGAGGAGGGTGGATGTTCCTTCAGTGTGACCTAGCTGAGGCTCTGTACATATTTCTTATACATCTTGGTTGCCTCCTGCATAAATAGCAACGAATTGCAGGTCGCCCAAATGCTTCTAGCCCAAACGAGTCGAATAGCTATCCAATGGATTCAACACAGGCAGCCTTCTCACTTCACAAGACTGGTTTTCGTAGAAAGTGATGGAAATCGGAGGACTGGGCTGTGACTTGGGAGATAAATCCCCATTATTATCATTCTTCCATTATTCCAATTCAATCTGATCAGACTGCTACCATGGAGCCTCTCTCGATTATTGGTGGTATAGTAGCAATAGCGGAAGCTGCAGGAGCAGTAGCTAAATGCGCTGATGGTTTATACCGGATATCATACAAGGCTGGAGTCCTTGCCGAAGACGTCGAGTTATTTGCTTCTCACGTCCATGTGTTTGGATCCACTATCTTCAATGCACATCGCACCATCAGAGATCATTACCTGAACGACATGACGTCAACAACGATACAAAAACTTCATAAATCCTTTGCCTTAGACTTATTGACCTTCCAATGCGATTGCGTGACGAAGCGTGTCAGCAGTCTCCAAGAGCGAGTGAACGATCACAATGGACCCCTAGGTCTTTGGATGCGAGTTCTATGGCTCTTGGACAAGGAAAAACGGAACGACATATATCTCTCGATGGAGAGAATCAAGCTGTCTTTTCTACTGATTATGAGTCAAGTTATGTATGAGATTTTAGAACAACGTGCCTTAAGCCCATCTCCTCTGGAGCGACAGCTTTGTGATTTCAGAAGGGAAATGTAAGTTTTAAAATCATCGGTGGGATATTATTGACAAGACATTTTAGGAAGGAATGCAGGAAGCAAATCCGGTCGCATATGAAAATCATGCATGTATGCAAAATTCGACAGGAGAGACTTAATTACCACGACTCACTGCGCTACGACGAAGGCCATGATGCCGCAATTGACAATATCGAGAATGTGCTTCTCGACATTGGGAGCGTCATGGTAGATAGAGCATCAAAAAGAGCATCGCGAAGAACGGATATTATTTCCACCACCACTGGCAGGCGCTCAAGCGACAAAGTTGTAGATCATGGAGGAGGGAGCAACTTCAGCCCTGCAAGCGGAACAAGCCACCTCACAACGCGTCAGTCTCCACTACAGGAGCCAAGTGGTGAATCTCTTCGCCTTACGTCAAACCAGCCTATTGCTATCCATCCTCGAGATGCGCAGCGGCATGGCCATTCACCGCCCACTGCGGAGTCGTCGTCTTCAAGCCTAGGATCTTCGAGCATCAGGATCCAAGACGACCCCCAGCCCGATAGAGCGCTACATTTGGATGAAGGTGATTACATCGCGGTCCAAGCTTCTAGCCGCCTCCTCTACTTAGATCCAGATCTCGATTATCCAGTAACCCAGGGCTACATTAACTCCAACATTGAACCGACAAATGCGAATCTAAATCCAGAGTTCCCTCAAAACGTCATCTCTGAGCGCTATGCGACAGAACTTGGGCTAGCGATAGAATATTCTCAAAGGGACAATGAGGATCGTACAGATGCTGAAGCGGGAGACAAGGATATAGAAATGGAGATTGACTTCGGTAATGGTGAGGTGCATTCGGTTATAGGCAGGACATCATTTTTATGGAAGAACAGTCAGCAAGTAAGCCACTTGAGACCACTCAGAGTTACTTTGTCTAGTGAGCGAATCCATGTCGTTCCAGACCCCGTTGGTTTTTGGGGAGCCGTTCCTTAGAAGGAGGATGCATTATTGGCAAAGATAATCTTTGCACCACCTGGGTCTACTCGGTTCTAGCTCGGACTGTGCTCTGTTGTTGCAGAATAGGCTGTAGCTTTAGGATTGACTCGACTGACTTATCGAGCGAGAGCGACGGGCGGATGAACAAAATGAAATGGGTAGTCTTAGAACAGACCAACAAGTACAAAACTGCGAGTTGGCATTTAGGATGTAGCAGGTGTTCTGCACAATCCACGTAGGAAAAAGACATAAGATTCAAGCTGTAGAAAGTAGTGGATTTATTGAGAGTCCATGCTCACCGATGGAAGGATCTATAGCGTTCTCACTAGTAGATAAGAGCAAGATAGGTAGGCAACGGGCCCGCCCGGGTCTTAATAAGTGCACATATCCTATGCCGTCCCGAACTGATTCTCATTTCCTATTCTCGATTTGGTTGTGTAGAGACAAGAGGTCGCAGAGGACTTCTTATTAGCAAGGGTGCCGGCTCACCTAGGCGTCGCCCTAGTGTCCTTGAAAGCAGCACGATTAGAAGCTGTGGAAGTACCCCTCAACTCGTTTAAAAGCAGCGCGTCGAGGTGAGTGGCTAGGAGAGCCGTCCCACATTTGTGCTCAATTAATGCGCCATTCCAATCGCTTCCAGTTCAAAGGATGTCATCGAAAGCTTCTAGGGAGACATCCTAATTCTCACTATAGCATCTTCAAATTTCATACTTCGATGTTACAGTCCCTATCGCAGTTGAGGAAGACGACCAACAGTTTGGGGCGGTCAAGAGTCTCCAAAAGTGGGAGGGTCTAGGCTAAGAATTCCTTCGCCGTCTTACAAGCCTCTGAGACGGAACTTTGATGCCGTTCGATTGCAGCAATTATCCCTCTTTTTGGAATTAATAATTTGTTATCTTCCGTTTCCCGTGCTACCCCCGGGGCCACGTAGTATGTGTTCTGATGGCGTCTTTGGAGGCGCCGACATCATCGGTGTTGGAATCCAATCAAGGGACATGCAATCCGATCCGTCATAACCGTGATGGCCATGCTAGGCCACGATTCTCTTACTCGTCCCAACGCGCTCTAGATTTGCCTCCCCAGTCTTATTATATATTTTCTTGCTCAAGACGAAAATATGTATTTTAGCTGCTCCGTACTGGAATATCAATTGTCATATACTCAAATTACATAATTGTCTCCATTCATTGATATGGACTCGTTCAGTATACCGACAACATGCCCGGCACCGAAATAAACCTAGTTGAAACCAATATCCTACCTAAGCCCAAACTAATAGTCGTCTTTTTCGGCCTTGCCTTCGCTCTTCTAATCTCGTTTATTGACCAAAACTCGATTGGCATAGCTCTACCGACCATTGGTGAAGACCTCAATTCAGCTACGACGATTTCCTGGGCGGGAACATCGAGTCTAATTGCCAACACCGTGTTCCAAGTCCTATATGGCCGTTTATCGGATATTCTTGGGAGGAAAGTTGTTTTCCTTTCGGCTGTAGGCTTATTAGCTCTTGGGGACTTGCTATGTGGATTTGCGAAAACGGGACCACAATTGTATGCCTTTCGAGGCATATCCGGAGTTGGAAGTGGAGGCATAACGGCATTGGCTATGATGATCGTTTCAGATGTTGTCACTCTTGAGAATCGTGGGAAGTATGTGTTGTTTCTTCCCGTTAAAGGATCATGTCTGACGACCCCTTTAGATATCAAGGCATATTAGGCTCCTGTGTCGGTCTGGGCAACGCAGTCGGGCCCTTTTTGGCTGCTGCATTCGTGCAGAAATCAACATGGCGCGGGCTCTTTTGGTGCATCTGTCCCTTAGGTGTTTTGTCTGGAGTCATGGTTGCTTTCACTCTTCCTCCAAGTAAGGTCAACGGCGACTTGAGGAGTAAAGTCAAATCAATCGATTATTGCGGTACTGGATTCAGCTCTGCCGCGATCCTACTCCTTCTCATTCCCATTTCCGGCGGAGGGACATATTTCGAATGGTCCAGCCCGATGGTAATCTCCATGATCACATTGGGAGTCATCTCAATGATAGCTTTTGTCATTGTGGAGTGGAAAGTTGCCACTATTCCCATGATGCCGCTACATCTCTTCAAAATACCGGCCGTTTGCGCAATAGTGGTCCAAAATTTTCTCTTCGGAATTGTCTACTATTCCCACCTCTATTACCTCCCAATCTACTATCAAAATGCCCGTCAATTCTCGCCACTTCTCTCGGCCGCCCTTACCCTACCTTTCGTCGCTGGCCAATCTATATTCTCTGTTTTGTCAGGCCAGTATATCTCTCGCAGGAAACGCTACGGCGAGGTAATCTGGATTGGGTACGCATTGTGGACTCTTGGTTCGGGCCTAATTCTGCAATTCGACCGCTCAACACCCCGCTGGAAAATCATCCTCATCCTCATAGTGGAGGGTGCGGGAGTTGGCAATGTCTTTCAGCCTTCTCTCATAGCGTCTCAAGCGCACTCCTCGAAGCAGGACCGCGCCGTTGTCATCAGTGTGCGGAACTTTTTGCGCGCTTTCGGTGGTGCATTAGGCCTCGCGCTATCGTCGGCCGTCTATTCTAACGTTCTGAAGAAATCCATTCACGAGGTGTCCACTCCTATCCCATCTGGATATATGAGTCAAGTACTGGCATCTATCTTGCACGTCCCGGATATGTCATCCTTATCGGGTACGCAGAAGGGCGAGGTCTTAGACGCATATATGAAGGCCTCGAGAGGGGTATTTATTGTTTGGTTACCTATTATGGCTGTTTGTTTAGGAATGTGTGTTTTTATTAAGGATAGGGGACTTATGAGGCCCGAGGAGAAAGCCCAGATGCTCGAGGAGGCTCGGAGTAGTAATGAAGGTGCCGGTCCGAGTGAAATTGAGGAACCAGGTGTGAGCCCGGAGAATTATGCGGAGGCGAAGATGCAGAAGAACCCTCATGATGTTGAGAAAGTGTTGGCGAAACAATAGTAGAATTTATATAGAAGTGGGAATCTCTAGGTATATTGGAACTATACATATAAACAGTAGAACTTCGATAGCTACTATGCATTTGAATATGTTTGATAAGTTTAGCATAGTCAGACTGCTACATCATTCGAACACAACCAAGAGTAATTAAAGTAGGAAAATACCATGAGCATCATGGCTCTGCGGCTAGAAAACTAAAACGCCCAAGCTTAAACAACGCATTCAACTATCACTTGACGTATGACAACAATGCAACGCGGTAGCACCCTTAAATTTGGCCAGTTCCGGTTTATTGGCCTTTAATTCTCCTATATAGCTACCTTCCCGCAGAGTGACATGGCGTTAGAGATGACGAAGTAAAATTTAACTAGAAAAAGCAACATTGTTAGGCTCTCAACGTGTAGCGCTTGTGGTAATTGCCAAATATATTGAAGTGGGTAGTATAGCTAGAGGCAGCTCTAAAATTAAATGTCTACTTTTCCTCAAATTCGTTGAAAAAATGAACTAATAAAGGCAGAGGGCAGATTTAACCGAAGAGAAAGCAAGTAGTTAGTGGTAAAATACTGTTATGCACCAAATACAACTTAGAGTATATATAACATTACGCAATATATTTACTTACACGAGTTTCGTTTAGAGGTCGAGGAACCCATGCCGTTCGAATTGAGGCGAACCAAGGCCCTGCCGGAAGGCATTAGATAGGGGATTCAGGGGCTTGGGGGATTAGTACTTTACGAGTGGAACATTCGAATTTTGATGCTATTATTTTCGACCCCAACAACTGATTGCAAAACAACTGCATACGAGTACCAAGGCAATTGTAAATAAAAGCTCTATCACTTCAAAATTTTTATTTTGTGCTATGTTAAAGTTACCAGTAGCTAACAAAGTAGTAAATATACTCCGTATGCCCTTGCCAAGTGGTAAAGGGTTGGCCGCAACAATAATAAATATTTTATTTAAACCTCCAACGTTGGTTCTAGTTCAAAAACGTCAAAGCCATATCCTAATAATACGACATAAATGTCTTAATACTGTTAATACGGAGTTTTGTAATCCTGAGACTCTAACTCTATTGTTTTGGAAAGGGATCAACCCCGCCGGAATACCTAACAAATGGAATAATACGCAGAACGGAATGAAAACCAGTAGGACTAAGGTAAACATCGAGAAGTTTGTACTTGCCGTGCGATTGAAAAATGTTATTAAGTTACCTAAGCTGCAATTCACATGTGAGGTGGACTATTTACTTTGTAGCGAGCTTTAGCCAATGGCATGCCTTGCCCCGCGACAGTATTCAACTCCGCGTCCCTGACGAAGTGCCAGATACCACGAAGTATCACCACCACGACGCCACACGTCCACGCCTTGGTCCGCCACGGACACGATGCACTATGGCTGGCCGACAGCGCACCTTCGATCTGGTCCCTACAACCCTGAGGAGGACCAGCTTGAAGCCCCCTATGACAAGCAAAGCTGCAAAGAAAGCATACCTACAAGCCCAGAACGGACCACGGATTTCGCGCGCCGAACAACGACGGAGGGACGCCGAAGAACTAGAGAGGCAGAGGAAGGAATATGAGAAGGAGAGAGCTGCAGCGCGGGCAAAGGCTGCCCGAGAGAAGAAAACTGCCAAAGCCAATGCCGAACGAGAATCCCGCAAGAAGATGGGGTTGCCGGAACCTAGCAAATTTGTGAGGGCGAGTCAACCGACAATATCGATGTTTGTGAAGACAGGGAATAAGAGAACCTGGCAAGAAATGGGAAGCGTCGCAGAGGATTCAGATGAGACCGTATGCGAGGAAGGTACCAAACGAAATGATGAAGCTCAACCGTCCGCGAAACAGAGAGCTGTGGACTGTGATTCTGAGGATGAATTCGGAGACTTCCCGTCTTTGTCTCAGTCAGACCTATTTGAAAAGATCAACAGTTCTATGCTATCGGCTGGGAAAAATACAAGAGTTCCAACGCCTCCAAATCAGGCGGATCAGCTGTCGAACCAACATGGAAACAGGAATACCTCAAGGATGACTCCTACCAAGGCACCGACTGCTTCGGATAAGACGAATAACCAAACAGTGCCTTCGTCAGGACAATATCTTGAAAAAACATCATCCCAGAAATGCCGTCCACAGTATTCTTCCCGGCAGTGCTCGCAGGAGTTGCCAAAGCAGAGTTGGAGCCAAGGGGACGACGAGTTTCTGTTGAACGATTTGCAGTTCATGGCTGATATGGCATCTACTCAACTTTTATCGGAAGTAGCAGAGGCGACTACCAGATCGGACGAATTGCCTCCCGTTCTAAGCCCTCAGCAAATCAGCATTCCGATGGTTGCTGAGTCGAAGTTGTCATCGTTTCCAACGGGTGGCAGACAGTCGGTAAACAGTCCAATATGCCAAATATCTCCTAAAGTACCAACGACCGGGTGTCTACATGAGGGGCGTCTAGTTAGTGCACCCCCTCCGACTCGCTGTCTTGAAAATACATCGGCCAACTGCCAGGAGGGCCGAATTCATAAATTATTATTACCACCCCGATCAGTGCTACAAGGCCACTCAGCAAGTTTGCCGCCTCCGCTTACCACAAGGACCGATAGGACGGTAACCACTCAAAAGAGCGGACTTCCTAAATTCCCATCACGTCGGCCAGTATTACAAGAACGTTCAATAAATGTGCCGCCTCCACGAGCAACAAAAGCTATATATATTGCTCATTCTCCCAACATGCCTCGAGCCATTCCTCGAAACCGAGGCTCCTGTCAAAACAGCACTGAGATGAATTCAATTACACCACCTCAAGTACCACCATCAGGAACCCAAGCATTCCTGCAAAATAATTTTGATGATTTCTATCCCAGCCCAAGTCAGCAAATCCGCGAACTAATGGAGGACATCGATGACTTACCGTCAAACACCCAAATCGCCAAGGAATTAACTCCGTGTAAACCAGCCCTCACCGATCCATTCATGGATCTCTTCTCTACCCAGGATTTTGCCCTCTCGCCCGAAGACCTCACCGAGATAACTACACCAGGACATGCTTCCTGTCATCGAGGGAAACAAGAAGCGCCGCCACCACCGCACGGAAAACCACGGTTCTTTGAAGAAAAAGATGATGATTTATTACATGCTGCTCTGCATGAGAGCAAGGCTCTTGCTGCTGCGGCGGCAGAGAAAATACATAAATTTCAACCTCCAGTAAAGGAGCCTGCAGGCGGTGCTGGAAGGGCTAGGCGTACTTTGAGACGAGTTCAGTCTGCTGCGTCAGATTATGGGGATGATGAATTTAGAGGCTGTTCGCAGGAACTGCTTGCATTGTGTTAATCTGGATCCATTAATTTCTTTTTGTATATTTGTTTGGGGGATGGGGATGGGGATGGAAATTGCATTTTGATTTAGATTGTGATGGTCATTGGAGCACAGGCGGGACAGCATTAGCATATGGGTGGGATTACTGCATTGGTTGGTTGGGTTGCATTGCATTGGAATAGGATAGGAAATACCCTTAGCATACTCGGAGAGGAAAACTTAGAAAGTATACAGTATATGGGTGTGAGTCATACGCAAGTTATAATTCAATGCAATTAGAGAAAATTGTTTGGTTCAAGGTTGTTTAGATTTTTGTACGATCTGCTTCACAAGCACTGCGAATATATCTCCATCTCCGTCCGTAGACGATAGACTACAACTAGCGCTAACAACGGCGTCTTATGTCCACCCACGAAATCCCCCACGCACAACGGGATCGTGAAAATTGCTGACCAGCTACAGGTCAGCAAGGGGTATGCGAAGTGAAATGTCCATCCACCTGTTCCAATCCATCCATGCAATATTATACGTCATCAAGTCATGAATTCATCTCCAACAAAACTCGCTCAATCATCGCTTTAGACACAACTCATCAACGCCTGGTGGCCTTGAATCAAACTCGGGTTCTTTCCATGAATAAATTTGATGGTAGCAATGACCCTCTCACGAGTATCAGGTTCCAATTGCTCCGCTGGCTCGCCCATAACAGACTCGAATACAGGAATTAGTTTTGGAGTGAGCCCGATTATGGTGCCGTTCTCGTGTTGATCTGATACAAAAGTTAGCAGGGAAAGCGTGCGGAGGAGATGTGGTTCTTACATAAGCCAGTAATGCACTCATAAATCGGCTTATTCTCCTCGTAGTCCTCCTTCAATGGAAGTAGGGAGACAAGCACAGGCAAGATGTCATCGAGGGGAACCTGGTCTTGATGAGCCATAATCATGCGGGAAACGCATCCAGCTGCATTGTCAAGAGTCCTGGCGACTTGAGTATGGAGCAGTGGTTCTAGCTTTTGCAAGATCTCTGGGTAGCTTGGAAGATATGTGGCAGAGTCCGTCGAGTTGAAGACTAGCAGACCAGTGGCATACGCAGAGTTTGACTTGGTCTCCATGTCCACATCGGTGAGTCGGTGCAAAAGCAGCTTGAGGAGGGATGAGGTGTAAGGTGTAACCGCAGCACCCATATTGTCAGTGCATTCAGCGATGACACCGATGGCGGTGGAACGCTCATAGTTTGTTTGAGACGAGGCGAATTTCATAATTGGTTTTTGGAATACCTTCCATGCCTCAGAGAACTGGTCACCGAGGGCAGCGGAGAGCCCAATAATCACATCCATAGCGGTATCAATCACAAGCCAATCGTATTCCGACGATTCCTCGTCATCCACGGATTCATGGTCCTCTTCATCACCCATGTCTTGCTGGCAAGGATGTGACCTTGTGACGATGGCTCCCAAAACGGACATCGTACGCTCTGCAAATGAGCCTTGGGTAAGAATTGATGGCCCGCAGAGTTTCAGGGTCGCAGCGACATTCCTGTTGATATCTGTGACGACAGCCCTGATTGATTCGACCGTTAGCTAGGACAACTTTTGATAGTTCAATGCGAGGCGGTGAAAATAAATTGGATCAGAATGTTGATACGTGTTCGCAGCATTCGCAACTTGTGCGTCTGAGTGAGCTGGGTATAACGTCATGTTGTTCATCATATCCAGGAGTTTGACAGCAAAAGAAAAGAGGACTTACCGATCAACTTCATCTTCCCACAATGAAAGCGTTGCTGTGGTGACAACTTCACCTAGCTTGAGGACTTCTTGGGACGGTTGGGACTTGACGGGCAAGCCAGGGGTCCACTTCTCGCCAGTGTGGTCCTCCATTAGCGCCCAGAGGCAAGCGTATGCACGCCATAGAGTGCCGATAGCGGTCTTGCGAACACCCTCGTAACTATGCTCAACCAAACCCATAACGGTCTCAACGGTCTTCTCGAAGTAAGGGACGAAGTGCTTCCGAGTATGGGACAGGACATCACCAAGTACTTCGATTGCAATTTCCTTCTCAAAGGCGACCGCCGACGCGCCAGTCATATCATCCCAGTCTTCGTCATCGTCATCATCGTCCATTTCGTTGAGGTCTTCTGGCTCGTCACTTGCAGATGTAACCTTAATCTTCTTGCCGGCAATAATGACTTCCTGGCCAAGAAGATCTTGGGCTTCTTCGCCGAGTTCGACTTCCAGATCCGACTCTTCTTGATCTAAACTCTCCATGAGGCCCTTGAAGACTCCGTCAAGGTATGGAGTGAACTCCTCTCCATACACCTTAGCCAAGGTACTCCACAGAATGTAACTGGTTTCCCTCAAGCGGGGGTGGCCCAAGTGTAGTGCTTCCTCACTGGCTTGCATCAATGGCTGAACGTATGGCTGGAACACTTGAGCGCCAACAGCTTGTGACATGCTACCCATGGCATCGCAAACAGTAGCACGAAGATCAAGTTCTTCTTGACTATCCTTAATGGTGACATATTCCGAGAGAGCTTTCATCGTCGACTCAAAGTACGGTAAGAAAGCATCCATTGCAGAGCCAGCCATAGATCCTATTGCACCAGCAGCACTTGCTTTGACATTGAGATCGGGGTGGCTAAATAGCCGACCGAGACGAGGAACAAGCTCTTGAAGATATGCCGACATTGTTTCCTTATCAAGGCCATCTGTAACGGAATCCAGGGCCCCACAGGACGCCTTCAAAATTTCAAGGTTCTTCTGTTGGTCATTCTCGTTTGATGCCTGGACATTGGCGGCGTCGAGGTTCTTCAGCAATGCTGGAATCAGTTGAGCATGGTATTTGGCTAACTCATCTGTGAGGTCGTCCGCTAACCTGGCCACGCCATTCAAAGCAGCATGCCGGACACCAATAACAGGGTCATTCAGGAGCTTCATGACACCGGGCATTAAAGTATCAAGTTGGGTGCTGATGAAATCCGGAGCACCTTCAACACACATTCCAAGAGATAAAATGCCAGCTTGGCGATATCGAGGAGACTCATGGTTGATATACTGAGGGAGTGCTTTGAGAAGCGGGACGATGACCTGCCTCGGGGGTAGGCTGGTTGCAAGCAAATCCAAGAGACCCAAGGCCGACCGATGTGGATTGACTTCATCCTCCTCATCCTCATCGTCATCGATCTCCGTAGCAATCTCCATGCATTTTAGAGTGAGGGTCTCACCCATATCCCGAATGCCTTGGATTTTCATTTTGCGGAATCTAGCCGCCTGCATCAGGAAAGACAATGCTTGATTCCGAGAGTCATCTGAGATGTCTTTATTGGAAGAGATGTCGATCATGAATGTCAGGAGGTCTTTGAAATGGGTGTTCAGCAATGCTGATTCGCAGCCAAGCAGAGTCTGGAACACTTCGAACGCCTGCATCGTGCGTTCCTCATGGTCCTCGTCAATGGCAGACTTCAACACACCGACCATGCCAGGGAAAATCTGCACAAATCGTGCAAGATTCTCCGGGTCCTCGTCTGGTTGGATCAACATAGCAATTCTGCTGAGACACAGCAAGGTATTGATCCTGACTTCCGCGCTCTCTGGGTCTTTGATCGTAGTGTTGAAGAGGGAAAAAAGAGTTGGGATTTTCTCTTCGAACGTATCGCCAGCAATCTCAAGCAAAGTGAAAAGGATATAGATGCCTACTTCACGATGTGAAACTTCCTTTGCCGTTGCCGCCTGCGCAAGGAGATCAGGAAGAGTGGTCCACTCCCCATCTTCCAGATCGATCTTAGCAATAGCAGCAATAATGCGAGCCGAGGAATGCCGCACAAGGGGCTTTTGCTCTGCTAAAGTTGATTCCAACAGCCTCTGGCGGATGGCCGGTCTCTGCTCGGCTGATTGCGCAGCCCAGTGTTTTGGTACCAATCGGAGCGCCTCGACAGCTGCCTGCTGCCGGATTTGGGGGGTATCATGAGAGGTGAGAATATGCAGGAGCCATAGAAGCGTTTGCGGATGAGGATAGAAGTCCTTTCGCAGCGCGCTCGTCGCCGCCTTTACTCGAGCGGTATCAGCTTGAAGGGGTTAGTTGGGCCTCTGTTCAAACTGGGAAGTTCGGGTGCAAACATACGAACTTGAATGCTCTGCAAGAGCTCTAGAAGCCTTTGCTGCTCCATGGGAGGTACTATTGCACACGCAAGGGCGTGCGAATTACGGGGTTTAGGTTGACAGGCACCGTTGTGTTGGTTTTCAAGACATGAAAATAGGTACGAAAACAGAGGGGAAATTTTGTGGGAAAACAAAAAAATTGTTTATCTCTCAAACGGATCGACAAGGGTCCATTGATAGCGTCGCATATCACGTGTGGGCGCAGACCCCTATTCTACCTCTCTTGGCCTTTTCTAACTCATGAACCATTTACTCGAGTACTTCGTAACCTCCCTTCATCGAATATCTCCATCCCAAAAACATTACACATTAACCACCAGAGCTACTCCTCAGCCTTCCGCTCAGCCCTCATGCGCAATTATATATCCCGCTCCTCAGTTCATGCACCCCGCCGTCAACCACACCGCCATATGCACACACTGTCTCATTGCCGGCCGGAATATTGTACACCGTGTCGAGCTTCTCTGGCTTGCAATTCAAGGACTTATATGTCGTGAACGTGCAATCATCATCTGGCAGTGCAGAGACTGCGTAGCTTAATCCGCGGAACTGGAGACACAGCCCTGACGTGATAGTTCCGGGCAGTGGAATGCCATTCCCACTACAGGTGGCGGAGGCAATCCATGTGGTCATTGGTGTAGTATAATTCGAGTCCTGGCGTTCAGCAACCTGCACAGGTGAGGCCGAGGCGGCGCTGAAGAAAGCAAGCGCTACGCAGAAGATGGTAGGTTTGAACTGGGGCCAGGAGTAAGCAAAGTGAGATTCAACATAGGAGAGGATAGCTACTTACCATGTTGGCGGTAGGGACGATTTGGACTATTTTGGCGCCTTGATTATGTCTTGAAGAACGGTTGACTTTCTGTGGCAATAGGAGCTATGCCGCACCTTTTTATCTCCTTCGAAGCTCTTATTACACCGTTCGCTTACCTTCAGTTCATCTCGATAAGCTTCATTCTAACTATTATAGGCGAATAAGACTAGGGCTGGATATATTGTGGCGGTTACTATGCTGGTTGGCTTATTTTATTGCTCTCATATAGCCTGCCTACGGAGGTGTGTACTTCGTAGATACTGCCGGCTGCTGATGCAGTACGCAACAAACCCTGGCCTCCTTAAATTACCCTAAAAGTGATATTCTCCATAACGGTCTATTATTGAAAAGGCATACACCGCGGCCAGTCCTCGATTATCCGTGCCTTGTTTCTTCATTCAAGCGATATAAATCGTTTTGGAACTGCTCTCCCACCAAGTTCCAGTTCTTAGCTATGAAGGTTCGCGTTCTGTTTTGCTTATGTCATTAACTGCACTTAGCCTGATTAGCCTAGGTAATCTTCCTGTTCCCTCTGAACCAACCCCTCGTATTCCTACCAGACAAATTCGCCTTGCCTCCTTGCCAAAATATCAGCCATATCCCTATTCTGTACGGACATTACGGCGCAGGTAGGATTCGGGGGTACGTGATTTACTCATCGGCCGAATTCAGCAAGTTATAAGTACCTAGGTACCTACTACCTTCAATGCAACACAAATGCCCCATTGGTGACTAACACGTGGGAGGGCAACATACAACATGGCGACTACTGATCCTCCCAAAGAATGGTACCGCGATAAGTACATGATATCAACATCTCCGGCTCTTCTCCAACCTGCGGCCGTCAATGCCGCCTTCGCCAGCCCGGCGGTCTACTGGTCGCATGAGATGGATGACTCAGTCATCGAAAGGATGCTCTTCAACACCCTCTGTTTCGGCGTCTACTTGCTTCCTCAATCATCTTCAGAAATTGCTGGTTCGACAATCTTCTTTCTTTGGCAGATTTCGTCTTGAATATCTCTTCCCTAGCTTATATCTCATTTCTTGGTTTATGGACTTGTTATTCCCCTCCAACCGCCTCCCCCCCACCTTTGGCGATTCTATCTCTATCTAGTCTTATTTCTCCTCACTCGAATTTTTTTATTCTGAAAACCCCAGACTCACAGACTTCCCTCATTTCCAGGAAAAGTAAACCCACAACAAATCGGCCTGGCGCGGCTGATAACCGATCATGCAACATTTGCCTACCTAACAGACGTCTACATTCTCGCCGACCATCAGAAAAGGGGACTCGGGAGCTGGCTTATCGGTTGCGTGGATGAAGTGATATCATCTTGGCCAGAACTACGGCGGCTACTCCTTGTCTCCCAGGAAGGTCCGAGTTCTAAGCTGTACGAGGAGCACTTGCACGCACGGCCATTTGACGGTGGAAAGTTCGATCTCAAGATGTTTAATAGGGGCGGAAATGGGGCTATACCTGGCTTATAAGTTGCTTAGTTTTTGATATGGCTGAACGAGAAATAATGGATCAGGTCAAATTCTGCCTTCTCTCTCCTTTCCACATTTTATGTTCTCTCATGAATCATTCATTTTCCTGCACAATCTTCCCTGAAGAATGTGTCATAACGGCAATTCAACTGCAAAGCAAACAAAAGGGTATCTCAAAAATCACAACGAAAGTGCAACAAAGAACACAGCAAGCAGCATAGCGCCGCTCCACCAGACTGGCCCCCCATTCGTAAAAGGAACAGCTGCCTTGGCATTCCCCGCACTGTCCGCCGCTGCTTTCGCAGGTGCAGAGCCCCCTTTACCTCCTGGGGAGGTTGTCACAGTAGTAGTTGGTGTTGGCGTTGGAGAAACAAATGCCTTCTCCGCAGCATTAAAACTCAGACATGCAGTCGGGAGCGTGAATGTGGTAGCTGCGAGGGCGGTAGATGAGGCCGTGGATATAGATATGACATTCGGGATATTCATGGCAACTGCGGCCTGTAGCCCGGTGTCAATTTCTGCGGTGCCGACGATATGTGTGAGGTTGGGAAAGATGTTGGATGCCAGTTGTGCGACCGAGGTTATATTGCTTGCCGGTTCACAATTCGAGTCGACCCCTGAAGTGGCTGATATTGTAACTTGGAGAGAAGGGAGGTCGAAGAATGCTCCTGCGTTGATATCACCTCTACCGCTGAGGATGTCAATTCCGAGGAGGAGTTCTGCGCGTAGGCCGAGACCCAATTTTAGTGACACCTCTGGCGAGGTGGCTGTGAATGGGATCGCATTGATCTTGGTATCTTTGCTGTGAACGGGGATGAGAATCCTGTTAACTTGATAAGCGAGGAGACTTACAAGCCTGAAGCCGAGGACTGTGTTAGGTTTCCAATATTCAGGGTTATAGAAGAGTTATCAGGGACCTTTGAAAAGACGTGTAAGCATACAATGTCCTGAATTGAGGAACTTTGTCAGCGTGAACTTACCTTCATGTCGAACCCATATTGGAAGTCCAATTTTCCCTGCATAGCAATACTTCCCTGTACAACTGGCCTGAACATTGGACCAACAGCTGCAATTCCAGGTATCTATCACGATAGGTTAGTAAAATCAAAAAGTCTTCGGGCATTTACTTACCTCAAACCCGGGCAAGGTAATTTCCGTAAGAATTTTACTCCACGTCTGGGGTTTTGAAAGCGTCAAGGAAATATCAAGTAACACATGCGCACTCATGTTGTTAGCAACAGCTCGGAAAAATCCACTGTTGATAAAATCGACAGCTTTGCCAACATCCGTAGTTGAATTTCCGAGTGTAAATTCTCCCTCAGCAATGTCGATATTGCCATTAAGCGTACACTCTTTGCACTTGACAGCAAGTACATCGGAAACACTATTACTTCTAGAAACCTGGTTAGTATGGACAAATATGCTTCCCCTGATAGACCGGATGAACTTACAGGATCCCTGACCCAAGTAGATTTTGTTGTGCTGGGACCCGGAAACCTATGTTGGCAGAATGAATGGATGAATTTGCGTTGGTGGCGTCAGTTGGGCTGGCTGGCGATGATTCCTTGGACGAAGTCGCTGCTCTCCGTCGAAGACCTTCATGAGAGCGGAATGAACTCGGTGGATACTGGCTTGCAGTCGTACCAAAGCTCACTTTCATCGAATCGTATGCATCTCCCCACTCAAGCCTCTTGACAGAGAAAGCTACCTTTGATGTCTCTTTGCCATAAATAATTCCAGAAACCCTATTTTTAATCAGTGAAAATTATCTAATATTAACATGTGGTACATACAGATACGGAGTTCGTTCTCCATCCATGTTGCACCCGGGATGTGAAGTAATAATTAAAAACTGTTCCAAATGATCCCAACTTTCCCGGGCAGCAGCCAAAGTCTGTTTGTTGGAAAATTCCACAGTGATTGTAGAGGCGAAACATTGAACATTGTCAAGGGCCATCTCGATGTCTTCCAGTACTAGCGCTGGAAGTTTGTACTTCGTGGCTGTCTTTGCAAACCTTGTTCGTCCTCCATCAAAACTGGGTGTATCTACAATAAAAGAGTCAACAACTTTGATATTGTACTTGAAAATCAAAAATACGCACTTTCAGCATAGTGATGTAGACAATGACGGTTTGGTGTAAATGATTCATCTCTTATCTGGAGACCTGGGCGCGCTGCCACTGCAACTAATTTTGGAGATTGATTCTTGGGAAGGCTCCTGAGAACAACCTCAGAGCCCTCGATTACACTAGCATTTGCGATGGAGCAAAGGACAAATACCAGAACAACGATATTACAAACGCAGGAGAACATAATTGGAACTGGGCAAATCGATTGCCTCAAGAGACGAGAAAAGCATGAACGGAATATTTTGTTATAGAAACGAGCTGAATACAAACCTTTATATCTGGCATCCAAGAGTGAAGGAGAAACCTTCCCTTGGGACACTTTGCATAGCCGAAGGAAGGAGCAAATGTTGGTGGGAGTGTATTAGGGGGAAAAAAAGTCTCACGGATCACCTTACGAGCTGTCGCATGCAGGATGTATCCAGAGTCGCACCCCGCAGTTCCTGTTCTCACATGGGATTGTCGCGAACGCGGCTGTGCGTTTTCCCATTTTAAGGAGAGTATCTCGAAAGTTTCCGGGGCCTGAATCCTTCGCCGGGGGCTTTCGGAGGCAGCCATGTGAGTTCGTGCATATACCTTACCTGCAGTTGGTCACTGTTGGTGTGTTATTTTGGTTTCAATTTTTGTGAGGTGGACTAGGCTGTGTTCTAGGCTGTGTTCCAGGCAGCTCGAAGCGATTGTTTCAAACCGATATTCGTACTCCATCTAATATTCTATATAAGCACTACTGTCTCGGAAGCAGCCACGTCTGATCGTGCAGGATAACCAATCTATAAGTCGGAAAAGCAAATATCGTGAGGCTAAGTTGGAGGATGCTGGCCAGACTTGAGCCCAGCTTTGTACGGAGTCAACCAACAGATCCTTCAACTTGGGCAGGTGAGACTATTTGATGCGCTTCCAATTCCTGGAAGTTCTCGTCATCGTTAATTGAGCTAGACCGATTTTCAATTGCCTTCGTGATTTCCTGTGGAGACAAGAACCACTGGACAAGATCATACTGGATCGTGGTAAAATTTCTAAATTTTATGTAGTACAGGCTTGTAGATCACTGATCTAATGGAGCAGTTGTGGGATCCCAGCAGCAAGGAGAGTACTCTTGCGTTTCCAAGCTCTTCATCTCCTCCTCTGTCAACTCGAAATCAAACACATCTGCGTTCTCCACAATCCTGCTAGGGGTAACGCTCTTGGGCAGAGGCACAAATCCCTTCTGTAAGCTCCATCTAACCAGCACCTGTGCTGCAGTCTTTCCATACTTCTTCATCGGCGGCTGTAGAGCTGGCTCTTCCAGCCTTTCGCCACGCACAAGGGGTGCGTACGCTTCGAGAAGGATACCGCGCTTTTGACACCACTCGACGATATCCCGACGGGGGAGCCAGGGGTGCAATTCCCATTGCCCCACATCAATTACACCACCTTTCCCCTTTCCCCGTTCTTCCTCGAGTTCCTTCATGTAAACCTCCATTTCGTCTAGATGGTGCACGCCATAGTTGCTGATTCCAAGGCTACGAATTTTGCCTTCCTCTTGCGCCTCGAGTAATGCTTTCCAGGCACCTTTTCGGGCCTCCCGGCCACCATACGGTGCATGGATGAGCATCAAGTCGATGTAACCGAGGTTGGTTTCTTTCAAGGTGTCTTCCACCTGAGCTTTGCTGTTCTCATAGCTTAGGTTGCGGGGAGGAATCTTGCTTGTGAAAAATATATCTTCTCGTGGGATGTTGGACTTATGAATAGCACTGGCAGCAAATTCTTGATTTTTGTAGGCTATAGCTGAATCGACCTGCGTGATATTAATTATATTATCCCGATATATCATGCGTTTGAGGTCTCATACATGACGGTATCCGGCTTTGAATGCAAGTGACGTGACTTCCTCACACTCTTTTGCGGGCCTTCAAAATGTCAGTAACGGCCAAAAGCGTAGAGTATCATGGGCTCCCATACGTCTGGTAGACCTGTAGATGGTAAGAAAGTGCTATTTCGGTTATGGGGTGCTTGTTAGCTACTTACACCGTATCCGAGAACGGGAATGTCATATCCTGAGTTCATGCGCAACTTCGAGTTGATTGTTAAGGTTGCCATTGTTTTTCTGCAAGGGATACAAGGTGAGTAAATTCGATGGTAGGCTTGTTTAAACATGGAATAGATAAATATCAGTAGGTACGTTGGGAAATGAAACAATATATAGAGGCCGCTGAGGCCCAACCGCCGGAGTTTATGTTCCGCCGCGGAGAGCGAACCCGGGATTTAAATCGGCGTTAAGACAAGAAACAATAATCGATACGAAGAGCTTCATACTTACAAATTGCGAAAATAAGTCCGCGGGGAACGCAACGAGAGCTGCTTTTGGACGATCCTCACTTGTGATGTAAACGCCGATTTCATTCGGCCCAGCAACCTGCTATTTACAGAGTCAATCCTCTTCAGCTGGTACAAAATGTAGCAAAAGTCCACATGTAGCGCATAAATCCGATGTTGCACACTACTGAGGGAAACGTGCACAAATATAATGATTACGAAGTATAGTCGCCCTGTTGACGTCATGTACATACTTGGTAGACTTAAGATGAACCGATGATATGCTAAATATATCGTATCATTCTCACCTTTAAAAGTAGCAAACATGTTTAATCTAGCTAATAATACCACCAATAACTCTTGCATGCACCTGTATGGCCAGGCACGCGGCCATAGGCCCACTTCCTCTTGAGTTCCTGTGATTGAAGCGCGCTATATTACAACCACTTCGGCTTGACCTTGACAACACCCACAATACTGTATATTAACCAAATGTCTAGGCGCCCCCGACACTCTCGGTGTATCTTCCATCTGCACGAGGACAACAACTCCGTGGAATAACCCGGTCTACGCATTTTGATTCTACCCTTATATTACAACCAGTTTCAAACATCTAGAATTAAGTGGCGGCAGCGCTGCAGGCAACTTGCCACAAAATGCGCCTTATCAAGCAAAATATTGAGCGCGATGGCTCTGGCACCGTCACACTCTTGCCTGAAGAACCAGAGGATATGGTATGTTTTGCCTCTTCAACGCCGTATTTAAGCCCCGACTGACACCGCTTCCCTCCTCAGTGGCATGCCCATAACCTCATCGCAACGGACGATCTCCTCCGCGCTTCAGCCATCCGTCGAGTCGTCACCGAGTCTACAACAGGCAGCACGACCTCCACGCGCGTACATACCAACCTCCTCATCCGAGTCACAGGGATCGAATTCGATGCGCAAGCAGGCCAGCTGCATGTCAGCGGCCGCGTTGCCGAAGAAAACAAATGGGTCAAAAGCGGTGCATACCATACGCTGGACCTCGAGCTACAGCGCAACTTCACATTAGAAAAGAGCGAGGGATGGGACTCTGTCGCGCTGGATGTGGTTAGGGAGTCCGTTAAGCAGGATAAAGAGGGGACGGTACCGGCGGTCGTGATGCAGGAAGGTCTGGCGAATATCTGTCTTATTACGGAACATCAAACAATCTTGAAGCAGAGGATCGAGACCGGTATTCCAAGAAAACGATCTGGCAGGACGGGCGACCATGATAAGGGCCTGACTAAGTTTTACCAAGTTACACTGGAGACCCTCGCAAGACATGTGGACATTACAAAGCCTCGACCATTACTCATTGCAAGTCCAGGGTTCACCGCGGCCGGTTTCCAGAAATACATCCTTGATGAGGCGACAAGATTAGGGAATAAGGCAGTATTGAGCAATAAGAGCAATTTCATCGTGGTCCATTCGAGTTCCGGCCATCTACATAGCCTGAACGAAGTGCTGAAGAGCCAGCAAGTTCTGACGAAGTTAAAAGACACGAAGTATGCGAGGGAGACTAGGTACATGGATGATTTCATGACGTTGCTGAGGAAGGACGATGGGAGGGCTTGGTATGGAGCGACCGAGGTAGAGAAGGCTGTTGAGAAGGGCGCTGTTGGTCCCGGAGGAGTGCTACTTATCAATAATTCGCTTTTTAGAAGCCAGGAGATTGGCACGAGGAAACGGTGGGTGGCCCTTGTGGATACTGTCCGCGAGGGAGGAGGAGATGCGAGGATTCTAAGTAGTGATCATGAGAGTGGGAAGAGGTTAGAGGGACTGGGCGGGATTGGGGCGATTCTGACTTTCCCTTTGGAGGATCTGGATGAAGAAGAAGAAGTAGAAGATACCTCGCCCAATATGGGGACAAACCAGGAACAAATGATAATATGATTTGATTTTCTTGCTTTATATATTATTTATCGCTCCTCATTCTTCCAGGGTATAAAATATTTCAATCTCATGATAAAGATAGGGGAGAATGGGGGTGTTATATTCCATCGTGTATTCCATCTCTATTCTTCCACTAGGAGGTAAAATAATTAGCATTGTAGATACCCTTTGCGTAAGATATGCATGAGATAGGGATGGACGTAGAAAGGGAGATGATGGCTTTTGGGGGCATGGTGAGGGAACCGGAGGATTCATTGTGACCGCGAATATTGTTTATATTCAGCGAAGCGATTAGCGTAGCTAAGATATGTCTGATAACACCGCACGCCATAACCTGCACCTTGGGGTATCCATAATCAAACCGGCCGCCATGTAAAAATGAAGAAGCAAAAGCAAAATATATCCCGGGAAGTTGACATAATATGGTCTTTCCACCATGCTCCACTGCTTTCCTGAACACCAAAAAAAAAAAAAAATTAAACCAAAAGGACATGTGAGCTAAAAGGAGCTGCCTCAAAGCCAGCTAGTGAGAAGTTCCTTTCCGGCTCAATCCCGCTCGACCCACACGTCGTAGGTCCACTCGTCTTCCTCCGAATTCATCAGCCCCTTCTCATGAGCAACATCCATGGCCTCCTGAAGATTCTTGGCATAGGCGAATACCTCATCCATGCTACATTGGAGACGTTTAGCTGCTCGTTCGTATCTATCTTGCCCTGTAAAATGTTAGAAATCATATATACCAACTCTGAAAACGAATGTGTTCAAGATACCTTGCTCGAGTCTCATGCACTCAATGAATGTAGCTTTCTGCTTGTTTGACCATTCGGCTGGTACGTTTGACTTTTTGTTATTGTTCGGAAACAGATGAATGCGAGGAGAATAATCATCTGCGAATGGATCGGAGTCATCTTCAACGTCGTACTCATTGGATCCTTCATATTGCGAAGGCGGCAGGCTTGCCACCCTAGCCTCGTTAGATGGTCTCGCCCACCTTCTTGTACTGTTAACTCCCGTCTTTAGCTGCCTTTTGCGGAGCTGTCTATCTATAGCTTCGCGCTGCAAGCGGTGGGTTTTATTGATTAGTTGGCGATGCTCGCGTGTTACGCGGGCTTTCTCTTCAAGTCTATGCTCAACCTCCTCCAGCAATCTGCGACGCTCTAGCTTTTTCTGGGATAACTCCCATCGTAGCTCCTCTTCATCTGCCTCTTTTCGCTTCATTGCCAACCTCGGATTATCCGCATTCTTCACCATGCTTTCTGAGTTCAATATCTTCCTTCTAAGCATCCTATGGAGGCTACGGGCCTTTACAAGGGCTTCCCGGGTTGGCTGTTTAGTTTGGAACGTCGAACTACGACTTTTGATGCCGTCTAAACAATCGCCAGGTGTTGGTTGTAGCTGTGGTGGAATATTGACTGCAGTGTCCCCCAGCCTCCAATATAGATTGATAAGGCGATCAAACTCGTTCAGATCAAGAAGGCTTGTACGTCCATCGTCATCACGTGCCTCTACCCCTAGCTTGATACACTTCAGGAGCATCGGAAGAATATTGAAATAAAGATCAACAAGAAGTGGAGTAACCATGGGATATCGGATTCTGGATCGAGGATTCTCAGGCAATGCACTGAGGGCTTCCTCAATGACTTCCGTTAAATCTAGGATGCGGCTGTAGATCTTATCGTCTATCGCATCTATCGTTCTGTTGTCTTCAGAAGTCTTCGCATCCTGCAGCCTTGCGTATGCTATATTGAGACGCTTCAACTTCTGATCCAGCTTCTTTCCCAAACTAGTACGAAGATTGAGCCCTTCCAATACCGGCTCATAACTATTCCACTCCCTATCATATTTGTGACCAACTCGCTCAGCGATTTTGACCATGTCTCCCAAGAACCCAGGGTGCATCATATTTGGTAGCAATAGAGGGGAAGGACCCCGTTCTTCTTCGCTGGATTCTGGCGACCCCTCATTTTCAACCTCATGCTCAGAATCTTCCGATAGTGGCTCAAGCCCGTTATCTTCATCAGGTTTCTCGTCATCGCATATCGAATGACTTGATGGAACGAGGGAAGCGGGGCTTCTTGAGGTGGTCCGAGGTGGTTGAGGTACCTTTTTCTTGGGAACTGCTCCCGGGGATTCATCTGATGGAGCTCTGTCAGGACTTATTCCCCCAGCATGGTTGTCGCTTCCTGAAACCTCGAGGTCTAGCTTTTGCTTCACACTGCGCGTCTGTGGTCTGCCAGGTTGTTGCACCTTGTCACCCCCGGTCTGATAAATGACTACCGCCACAGACCGGCTTCTAGTACTACTCGTTGGGTCCGTGGTGGACTGCTTCGCTCGCGGATTGGGCCGAGCACGTTTGACCGGTCTTTCTGGAGGCTCGTCCGTTGGGGCATCATCACTGTCCTCATCCATAACAGGGCCCTTCTGCCTCATGGAGGTTATTTTCGGCTTTCCATTCCGACTGTGCTTTTTTGATACGTTATGTGTCGTCCGGTTCAATAAGGAAGCAGTCGCTTCGTCGTCTATATCGCGGTCAAGGTCCCCTATTACTAGGAAATGTTAGCTGAAGCCGTGCTCCACGCTGGGGCTGTTGACAGTTACCTTCTTGTTGGGATTCATGAGCCTCTTGCTCTATATTGTGGGCGGGAGTTGGTTTGGCGGAGGCTCTACCGCGCGCCCTGGTAACCATTGTGATGGGGGTTCCACCCGAATACGGATCCTAACCAGCAACTAGGTGTTGAGTATAGGATCTTCGCGTAAAGTACCTTGCAAATAGTAAGTGGTTGGGTCAATTGTAGGCGCGAGGCTGCGGAATCGAAGTTTACGTTGTTTGCTCCAGTATTATCGAGGCTGGAGCGGGTTGCCCCAGGTACTGCACAGTACAGGGGTCCAAGCATCCAAGCATCCTAGCGTCCCTAACCCCCACCGTCATCATCATCAACAGTGTACTTCGTACTGCGGATTTCGTACTGCAAGTTGCGTTGTTACATACCTTAGAAGACAGCCCGTCCTCACAACCTGCACATAAAAGCCATGGATTCGCAACAGCAAAGTAACCGCCAAGCAGCAGGTCTGCCTGTTCCCAATAAATTGGCGCTTCTAGATACCTCCCGACCGCATACTTTTTTAAAGCCGGTTAAAACGATCAACGAAGGCCAGGATGTGCCTCGTTTTCTCACATCACGGGCATATAGCGATATTGGCATCTTCCTGATGCAGCTCAATACAGCTATGTGTCCAAGAAAGTCCCCCGGCTCAGCTGAAGTGCAAACATGGCAGATTGATGATACGCAAGTGCTCTCTGAGCCCGTTTGCAAGCTGCAAGAATTATTAGGAAAGATAAATTCTATTATCGAAGAAGCTCCGCCGGATACAGGCCCTCGAAGATTCGGGAATGCCAGCTTTAAGAAATGGTATGAGATTCTTGAGTCACGGGTGCGGGATCTACTTGAGACCCATCTTCCTAAGTGTGTCCTGGAGTTCGATGCCAGCTCGTCAGGTGTGCCCGTGCTGGATGAACTTACCCCATATCTCCTTGGGGGCTTTGGCAGTCCCCAGAGGCTAGATTATGGTACAGGACACGAACTCAGCTTCCTAGCATTTCTTGGTTGCATTTGGAAACTGGGTGGGTTTTCAACTGAAGCCTCTCACGACGGAGCTCTAGAAAGAAGTCTAGTTCTAGGCGTCATCGAACCGTATGTATTCCTAGCCAGCTTATACAACAAAAAGTTCTAAATTATCGCATAGTTATTTGAGAGTTGTACGTCGCCTAATCCTCACCTATACCCTTGAACCTGCTGGGTCACACGGAGTCTGGGGGCTCGATGACCATTCTTTCTTGCCATATATTTTTGGCTCAGCTCAGTACTGCCCTGCAATTACTCCAACCGACTCCATGCCGGTTGAAGGGTCTCTACCAGGGGCTCCCAATCCGGGAGACATTGCAAAAAAGAATGTCGTTGACCGAGAGAGGAAGCACAACATGTACTTTGCAGCAGTCGGTTTCATCAACGATGTTAAGACAGGTCCGTTCTGGGAACACAGCCCTATCCTGTTTGATATATCTGGAGTACGGGCAGGTTGGGGCAAGATTAACAAGGTTCGTTCCGCCAGAGCAAGTATTTCAACTAGCATCCTAATATCTTACCAGGGTATGATCAAAATGTATAATGCGGAAGTCCTGTCAAAGTTTCCAGTGGTCCAGCATTTCCCGTTCGGGTCGCTATTCAGTTGGGATCAAGACCCAAATGCACCCCAGCAGGCTTCTTCAATCCATACCTCCAGCCAGCCAGCAAGCCATCAATCTTCCATGGGCGCACCTACTACGAACCAATCTTCCCAATCCACACGCGCGCCTTGGGCTACTCAGACAGCGGGCGGTGAGAGCGTTCCTTTGGCGAGTCCTAGGGGTTCGACTCAGTCTGGCTCGTCTCACCAAGGGCTTCCCCCCACGAGTGCCCCTTGGGCAACCAGCCGTGGAGCGCAACCAGCAGTTCGCGGTACAACGAATACAATGATGCCTCCCCCTCCCGTGAACGCGCCAACTAGGGCACCTTGGGCAGATAAGCGGAGCGGTGGAGGGGATTGACTCATCTAAGACAACGCAACGGATAACGATCTTTGGTTATCTGACATCAGTGCGTGGCCATTTGCTCAAACGCACTATAGTGCGGGGGAGCGTGGACCCTAAAGTAGGTAGCCGCTCGGCATTGACCGAGCGGCTACAACCTGCTAGGTCATCATCTATGGCAAGCACAATCTGTCTAGATTCCAGCGTCCATGGTTTCCGCGCTGGTCCGGCCGATTGGGGCCGAAGAATTTATTCAAATATGAAGCATTTGATCCCGTCTGGTGTAGACCTTGCGAATGTCTCCTGATCATCTCCGTGGTGATCACAGCTAGCCTATCCAGCCGGCCTACATAGTGCAGCGACAAAAAGAACTCGCCCAGCTTGAGTATGAATGGGCTTAATCAAGAAATAAACTTAATGTGAAATGAATTTCATATCGCCAATAATAACCAAAGCTCAGCATCTACTCGAGTAAGGATATTTTGTGTATCCGGAGGTCCGGACAAGCAGTCCAATACTTCGCTGTTGTATACATTTAGAGTAGTTAGTCTGCGAGATTCACAAGATTTGTTAAGAAACTATTACTTCGTCTTTAGCTAATAAATGTATAAGATCCTAACACCTAACTACGAGTAGTGCCTACTGCCAGAGCACTCCAGACTCCATGGAAGCTACCTGATGGATGCCGAGTTTGGCCATCAATAACTAAAGTACCTACCTACCTAGGTAGGTAGGTATATATAAAGCGTAGTGCACTTATTAAGTTCTGCATTGACTGTTTATAACTTGGCAATAACCTAACCAACTACCTAGACACCTACATACCTAAGGTAGGCAGGTATGAACCACGGAAGCTGAAAGTAACAGTCGCGTTTCGTGGTTTGTTCCAGCTCGATACATGTATGTGTGCTCGTACTATCGTTCGTATCCTTGCCGTACCCGTAGTCTGGACCCTGCGCCCCCGTATTGTGGTACGTACCTTTGGTTGCCCCAACCACATCCACATCCCCATCCCATCTCAATCTCCCTCCCAGTCTCCATCTCCTTCGCGCTTCTCAACATCCTCCACATCCATCGTCAAACTCTCGAACCATCCATCCATCATACTCATTCTTTCCGCAAAAATGCCTGGAATCCGTAAGTAGCCCTCTTGTCTATTCGTTCGGGGCAATGCAGCCGTACCCGCTCTGCTTGTTACAAGCCCGCCCATCAATCAACGTGTGGATACATTCCATTGCAAGCGCCGCTGCTTCCAGACCTTCTCCTCTCCTTCCTGGCCATACGTGCACACACTGCTGATGCTATTTGCTGATACATATTGCCTGCTACAGCACCAAATGCGCTCTCCGACCTGAAGGCTAAGCTCAAGGGCTTTCTCAAGGGCAATAAGAGCAAGAAGCCAGAGGAGAAGCCAGCCGAAGCCAAACCAGCTGAGCCAACTCCTGCTGCTGCCGCTGCTGCCACAAACGGTGCTGCCGCTACCGAAACCGCTGCTGCCGCCGATCCTGCTCCAGCAGCTGCTGGTGAGTGAAAGTTCTATCCACCGTGTCTCATCTCATGCTTAGCTGTTCTTGGTTCCTAATCGATCGTTCGATAGCTGCTCCCGCTGAAGCCAAAGCTGCTGAGCCCGCTACCGGGACTCCAGCTGCACCCAAGGAAGAAGCAGCACCAGCTGCTCTCCCTGCCACCGCGCCCGCCCCCGCGACCGCGCCTACTGCCGCCATCGCCGCCGACCCGGTTGCTGCCGCAGCTCCTGCCGCGACCGAGACCGCTGCCGCTGCCGCTGAACCCGCCAAAGCTGCTGTTGCTGGTACGTCCCTTTCTGTTTCTTATACATATCCCGGAAATTCTAGTATTTGAGATGCCATAGTTAGGGCTGGCCCTATCCTGGTACAATAATCGGCATATTGTGATATGACATGCTCATTCACAGGGCTATACTTCAATAAGGCCATCGTCAAGGTATCTTTAATGCTAATGGATTTTAGCTACCCCAGCTGCCCCGGCCGCCCCCGCCGTACCAGCCGCAACTGAGCCTGCCGCCGAAGTCAAGAAGGAAGAGCCTGCTACACCAGCCGCAACCCCTACCACAGCTGCCTAATGCGTCCACTTGACTTGGGCCTTTAGCACTCGAGCACAGCTCTCCTTGGTCCATGTTACTAGTTGCATTATTGGCGCAAGTGTGTTTGATGATTGGGGAAGGAGACAGACGGTAATGGCAGGTGTTTGAGAGCGTCATGGACAGGATATCGTTTTCAAATTGTGTTGTGAATGATGGCGGAGGAGGTTGCACTTTCTCTCAATACCCCCTTTGAGTCACGGATCAGGATGCATGGCTGGTGTGAGCCTTCACTGATGGATAACAATACCCCGATACCCTTGCTTGATAGTCTTTATATTGATCCTTGTTTTATTCCAGTTCGAAGGCCGTCCTTTTGATTGTGAGCTTTGCCTTGGGACGGGGACCGGTTCGCGCCGTCCCATACTACGTGCACGAGGTTGATACTTGAAATTTTGAGGATAGAAACACGCCATATAAACTACCTTGTTAACGTAGGCCCTCGCTTTGCCTTGGCGCAGGCGCAGGCTTTGTTGTAAAAACGCCCTCTCTCGGTAGGTTCAACTCACTCTAGTTCGGAAAGTCTTGTTGGTGCTGGCCAGTTTTATATCTATGCTCATTGCAGTAGAACAGGCGAACTAACCACTCCATTTCCCAATCCCCTTTCTCCCATAGATGTAGATTGGTGCTATAGCCATTTCTCAGCGTGGAACCCAAGCAAGAGGTACTGTTTTCCTGAGGATGTCGTTGATCTTTACCGGTGGACTGGGCCTAGAGTCCCTAACATCAACATCAGAATCCCTTACCATCTTGAGGATCTTATCTTTACAACGAATGCAGCATGGCGGATGGGGCACCTCCTATGTCTGGTTCGGTGTATTATGTTCATGATGAAACCGCTATAGGTGTGAATTGGGCGTTGCGTATAGACAACCAAAGGCTTATATATCTACCTACCATTAAGAACCACTGATGCCTGGCCGACGTGCAGCTGCCCTCTTATGCTAGCACCTCTCTTAAGTATTTGCAAACAAGGTACATGAAGGGATGCGGATCTACGTAGTACCCTTTACTTAAAACCTTAGGGGCGCGGTAGTTGCCGAGGCTGTCCCAGGAATTTGTGTCAAGAAGTGAACCACGAAAATGCTCATTCCTCCACGAAGCCGTAGGGTATTTCTGTAGCGTGTATTGTGCTTTTAAACCATCCTCAGTACTTGCGTATCAAAGAGATGCATCAGAACTCACAGATGCAGGACTTAGAAGAGTCGTTGGCGGTGATGATTTGCACAGATCGGCACGGGCGGACCCAGAGGCCAAAGCCCAGAGCGGAAAGGTGCAAGACATCCAGGGGCCGCTCGCTAGAATTTAATGAGGTCGTCCCCTGAACCCATACCTTATTTACGACGTGCTGTATTGTACGATCCCCCTCCAACAGCTCTGAGGACCCCTTCGTCGTTATCCAGCTCCATTATTGCTTTGATCTGCCGAATCTCGGCATTGCATACCATAGGCCGTGCCACATCGACACAACCAGCGAAACAGGAGACCCATTGGCGTTCTCCAACGGCGCTGGATTGCATCTAAAGACCCCTTGCAGAGTGTCAACAGCTGCCGCGCATCGCATCGCGTATTCACCCAGTTGACGTCGCGCAAATAACTGTCAAGAAACCAGGCGGTGTACGAGACACAGAGGAACAGCACAGTGTGAGTGAGTCCTTGGTCTACTATTGGGGGCTCTGCAGTAGCAGATAATGGCGTGCATGGAGGGGAATCGGATCCAGTGATCGATCGGCCGTGACGTGTCGTTGTCTAAGTACATTATCTGTCAGGAGGGGGTTGCAGAGGCGCAAGCTCCAGCTATTACAATCGCAGTAGCGTTCAAATTAATTTCCCCAAGACTTCTATACTAATTATTTTGCTGTAGTTAATCTCTCAAATATTTACAAAACACGACCTATAAGACATTTGCCTTCATCAACGCAATATGGCCGAAGTGGAAACCGCCCCTATGCCTACCCAGGATGACGCTTCAACCTCCGAGATCTTGTCGAGCGAGGAGACAGCTGGGATAGCGTCGGAAGTTGAGACGGAGACTGAGAAGGAGCCCGAGAAGGAGCCCGAGAAGGAGATTGAGAAGGAGACTGTGAAGGGTACTCCAACGAAGGAAGCCGCCAATGGAGCGAAGAAGGAAAATGTTCCTCCAAAGCGCGCGGGAATTGTCGCGGCAAAGCGCCCTTCCACAGTATCGTCCGCGACGAAGCCTACCGTATCACCCTCTACTCGAACATCTGGCGGTTTGAGCAAGCCTCCTCTTCGCTCCGTCCCAGGCTCCACTGTACGAAAAACGACTAGCGCAACTGGGCCAACATCCGCGAGTGCATCCCATAGATCTCAAGCATCCATTGGAGGTTCTGGCGATGATAAGAAGAAGCCATTGTCAGGTCCCGCCCGGAGAACCTCTCTTGCTCCTTCAGCAACCTCCGCCAAATCCGAGACCCTTGCCGAGAAACGTGGAAGCACGATATCCTCTGCGACTGCTACGCGAAAGCCAGCCACCTCAATCAGCTCATCTAGCCCGAAATCTGCTGTCAAAACTGCTGGGTCGAGTTCCACATCATCACGAGCGACTGGGCCATCTAGCACAACTGCTAGCAGAACTGCTCCAACTGCTAGATCTACAGCCACTGGTGTAGTTTCCGACGCGAAGAAACGCCTTTCGACTATCTCAGGCTCAGCAACTGTGTCGAGACCCTCCGTCCGCTCTGGAGTAACTTCCGCGGCCGCTACATCGTCCAAGGAAATCGACCAGCTCAAGACGAAGTTGGAAGAGAGCGAGGCGAAGGTCGAAGAACTCCAAACTCAGCTCGTCTCCTCCCAGGAGAAATTGGCCGAAATTGGGAAGCAGCTCGAAGAGGAAGCTAAACGAGTTTCTGAAGCGGAGTCCAACATTCGCACCGAACATAACGAAATGGTCGAGAAGCTACATGCCAAGCACAAGGCTGATGTTGAAGGACTAGAAGTTCAATTGGCTGATGCTGAAGTTGCTAAAGCTTCGGCACAAGAAGCATCTTTAAATTCTATAGAAGAAGCCCAACAAGCGGCGGCAGCAAAGGGGGCATCAGAAACGGCGGAAGCGCTCGAGAAACTCCAAGCCGAACATGCCTCCGCATTGGAAGCACTTGAGGCCGAGCTAGCTGGCGCCAAGGAAGCCAACTCAGCTGCTGCATCTGCGGCTTTGGAGAAGGAAGCAGAGATAGCAACTCTGAAGTCCTTGCTAGATCAAGGGAAGACGGAGCTCGAGGCTTTGAAATCTGAACATGAAACTGCCATCGGTGCACTCAAGGAGTCCTTAGAGGCGGACCATACTGCTGCCCTAGAGGCGTTGAAACTTACTCACTCCGAGGAGCTCGCTAAAGGCAGCACAGAAGCGACATCAGTCTACGAGAAGCAAGTTGCAGAATTTAATGAAAAGCATGAATCTGCGACCAGCGAGCTTCAGAGGCAACTCGAAGAAGCGTCCGCCACTCGAATGTCGTTGGAAGCTTCTCATAGAGAAGAAGTTGCAGAATTTAATGAAAAGCATGAATCTGCGACCAGCGAACTTCAGAGGCAACTCGAAGAAGCGTCCGCCGCCCGAATGTCGTTAGAAGCTTCTCATAGAGAAGAGTACGAAAGCTACCGGGCTGAATCAAAATCGGCAATGGCTACTCTTGAGGAGGAAGTAGCTAGGTTGGAGGCAAAGACCGAAGAGGATTCGAAGTTGTTGAATGAAACCACAGAAAAGCTCGGTGATCTGAGCACACAGTTCGACGCGGCCCAGAAGCAGTTGCTCTCAGCTCAAGAAGAACTCAAGGCAGCATCTGAGAAGTACGAGATCTTGCAAGCTAAGGATGCGGAGGATGAAAAAGCCATTGCAGCAGCCCAGGATGAACTGACTACGGCTAAGCAACAAGTGGCTTCTCTTCAGAAAATGATGGACACATTTGATGAAGAAGGCAGGGGCAAGGATGAATTGCATAATAAAATCAAAGCAGAGCTTGCTACCACCGCACAAAGTCTAGAAGATAAGGCAAAAGAGATCGCGCTCCTGCAGGAGCAACACGAAAAGGAGCAAGAGAAACACCAGTTAGAACTTCAAAATGTCACCAAGGACTATGAAAGGGAAATTGAAGCGCTCCAGGGCAATTCGGGAGTTAGGGAGGAATACGAGTCTCTTAAGACAAAGCATGAGGAACTGGTTAAGTCCCACAGTGAGGCCACAGCATCCCATACCGAAGCGCTCAAGAAAGCTGAGCAAGGCCAAGCTGCTGCCGCTGCTTCTCTTGACGCCGCCGAGAAGGCCCATCAGCAAGCAGTTGAAGAGTTGAAGGCCAGCCAAGCGAAGAGCCTGGATGAGGCCCATGATAGAGCGATTACGGCCGGCGATGCTTCTCGAGCAGTCGAGTTGGAGCAGCTCCACGCAAGCCATACCCAGGCCATTGCTGCCTTGAAAAAAGATCATGAGGCTAGTCAAGTAACCGCAACCTCCGACGCTGAGAAATTCAAGGTATTTACATTCCTGCTTTGTAACCCGGATCTCCATCTAACTAACTTTTAATAGGCGGCTCAGAGCAAATTGGAAGCTGAACTTGCAGGACTTAAGGAGTCACTAGACGCCTCTCAGGCGGAAATGGATGCTATCAAACAAGAACTAGCACTCGAGAAGATGGCCAAGACTTCTGCGGAGGCTGATCTGGATGCCGTAAAGAATAAGAAGCCGGACACTTCGGAAGCGGACGCTTTGCGAAAAGAGTTACTGGCTTTGAAGGAGGAGCACCAGAAAGCTCTTGAAGCCGCTAAACAGGAAGTCGATGAGGCTATCGACGACAGCTTGGCAACAAAGGTCGCTCTCGAGAAGAAGCAGGCGGAAATTGACAAGGCCCAAGCTGAACTCGAGAAGCAGAAGGCCGAAACAGAAACCCAGGCTAAGACGTCGAAGGCTGATTATCAAGATCTGCATGATAGCCTAGGCCAACTAGTTGAGGAAGCGAATAAGAAGGCTGCAGATTTAGAGGCTCGACTAAAGGAAGCGGAAGCGATGGTCAAAGTGAAGGATGCAGAACTTAAGGAATCAAAGGTTTGTGATCAATTCAGAAGTGCGATAATATCCCATACTGATGCAGATGTCTCCCTAGGCTAAGAGTGCGGGCCCTGGTCTCGCTGCAAGCAAATATGCTGCAGAGGCTGATCCTGACAGTGGTGCAAATAAAGAGGCGGAGCTAGAGCCGGAGACGGTGGAAGGTGAGCATGACAGTTCATCAGCCGCACTTGCGTCGGTCCGACAACCTTCTCCTTTAGCCCTGAATTTATTTCGCGCTACACAGTCCTGTCAATCACAACCATGAAGCCTAAAATAAGTATGGCAAAGCTAACTGATCATGTCTGCCTATAGTTAGCAAAAGCTAAAGTCACCGCCCAGCAACTCGAGCAGATGAATGAAGATTTGAAGCAGGATAACTTGAGGTAATATGCACTATCTCCTTCGACAACTGAACCCGCCACTAACCACTCATAATACAGATCTCTCGAATCCATCACCGACGTCACTCCACCCGTCACAGCCTAATAACCAACCCCCTATTCCTACATCTCACGAACCCATCTTCAAATCACCAATACGAAGACACGACTATCACCCTTCCAACCTCTTTATTTACGGCCCAGGCCGGGCAACCCCGTCTCATTTAATGGCCTGCGGCCCTTTTTCTCTACTTCTTGTTTTTGTTGAACAAGCAATTGGCTTGCTTGCCCTTGCTTCAGAAGATAAACTGGCATACGATACCCCTCTGGCCTCTATACCCCATTTTGCCCTCCATTTCTGAGCTGAATAATTCTACCGGGCCTACTGTTTTTCTCCTGGCCGGTCTTCACTTAGCAAAGAGAGGCACTTCTGTTGATAACTAGCGAATAACGGATTTGAGATCCTGCTATTGTATTATGGTTTTTCTTTTCGCTGGTGGACAAGAAGTCAACAAGCTTTAGTGCGCGACCAAGTATTTAGTATGTGTGAAATGTTGATGAAGTCCCCTCTCACCCTTACATATCACGCTGGTTAGCATACCTCGTTGCATAAATGTGCGAAGCGATTTGGAAACGTATGTAATGATCTGCATCTATGTACTAAGAGAGCTAATATGGCTATTTGAGGGGTATGGAAATTCGCTCCGCTTCACCATAAAGCAGCTAGCCCCGCTATTTCCCCCGCCACATGTAACAAGTGCTTTTCGCTCCGATTTTGCAAAGATATTTTGAACTCATTCCCTTCCTAACTTATGCCATCCCCTCAGACCACAAAATCTCCCCCCAACGCCCTCGCCGAGTAATGCATAGCATAAGCCTGTAGCACTGTGTTTCAAAATCGCTAGTTCTTTTGTCCCTTGATGAAGGCACAGTTCTCTCTGCCCCTTTCCAACGTAACAGAACGGTGCATATTCGGAATATTGGCGATATAAGTAAATGGCAAGGTAATATTTGTTGTTTTGTTGTGATGTGATTCATATTTCCTAAGCAAAGCGAACTTGATGTCGAGATGTAGAGTATGATTCTAATCTTTTGGTTTTCGGGGTTTCAACTTATATGCTATTATGCGATGTCATTTTCTGTTGTTGAACCTGCCATTGAGTTTGGTTGGTCTTCGACTGGGTTCTCGGATGGTGTGGGTGTGGGTGTGGGATGTTTTCGTGCCAAGTGTGTAAAAGCAGATGGGATAAAGGATTCCGGAGCCCAGTCCCATGATCCGTAGTGTCGTAGGTAAATTATGATTTCGCTAACACCCTCCCCTAATACTTGTTAACGCCATCATTCAAGTACTGGATTAAGCTATCTATGTAGGTACTTACCACCAAGGAAGAGCAAAGCGTTCCGGGTCAAACTCGGAGGCAATCCATAACTACCGAACAAGATACTGCTTGGAGGGACGATGACACGAATGGCCCAGTCGCCGAAGGAACCTCCGAAGTTGAGACCTTTGGAAAATTTGGACACGAAATCTGTGATAGAAACAATATTCCCCAGACTGGAATGTATTTTGGATACTGTCAGACTTGCTTGCTCAAGCTGGTTGGCATGAATTTCGAACAAATCGGTTGCGTTTCCAAGGGCCATGGCCAGGGACTGGGACCGCTACGAATAGGTTAGTGTGGTTTTGACGAGATACTTATGGTTATTCTCACCTCTCCCATAGCTTCCTGTTGTCTAGCCAAGGTCTCCGCTCGAGAAGAAAGGTTTTGCTATCCAAGTTAGAGAGGATGTGAAACCTAGGGAGTATGTCTTACCATAGCGGCTTCTACCAGGTCTGTATATGCCTTCGCCACAACTGCCATTTTATTTATCGTCTCCAACTGGTTCTCCAACTTGGTTGTAGTCACTGCCAAAGACTGCTCTTGGTTTGCCGCCATCTCAGCATTCACTTCAACTGTGGTTTGGAAGAGAGAGTGTAGAGCGCGTTCGATATCTATGCCGCTTTGTCGAATAAACGCAATTGATGTGACAATGCCCTATTTGATTTAGTTAATAATTTCTTCTCCAAAGGGCGGATTAAACCAACATCGGCTTCGCGTGAAGCTGTTTCCATAGTGTCCTGGAATTTAGATTTCAAGCGGTGAGCATGCTTCATGAAGCCTTCGAAATATTCATCGGCTTCGTGAGTGTGGGCTTTCATGCTCATCTTCAGATGTTCTAATTCGTCGCCTAGGTTATTTGCAAATTCGGCCATAATTTGAACGAGCTTTTTCTGTGACTCGAATAACTGATCTTGAAACTGGTTAGAGGGTTCAATCAGTAGGGCCGAACGGACATACCTTTATCCATGTCAATGCTTGCAGCCCGACAAAAGAGCAAAGCAGAGTCACGTCGATGGAGCCATGTCATCCAATGTGTATGATCTTGGGAGAGTGTCGTAAGGCAGACCTGTACTTGGTTTGGTGGTACAAGCAGTGTATCCTCGTTATTCTCAACGACTTGTTGCATTGCCGTGCTAGAGAGTGCATAGCACTGCTCTGGGACTTCCCAGCCAACATCTTCCATATCACAAAGGGTTAGGGCAGCCGCGAAGCTCTCGACGTGGTTTCTCTGTAGGCGTGCCGTGGTGAATTCTAATGTCTGCTCAGTGATATCTTGCAGGTTGCGGCAAGTGTTCATAAGCAATTGGGCTGCCAACCGGTGACATAGCGGCTCATCTTCCAGTCGTTTCAATTCAAGCATTGCTTTGGCGTAGAATTCGGGCTTTTGAGCTTTTGAAACCAGGAGTTCCTTGAAGTTGAAATTTCCAACTGGCTTAGCGGTCTGAGAAACTTTTACAGAAGAGCCAGATCCTTCTGAGGAACGTGAGATAGGTGAGTTGTCTGGAAGAGAAATATACTTTTGAAACGGAGACTTGAAGGGGTTAATCGCTACCGCCCACAACGGGAATACCGCCCAGAGGAGAACTTGAAACTGCCACATAATTGACATTCGCATGGCTACCTGCTTTGGTCTGGTTATTGGGAGGTAAATTAGGATGCGACTCGCCGCCTTCGATCGGTGGCTTTGGCGGTGAAGATCGAAGTGATGATAGACGATATTGAAGTTGGAGTGTTAGAAAGCTGCTATTATCACTTTCGACGCGTCTCTAATACTTCTGCTGATGAATTGAAACTGATCAAACTTTAATAGAGTGAAAGTGGACTGAACTAAAAGTATGATACTGGGGGACGCGTGAAAAAATGAAGATGGAGGTGGTGGAGGAGGGAAAGAGACGAGAGGGCGAGAAGGTCGCCTTGAGGAGGGACTCCCTTGGATTAAGCGAGGTATCAATTGAACAGAGGGTGGGTATGCTAAGGGTGAAAGGCATAGCGAGGGCCAGAAAACTGAAAGCTTTTCCTGTTCATTTAAGTCGAAAAAAGAAAGACAAAAGAAATACTTGAAATAATCGTTCTTGCGAGTCCCAAGAAACTAGAGTTTACACTTTTGTTATCTCTGGCAGAACATTCAGGGGCACCGCCGGTGGAGCTGGTATATAGTTCGTGAACATTTGAAAATGTCTAGTATACCAGTTGCCTCACCCAACCCGCCGGTCTCTATTGTTAGTATGGTTTTGTTCATCTGGCTCTATATTGACCCCTTGGAAGGAGTACATTAGCCGATGGACTGCTGAGTTTTATTAGGTTTGTTTAGAAGTTATGTTCTGCAGTGCTAGAGGCCATCTGGCAATGCAACTTCCGGGTCTATATATGAATTAGTATGATGCTGGCTTTGACGCCGCCCACCTTCCCGCGCTCTACGAAGGTAAGTGCAACTCTGGTAGAATACGGTTTAGTGTTGTTAAGCCAGGCCTAGAGTAAGGTACTGTAAGCACGGCTACCTTATTACCAGTATGAAACCCCCACGGAGACAAGAGTAGCAGTACAATATACATACCTTCCGCTGCCTGCACTATTGCCAGGAATCGCCAGCTTATTAGATGAGGCAAATAGCAAACGTCCACATTCATTTCGTTCAACACCTAATGGCACATTCCTGCCTCCTCTTCTCCTAGGCTCATCATGTCCATCCTTTCGCCACGTTCAAGACGGGAATGGGAGCGCGATCTCTGCCGAAACCTTCGCAGTTTGCAGCAACCAACCTGGGGCTTTACCATCTTCCGTACCGTCTACACGCTAGAGTTAGACACCCAGTTTCCATCGTTTATAGTAAACTTGATGCCTACATCAAGTGTTCTACTGATTCAGACCTTAGGCCAAGCCCTTTTATGGCCTGTAGCACTGAACCACCATTTGATTCGGGACCGAATGAGGAGATGAAGAGACGATATAAAAACGATGTCGTGGACGACCGTAAATTGGACAGTGCGAGTATAGAGAAGTCAGAGATGCATTTACGAAATGGTTAGACGATAGGGGCGTCGATCTCGAAATACACGCACTCTATGCTCGACATCGAGTGTGTATTATGGTCGATACGGCCGTTCTGAATTCTGTAGCAGCAGGACCAGAAGATCCAAGTCAAGGCGATAAGCTCGAACCTATATGGGTTAAGGTGGCCGAGTACTTGGCGCCAGGGGAAGAGGAGTGGCAGGGCTGGTTGAAAGTCGGATTAACTGCTCTAAATTATTTTTGGTTAATGTTTGTGCAGGTGGAGAGGTCGTGGATATGTTTCTGGAAACGATGGAAGACGGGTTGGGGGACGTTTTTAGCTGATTGAAATGACCTAGCTCAACCTTATTATTTGCAGCTAATATCCCTAAATCGTATTCTGTTTGTTGGATTGTTTACTGATCGGCCATGCTTTGAAAACCTGCACACTGTTGTTGTCGGAGCAGGTACTTAGGTACCTAGTACTTGATAATGTCGTGTCCAGTCACGTGCCACGATCAAACCCTTGTCAACCTTGAACCCCAAAAAGATGTTCAGCATCAAAGCTCGAAGAGTAGTAGAAACACTGCAGAATCCGCCATGCTTTCCACAGCAAGGAGCAAAGGCCTTGAGAGGGCAATTGCCTCCGCACCATCGGCCTCAATACCCTCATTCCTTTTGCCAGCCTTCCCGCTCGTTCCCGCCCGCTCGTTCTCTTCCTCGTCTCCTCGCGCGTCGCAAATAGGAAGAGCACCTATATCTATACCTCCTGAAGTGAGCCTTACTGTCCTGCCACCGCGTATTCGCAAAAATGGATGGGCACCGCTGGGAAATAGGCCAACTATCAAGATTGAGGGTCCCTTAGGTATATTACACCGCCACACGAATGCGAGGAGGGTTCCAGTTTGCTGACGCGATGGTTGCTCAATCTAGGCCAGATGTCGATGACCATTCCTCCGTTTGTGCTATTGGAGCATGATATAGCTGCTCGGAAAGCATACGTAACCGTGGAAGACAAGGAGGTCAAGAAGCAGAGGGAGATGTGGGGTACGACCCGCAACAACTCTTGTACCTCTCATGCTTGCTAATTTACTCCACAGGGACAACACGCGCATATTTACAAAACCACATTCTGGGCGTATCGGAAGGGCACACGGCGATTCTGAGGCTAGTAGGCGTCGGGTACAGAGCTACGGTTGAAGATTCGGCTACGACGGTCACACCAGAATTCGAGGGCCAGAAATTCGTCGTACTAAAGGTTGGATATTCGCATCCAATTGAGTTGCCTGTGCCGAAGGGCATGAAAGCGTCGGTGCCGCAGCCTACCAGAATATTGTTGGAAGGGCCGGAGAAGGAGGTTATTTTGCAGTTTGCTGCGAATATTAGGAAGTGGAGGGTACCGGAACCTTACAAAGGAAAGGGGATCTTTGTGAACGGGGAGACTATTAAGTTGAAGGCGAAGAAGATCAAATAGTGGTGTGTGGGATATTTGTATTATATGGGTCACATTGTAGAGATAGGGATGTCGACTTCGGATCTGGAATATGTATGGTTTATACTTTATCGAAGAGCTCTAAGAAGTGTCTATTTCTTGGAAAGGACCTCCTTGACAACATCGAGTACAATGCTATGTACAGCGCTCGGTGCCGCAACAACGCCTTTATTCTCAGCCAACGTCCTCCCCTTGCTGAAATCGAGTCTCCTCCCAAGTGTATCTGTAACTTGTCCACCCGCCTCCCTTACAATAAGATCTCCAGCTGCATGATCCCATATCTTTTCCTGGTAGGTAGCACTGACAGGTAATCTGAGATATATATCTCCAGCTCCGCGTGCAATAGAACCGTACTTTGATTGCGAGTCCATCCTGACGCTGGGCTTGGTAATCTGCAACTTGGCAGCAATGGCAGCTTGGTCTCCATGGGATGAGTGGCCTGCCTCCACACTTTCACAGAATGTAGCCTGAGTTATGTCGTTAACCGGCTTCATGTGAATTGGCTTGCTTTGAGCTAATCCTCCAGCCGTTAATGGCCGACTTGTGGCACCTTGTCCAAAGACGGCGGAGAACAGAACTCCCTTTCCTTCCGCATCTGTTTGATCCATACCCGAATCTGCAGTCAAGGGCGCAGAGTCATCCACGGGAAGGTTTGGGCATCCAAGTGCACCAACTTTGACCTCGCCATCTACCATCAGCGCTAGACACACAGCATACTGGCCACCTCGTAAGAAGCCCTTAGTTCCATCAATTGGATCGAGCGCCCAAATTCTGCCTTTGCTACCTCCAGCGCTGTTTCCCGCATCAATGGCATTTAGCATGGCATCCACGCTTTCCACTGGACCTCCCAACAGCTTCTCGGAATCGGCATCTGTAAGCTTTGTACCCTTAACCAGAGCCCAAATCTCATCACGCAGCTTGTGATTGTCTCTCAAAGTACTTGCTTCCTCCTCACCAACCACCTCATCACCAGGGAAATTCTTCTTGATAGCTTGGATGATAAGAGCCTGAGCGCCAAAGTCACCAATAGTGACGGGAGACTTGTCGTCCTTGGAGACAGTCCCTTTGGCCTTTTCATGGAAGACCTTCTTGGTCAAGATAGCGGCCCGCTGCACTGCTAGCTCTGCCACTTCTAGTTCCCGGCTGTACGTAGACATTTTGGCGGTTGTGGAGAGTATGTTTAGGGAGGATGAGGGCGAGTAGAGATGATGAGAAAGGATAGAGAGACGCGGCCAGGCTCTGGTTATTATGGCAGCCAGAATTATGAAAATGAGAGAAAATATCAAAAGTTGGCGTGGAATGACGCTGACGCTGCGTGAGAGGATCCTACGTGGATAATTCGTGGGATTACCCTGGGCGAGGGCCGGGCCGAGACCTTTACGATGTGTAATGGTGCGGATTTCTGAGGCTGGTTCAGTGTCCTCTTGTGATAGCTTTCTGGAGATAAGACCCTTCTGCATTAAATGGAAAGTAAGAGACCAGTTATCTTTTTGGATTTGGTATCGTGTCAACGTTTGGCCCAATTGCTACGTGGGAGGTGGGGAGGATACAGAGTGTAAGTATATTTAAAGTTACACCTGGTGTGCTTTGAGCGCTTTACAGGGATGAAGTCGGAGGTCGGAGCTTGGGTTTGTTTGTCCAGCCTTGAGGCATATCGAGTTATTATTGTTTTGTTACGCTGGTGAAGTGCAACAAAGCAACCATTCTAATTTCGAATCAAGGGCTTTGGTGCTTCTACAGAGAAGACGGCCGGAATTTATTCTAGCAGCCTCGCAACTATGAATGCGACCAAGCGAAAATTCAATGCTCTGTTGAACGGCATTGGCACCAAGTCAACCACCTCGTTATCCTCGAAAGAAGCACACAACGATTCGCACGTCGACCTAACAGCTACCGGCGACACAGACTCTCAAGCCAAAAAGCGCCGAATTAGTGGTTCAAGCTCCATAGTAGATGGCCAAATGGCAAGACCGACGCTTGCGACAAAGCTTTCATCGGCGGCCATAAAGCACACGAAGTCCGCATCCCTGGTTACCGCAACCTCCAACGCCGAAACCCCCAAATATGCCCCTTGGGATCGCACGGAGTTCCTCAAGCGTTTGAAGTCTTTCTCCAATCTGACCGACTGGACACCAAAACCTGCGAGGGTTAATGAAGTGGAGTGGGCGAAACGGGGCTGGGTGTGCCAGAAATTTGAGAGAGTGCGATGCTGCCTCTGTAATGTGGAGATACTGGTGAAGCTCAATAAGAAAGAGGTAGATGGAAAGGAAGAGCCGGTTTACGTGGCGCAGAATATCGGTATGCTTGGCGGCTACTCCTTAAGGTCATGACTGACCTTGCGTAGAGGATGCTCTGGTTGACAAGTACGCCGAGCTTATTGTCACCTCACATAATGAAGATTGCCTGTGGAAGCAGAGAGGTTGTGACGGTTGATATCCTTTCCATATCTCTATTTTTCTCACTTCTAACATACCCAGATTCCATATTCAAATTACCTCTTAACCATGCACCAACAACTCTCCACAACCTCCGCCAGCGACACGATGATGTATGTAGGAGGGCCGACAATCTACCATATATGCATAATTTGCGGCTTCCCCAGGAACTTGATCTTGATACTGTTTTGAGTTATCTTCCAAAAGATTTCTTTTCTTCATCTAATGAGCCTGGCCCTAGCCAAGAGGTTCATAAAAATAGAGTTGCATTTTCTATGGCGCTATTTGGATGGGAAGGATATGCACATGATCGACTAGGGGATCAACTGGGATCAGTCTCATGCCACGCCTGTTTCCGAGTTCTTGGCCTATGGCTATTTAAAAGCAAAGGCGTTAATGACGCTGGCGAAGAAACTATAGGCCCAGTTGTCGACGGCCTGGATGTTGTTAAGGAGCACCGAGATTATTGTCCGTGGCGTAACCCAGCTTCGCAGAATGGACTGCAGACGCCATCGAAGTCCGGAACTCCTACGATGGCTGGGTGGGAGACTACGCTGCGCGTGCTAAAGAACGACTACTTTCTGCGGCATGGGAAGGGGAACAAAGAGTCGAGAGCCGAGAAGCCAACAACTCCAGATGCCGGCAGTGTTTTTGATGAATCGATAGCTGATGAGGAAGAGATGAAAAGTAGAGATGAGAAAGATAAAGCGCGGTGGGCGAGATTGCGACGTGTGAAAAGTCTCTTTGAGACAAAGGGAGGAAAGAAGTTACACAGAACGGATACCAAAGGCAAACCAACTACGTGATGATTTATTTGTCACAGGTATTGGAGCGTTGGGCGAGTTAATGGCATGCAACGTTGGAAATGGGACTGTTTATACAGTTACTACCGGAGTACGGGTATTTCCTGGGAGCAATACTGGCGTGGCATTGCTGAGCGGTTGTAATTCGAGATACCCAGTATGACATCAACATCAAGCTACTTAATGGCTCAACATTGGTGTGACTACGCTCATGTTCTACTCATAGTGGAGACGGCATTCCCACCAAAGACTATCTTGGCCTAAGGTGAGCAAGTCTTGTAACTGAATGTAGATCTGAAATTTAGTTATAGAAATGTTTTGGCCATAGCAAGCCAGGATAGGATCTGAATTTAAACATAAGGAAGAAAAATGTAACCGGCGTTAAGAGAGACAAGTGACGCCCTTATGTGCTAAAGTGACCTCGTAATGTACGAAGTATGCTTTTGCTACCTCCGCCCACTTCTTGCCTTTGCCTCGCCTTTACTCACCTTAGTTCGCCCAGCATTGCCAATAAAGCAGTCCTATTCACCTTTCCCAACAGAAACAGACACCGTGCAGGTCATTATTTACCTTAAACAACTAGCTGTTATAACTTCCACATAGCAGTTGTAGGTAGCCATCTATGCAAAAAACGTGACTTGGCGTAAAGTGGTTCTTATCGTATTGATCTGCCCAATCGGTTGTCATGACGACAAACGCGATTCGCGACCAACTAATCCTCCTTGGTGATGGAGGGCATCGTCACACTCGCACTAGGCATTTCACGACCAACCTAACTTTTGGAGATTCACCGAATTCATGAGGTATTTGAAAATGGATTTTGAATGCGAGTATGTGAGGGCTAACTCTAATTTCTAGAGGTGCTAGCCCTTTTGCGCCTCAAAATACGCTGAGATCATCGGAGACCCCCACATTTAAGGCAAAACGGCCTGGCTCCAACAATCAGCATCGACGACACCAACATCAACAACAACAACAACACGCGCGAGTAACGATAGCAACAAAATCTTCCCCGGAACTCCCACCCTTCGACAAAGAATCAGATTCTCCTGAATACACGCATACAAACTATCCTCCATCACTCTCCGAACTTGGAGACTCCAGTTCATTGTTCTCCGACAATTCACCCGCACATTTCGATTTCGGTACAGCCGGTCCCAGAGCAGCGCAAAGCAACTGTCCTATCCCCTTCGTCTTTGGGACACCAATAGGAGAGCCGAACCATTCAAAACAGAAGCATTCAAAGCTTCGCACAACGATGGTTAATGAAAGATCGCCTGGAAAGGCCCCTCTACGCCCAGTTATGCCTAACGACCAGTCGCACAAACAGACAGATAGTTCTAGCAGCTCAAAGGTCCCTCTATCGAATGTTCCACAGTTTGGTCAACCCACGCTTCCACAATCACCACTTCATCGGGTTTCACAGAAGGAATCAAGCATGTTCATCAAACCAAAATCAAGACCTGAGCATCATCGAGATGTGGACAGAACCTGTAGGAACCTTTTCGAATTCCTTGTTATGCATGTGGAACTGATCAAAAATTGCCTACAGCGCATCCAGACTACCAAACTATAACGGGTGCTGCTCGGAAGGTGGTTGATCCATTACTTCCCAGAGCTCCAGCTGCCTTTCAGCCACAGAATAGATACGCGTAAGATATGGTCCACTTCACTGTTTGAATCTCAGCTCATATAAAAAATTAGGCCTCCGTCTGGAAGTGCGGCCCCAGTTCCGGCACCGGCCCCTTTTTCAAATACGTACACCACGGTCAAGGCTGCTCCGGTCCCGACCTTCGGCTCAATGGGAGGTTCATATGGAGGCTTCCAATCTGTCAATGCCAACAATTCATACATCGACCTTACCTTGAGCAATTACCGAGCTAGAGAGACCGATTATGATCCATTTACATTTGTGGACCCAGCAAAGGCACAAGAAGATCTAAAGGCATTACTTGAAGGAGTAATGGAGGATGATGACGATATGCCAAGAACTAGGTCCCGTAAGAAGAAGATTGCCGAAGTAGACGCTCTCGCAAACAGCCTTAAGGATCTTGATGTCGAAGACAAGCTTGACGTTGAGGAAGATGAGGACGATGGCACTGTAGAAGGCATCAATGTCAAGTTACTCCCTCATCAAGTGGAGGGACTAGAATGGATGATAGGTAGAGAACTTGGTACCGGCAAGAAAGGCAGAGTCCCAAAGGGCGGAATCCTTGCCGACGACATGGGTCTCGGTAAGACATTGCAATCACTGTCGCTCATCCTCAACAACCAAAAGCCCACAGATGGAGAAACTATTTCCAAACGCAAGCTTCCTTCTGGAGTCGAGAAATGTACATTGGTGGTTGCACCGTTGGCCCTCATTCGTCAATGGGAGTTGGAGATCAAAGACAAAGTTTCAAGCTCACACTCCCTTCGCGTTGTCGTTCACCATGGCGCGCAACGCACAAAGCGGTTTCAAGATCTGAAGAAGTATGATGTCGTTATCACAACATATCAGATTCTAGTCTCAGAGTTTGGCGGTTCCTCGGATGATGAAAACGGCATTCAGGTTGGCTGCTTCGGCCTGCACTGGTACCGGGTTATTCTCGACGAGGCTCATACCATCAAGAATCGCAATGCTAAGGCTACCCAGGCTTGTTACGCCTTACGAAGCGAGTACCGGTGGTGTTTGACGGGCACACCGATGCAGAATAACTTGGATGAGTTGCAGAGCTTGATCAAATTCTTGCGTATTAAACCGTACGACGACCTTAGAGAGTTCAAAGACCAGATAGATCGCCCCATGAAGAATGGTAGAGGCGACGTTGCGATCAAACGCCTCCGTCACTATCTGAAGATATTCATGAAGCGTCGCACCAAGGATATTTTGACAAAAGAGGGTGCTTTAAATCCTGGCGGAAAGCCATCCGCTCCCGGAGAGGTCAGCAAGACTGGATTCAAGGTCACGGAGCGGAAGATCGAGAAAGTATTTGCAGAATTCTCTCCCGAGGAGCGAAGATTTTACCAGCGCCTCGAGCAACGTACCGATGCGAGCATAGAGCAGATGATGAGTGGCGAGAAAATCAACTACGCAAGTGCATTGGTTCTGCTACTGCGTCTAAGACAAGCCTGCAACCATCCACAGCTCGTCACCGGTAAACTTGCTAAGGACAACGAGGCACTCGGAGCCGATGCTTCTTCTAACCAAAAGGCCAAAGTATCAAATGCCGATGTTGACGAGATGGCCGACATGCTTGGAGCTATGGGCGTGAGTACTAAGAAATGCGAAGTATGCCAGCTGGAGCTTGGCAAGCAAGCGGTTGCGGACGGTGCGATTCGATGTTTAGATTGCGAAGCAGATCTTGAAGATGTCACCAAGAAGCGCAAACCGGGAAAAGACAAAAAGAAACATAAACGAGATCGGGCGACTAAGGAAGGGTCTGAAGCTATTGCACGAAAGCCGCGGAACAGAGCTATCATACACGATAGCGATGACGATGATGATGACAACAATGAAGGATCATGGGTCGTGCCTGAAAACGAGCAAGGGTCCCTCAAACTTGGAAAGGCTGGAGGAATCAAGGACGAGAATGCCGAAGGTGGCGGGGAGTGGCTCGATTCTGACGAAAACGATGAGACATTTCCCGATCTCCAACATATAGGCACAATGAAGAAGCCTGTCAAGATTGACACTTCTGAGTCAGAGTCAGAATCAGACTCAGACTCAGAGGTTGAACACGAATTTCAATCATCGGATGAAGAAGCTCAACTTGCAACGATAGTAAGTTCGACTAAAATCAAACACCTGCTGGAGATCTTGGGCAAGGAAGCGGCTGAACATAAGTTCATTGTTTTCTCGCAATTCACATCGATGCTGGATGTCATTGAACCATTCCTCCAGCAGAAGGGGTTCAATTTTACCAGGTACGATGGAAGCATGAAAAACGACCACCGCGAGGCTAGTTTGAATAGATTACGAACCGATCCAAACTGCAGAATATTGCTTTGCAGTTTAAAGTGTGGATCCTTGGGATTGAATCTCACGGCAGCTACTCGCGTGGTTATTTTGGAGCCCTTTTGGAACCCCGTAAGTTTCGAGTCCTACATTCGTTACCACCACTAATAAAAACTAGTTCGTTGAAGAGCAAGCTATCGACCGAGTTCATAGGCTTACACAGAAGATTGATGTCATTGTCTACAAGATTACCGTCAAGGATTCCGTCGAAGAGCGAATTCTCGATCTCCAGGAGAAGAAACGGGAGCTGGCCAAGCAAGCTATTGAAGCAGGCGGCAAGGGAGGAGTAGGCAAACTCGGTATGAAGGAGATCCTGCAACTCTTCAAGCGAGATGCAGAGCATGCTCCTCCAGGTCCTGCATCCGCTCAGTATGATTTGGGTGCGAAACCTCGGATCTTGAAGGAACTCACCACTATTAGTGGTCCCAATTCAAGCAGCCAAACTGTTCCCCGTGCGCGCACGGTCACTCCTCCATCTGGATCTAGCAGTGCTGTGAAGGAGGATAGTGTTTATGGTAGACGATGGTAATCCCGTGATAGGGGTTTTTATCATGTGCAGCAAGTTAGACATGCGGCGTAGGCAGGTGTTTGATTTGGTTTTGCTAGAGTCTGGTGCTTCTTTATGAATAACAAATGAAAAGAATAAGGCGAGACCTTGTGGTTATTAACTATATCGTCCCAGACAGTTCCCTCTACTTCTGTCGTTTAGTACGTAGTACCATTATTAAATCATCTTATAGTGATCGTAGGAGGTGTCCAGAAGTGGCTACAATGATAGCACAGCCTATGTAACTCAATATTAACAAGCATCTTCTACTAAATAACAGTATACTATTTGAATAACAGCTGGTCTCTAACTTGACAAACTGTTACTAATGTGACAACCTGTGCCTTTGCCTAGCCTTGCTATACAAATTAACAAGAACTCATAGACTGCGTTTTAATAATTAATTACAGGGCGACATTAAAGTTTCTTCTTAGCTACGCTTCTGGCTCTTTGTATTCCGTCTTTGGTTTCAGCACACCACAGGCAGGCCCATGTTTGCCGGAATAGCTAGAAAGGTTTCTGGAACAGAGGGAGGCCCGGCTTTTATAGTCGGCGAGACGGCGAGGTAGCGGTAGTAGGTAGTACGGTTAAGCGAGTGAATGTAGTGAATGTCCATGTAGCAACTGTTTCTTCTTATGTTGGAGTAGCACAATTAGAAAGATATTTTGTAGAGAAGTGTTTAAATGTCTCATCTTCTATAGCACATTTAGAAATATAATTTGGAAATGTGTTTTCTTAGCATCTCTTATTTTGTTACACATTTTGTTTGCTCCACATAGTAGTGAACGGGCATATATATAGGTGCGCCATTAGAAACGCTGCTATGTCAGGGCGGGGGAATCCGCGTAGCCAATGACGTATACCACTCGACAACTCAACGTCCTTGTGACTTGTTTGTTGTCTCGCATGAGATGAGCTTGAACTTGTCAACTTAAAAGAAGAGCTTCTTGTTTAATCAAACTTAAATACTGTGCAATTTCTATTCGAATTCCTACCATCCGACGACGCCAAACTGTTCTTTCAGTAAGTCATCCCTCCACTTCCTTTGTAACCGGTCTTGAGCTGAAACTCTACATGGATTCCATACAAACTACGTACTACGAATCGAACCGTAGAATCTCCGCTGTTAGGTTCATTCCGATTCTCTTATTGAAGAGAACGATAATTTATCAAATCACCTACATCTATCCACACATATAGCTCCCCTTACCCAAGATGTCTCTCCATCCATCAACACGGACGTTCCTCTCACCCCTTCTAAAACGAAGCTCCATTCAACCTCCTGTTCTCACCTCCAGGCAGCCATTCTCCACCTCATCCGTATCACAAGCCAAAAAGGGCGAAGACATAAACGAAATCAACACCTCCAAAACAGAATATACCCGCAGTGGCACCGACGATCAGGCCGCGAGGCAGAAGGAAGCCGCGTTCAGCCCGGACACTACAAGTCCCGGAGAGGAGAGGGAGCTCGCCGGCAAGGGCACTGGACAGCATGGGAACCCGCTTGATGTTAGCCCTGCAAACCGAGATGTTAGCAAAACCAGAGTCCCAGATGAGGGGGGGCCCGAGAGAAGCCCTAGAGAAGGTAGTAAAGACAAGAAATCCGGGTTTGGGAAGCCTGAGAAAAAGGGAAAGGCGGATCATGGAGCGTAGAGTCAGGTAGCTAGAAATGGAGAAGGGGTTGGTAAGTGGGCTTATAAAGAGAATAGAGAGGTTTATGATGCTAGGAGATCGCGGAATGGTTTTGTGGAGTTGCTGAGCTGTACTTAGACATAGATAAATCGCAAGGGAAGAACATGCATGCTATTTCAATACCTAGAATCACGCAAATCCGACATTTCCCCCCTCCCAACGCCATATATATACATTCTCAAGGGGACAGGTCCAAGATAACCCAATCAAGCCTTCCACTCCGTCCTCCCCAACCTCACAATATCGGACTGGCCAACCATCCACACCTTCGGCACATCCTCACCCCCTTCAAGAGCCTTCAAACCAGCGCTCACCGCAGCCTTAGCAATAACGTCCTTATCTTGGGCCCACACATCCTTCAACCCGGTACTGATCATTCCCGCTGCGCCCGCAATCTTTCTAACCAACCATTCGGCTGGCCGACTCTCCTCCCTCTCGCCCACAATCAATCCCGGTCGCAAAATGACGGTGTGATCAAAACCCAACCCCTTGACCGCCTCCTCCAGCTCACCCTTCATCTTCGGATAGGCCATCATGGACTGCGCGCTTGCGCCCCCGCTGGAGATCAGCACGTAGACTTTTACGCCCGCTTCTTTGGCGGCTTGGGCGAGGGAGAGGTTGAGGTCGTGATCGATCAGGCGCTGGGCGGCGACGCTTCCTGCAGCGCCGCGGGTGGTTCCGAGGCCGGAGAAGAAGATTTGAGGAGGTGGAGAGATCAAGCTGAATTTCGCGGGCCATTGAGCCGTATCGGGTTCGATGACGGGGTCGAGTTTTGTGTCCGTGGCGGCGGCGGCCGGTTTGCGCCGGGAGATTGAGTGGACGCTGGAGATTTGAGGGAGGGAGAGGAGAGTGGAGAGGATGGAGGAGCCCTGGAGGGAAAGAGAGAGTTGGTTAGCATTGCGTGGTATGGGATATGGCGGTCCATGAGAGTCGTGGAAGGGATATTTACCACCAAGCCGGTCGAGCCGACGATTGCTGTCGACGTCATCTTTGGTATAGAATCAGGTGAATATTTAGGCTAATAGTTGGAAAAAAAGTAGTAGCAGAATTATAGAGAGATGTGGAATTAGCTGACTTGATTTATTTAACTAAAGGGAAAATAGAAAACACGGGGGGCGGAGATTGACATTCCCGTAGTGTTGTGTCTCAGAAATATTGCAAGTTGCACGATTACATCATACCTTCCATTGGCACGTACACAACATTACGCGGCTGACATTTCGGGGGTTTGGTCTCAGCCTCGCCCGTTGTTGATGTCACATGCTTCTCCCTTTGTACCTTGTACCTTTTGTGCCCCCATAGTCCGAGGTTCGCCCGGCCACGCTCGCGTAAATCTCTACCTGAAAAAATACTTTAATACGCCCCATATCACGTGCACTGACACCATCAGATCTCGCCATTTTAGGCGTTTTAGGCTTTTCCCCCCACGCTGTTTAAGTGTACGGAGTAACCGAACGGGCTTAGCGATATCAAAGACGCGGCAGGGATGAAGGCGTGATTGACCAACCCCAACATTGGCCCCTGGCCTGCCGACGCCGGAGTGTTTTGGGGCATGTTGTTATTTGATTTGAAATACTTCTGGATGTTTGCTATTATCCAGCTGCTCTTGCTTGCTGCTATTACTACCGCTGCTGCTGCCGGTTGATATGAAGTCCGTCAGTTTGTTTATATCTGTCTGCGCCGGGAGAACGCAAAATGCCCATTGGGGCAGGTACATGTAAGGAGACGAACGATCGAGAGCCACAGCAGGCAAGACAAGGCAAGACAAGACAAGACAAGACCAGTCCAGTCGCCGCTTTCTTATCAAGCAACCCCACTATCATAACTAATCTAGGGGATCTAGATCTAGTTCCGTTCTGGGGCTAGCTGCTTATAGTACTGTACATGTACTGTACATACAGGCAAGTTCTAGCTCAGGGTCCCCCGCTAGCTTTTCATTTCATTTACTTTCCTATTCCCGAGACAAACTCCCAGGAAGTTTGCGCCTGTCTCATCCTCGTGCCTTTTCCTCCTTTCATTCTTCTGGTATTCCCTCGTTGTATTGCAACTCATTGAATTGTCTTTGAGCTCTTGCAAACTGTTGTGTTTCTTCGTGCTCCCGCGCATTGCCACTCCGTCACACATCCACAGCAAACTTCCAGAGCAGTATGGGTGATGCAATGGAGGTCGACATGGAGCCAACGAGGGCGAGGGGAACGAAGCGTGGCTCCGATGGCCAGCTCCCAACGGCAAAGCGACTTGGCCTGGTAGGTTGATGTCTTTTCAATGGTGTATATTCTCAGTTATTAACGGCTCGTTCTACAGGTGCAGGAACCCGCAGGCGGCGAAGTTCTCCAGAACGCCTGGAATGCGGAAGATGAATCCTCCTCTTTCCGAAAATTCACCTCGAGATCGACAAGTCTTCCATTCGGCCAGCCAGTGGACTTCTCATCCATCAGCGGCCCTACCTATATCACCGCCCAGACTTTGGTCCAGCAAGTAGCATATGCGCTGTCTGACAAAATTTTCTCGTACTCCCCCGAGTCCTTCGATCTGGACGTTGCCGTGAAGAATTGGTCCGCCCAGAACACTCCAAACGCCAATGGCTACACTACACAAATTGCCCCTATGCAGACCCGCGTTGGGGCGGGAACAATCGCCCTTGGATATATGTTCTCAAAGGATTTTGACTTGGCAAAGCGCCACATCCCTCAAACACTTTTGGCCTCCTCTTCGAGCTTGCATAGCCTGCAATCAGCACTGGATCAGCTCTCCCTCCTGTATTCAGTTGCCAACCCATTTGTCGCCCACGTTTCCGCGGTTGACTATGCGCCGGGAGGACTCGTGTCTGATTACGCCACCGCCCTAACTGTGGCAGAGGAGCTTGGCCTTGGCCTTGTTTCTAGCTCCTCTGCTTACGAGGCCCAGCACATGTCCTTATTCGCTACCTTGCTTGCTACCGTGCTACCAACCATCCATATCTATGATGGTATCAATGTTGGACGTGACACTCTGCGTGTCATTGACACTTTGAACCAGACTGGACTTAGCACGGCCTACCAAAGTATCTCGAAAAAGCTTTCTAAGGTCAGCAAGAAGGCGGATGCGGAAACCAAGCTCGTTCAGTTGCTTAATGCTTTTAACAATGAGCTTGGCACTGCTTACAAGCCCTTTGAGTACCACGGACATGCTGCAGCAGAGATAGTTTTGGTTGTATTTGGCACTGTAGAATCTTCTCTTGGAAGACAAGTTGCAGAGAAATTATCCTCGGAGGGCAAGAAAGTCGGTGTTATCAACGTACGAGTTTACCGACCATTCTCTGAAGAAGCATTCCTGGATGCACTACCAGCCTCAGTTCGGAATATTACTGTTCTTGGCCAGGTTCTGGATCAGACTGCTGTTGCTGATGAATCGGTCCGCTCTCACCTTTATGAGGACGTCCTCGCTGCCGCGGTGTTCTCTGACAAGTTCACCGTCCCGCCATCCATCGTCGATTACAAATATGCCCGAGCAGAGTCTTTCACGCCGAAATCAATTGCGTCTATCTTCCGCCAGTTGGCCAGCAGGAACGCCGAAGCTAGTGAGACGACGGAATTGCTAGATGTGGACCAAGTTGAACAATACTCATTCTGGGACCTGGAGGATTCTGCATCTGCCACTGCTCCCGTTGTAGTTGGTAAATTGCTCTCTGGCAACTCCGCGAACAATATCTCCCTCAACCAAACTCATGACAACTTTGTCCAAGGTGGAACGATCAGAACCGAGATCCGAAGCTCCAACAAGTCGATCGAAGCATATTATCCAATTGAGGACGCTGATGTGGCTTATGTTGGCGAGGGGAAGCTCTTGAAGGAGATTGGCATTGTTAAGAATGTTAAGACTGGCGGCAAGCTCATTGTGAAGCTTCCAGGTGTCAAGGATGAAGATCTGGAAAAGAAACTGTCCCTTGCTATCCGAAACGATATCAAGTTCAGGAGCATCCAATTGTTTGTCCTCGATCCTACTTTATCCGCGGCCGTCGAGAAAGATGCTGCCGCTGAGGTTCTACTCGCCCAATTGTCATTCCTCAAGATTGCTCAACCAGCTCTACTCGAGACTGGACTGGAGCAACTTGCCGCAATCAATGGCGGCTTGGACTTGTTGAAGGAGGTTGCAGCTGACCTGGACAATTCTCTTCGGACCATTGAGGTTCCAGAATCATGGTCTGAGGTCGAGGTCGATGCGGAAGTTATCGAACTCCCTCAAACAATCAAATCGAGCAGCTTCACCGGATTTGAGAAAGATGAAGTTGAGCCACCTTCTCTGCTACGTGACTGGCAATCTGCTGCCAAAGCACTTGTTTTCAAGGAGGCCTACGGAACGAAGACCAACCTCAGACCAGACTTGTCTGTCAAGACCCACACAATTACCGTCAAGGAGAACCGTCGCTTGACACCTCAGACGTATGACCGCAATATCTTCCACATCGAATTTGATCTTGGTGACTCGGGGCTCACCTACAACATCGGTGAAGCTCTTGGCATCCATGCCGAGAATGACGTTGAAGAGGTCAAACAGTTCATGGAATGGTATGGTCTTAACTCTGAAGATATTGTTGAGGTGCCTTCGCGTGAAGATCCATCTGTTTTGGATACCAGAACTGTGTTCCAGTCATTGGTCCATAATGTCGATATCTTTGGCAAGCCACCAAAGCGATTTTACGAAGCTCTGGCAGAATTCGCAACAGACGAGAACGAGAAGAAGGAACTCTTGACACTCGGAGGACCAGAGGGCGCCACAGAGTTCAAGCGCCGCACTGAAGTTGACACCATCACCTATGCCGACATCCTCTTAGAATTCAAATCCGCCCACCCCAGCTTCCACGATATCGCCCGCATTGTCGCCCCCATGAAGCGCCGCGAATACTCCATCGCATCCGCGCAAATGGTAAACCCCACAACCGTCGCCCTGATGATCGTCGTCGTTGCCTGGGTCGACCCCAAGGGCCGCGACCGTTTCGGCCAAGCATCTCGGTACCTGAGCCAACTCCCCGTGGGCACAAAGGTAACCGCCTCCGTCAAACCATCCGTGATGAAGCTCCCAGCAAAGGACTCCGCACCACTGATCATGGCCGGACTCGGTACGGGACTCGCCCCTTTCCGCGCGTTCGTCCAATACCGCGCCATGCAAAAAGCGCAAGGCAAAGACATCGGTTCTATCCTGCTGTACATGGGCTCTCGTCACCAACGGGAGGAATACCTCTACGGCGAAGAATGGGAAGCCTACCAAGATGCGGGTGTTATTACGCTGCTCGGCCGCGCGTTCTCGCGTGACCAGCCCGAGAAAATCTACATCCAGGACCGCATGCGGCAGACGGTCGACCATATTATCAAGGCGTATATTAAGGAGGAGGGCGCCTTCTATCTCTGCGGACCGACCTGGCCGGTACCTGATGTTACTGAGGTGCTGGAGGAGGCTATTGCCACAGCGGCCAAGGATTCGGGGAAGAAGGTTGCACCAAGAAAGGAGATTGAGCGACTGAAGGAGGAGTTGAGATATGTTCTCGAGGTTTATTAAAGGGTTTCTAGTTAATTGTGAAGAGTGCCTTTCGATTTTGGGGGAGGAAGTACGAGTAGGTGGTGTGGTTGGATGGACATTGTGTACGACGAGATGATAGGAGATAATTTGGGATGCTTCCAGCGTACTATTAGACAGCATTGATTTCTCTTAACGAGCGTATAAAAAGTTTCTTCATACCATTTTCTAGGTTGACAAACTGCCTTTTTAAGATAAAATTTCTTTGATTGTTTTGCCACCGAATGATCCATCCAGTTGCCGTGAATGAGTGATTTAAAGTTCATTGCCCCTTCTTTGCATAACCGTCACTACATTATCTTACGAAACGGGCCTTAAATTGGACTACAGAGCTGGAAAACGCATTATATGTATGTCATCTGAAGTATGTCCATTCTACTAATATGACCAATATATACGGGGGATTCGACCCAACCCCCTAACGCTCATTCCTAACGCTCATTCTAGGCTTCCCCCCGACAAAAGAAACCCAAATGCTATATTGCTCCACCATCCAACTCCCTGATTTCCATACTGCCATACAAAGAGGACAAAAGAAATAAATCCCGTCAAGGTCATATATAACAATTTCTTTCATATCCCTATCCCTAACACCCACCGAAAACCGAAAACAGTAGCTGCTTGCTTTTTCTCAAGCTAACCTAGCAGCGCCAAAGACTCCAACGCTAGTGTACTTCACAAACTCTTTCTCCTTCTCCGTATTCCGCTTCTTCGCAGCAAGACTCTGGTTGACTTTACTTTTCATGCTTAGGCTTCCTATCAGCCATCGAGATCTCGACTTGTCGCTTTTCCCGTCGCCGCTGATGGAGGAGAAGGTGGATTTCGGCTCGAGACCGAACATCTCGAATCCGTCGACCGTTGCTGTGCTGTTGCGTTTGGAGTGCCTCCTGGGGGTTTCCTTGGGGGTTTTGCGGAGTACCGAATTGGGGGTGGGGATCGTGGGGATTGTTGGGACGGAGTGGATTGTGGAGAGAGATGGGCGGGGCCGTGATGAAGACACTCGTGGGGTTTGTGCGTCCGGCTGCAGAGAGGAATAACTTATGGCGTAGGGTGTGAGGTGGAGGGAGGCGTTGAAGTAGTCGAAGTTGTCCTCGGGAACTGAGGCGGGAGCGTGGAAGGGGGATTGTTGGCGATCTTTGCTTCCATTGCGTTTATGCTCATGCAAGTTTGGGATAGGGGGGAGGGCGGAGGTGGGTGGCGGGAGAGCGGGTTTGAGTTGGACGTTTATAGGGATCGCCTTTTTGCTGGAGGAGGTTGATGAGGATGAGGAGAGAGAGATAGAGGGCGCAGTGGTGGCAGGTGAGTTCAGGAATGTACGCTGTTGTGGAGATTGTGGAGATGGTGCGGTTGTGGTGGTGGTAGTGGTGCTGGGTGAGTGCTGGAACCAATGCTGATATGGGGAAGGCAAGGTGCTGGCGGTCTTGCTTCGAATGCTGGAGTTCCGAGAGGTAAGTGGGCTTATGTCGTCTATCGAGGAGCGCTCGTAAGTGTGGTCGGTCGACAATCGTGAGACTGGTGAAACCGGGGCAGACGTATCTTTTGTGGAGGTGTGCTCGTAAATGTGCTGGGTAGATAATCCTGAGACTGGTGAAACCGGGACAGATGTGTCTTTCATAGTGCTCTGCTCGTAACCATTCTGGGTAGATAATCGCGAGACAGATGAAATCGGGGCTGATGGGTCTTTCGTAAAGGTATCCCCTATGGTTTGCTGGGTAGATAATTGTAAGTCTGGCGAGACTGGTGACGGAGGCATAGGTGGTATACACGGCATTGGTGGTGCGTCTGTAGGGGTCATATAATTTCGCGGGATGTTCGAATTTCGTGGGGCGCCGGCCGATGACTTCAGCCTGCGTGGTGATTTGACAGGAATTGGGGGAGAATTTGGGATTGCGGTTTCGGATTTTGATAACAGTGGCGGCGATTGTAGTGGTGATCCATTGCGTTGTGAGACTGGATCTCGGACTACCCAGCTAGGGTGTCGTGTGTTAAAACGACATTCATCTCTGCCAGGCTCGAAGCTGAACCTAGCCTCGCGGTTTGGAACAGCCTTTGTCCTTTCCGGCTCCCTGCGGTCCCCGAAATAGCTGTCAATGACCGAGTCTGCCGAGTCAAACGTCGAGGAATTCCAAGGCTCGTCTTCGTGTATGCTTGGGTTCATTGATTGTATTGGGGTCTCTGGAGGCGAAGGAACAAGTGCGGATTGAATCAACACACGTAGCGAAGGCACATTCTCCGCGTTTTCTTCCTCCAGCTCAATTGGTGGCCGGCGTGCCGCAGATCTAGTAGAGCCAAATATCGGATTATAGCGAATCTGGTGTCCAGTGGCATCCTGCCGCCTATAGTTTTCATCCCTGGTCCTCGAGGACATCTTATCCGTCATGGGAGTTGCCATAGGAGACCGCTTCCCATGCTGGGATAGCTTTTCCTCAAAATACTGTGTCATGGTAGCGGGATTGTTTGGAGAATTCTGCGATGGCTCATGTCAGTTCCTGAGCACAAAGTCTTCATCTAAGGCAGATATACCCGGTCTTCATCCTCATCATCGGCAATGGCCTGCAAGCCGCCTCGCATCCTGTGGTGTCTATATCCCTCAACGGCGTTCCTAGAATTCTCCCTTCTTATTGCCGTCCAGCGGTCTTTAAATACCTCTTTGAAATCGGAATAGGCATCGTTGGCAGCGGATGGATGTGGCTTTGCTATGTTGTGTTGATGCTTTTTACAAAGTGTAAGCCATGATAGCTCCTCCAGGCCTTTGAATATGGCTTCATGGCTTGTGGATCCGTCTATATCGTCCAGGACTGTGCCTGCTGCTATGCGATCCCGGATCTCCACCGCATTGCTGCATCGCCGAGGGACGTCGGGAGATTCATCACTTGCTACGCATGAGAAAGAATCGTCCTCCGGATAAAGATTGAGAACATCGCGAAAATTCCAGTGAACCGGCATAGCTAATTAAGTCTGGAATAGAGACCCGACGAAGGAACGACGAAAGCAAGCAGATTACAGCACAAGGAATGGCGTCTCGATTTGACTCGAGCTGGCTTGTTTCTCCTCCACTGCAGTGTCTGGGCACCAAGAGATATAAGTATGAGACAGGCCCCCAGTGGTGTGCAACCTATTCATAGATGCCAATCCTTATATTAATCGGAAAGTAGCAATGGCCAAATTCAATTAAAACGATCATCGCCTTGCGTATATGTAGTACAAGAAGAAGAAAAGCACAACATGCTGAGCCTCGACGCGCACTTCTCCGCGTGCAGGTTCGTACCACTCGGGATCCTGCAGAGCTCCGGCACAGTCGTCCGTCGAGTCTTCAAACACTGGCCAAGGGAAACACATCGAACTACACCCATAGGGCGTTAGTGGGGGATGGGTGAGGGTGGGGTAGAGAGTGCAATTCAGCCATATTTAATACTTTGTATTTACCCCGTCACCTCTCGTCCATAGAGCTTTTGTAGGGTTTTAGCCGCGAAGTAGCACAGCACCCGTGGCTGTGGCCATGTGCACTGCCGTCCGGACGTTTGGGGATTCGGAGCTTGGGGTCCATGGCTTGCAGCTTCCGTAACTGCGGGCAGAGAATAAGATATTATTGTCACAAGCCGCATGGTTCGGAAAGAAAGTACTACGTAGGTAGTAAGTAGGGCAGAGCCAGACCACTCCGTACTAAGTGCTGCTTGGGAGGTTTCGGGGTCCGAATGTTGGCATGGCACGGAATAGCGACGCAGGTAAGATTTGGACAACTTAGCTGGTATTGTCAGACTAATTTCCCGTGCCTGAGAGGTGCTTTTGGTGGAAATGAGGGTTGTGCCGTGTGCATATCAACATGTTGGTGACTCCATCTGTTGATGTGTGTTGCGTGATGTTGGCAGGTGTCCATGTTGGTATGCACTCGTAGTACCCGTAGCTTGAAAGTTGGGGAAGAACAGTTGCAAAGCAGATGGAAATGCATTTGCCGAGCTTGAGTAACCAATGGTTACGTATGGGAATAAGATTTGCGATTATACTGTTTCGTACAAGCAACAGCCTGAATAACAACTTGGGAATCTTGGCTGTTGTTTCACGCCAATCCTCGCCTTAGCTCAATCACCTCCTTCACGGGGTCAGGCAATTCAAGAGCGCACGTGACTATGGCGCATTATAGGAACAAATCGGTGTTTTTCGGGAATAACATCGCTAGATCCTCTATATCTAACCCCGAAACAGGTTGCTCGAGTCGCGCTGGCTGTGTTGGTCTATACGCTCCGGCCCTAAGCCTGCTATGCCTTACATATCTATAGGATCAAGTCCCTAGGTATATAATCTAGTGGATCCTGATTAAGGTAGTAGTATCGCGAATACCCTAATTTCGGTCAAATGTGGAGGATGTGTCCGGAAGTAATTCCTATATAAAGTACCTAGGTATATCAGCAGAGGATGAAGGCCACTACGGATCTACGAATAACCTCACTTTGCGACGGCTGAGTATTCGAATGTTCCACAAATTTTGACACTCTTTAGGTATATTATAGTCTGTAGGCGTTATTCCTGAAAACCACCGATTTGTTCCTATAATGCGCCATACTCCATACGCTCTACTCTTGCTTCAACCTCACCCATGCCCACTCCCTCCTTGATTACAACCTGGACGAGTGGCAATCCGCCGCAGTTGCATCTCTCGCTCACGCGACGATCTCTGAATATCTTCGAGCCCTGCGTAGCGCATTTCGACAGTGTCATTGACCCAGTAGAGGCATGACTGTGAAAGGCAGAGATACTTAAAGCGAGGATCCATGATGGCATTCTGCACATCAGCAGCAACACCACACGCGTTCAGGCATGCTTGCCACTGCCGCGCGTTGTCCTCTGTAGTGTCAACCCTGTTTTCGAAGGAGCCGATGATGAAGTCTTTGAAAGTGACTACCAATCCACCATCGTCGGGATCAATCTCGCGGCGGGGTCCCTGAGCAGGCCAGTTGGTCCATTGGCTCCATAGCTCGGTAGCCTTTGCTTCAGATAGGCCGACATATACGAGAGTTTCGTATGAGATGAGGGCCACAGGAATCATGGCAAATGCATCGTCGGCAGCTGGAGATGAGAGAGAGATGTTCAAAAGAATATCATGGTTCTCCTCATCGCTGGAGCGGTTCAGTCGACGTTTGTGAAGTCGGTGGAACCCAGTGGCCCTGGCAGGGCCTAGCAAGCCACGATTGAGTAGGTCAGCAGAGTCCAAAGTTGCGAGAATTGTGTGTTCGGACATCACTATGAAAAGAAGCTTATGACTGGGTGATTGGATATGTAGACGAAGGTTTTGCCTCAGTCGTTTTTCGATGACTCACCAAAGCTTGAGTTGTGAATTCAGACGTGAAAATAGAAAAGAAGGACGAGAGGGAAGGAAGGTCTGAAATGAGGTTAATATCCTCGCGCTGGAGTCAAACAGGTGCAACCTTGAGGGTGAGCTTTCGCCGAGTGAGTCAGGAGCATAAGAAGCTGCAAAAATGACTCGACTCCCAGAATAACCTTTCTACATCGTCCATCCTGCTATGATTCTAATCACAACCACCAAAGTATTGGACAAACCAAGGAGATCATTACCTGATAAGTCGCAATGAAGCGACAAAAGAAGAGCTCTGCAGGCCTGCAAACAACTCAGCATGAGAACCCAACCAACAGCGACGGACCCCTCTTCTTCTACATGCCAGACACCACACACGGCGAGTTCTGCCAGTGGTTTCCCTCCACTTTTACCATCAGCAAGACCCAGATGTCCTCACTAATCGGCCACGCCATAGACGATGGCGACGCCGAGGACAGCATTACTTTCACTTGCGCTGAACAGTTCATGATGTACTGCAAAGCCGGCCGATTCCACGACAAAGAGACTCAAAGACGAGTCCTCGCAACTACGTCCCCTAAGGAGCAGAAACACCTAGGCAAGTTGACGGCAGGATTCACGGACGCGAGCTGGGACGAGGTTAAGAGTGCGGTGGTTCTGGCTGGTACCATTGCCAAGTTCGGACAGAATCCGAAATTGAAGGGCAAGCTGCTGGCTACTGGTGATCGGTTGCTGGCGGAGGCAGCATCAAGGGATAGGATATGGGGTATTGGATATACCGCTAAGCATGCTATGTCGTATCGGCAGCACTGGGGAGAGAATAGGTTGGGGAAGGCACTTATGGAGGCTAGAGAGCATCTGCGGCAGGATGGTGCAACAAACCCGCGAGATGGATAAAAGCCCCGATCTTTTTTAATTATACCTCTGGTAGATGGTTATTCGTCTCCCTGTAACTGAAAATGCTCGCCGCTAATTTACGCTGCAGATATAACGAATCCCTGCGCTTCAAAGAACGAATCCTGCCTTTCAACATTACCGAGCTCAAGAAAGTTGCTGCTGCAGCTGTCAACAAAGATGTGACGAGTGTTCAAAGCTTCCGAAAGCTTGCGGAAGGCGGTTTTAATCGAACCTTCGAGCTCACTATTGATGGCCTTCAAGTCGTCGCTAAACTTCCATACCCGTCAACTTATCTGAAGCATTATTCTGTGGCTAGTGAGGTGGCTACCATAACTCTTGTCAGGTCATATGGAGTAACAGTCCCAAAAATTCTAGGCTATTCTGTTACACATAGCAATGCGGTTGGCGCCGAATATATAATTATGGAGAAGGCTAGTGGGAGGGAGATTGGTGATATTTAGTACGGGCTTTCGGATAAGGAGCGCATGAAGGTTGTGGTGCAGATCGCGAGAGTAGAGTCGGTCTTGTTCTCCATTCCTTTGCCTGCATGTGGAAGTATCTACTTCAAGAGTGACCTATAAAGTGGCACCGAAACTGTAGATGTTACAGCAGGCGACGCTGCAGGTAAAGATGCATGTCCAAGTGCTAGACAGAAGTGTATCGGCCCTAATGTGGCACAGAAATGGTGGTTTGAGCAGCGCTCCCGCCTGAAAGTTCATTGTGGACCTTGTAAGCAGAGAGAGGCTATAATTATTACTGTTGAATTTGTTAACGCTAACACTGCGAACAGTCTTACAGGCAGACCAAGCATTTACGGCAAGCCCGATCAAGGAGTTGACATGGCTTAAAGCGCACGCTTATCCTCGTCTCCCTTATGTTATTCCACACAGGGAACTATATGGCTACCAAATGGTGTCTCCTGCGGAAATATATCCAAATTGCTCCTCATCTAGTGCCCAAGGACGAGGAGTATCTATTACGCCCAATTCTAGGTCATCCGAATTTGCAGCCATACAACATTTTTGTTGACAGTGATTTTACAATTACTAGTATAATTGACTGGCAGCACTGCTCGGTCCTACCCCTAATCCTCCAAGCTGTGTACCAGAATACTTCCGGAACTTTAACGACAAAGAATCTCTGCGACTAAAAAAGCCATCCCTTCCTCAATCGTTCGATAGCATGAGTAAATCCGAGTAGGAAGTAGTGCTAGAGCAATATCGCAGACGCCAGCTTCATTACTATTACTTTGTTGCTACGTACAAGTTTAATAAACCCCACTATAATGCCCTCCTTCTGGACTCAAACATGGCGACGCAGAAACTCCAACAATTGGCCAGTGCTCCTTGCGAAGGAGATAGCGTTAGTCTCAAAGCGGAGTTGATTCGTGCTGTCCAAAACTGGCCAGTGCTTACTGCGAGAAAGAGTGGTGAAATTCCTCCGTGCCCGATACAATTTCCAGATGCAGAAGTGGAAGAGTGCTTGCGTCTAGAGGCAGAGAAAAATCCTCTTGACGTACAGATGGAGAAGATAAGGGACAGGATTGGGATTGGGAGTGATGGTTGGACTTCAAATGAGAGGTATGAGGATGCGCTTGAAGAGAATGAGCACGTGAAGGCGGAGGCATGGGATAAAGCGGAGGGTGATGTGAGGAAGGAGATTTTAGAGAATTGGCCTTGGGATGACCATGAGGAGTATTGATAGATGGATGTCTCTAAAGACGGATTAGTTCCTAATATGTCCTTTATAAGTGGGTAAGACAAGGTCAGTAGTAACCCAAGTAATAGATCAGGACACTTAATCTAATCACATGAGTATAGGCCCTGTAGGCGGTTATACAAGAAGTAGGCTGTGCTTACGCCAAGCCTGACTTAGAAACACAAATCCATATTCGTATTTCTGACATCGATATCAGCCTGCTGCAAATCATTTCTTAGTTTGTTGTGTCGGCTCGGCCCAGCTTGGCTATTGTCTGCTATCCAGAATGCTCCAGCGCGCGCCATCCAGGTTGGCTTCACTTCTCATCAAAGGCGGCTCCATCTAACACAACACCCTTTATTCCCTCGCATACTTGTACGAATGCGGTCGCTACCGCCAATAATAGATTTAAAATTTTGTTTCGGCGAGTCGCGGCCGACCAAATTCCTAATCGATCGATTGGGTTTTGAGTATACCGTACCTTGCCCAAAATCGGCCTATACACAGCGAGCACTTAATTGTCATAAGCCAGAAAATCAAATCGGCCAGCTGATCCCCAAGCCTTGAATGCGGCGAGACTGTTTCTGAAAATTTGGGGCGCCCTCACTCAACATCAACCGCCAAAACCGCGCGGGTTGCTCCCAACCAAAGCCTTCTAAATAGATGTGCAGTAACTATTCGATGTTGTCTTGAAATGCCAGGCGTTTCCTCGGCAGAATTGAGGTCACCTTGTCCAATACCTCCAAATGCCCATTCGTATATTTTGACGAGTCTGACCCATTCTCACCATGGCCTGGCACGGCAAGGCGACTCCGAATTGAGACATGGGATGTGGAGCAGGAGGCTAAGGTATATCAATATCCCCTCACCTAGCCAACGACTAAGAGAGAAGTTCGTGTAGTCTATACAGCAATAGCATCGGCAATAGCATCAGCAATAGCATCAACAATAGCCAAATCCTCTCGCGCTCATGCGCTTTGGCTTGACCGTTATTCCTCCCGATTACGACGACCTTTATCGCTTTCCTCAGCATGCTAGTGATAATAGTGAACTTAAACTGATGTATCTCAATAGCAACAACGACTTTGAATTCGAATTCTATACACAGCTAAACCCCAGCCGGCGACGATAGTACAGATGCATCTTAGTTATTTCGATCTGCTTCGTTGCAAACGTACTGTGGAAGCATAGATTCGATCTCCTGACGCTAATAAGTTAGATTTACTAACATCCGGAGCCTAGAAAGCAGGCAAAGGCAGTAGCTAGTACCCGGATGCTCTGGATGTTGCTATATGCTTGAATGTCTCAGATAGGTAAGTTGCGGAAGGAGAGGGTGAGGAAGGTGTTACAAAATTATGGCCCCAGCAACATATGCCGAAAGTCCGCCTATTATATTTCATGTCAACCACTTACATGAATTGACTAGGTATTGCCACCAACTTAGTCTTTGCCGGCAGATCCTTTCCCCTTCCATGCTCTGCTTACCACTAACATCATGTGTCGCTATACTTTACCCCATAATCCATTTGACAAACCCAAATAACCTTCTGTCTTCTCTCCACGTCTTACGAAGGTTTCTACTCCATTTACTAAGTGTTTTAGTCAAAAGTCCTCAACCATCCATCGTATTTCTATTCCGGCTGTTTCTCCTGCTTAGCTGTATTCGAAGTAGGGAGCATCAGGCGGTATAATGGACTATCCTGGTTTGCAGGATACTCCACTTTTCGTACCAGCATATCGACGTCAGGTGCGAGAACTGGGGAAAAGAAGATGGACATTTTGAATGTGTAATGCCTAATTGAAGGATATATAAAGGGGAGGCACGAAACCTTGAAGTAGGACGAGGGGTGGCTGATGCGACTGTCTCTTGTAAAGGAGGAAAATTCTATTTGCCTTTGTCGTCAAGTTTTATAACTGGCATACTAATTGACGAGAAGTTCCCAGTTGTGGAACTAGTCGTAGCTACTACCAAGGACCTGGGGAAAACTGTACCGGCCAACGATACTAGGGGATGTCAATGAGCGCGCGACGCATTTTTATAATAGATCAACCGTTTCCGTCGTTCCGATATCAAACTCTCCATTTTATGTTGTGTTGTTCCGCCCAGCATCTGATCCCATCCTCCTTGCTTTGCTTTCAACGCTTCTTCCTTCCTTCCACTATACCTCGTGCTCCCTCGATAGGCTGGCCAACAGACGGATAAGATCCTTTTAGATATTCATCCCAACAGATGCTAAAGGAAAAGTCGGCACACGGAGCTTGAGCTGCAGCTATGTACCCGTTGGCTTAGGCCAACGGGTAGATTATTCATAACATATCGCTATCTCCAGAAGACTCCGACTACTGAAATTTTACGAACATTACTACTTTAGCCAGCCCGGGCGGAAGGTGGTAATCCTTAAAGCTCAATCAACCTGCAAACATTAATTGGCTGCGCCGTAAAGGCAATATATCCCAGGTCATGTGCAGATTCTATCTAGAGACTCATAGAGCTGCTCGATTTGTTATATCTACATTGAATAGAGGCCGTAACCCCGAGTTAGTGTTCGGTATCCTTGAAGTTAGGGCTCCATTTCGTCCGGTTTCGACGCAAGAGTCAAGACTCAAGACCACCTTTGAAATCTCTTTTAGTGTCTACCCGCACCGCCATCGAGATGAACGGAAGACTGCTGCTCGGCTTGGCGTTGAGCTGCCTGCCGCTGATGACACTCGGGGCCGATTATGGTGCGTCGTTGAAGATGTCATGCTCGTCGCTCGTAATTGATCGCATCGATCCGTATATCCCCCCTAGCCCTCGTCGTAGATAGGATTCGTGTCTCTAACAGCCCTACTAGCATTAGTTTTCCGGGGGTCGTCGGATCAAATCACCTCCATCAAATAGTCGGAGGGAATAGCTTCAATGCTACCATGGACCCCAGTGACGATCCGGGCGAACGATCGACTTGCACCACCAGCACTTTTGTCGACGACTTTTCCAACTACTGGACTCCGGTTATGTACTACCGCGCCAGCAACGGGACATACAAGCGCGTGAGGCAGCTGGGGGCTTTGTTCCACGAGGAGGCGCGCGGCGGCGGTATAACGATTTACTACTCCGCCCACCAAAACTTTACCGACACGGTTGCGTTTAAGAAGGGATTTCGCATGCGCAACGGCGACCCGAACGTTCGCACCGCCGAGGAAGCCTCCAAGTATAGGGGCATTGATTATACGTGTATGTTGGACGAAGGCACCCGGTTCACAAACCGGTCGGCCACGTTCCCAGACCATCAGTGCCCGGCGGGGATCCTGACGACGATCTACTTTCCACCGTGCTGGGACGGCGTCAACCTCGACAGCCCCGATCATTACAGCCACGTCGCGTGGCCGGCCGAGGGCGGCGACGTCGGCATAGGCGCGCTCTGCCCGGCCACGCATCCCGTCAAGATCCCCCAGATCATATATGAGATCCGGTGGGACACGCGGAGATACAACGTGGGAGGGAAGGGGGGCCTGTGGCCAGAAGATGGCAGCCAGCCGTTCGTGTGGAGTTTTGGTGACAATGTGGGCTATGGCAACCACGGCGACTACCTCTTTGGCTGGAAGGGGGACTCGCTGGACAAGGCCTTCAAACAGAAAAACTGCGTCGACCAGATCTGCGGTCTAGATACACAGGAGATTCCAGATGCAAACAAATGTATGATCAATCCCATGGTTGATGAACCTGTGGAAGGGTGGTTGGACAGACTGCCGGGGATGGAAGTATGATGGGCATCCTACCTATGTTTCTGTTAGCTGCCGTTAAGTTGAGCTGGTTGCATTCCCGTGCCCTACCTGGGTACTTTTGGGTCCAATTTAGTTTTTACTAGTATGAAAGAGAAAAATATTCCACAACGAGTTTCGTATTCTATGTTCAATTCAACCGATATTCCGGAAGTGGGTTGTTCCTATTAGTGCTGGTACGGCGAAGTGGTGTACGGAGTCGAGACCCCCAACACATTAATATTAATAGTAATATGGACATGAGATGAACCACAGCGGCTGCCAATAATGAACCACGCACAAGGAAGGATTAGTCGCTGTTCGTAGTCTTTTTGAATCGACATACTTTGATCATGGTGTCATCCCATCACCCGATGTAGTTGAAATAGTCTTTGCACTAGCTGCCAGCTACGTAGTAGGTAGCGTAAGTATAGCTTACCTTACCTATGTTGGATTTTAGCGACAGCGCATAAAGCACGCTTGCAAGAGAAGCGCATGCCCCATTTTGTGGCGTACAGCAGTAACGATGACGCTTAACACATGCTTTAACTCAGTAGGTAGTCTTCCTTGGAAACTTCATACAAGGAATATTCTCATAATAACCGCACCCTTCCTTGGGGATCACTATTACAGCTAGGCTAGATTTGTTTCTAAATAGGCTAAAGCAGTATAAGCAGGAGCTGGTCGAGATCATGGTTAGTTATTGATTCGGGACAGCCTCTCCAAAACAAAACGGACCCATATCAATGTAGAATGAGCTTGTGCTGTTGCGAGAGGAGGGAACCGGGCAACTGTGGGATATGCTGATCTGGAAAGCGCATAATGATTGTGATGAATTTTCGTTTTACTTGAAACTAGCCTCTTTAGCTAGACCTAAAGAGCTTAAGGCCTTCCTCCTCAAGTGGCAATTCATCCTCACCATCTACATCCATCTCGTCTTCGCCTAGGGTCATTTTTTGCCCAAGAAGTGTCCCAAAGAATCTATCAATAGCGTCAGACTCCCAGCTCCCCCTGTCCTGTGGAGGCATGAAATTTTGCAGCTTCTCATGCACTGTATACCGCATTTTCCGGCCTTTACTAGCTTTGGTGTCAACATTCTTTTTTGTCTTGGCCTCCTTAACAGCCGTCCACTGCAGGGCGTTGCCAGTGCCTGGGCCTGTAGCCGGTGCAGATAATGATTCGACTCTTCTCTGGTCCACGAGCTCTTTTAGTAGCATCTGGTAGAAATTGCCATCGTCGTAGATGTTGGAATCTTCTGTCATCTTCAAGTCCCTTTGGATTGGTGCACATGACCGTGGTACCTTGGTTTTCTTCACCAGATGCTCCGAGCTTGCGAGCTGATCTTGTAGTACAGATGTGATGGATTGCATTGCCGTCGGGTTGAGTTTCCTTGTAAGAGGTACTGCCGTGGAGCCTCGAACCTTTGCTGACCATTTTTCCAGAGTCGTCTGACGGGTATCAATCATGGCTACTTCGTAGCTCTGCATCTTTTCCCATATGGTAGATGATGGTGTGGAGATATCAACTCCACGTTTACGTTTCTGACCTGCATTCACCCCAGTCTTCGCCTTCGAAAGCTCATGTCGAAGTCCATCCAAGGTATTCCATAATTTGACAGCAGCTTGCTCAGCAGCCTCGTATGGTTGGTCTGCCTCGTCGTCGGCTTCCTTCTCGTCGCTGGCAGACATGGAATTTGTCGCGATAAGTGCCTTTTGCAGAGTCATTCGAACACTTAGCAGAGAGTCGAAAGCTTTTCTTTGTAGCTTTACCGCATTGCCTTTGTCAGCATCAGCTTTTGCTGCTTGAGAAATTGTGGCCACGACGGTCTTCTGCTCTTCGCTCATGATTTTCCGGAGTTCAGCGCGGCTTGCTTTCTCGTCAGCGCCGTCCCTATCATCTGCTTCATCATCGCTACTCTCGGAGGCATCCTCGTTGTTATCGCTGTCGCTCAGCATATCCCGCTTGTCCGAGGCAATCTGGACACCACCCGCATTCTCGGAATCATCATCTTCTGCGTCGCTTTCATCAGTCTCCTCGCCCGCATATTGGCGTGCCGTTGAGAATATCTGCTCCTCTGAATCGTCAGAATGTTGCCCAGCAGTGTCCAGTACGTCCTCATCGGTCTCCTCATTTCCCGATTGTTCGTCCTCAAGAGCATCAACGTCATCCTCGCTATCTGACATAAAATCTCGAGCTGTCTTTCGTTTCTTGATCTGACCGGTTCCCAGCTTGCTGCTCGCAGACTTGGATGAGGTCGCCTCTTCTAGCGGTGATGATTCTGATCCGGACATTGATACATTGTCGCTTTCATCCTCACTCTCGTTTGCTAATGCCTCCCGGCGTATTCGTGTTCCAGCATACTGAGCCCCAAGTGCAATATCCTCTGGTTTTCGGAGTTTACTTTTGCTACACGCTGACTTAGAAGTTTGCCAGCATAGAGTATCCCATGTACATACCCAACTTCGGCATAATGCTCTGTGCCGGCTAAATCATTATCACTATCCTCAGATGCGCTGTCATCGCTCTTCTCTGGTCGATTATCTTCCTCGGGATCAAAGTCTGCGGTTTATTAGCGGAAAGTATGATAGCAAGAGACAAGGGTAAATACCCTTAGGTAAAGGATCAATCAGGTCAGCAAATTGCTGTGCGCGGGACTTTGGTTTTCCCATCTTCTAAAACAATAACTAAATTTTGTCTTGTGCTTCGGCGCAAAAATGTCGAGAAATTATTTTGAGATTTCGAGCTCCCCACCCACGGGATCTTGGCGCGCTAGCGGACAATGCACCCGCGTCGAGCAGGCACCCACAGCCATTGCCTTGATACCTTACTGTATGTCTTCGGTATCGAGCTTCTACTTCGTACTGTTTCTATACAATCTAGATAGTCGGCGCATAGTACTACGCTGTGTTATTCGAATATCTATCAGGCCGCAAAGTGAAGCTATTAGGATACAGGATACAAGATACAAGATACAGGATACAGGATACAGTAGGTGGACAAAGGCTCGGTCGCAATGTCACATGATCTTGAAAGTGCAATACGCTAAGACCCATTCATTCATTCATCCAGGATCAACCCCACTCCAATCTCCAATCACCAACCACCAATCACCAACCACCAAATCAACAAACCACCAATCAACAATCACGGGGCAAGCATGTCTCGCAACCAGTCTGGGCACCTTGTGCTGCCCGAGGATCGATATCTCTACTCCGTACGGCATGAAAGGCTTGGCCGTCTATGTCAGCAGCCATCCTTCTGACCCGTCCTGCCTCGCAGACCCTTTGATGAGCACCTGGACCCCTATCAAGACCCTGTCTGCGATTGGAGCTAGTGATCTCGACGCCGAGTTCACACCAGTCTTCGAGAATAATATCCATGACAATATTGTCTCTAGCATTCTAACTGCGTTGCCGGGCGGCGACTGGGGACTCAATGTGTTGCGCCTCGGTTTTGACACTAAGCATCTCAACAACCCGATTACCATTCACCTCGTTGTAGCCCCCAATGGAGGTCTCTCTCCGGATGCGGCCTGCAAGATTGTATCAGACATCCTTACAATTATCGCCGCAGCTCCCGATTCGAGCCAATTGTAAGATCCTTATCCAGCTGTTTATAGTAGGTATTATCCTCTGACTCGGTCTATAATTCAGGGTCCATATTGATGTCTGCCACCCATTGGAATCCTCCTCAAGCCTTGCGACTATCTCATTCTCCCTTCTTGATAGAAATCCTGAAGTCTACCACTCCTCTGCTCGGCTTCCGTACTCGTCTGTTGGCTTAGTCCAATCCGAGTACATTGGAACCTTGTCGGGATACATCAAGCACCGTGATAAGGATGGTCGAGACACGGTTTATGCACTTACGTGTAGACATGTTATTGATCCGCACTCTGCTTTCCGGAATGCTTGTCAGGCCACGCCTGCGCACTTGTCGGTAACATGCCCAGCAGCAAGCGACCACAACAAGACTCTGGAGACAATCACAACTGATATTGCCATTGGTGCGCGCCCCTCGCAACGTGAGATCCTAGAACAAACTCTACAGAGCGCGAAGGAGTACAACATCGCCTTTGGCGATGTTGTAGCGACGTCAGGTACTGGCAGGTTGCTCCCACATTTCCAGGGGCGTAGTGACTGGGCTATCATATCGATTACTAACCAAGATATAATGGCCGAAAATAAGGTATGTAGTCTCTATAGTCTACCTAATGTCTTTAATATTAGCTAAGACAAATAGCATGTCCGTTCATCTGATTCATTTGTGTCGTTCAAGCATCCACTAGTTGCTCTGCTCGACGTCGATTTTCTTCGCGCAGCTACGCAATACTTCACCTCAGGCCCGCATTTTAAACCTGTTCGAGACGATGACCTGAGCCCCGGTGAGCTTGTCTTTAAACCAAGAAGTCGAACTACAAATAAATGGACTAGAGGCACGTTTAATGCTATTCGGAGTACGCAAAGGAGTGCTGGTATCGCAACAAGGGAATGGTGTCTTGTTGCGCTACTACCACACGAGTCTATGTCTGCTGGTGGAGATTCGGGATCAATTATCGTCGACCAAGAATTTCGGCCTATAGCTATGATGTGGGGCGGAGATACTCATGGCTTCGCTCATGGCCCGAAAGGTGTTGCTTACGCAAGTCCACTCTCCAAGGTTATGAGGGATATTGAGGAGTGCATTGGGGGGATTATCTCGATCGTTTGAGATGATTGGTTTGTATGGCGCATAATAAAAACAAATCGGGGGGTTTTCGGGGATAACGCACTACAAAGGCCAAAACCCTTAGAAAGTGTCAAATTCGTGGAACATTCGAATATTCAGTCGTCGCAAAGTGAGGTTATTCGCGGATCCGTAGTAGCCTTCGTCTCATTCCTGTATAATCCTGACTAGCCTCTGCTACCGTATTTTATATATGAATTGCTTTCCTCCAGCCACATCCTCCATCCTCCAACCTCTGACTACTTACTCAGCAGTGACCCGATCCGTACAATGTAGATTCTCGTCCTCTAACAGGCTTCTCCTATTCAGAATTAATACCATTATATACTTGATCCTATAGATAGGTAGGGCATAGCAGGCTTAGGGCCGGAGCGTATAGACTAAATATAGCTAGCGCGACTCGAATATCCTTAGTTTTGGGGTTCGATATAGACGATATAGCGGTGCTATTCCCGAAAAACACCGATTTGCTCCTATAATGTACCACAGCGTTGGCGATGTTTTGCGATGGTGTTTTAGACTACAGAAAATATTCCTGAACTTCAATAAATACCGTTGACTTTTTAAATTTTACCTTCGGATCGAGCTTTCCAAATGCGTTCCTAGCTGTCTAAGACATGTTGCTCAGGACGGCTTACTAAGCCAGGGGTGAGCCAAGGGTGATTAGCGCCTGAGCAAGAGCGGCAAGCTTACCAACCACATGTGAAGCTCCAGAGAGCTCATCCATGAAACCAGCAGATCATGAAGCCTCGATTATTCTCAACATTGCGTTGTTTGCAACATGAAAATCCCTTGGTATGTCGGTCCAAGAGCTTGCTGGCGTTATTATTATTATATGCTAACTAAACCATTAGGGATTGCCCCGAGCGGGAAGTATTCCTCGAATGCAGCGCGGCTTGCCGGAACGACGGTCGATCAAAGATGTGAAGAAAGTAGTCGCTGTATCATCTGCGAAAGGTGGTGTCGGGAAATCAACTATCGCAGGTTCGCGTACCCGCAATTGAATATGGGCATTATTAAGGCCGAGATAGTGAACCTTGCTCTGGCATTCGCCCGTCGTGGGCTTCGAAGCGGAATCCTTGATACGGATATATTCGGCCCTTCAATACCGACATTATTAAACCTATCCGGCGAGCCAAGGTTGTCCTCTAGTTAGTGTCCCCCCCCTATGATCAGATATAGTTGCGATAAGTCTCACATCCCTCAGACAATCAACTACTCCCTCTCTCCAACTATGGAGTAAAGTCTATGTCGATGGGGTACCTAGTCGGAGACGCCGCCCCAGTGGTTTGGCGCGGCCTCATGGTAATGAAGGCCTTACAACAGCTTTTGCACGAAGTCGATTGGGGAGGATTGGATGTTCTTGTTTTGGATTTACCACCAGGAACAGGAGATACACAATTGACGATTACACAGCAGATTGTTTTAGATGGTAAGATATTTGGCACTTGTAGCGCAGTGGCCTTGCTAACATAACCTAGGCGCTATCATAGTATCGACCCCCCAGGATATTGCGTTGAAGGACGCTATAAAAGGGATAAATATGTTCAAGAAAATGAACATACCCCTCCTTGGCATGGTACAGAACATGTCCCTATTTACATGCCCCCATTGCAACAGCAGCACACATATATTTGGATCTCATCCAGGCGTAAAACATGCTTGTGAACAGCATGATGTCCCTTTCTTAGGGGATATCCCATTACATCCAAGTATATGCGATGACGCTGATAGGGGGAAACCAACCGTTGTTTCGGAGCCAGAAAGTACACGAGCTGATGCTTTTATGAGCCTCGCGCAAGAAATTGGCCGCAAAATCGACCTGCTTTAGCATATCTCAAGGTGTGATATGTATTTGTAATACTACAGTAGTTAGCTAATACGATACCATAATATTCTGGTTTGGTTAAGCAACCAGCCTCTGGCAAGCATTGCTCGACCAGTGCGAATTACGATACCTCCGTTGTTACATTTCTATTGGCTCTCGGATTAGTTGTCGCAAAAGCACCAGCAGCCGGATGTGTTCAGCCTCGCAGTGGTATCCTTTGCATTTTGTTGTTTCCATATCCTCCTCCCGAAGTAGAATTCCTCTGCCACCCAAGAGTGTGGCAACATGAAGTCTTCTATGGAGATATTCCCCTCGAAGGTACGCCTTGTTTATCAACAACAACCATGATTGTTACCTACGCCTAATGGCTGTTGCAGTCTGTGACAATCCCTTGAGGTTGCTTTCGAGAGCCTGAGTAGCACTCGAGTATTCCATGTCTAGCAATGTTTAATGAAGTATTTGACAGTCGTTAAAGTTGAACTTTTCGGCGCTTTGTAATCGTGGCTTGATATGCTACTTGCGAGATGCCCAATTCCCTGAGACCTGGTAGTGAATAATACTTGAGGCTGCGTCACTGCCGCAGCTCAGTACGCATTTCAAGCTCCATCACTTCAGCAAAATGGTAGCTAGCTATACGAATCGTTCCCAAAGAGTTGCCCTGATGCCTAGCGCTCAGTAATTTCTCGAATGACATTGTATTGATCTTGCCTTTGATGTAATTCATTTTGCCATAAGATACCATCGTTGATAAATATACTGCCAAAGCAGGAAGCGTCCTTAGTAAAAGGCAACGCTTACTTTTTACCCTCTTATGCGCCCTCAATTTCAAACGATTTAAGAGTCCCCTCGATTAATTGTAACTTCGAACTAGGAGCTATAATTTTAATGGCGTGCTAAGTGATCTTCATTCACTGTATCCCTAAGCGAACGGGAACCGAAGTTGAATGATATGATAAAGAATAAGCGATATGCTTTCAAATAAAACAGGCCGGATGGCCGAGTGGGAAACTGGGGGTTAGAGCCATAGCAACGTTGGGGGCCGGGTCCTGGTAACCGTCGGGTCTTAAGCAGAACAAACGTACGCCTGTCCGCTCAAGGCACTCTCGAGATTGACGGTATAATAGGTACTTTGTACAGATGACCTTTGTCACCAACCTTTTTTTTTTGTGCTGTTCCATTTCCCCATTTTTAAATAAATTATTCACTTATGGATTATAACCTCCCTTGCTGTGTGGTGAGGTAGGGCAACTGTATAGCTAGAGTATATTTAAGAATGTGGCCGGCGCAACTCCCATCCAGAAGAGATTAAATGATGCCAGATTTATCTCATGGTTAATAGATCAAGACGTGGATTCTACTTTTTATTCTTCTACATAAGAGCAGCTAATTATTCTGGTATAATCACAATCCGGCGGGTTTTGGGGGGGGGGTTTTGGGTATAATGCCCCAGATCCCAACACAACAAGCTCCCTTAACCCTAGAACTTCTTACTTATAGCATCGAATCACTCTCAATAAAAGCATAAAATTTTATCAGATCATTGAAATGCCACTCATTAAATACACGGCTCGCGAATTTTTATGGTAGGGAACTTGGCCTCTCTGCGCGACGACCTCCTGAATATCTCCTTCGGCAATGGCCCCCCCTTTTCTATCTAGGCTACCTACCTAGGTACCTACCTAGCTAGGTAGGTAGGTTCTGGAAGGGAAATGGAGCACATAAGCTATCACTAAGTAGCTTCCTGACTCTACTGTCCTCGCAACGTATGGTCCCGTTCTAATTTATCTTTGTATAATTGACTGATATACGTGCTGCTAGAACCCAAACTCAGGAAATGCCGTTACAAAAATGTGCAGGGTCACTGGCGGCTACAAAATGCAGGCAACATCCTTAATATTCTCAATCCCCAGGAACCTGCCCTCCGACCCTGGCCGACGAAATAATTGAGCTATCGCAACTCTCTGCGATTGCTCCACAATACGGAGTATCTGGATACGGATCTCTTGCGCGAATTAGCTTCTAAGAGGCCGAGCTGGCAAATTGATGATAACCAAAGTATATTTGTAGCTATAGCATCACAAATTACTAATTAATATACTAGTCACCGACCCAAACCAATGCTCCAATTCGCCACGCTAAGGTTCACATAATTTTGATGATTCTTGTCAAGTTCCATCACTCGATGTTCATCTTCATCAAGCTATCATTGGTGTCAACCATCCCCTGAAATCCAACCCGTTTATGAGGCCCGCCATTCCCACCTACCTTACCGGTCTCCCCATTGCTAGGCGGTCGAGCTCCCCAGGGGGTGACGTCCCTTTGCATAGGACTCTGAATAACAGGGCTATTATGCACACTCATTCCCGGACTCACCGCCCTTCGTTTGAAACTGGTGGGGTCGAAATCGTCATCTCGCCGCCTCTTCTTGTTCACTTTCTGAGTAATTTCCGCGGTGGTGGGGAGAGTTCCAGATTGGGGGGTAGAAGATCTTGATGGTGATGAAGTGTGGTTTTCTGACGTAGAGGTAGTTCTGGGTATCGATGGTGTCGGCGAATCGATCATTGCATCGTCACTTACTGCGATGGAGCCACGAGGAAGGAATTGTGGTGGTGGCGGAGTGCGATTCTTTTCATCTGCAAAGGTGTCCCAAAACTCCTTGCCTTTAGAATTACGCATGGCATGTTGTTGAAAGCTGCTCGAGAAACCTGATGAGATATCCGCCATCATATCATCTTCAGGTATGCCTTCAAGTAATTCTTGGGTTGTAGGCCCCAGATTCGGTGAGGATTGTGACGTTGTAGTCGTAGATAATGAGGGATGCCTAGTCGGTTCAAGCTCAACATCGGCTTCGCGGGTTTGGCGGACTACTTCGGCCTCCCGACGAACTTCGGTTTCCACTGGTGCGCCTTCTTCCGCAAGAGCCGCTCTGATGCGAGCAAAACCTTTAGTTTTTGGCTACAATCATTAGCAGCGATACATGTAGGGAAGATGGTAGCCCTTACCAGCATATTTCCCCTCCTTGTTACGGCTCTACGGATGACCCCTCTTTGTCCATCTCGACCTGGAGTTACAGGTAAGCCATCGGCATTCTCCAGCGTAGATTTTAACGTCCCGTCATCGCTCTCGCTTCCAGATATATTCAGCTGATTTGCTGCCCAACTGATACTTTCTCTTCTCGAACGAGGGCCATCTGACGCCATATCACGGTTAAGATTCATATGTTCCATATTTCGCATCGTAGGTGGGGACTTAGAGCTGCGACTTCGCATTCCACTCCCGCACCCGCTGCTTGAACTCTTACTCTTCCCATGTCTATATCGAGCGCGCTGGAAATTCATAAGACTGCTGACTGCCGGTGATTGCCCCATCCAACCGCTCCCAGGACTTGGTTGGGGTATCGCACCAAAAGGTGTACTCATTTTGCCTATTTGGGGGGTTGTAAGGATCGAATCGTCGATATCGTCAGCATCCATCAGGTCAAGATCATCGTCATCAGAACTGTTGCTAGATGAATCGGATCCCATCATTTTCACACTGCCTAAAGAGCTCGATATCCCCACTCGATCGGCATTCGCCATGGTTGACCATAGCGAACTGGGGTTATTGGTCATCGCGTCCGAGCCACTGGTATAATGAACACCATTCTTCCGATTAGGAATATTCATTGCCCTTCCCCCTATGGTTGGCGATGAGTCTGGTGATGATTGTTCGGCGAGGGTTGAATGGTGAAGATTGGTCGCGGCTCGCGAAAAGTCCAAGCCCCGTGACCGCCGCGGAAGGACGCTTGTGGGCGAGCCATATGTTTGAGAATGATCGAGCTTTGGTGACAACGGAACACGGCTGATATACGCGGATGTGTTGGGAGACATGAGATCGCGAGCGGGCATCTGCAATGAGAGACCTCGAGGTGGGAAGACCGGCCGGCGCGGGGTTGTTGGGCTCTCGGTGATCGCACTGTCATCTTTTGACTTCCGCTTCTCTGGTTCTCGAAATTTGGGGGAGGGAGAAAGTGTTGGAGGGCCTCGGTCGGAGAGAGACAAAGAGCGTCCCTTTGAAGGAGATCGTGATGCTGCTCGTGGTTCAGCCACGCCTAGTCCGTCCTCCTCAGTATTGCCATCCTTGGGCTCCACGGGAGGCTGTAAGTGAGCAGCTTCGCTCAACTGATTTCGCAGCATGGTTTCGGGGGTAGTATATCGGATAGTTCGATTTCCAAGCAAGACAGGGAAGTCCTAGGAATTCATCGTAGTTCGGCGGAGAGGGTTATTAGATCAAAGAGGATCATGGTGTATGAGCTGGCAGAGGTTGCGTAAGTAGCATGTACGAGTAGGTAGGTTGTGGATGCTAGAGCTAGGCTGGTGTCGTACAGTTTCTGTTCTTTGGATGTGCTTGGTATAATGTAATCGGCGTCAGGTCAAGATGGGTGAAGAGTGGTGAAAGCCGACTCGACGTCCATGGGCGCAAGGCTCCCAACCGGAGCCCCTGGCCAGGGTTCCGCGTACGCGCTCAGCCAATCACAATTCGGTTCCAGTATCACAACGTCATGTTTCCATATTCCCTAATTGGGCACAAGGAACCACTTCAAATACCTCCAAATCTACGTCCCAGATGGATAACTTCTCAAATCTGCCTTCCTTAACTAACCTTCATTGGTAGATAATGGACTGCGAGTCGCAGACCTTTGTTGACACTTCAACACCGAGTCCTAGTCAAACCAAGTCGCTTGGCATCTTAACCAACTGAGCAACTATGAAACATGCCCCGAAGGGATTATTAAAGCAATCGTGGCAGGCCATAGCCCAACAGACTGAAATGAACTCTACAGCAAGAATCCTCCTTGGCGAGGGTGGATTCGCGGCCTGGTTTGCATATTTTCGTCACCAAAAACGCCGCTGACAATCGATACCACATCGCGCTACTCGAACCAGCTACGGCAGCGTAGACTTCTTGAGCTGCCCAGTTCTATATATTCTCATGGTTACCATAGACTACCCATCTGCCCCTTTTCCGATCCCATTACCTAAGGGGTATTTGGGCGTCTGGAGGTGGCTAAACCAGACCCAGTTCCTGCGTGATTCCAGATATTTCGTTTGTTTGTCGAAAGCTGACCACCAGTGTGGCCAATTCGGCCCCTTTCTGACTTCCTAGTATAAATTTGGAGCCGTTCGATCTTGGAATTCGGTAGCTTTGAGAGCTGAGAACGCGTATGTGGTGGAAGTGACGGTTTGTCGCTTGGAATCGAGGGTAAAGTGATCATAACTGGCTTTCTTGGTTTGCCAGAGTTAAGAGCTTTGTAGTATCTGAGATACACTGAGTGGAGGAATACTGGCTGCATGGGAAGGAGACGGAACGACTGAACCGCTATCTGAGCTATATTCCGCCTTGAAGCTACCCTTGGGCTCGACTCTTACGATACATACCACTCCTACATGATCTTTTGGGAGGGGGAAACTGCCGGTCTTGGCTGTTGGTACTTTATCCTATTCGAACCCGCTGCTATGGCAAGTTAGGAATCGAATTCCCGCAAGATCTCAACGCCGTCATCTGTTGATAGAGATCCTAGTAACGAAAACTCGAAATATACCCCCAAAAAGAGTCTTCGCGCCAACGCTCTCATAGGCCAATGGGCTGAATGATTGTTGAGAGAACTGAGAAAATCTATGGTGGACTGCATATCTGCGACGCATTCTGCCATGAACTCGTCTCTACGCTACCCTGGTTTTATTCCGTACACTGGGACAAAATATCAAAGAGATTGCAAGCACATACCTCAACGACAGGTGACAGTCCGTGGTCTGCCTTGTCGGGGAGGCCTTCTCAGCAGAATTTGGACAAAGTCCTGCAGACACTTTGTAACATGGCCAACAATGCTATGAAGGATACAGTACGCGATCGCCCTCTAAAGCAAATCCACTTTATGGGTAGTAAAACTGCACAATCGTCGGGCTTTGGGATTACCTGGAAATACGAAATACCATCCGCAGCGACGTTGTGACTATCGAGAAGCCTGTTACGGAAGAGCAAGGATGGCGACAATATGAAACATCGTGGGAACATAGGACATCTGGGGATGATAAAGACAGCGATGATCTTATTTGCCGACTGATAGTACGCCTTGTCCAAGCTCTGCGAGACTGCCCTTTCGAGGATTCGCAGTCGGCGTTGTTGTTCAGCGGACCAAGTTCATGCCTATTATCATCGACGGTACTGGTGGTTGCAGGTTTCTCCAGACAGATATTGTTCAAGAAACAGTCAAATTCATCAAGTTTGTGGCCGCTCTACTGTTTCTGAGTCGTCCATGCATTTGGTATAACGACAACAGTATTCCAAAGGGAAAGTCACACATCCCTCTGTCGTTTGATGATTTCCAATTGCTTATCGATGCAACACCTTTGTCCTAGCCCACGAGAGATCAGCTAGTGGGTAGAGGAACGCAGGTCTACCTTGCAACGCCTCAAGAAACACAATTATCCCAACCTTGGTTGGTACTAAAGACTACTAGCAACTGAATGATTAGGTGAAGGAGCAGATATTTTACGAGGCCCAAAAGGCGTTGCAGGTGTCCCACCACTGTTGTATAAAGCAGCCCTAGGTCGCTTTGATACAACTACCAAGATTAGGCGGGGCTTTACTCAATCCACCCAATACTATTTTACCCAACAAGGGTACTTAAAAACACGTGGAGGTTCTAAAATCCGTTCTCGAGTCTTGATCAGGGAGCTTTTCTGGGAATAGTCTTCAAGTAGGAGCTACTAGTCGTTATTCATGAAACGCGTCGCTGATCAATGCAGCCAAGGCATTTATTGCAAATATCATAACGCAAGTTATCAAGTGACATTGTATATCACTTTGTGTGTAGGCACGAGACAATCTTGTAAGTTCTTACTCGTAGCTCTGATACTATGAGTTCAATGCCAGACGCTAAAGTTAAAACCCAATACCTTAGAACCAATATCAGTACTGTACAATGTTCTAGCCGCATGTTCATCATTGCCACAATCCCCAGGATCAACCAAGAGGGCGAGACACCACTAGCAACTGCTTACTTCCCTACTAAACATCAGCCTCCATTATTTATCGGCCCCGCACTAATCACTTTAAACACCCGTCAAGCTGCAAGCTCTGCCGTACGAGGCTTGTGTGTCATAAGTTCGACCGGCGGAGGTTTCTCGACCCCGGCGCCTAAGCCATTTGAGCTTCTCCTCTTACTGACAAAATAATATAGAGCCCCCCGAGGACGAGAGCGATGACTGCACTTGCGATAGCAATACCTGCTATTGCGCCCGTAGATAACCCCCCGGAGCGCTCGGATTTCGCAGACGCATTTGAAGGTGTGATGGAAGGTATCTTCGAAGGTGTGTTCGATGGTGTGGTGTTCAGAGATGAGACCGAACTGCTAGACGTTGTAGCCGCTGATGACAGGCTAGAAGTCGTACCTTTAGGTACAAACGTGGAGACTGTGGCCCCGGCAGAGCCTAGAGTCACGGTACCAGTGTTGAGGGACACTTGGAATCGCCCAATTCCAGAGTAACAGCACCCAGCTACATGATCGCAGCAGAAGTCAGAGTCGCTATGCGTCACATTTTTACAACTTATAAGGTTGGTTCCACCCTTTGCTGCGACTAGTAGGTTGTTAATTTAAAGTAGCAAAGGGGAGCAGCTGGGATTTTACTAACGAATACAGTACTGTGGGCATTCTAGAGAGTCCCAGGCCGGGTCAGTACAAGTTCCTCGAATCAGTTCGCTCACTCCAATTGAACCTGCGGTCTTACAAAGACCAGATCCCTCACAGATGAAACCTTGACCGCGACAAGGACTGTGATCTTGACCTAAAAAGCAAGGGAAATCTCCTTTTGCTGGGGTACCGTTAGGTATAGCATGATTTCTGCGACATTGCGACGGCTACGCCCCCTAGACCTGTGGCTATAAAGAAATGTTGTAAGGTAGAGCGGGATTCTGTGATCTGCATCGCTGTTGTGAAGCTTGAAACCCATGAAAAGCTCATGGAAAACAGAGGAGCTGGCAGATGGGAAGGCCCGGGGACCTCCCCCTTTCCTCCTTTCACTGCAAATACCCTTCCAAATCATTGTCGTGATACAAAGGCAACTTTTAATGCGACTTAGCTAGAATAACTGGGGGCTGAACGCAAGCGCCTGTGCGGTTTCCAACGTCTAAGCCATGCGTTTAATATACGGGTTGGCTTGCATGCGGCTTACTGTACCGCCCCTGTAGTAGAGAAAGCCATACAGGAGAACAGTGCCAGGTAGGAGGCTATGCGATTAATTAGCAACGCATCCCTACCTACTTCGTACGTAGTATCCAGGCATGCTCTTACAGTCTGACAATCCTTTGGACTTCGTACTTCAGGCCCCTAGGTAGGTTGACTGATAAGAACCCGCGGTTGTCCCACGGTGGACCCCAAAGACGGTCGATATTGACTCAGTAGCTCAACCTTTCTACTCACCCACGAAGCTAATTTCCATGGAATTTCCCCTTTCATCCTGTTTGGTCAACCAGGCGAACAGGCGATGGCGCCCCCACCGAGGTTTATCTTAATTGCTTCCGTTCTTCTCATTATAATTTATTTCTACCGATCTACACCCCCAGTGCCTCGCGCGGTATATGAGGACTTGCAATTTGACGAAGCTAGCTTCGGCCAGCGAGGGCTATTAGCCCAAAAACTATACAATCTGATTCACGAGGCAGAAAGTCTGTGGTGGACCACGGTCACTGGTATCTCCAAGAATGAGAATGATGCAGAAAAACTGGCGACGCGTCTTTTCCCGTTTATACAGCACCCATCTCAGCCTTTCAACACTGCCCCGCTTCGATCACTCCGGTCAACATTTATCCCCATGTCTAAGGGCATCGTTATTCCAGCTGGCAAGAACAGTTTGGTATATGCTTCTCATTTAATCCTGACTCTTCGAGATATCCTCAACGTCACATTGCCTATTGCTATCGCCTACGCGGGGGATGAAGACCTTCTGCCTGCACAGCGGCGATCACTGATGGAGCTGCGACCAGATGTCGAATTGCTGGATGTCACAGCTACCTTGTCGGATAGGTTTATGGATTTGCGACACGGGTCCTGGGCAATAAAACCCTTTGCGGTTTTGGCCAGCCGGTTCGAACAAGTGATCCTCGTCGACGCAGATGTTGTATTTGTCCAACCGCCGGAGCTTCTCTTTGACCACCCAGGCTACCAGGAGAGTGGCGCGCTATTCTTTCATGATCGATATTTCGAGATGAATCCGGGCAATAAGAGGCAAGAATTTATCAAAGCAGAAACGAAAAACTTGGCGCTCCTAGATACCTGTTGCCAGAGCATTCTCAGAGATGGTTATGATGATGAGCAGGACTCGGGAGTCGTCGTCATAGATAAAAGAAAGCTACAGGTCCTCATCGGGCTGTTGCATACCTGCTGGCAGAACTCCTCACCTGTTAGAAACGATATTACATACAAGATTTTCTACGGCGACAAGGAGACCTTCTGGCTTGGGATGGCCTTAAGTAAGGTGCCACATGTTTTTGAGCGGCACTCGGCCGGGATAGCAGGTATGCTGCGAGAACGAGATGGTAAGAAACAGGTTTGCGGGAACACCATTTCGCATTCTTCTGACGAAAATGGGAGTCTGATTTGGTATAATGGTAGCTTGCTTCGAAATAAAAGCAAAAATGGCAAGACATATCTAGTTCCTGAGTATCAAATAGTGGGTGGCCAATGCAGCTGGGTTACTGACCCTGCTTTGCAGTTCTGTTGCCACGGTGGAGACATATCAGAGTTGACCAGTTCAGAGCGTACTGTTCTCGAGAGAAGTGTGGATATCGCTCAAAAGCTAGATGGCCAGCAAGAAATGCAATCAAAATCATGATTACTCAAGTAGCTAAATTTCCGGCCATCTGTGGTTCGCAAGAACTCAGTCTCAGCCCGCAGGGAATGCCGTTGGCCCGTTCAGATACCGATAGAAACCATCAGTCATGCTCACTTCACATGAAATACAATAATATTCGGTAAACAGTCGAAACAACCGCGTTGTTATAAACCACCCTTAAACATTCGCCCTCCAAACTGGTCTCTGATCCCTATGGATAATCCACCTCGATATTATTCAGTTGGGGAAATGCTTCATATCCACTCAACGGACGGAGGAGTGATTAGCCTGCATAGGTACAGAAGGGCTAATCTAACGCTGAGCCATCCGACGATGATAAAGTAACTGGACTGTTGGCACCACTGGCAGTATGAACCACATCAGAGCCTATGCCGTTATGTCTGGTTGCCCGGTGGCGCATAGGAGCTCCGCAATAATGGCAGCCTCTGATATGACAAGAGTTCTGGTTGATATCAAGCTGCAATTTGGATAGCCGTTGGAGAAGAAAGATTAAGCCCCAGGTGGATTGCCCATGGAAATTTGTGAGCTGGACTTCATACTGGTTGAGAGCTGTTTCAAATGTCTGGAGAGATGATAAAATATGTTCTCGTATTGGCTGAAGTGGCGGAGAGGTGCGACCCGGAGGCTGGTCCGATGAAGAAGACTCTTGCTGCCCATTTGCCCCTGGGCTTGCATCATCATCCCGCCCGGTAGGAGTGCGAGCGTTGGCTTGAACGTGGTTCATGATTAGATAGGCCGAGTCTTCCTTGGTGCCGCGGAGCAAAAGAATTTATTGCCTCAATAGCTGTGTAGGAGCATGGCCATGACTTGATCCCTGTTAACTGACGAGCGCGACGTCTACTTATATGTCATCCTCAACTATGATTGCTAGTTGGTACAGTTTGCTAGTCATAAAAACCACCACAAATATTTGCTGCGTTGAATCATGAAGCTCATTATGAGATATATACAATCCCAACTTGGTAGCTGATCACCAAAGCTACTTGCTTTATGCATCTGCACAAATTTATGCCGGTCTTCGTCCCAAGAATTGAACTGGCGGTATGGAGAACTGGAGTACAGACATATGCATGGAAGCGTGGCACCAAATGGAGAGACCAGCTATGAAAGGAATGTTTCTCCCATCAGAAAATACTTCACTTCTCTTGTATGTAACTTTGCCACAAGGCATTAAATGTAACGAGCACAGTATGATGGTACTGGTGTGTGGCATATACTTCAAGAAACCACCCAGGACAGAATGAAGACGCCATCATGGTCAATTCTTGCGCAACGGATATATTCGCCAACGCAGATTCAAAAGGAAATTTACAACCACCGAAAACCACGAACGACAAAATTGTCGCTGACAACGGGGAGCTCTTTCTCGAGCGGTGGAATGCTTGTGCAAGGGAAGCACTAATAAGATCACCATTGGCATCAGCAAGCATGTGTGGCGCGCATTCGCATCACCCGGCGGACGATATAACCTCTTGGAGGGATAATGACGCTTTTGGAGACGATGAAGAGGATGAAGAGAGCAATGCCGGAACGACAGGTAAGCAAGACACACGTTTTGTTTATATATAAACCCCAGTGCTACTATATCTGCCCCCACGTTTCTTCGTGTCTTTGTTCCTTGCGCTCGGCGCGTGGCGGGATGGATATTGCGAAGAAGCGTGGAATGGATAGCGGATCGCGTGGGGCAGGCCAGCAATTTCCTAGTGGCGTGCCGCTTGATGGGCTGTGCTGCTTTTAGAGCTTCGTTGAAGCTGAGAGAGCGTCACGAAACAACTTTTGCCACTCCAAATGGCCTCAATTTTTGGAGTTCGGGCAGCGACACGTCCACAAGCATCGGCAGACCACACCGCTGACCGATCTGCAGCTACCACCAGCGACGATGAAACGTTCGAACCCACCGACCGAGCCCATGGCCCTGTCGATGCTACGGGGCTAAAGGAGAGACCCGAGCTTGCCCATTATCTGCAAAACGATAGCTCGATACTCACTCTCGCTGTTGGAGATCGATACATATACGCTGGCACACAAGATGGGGAGATCGTTGTTTGGTCGCTGGCCTCATTTGAGCTTGTCCTCCGCATACAAGCACACACGCGAGCAGTGCTGTGCTTGTTTCTCTCCGCAGACGGGCAGCTGCTGTTCTCCAGCGCTGGAGACGCAATTGTCAATGCATGGTGCCCAGTTAACCTGAAGAGACTGTATCACATATACAGCACATACGATGTCGGAGATGTCTTCAGTGTTGCATATTCTAGGCAATTCGACACTGTGTATCTTGGAGCGCAAAATACCAGCATACAGTGGTGCAGCTTGAAGGACTCTGCTAGTAGACCTCGCCCAAACCTCGAGCACCATCCGGACCGGCGAAACCACAGATTCTTTGACTCGGTACAGCATGGGGGAACATCGACACCACGACCCCAACCGCTTCGAACGACAGTTAGTGATGGCGAAATCCTTGAAATGGATAAGGCGCATATGATGCACTATGCACATTATGGCTACATTTACTGCATGCTACTGGTTAAAGGTGCTACTAGGCTGGTAGACTCGGATGAGGATGTTTTGATATCTGGCGGAGGAGATGGAACAATCAAAATATGGAGACTGGCTCATGACAACCAAGGAATTAAGGAACTGGCTTGCCTAGGACAGGATGATGCTGAATCGGTGCTGTCCATGGCTGTGGATGGGTCGTTTCTCTACAGCAGCAAACTTGATGGGATCATTGAACTCTGGGATTTGGACACCAAACAGAAACTTCGTGTTATCAAAGCACACAGAGGAGATGTTATGACGTTGCAAATGGCTTGGGGCTATCTTTGGAGTGCCGGATCGACAGGATTTGCGAGAGTAAGCTCACATCTATTCCATTCAAGTACCATGTTGCTAATGACTTTCGCAATAGAAATACAGCACAGTCCAATACGGCAAATACCAGAGCTCATCGTCATTTAGCCAGAAGTATCATTGCGTGAACCGATGGAAAGCCCACGAAGGCAGAATTTTGGCATCAGCAGTCACCACATACAACGGGCAGCAGCTTTATATCACGGGTGCTAACGACAATTCTGTCTCAATTTGGAATATTACTGGCTGTACGACAGAATCCTATGGCAAGAATGAGGTTCCTGAAAACCAGTTGATCAAATCTCTGCAAGAGTTTGTCTCGTTCAAAACTGTGTCTTCAAGGCCTGACAATGCCGAGGATTGTCGACGTGGGGCGACATTCCTACGGACGTTATTTAAGAAGCATGGAGCTCAAACCGAAATGCTGAATACCGACAATCGGCAGAATCCTGTAGTTTACGCCAAGTTCAGAGGCAACCCGGAAACCTCTGCCCACCGGAAGAATATCCTATTCTATGGTCACTATGATGTTGTCCCTGCCGATAATAAGCAAGGCAATTGGATCGTCGACCCATTTCAGATGAAAGGGGTCAATGGGTATCTGTACGGCCGAGGGGTGTCAGATAACAAGGGTCCGATCATGGCTGCTCTCTATGGCGTGGTCGACCTCGTGCATGAGAAGACTCTCGAGTCAGATATAACTTTTCTCATCGAAGGAGAAGAGGAATCCGGCTCCCGTGGGTTTAAGGAGGCAGTCAGACGCCACAAAACTCTTATTGGCGATATTGACTACATAATCCTTGCAAACAGCTACTGGCTGGACGACGAAGTCCCGTGTTTGACCTATGGCCTACGAGGTGTCCTTCATGCCACAGTGAAGGTTGACAGCAATCATCCAGATGTGCATAGCGGTGTTGATGGGAGCTTTATGATGGACGAGCCATTGTTTGATTTGACTGCGATACTGGCAAAACTTAAAGGGCTTCACAATCGAATACAGATCCCTGGGTTTTACGATAAGATTTTGCCCTTGACTACGACCGAGGAGGCCCGGTATAATGATATATGCGACGTCCTGATCCGGCGCAACCCCGAGCTTGGTCCACCGGAAACCCTCAAGGCGTCTCTTATGGCACGATGGCGGGAGCCAAACTTGACCATCCATCGGTACAAGGTTTCTGGCCCTGATGGGTCGCTGGTCTCATCGCATGCCAGCGCAGCCATTTCTTTCCGCCTGGTGCCTAACCAAGAAGTTGATGATGTGGTCAAGTCTCTTAACGCCTTTCTCTCTGACGCGTTTTCACAGCTCGATACGCATAACCGGCTCTCAATCACGATTGATAACCAGGCAGATGCATGGCTTGGGGACCCAGAGAACGAGATATTCCAGACCCTGGAGGAAGCTATCATGGACGTTTGGGGTCCAATAGGAGACACAAGGCGCTCAAGTGTCCCTGGACCAAAACCTAGGCAGCTCAAGTCGCCGCTAACCCCGAACATGAGCCCGAGTCTAAAGCCAACACCGGCCACCAGTAATACATTGACGAATGGCAGCGACCATACCTCTCTCGCCGCAACCCCTCTTGATGTCTCGCTGCCTGATACGATGCTTTCGCCAATCGCCATTGACGGCACAAATGACAACAAGAGCAGAGGTAGAAAGCCATTGTACATCCGAGAGGGGGGTTCCATTCCAAGTATCAGATTTCTTGAAAAGGAATTCGGTGCCCCGGCTGCTCACTTGCCATGTGGACAAGCAAGCGACAGTGCGCATTTGGACAACGAGCGTCTCAGAGTCAGCAATTTGTACAAAAGTCGGGAGATTTTCAGAAAGGTGTTCAAGGAGTTGCCCAGAAAATAGTGTGGATAATGGTGTTCCGGAGAATGGTGTCGATGGAGAATGGTTCCATAAATTGGAAGGATAAGGTGCCATGTTGATACTTTGTTCTATCTGCGTGGTGTTTCAAAGATACCCTTCTAGGCTGTTGATATTAGACTAGAGAAGTTATCTGGTTGCTGAGGTAGCTTTAGATTCTTTCGACATCTAGAATTGTAAGGTTTGCCCCCGGGCCAGCCTCAGGCTAGAGTAATTGCAAATTGTATTCAATCAAAAGACGAACAGCAACTATAGTATTTGAATTTAGCAAGTCACCCTTTTGTCGTGGTATTGTCTATCTGGTGTATTAGAGATTTATCTACCTAAGGCTGTGAGACTGTGCACGGATCCGAATTCATGCGAAGTATCGGTGACGGCTTCCTTTGCTAGTGGATCCATCAACCACCCACCAACCATACTATTTCCTCTGCCCTATCTCGATTTCTATTGTTAATATGCCGAAGTACGGTCCTTGTCTGCATCTATGTGCTATTGTACTTACTTTATTAATTTACCTTTTGTATCGTGTTGTAACTCTCCTGGACGATTTCGGACGAGAGTATTCATCTCGCATCTATTGCCACAAGGATGTGATGTCTAGCTTCGAACTCATCCCTCTCACATGTAGTGAACATTTGTGAGCATGGTATTTGTTGAGAGGATATACTCTAGGGCCTTGTTTATGTTACTAGTCGATGTTCTCTATTGCTACCGATATCTCTGCACCAATTGATAAATATGGCAAAGACTGCATATGAAGTAGCTGCTACAGGTTATGATGCCCTTGCTCCATCAAATCTTTCTGTTGCCATATATCCTGCCAGTTATCGTCAAATGTGAATTTATGCACCTGATTTCTCTTATCAAAATCAAGATAGCAAGCTGGCATATTGATTAGTTATTTGGTATGTGAAATGCGTTAACATATCTTTGACCTAGAGAAAAAGGTCACGTATAACAGTTTTGCATAATACGACTGCTGAGCCTGGCCTGTCGGTGTCATATCTATGAAATTTTCTGGGCAGACTGGCTCAAAGTACAAACGAATTTAGAGTTAACAAAGGGGAAAGCTATCTACTCTTTCTCCAGTCTGACTTTATTTCCCAATGTCTAGTATTCTTCTTAACAGACTATATAGAGTACCAATCAACTCGTCTAGGTCAATTGGTGAAACTTAAAATATGGACTTTTCCATCATCTAGCTTAAGCTTTTGAGCCTAGGGAAAAATGGACTACTGATTTTGTCCTCTGATATTAAGTTGCCGGCGTGTTTACTCTTAGTAGAGTATGGTGAAAACTTATGCTACACTCTTGAGGTAGTCAGCCTCATCTCCCTACGATAGCTAGCTTAGTTGTTTTGTTATGGTTTGGTAACATACACCGCCTAATGCCTAAGACCGTCTCTATTTGGACACGTCCGAATTCTTTTGGTCGCTCGTGTGAACTTTCCCTCTTGATCCGCCAACTCTCAACAATATCGTCGCATTTGCAAAGACATTCACTGATCTTTAACGTCGTTCATTGCGTTACTTGGATAAGCTGACGTTTAGGACGCTCCCCGAATCGATACATTCCCAAGCTGCCTACAGCCTTTTTGCTTTGTTTTCACACACTCAAAGGCTCTCTACATCTTAATTTTGCTCCTAGCTACCCTTTGGCCCTTACCAGCCTAACTGCCCGGAGGAAATGAGCCAGCAACAGCTACGACCACTGGCAGCTGGATCCTCGTTCGAGTCCCCACTGCTGATAGACTCGGACGAGGACCAGGCCGTTTCCAAGGTAACGCCCAGGAATAGGCAGAGAACACTGAAGACGAAGGCTGAAATAAACTCTTCACAAGGGTTAAAGTTCAATACGTATGCTCCTGGGACTTTGGTAGGAGAAACTGATCGCGAGGATTCCGATGAAGATATCAGGGGTCCAATCCGCCGGATGCGGGCACGACCCCTAGACGTCGACTTCTCCCCGAGTACGCTCGCCGCAGAATCTCCTACCCCGAGATTATATCGCCAGAAGAGCTCCCTGCCAATATCTCCTGGCTCGAGGAGCCTTTTATCACAGACATCCACGTCACCAACTAAGTCCAAGCGCCAGCCATCATCCGAACTTGACGGATCTCCATCTAAGAGATATCAGCCATCGGATCGGCCAGCAACAATAGTCACGGTATCTAATACAAATGAGCATACAAAGACCACAACACCAAACAAAGCACTCGCGTATATTCCCGCCCACGCCTATATCGAGATAAGTGACGATGATAGCAGCGATGAAAACGACAAGGGTGACTATGATGGTGAAGGTTACCGGAGGTCATCCTTAGATACTGAAGTCGAAGGTCGAAATGGGCAGACTCGGATACAAAATAGAACACCTGCTCAAGACAATTACTGGGCATTATCTTCAGATACTGAAGCCGAGGATCAAGATGAAAGGCGTCAAACATCGTCCATGCCAGTGCTTCAACACAAACGAAGGGCAATTCATGATAAGCAGAGATCTTCACCAATAGGAGGGAATTTAGACGAAGAAGTTTTAAAGCATAGAATACAAACAAAAGCAACGCCATGGATTCGAAAATTAGTAAACCTACCTAACCACTTCCACTTACAGTATACACATTACTGACTGGGTTAGGCTGGGGCTATGTTTAACCGTACACTCGGTGCTGCGGAAGCTGAAGATCTTGACGACAATGATAAGAAGGCGGTGATCAGCATTACGAGTGACGTTGCTATAGTTCGGAAAGCAGCCTGGGATTCGACATCTAAGACGAATGAAGTTTCGTTTGAGGAAGAACAGATATGGTATGAGTCGGCTACAGGCCGTACTGGCTTTCCTTCTGTGGAAATTGACTATGTGAGATATTGCCCTGGAGACTTTTGCATCGTACGCCCATCCGAAAATACTGAAGGTCAGTACATCACCTCATTAGTGCCGGGTTTAATATACTAACGGTATCTCATTTCAGCCTCCGAGCAAGGAGATCCATGGTTTGCGCGTATTATCTCCATTTTCGAGGAAGAAGATGGCGAGCCAAGCTGTCACATGCAGTGGTTGGTGCACGGCTCTAGTACCATTCTTGGTGAAACTGCCGGACCTCATGAATTGTTCCTTCTATATCAATGCGATAATAACCCGGCGACTTGCATTGCAGGAAAGATTCAAGTCGATCTTCCAGGAGACGAACGTCAAGATTTTGTGACCGGGGCTATCGAGACAAGATATAACGCCGGCGAATACTTTTGTCGCTTCGTCTTTGACGATAATAAGGAGACGTTCACGCATGCCCCTAGTCTACACGACCCATTGCCAAAGGGTGTTATTCAAGGCAAAGATTGCTACTGCTGCTTGAAGATACAGGAGGTAAAGCATTTCAATCGCAGAACTATAATTGGGAACATTTCCAAGCATGGTTCGATTACCGGCTATGAGTATCTTGGAGTCACTTACCATGTCCATGATTTTGTCTATATCGTCTCGAAAGAAGCGGGGCCATATGTCATAGGACAGATACTGGCATTTAAGGTCTCGAATTACCTGGAGTATTCTGCGTCCCCGAAGCTATTGCGAGATATGGCCGACATCAGGGTCACTGTGAAGGTGCTTGAACGCTACCATGACAAGGACAAGAAGTGGTGGAAGGTGGTAACCAAAAATATTCCCCGCAATATTAGAGACAACCGACGACTCTATCTCACCAAGAAGGAAATTCAAGTGTCTGCCGATCTTATTGAAGGGCGATGCCAAGTTCGTCATCCTAACGACATTGATAATCTAGACACCTACAAGGACCAGAATGACACTTTCTGGATCAAGGATCAGGTATCCCAGTTTGCAGAAACGAACGAGTTTGACCCGCTACATGCGAACGAGTTAATGTATTGCGAAGATACCAAAGCAGAAATTGCAGACCGAGAGAGCAAGCTGAAAGATTTCCTCGCGTCTACCCAGGCTTTACCAGCATTAGAGCTATGTGCTGGGTGTGGTGGGCTATGCCTAGGGCTCGGCCAGAGCGGAGCTATCAAGACAAAATGGGCTGTTGAGTTTGCTCCTGCGGCTGCGCGAACTTTTAAATCCAACTTTCCTGATGTTCAGGTATATAACGAAGATGGTAGTAAATGCCTTGCAAGGGCCATCAGGGAGAGCCAGGGCATCGTGAGGCAGGGCGAGAAAGATATAGCTGGAAGACCTGTGTCTCCAATGCCTAAGAGAGGTCAAGTGGGTGTGATATGTGGGGGGTTTCCCTGCCCTGGATACACGGGAGCAAACCAGCGGCCCCTTGCAGATGACGTGAAGAATACATGTTAGTTGACTAAGATGCTTTCATTTTGCATATCCTTCTGTGGATATCGAAGAAAAATGCTAACGATCTACATTTAGTGATTACTATGGTTCTTAGTTATGTCGACTTCTATAGACCGAACTATGTCTTGTTAGAAAAGTAAGGCACTCCTTATAGCCCATAGGACCAAATACTGATACGCAAAATAGTGTTAGAGGAATTCTCACTCATCGAGTAAGTTCACGGCTATGCGTACACTAATGAATTGCTGACTGTCAAAAGCTCGGAGCAATACAGAAGGGAAATCATAAGGTGGAAGGAGGAATTGAGCGAGGAACACTAAAGTATGCAGTGCCTAATTACACCACGGTCCCATTTATAAATGTACTAACAAGGGCGTAGATTTATCCTCCGCGCTCTGACTTCGATGGGATACGCATGCCAGTTTACGGTGCTCCAGACTGGGGAGTTCTCAGTACCCCAGAGCCGCCAAAGAGTCTTCTTCTGGGCAGCCTTCCGTGGAAATGATCTACCTAAGTATCCGCAGGCTACTAGCATATGGGCCGGGGCATGTCCGGTTTCTTGGCACCGCGATCGCACTACCGGTGTGGCCCCCCATCGGGAAGTTACGGTTGGAGATGCCACCACGGATCTGCCAGCATTCGATTGGGAGAATCCCCATAATATTAGATCGCAAACAGGAGAGCAGCGTCGGGACCGGGAAGCAAGATCCAAGACCATCATACAGTTACCTATTGTTCGAGGAAAGGATTATGTTGGCGTTGATAAGCAAGATTATGCTTACCCGCCTCTCACTGAGTATCAGCGGGTATTGAGAAGAGGGGTGCCTGCGGACCGCCTGATGAATCACGTTACTCACAACTTTTTCGATAACCCACCTGCAACTGGGAGGTTAAGGCAGGCAATTTCCGAACAGGTCTGTAACATTGAAATGATTCCCGGAGCCGATCATCGTGGGCTCCCTCGGAAGTTGAGACATTGGGGCTTGAGCCATCGAGATTCTGCAGCAGAGCGCCACAATTATTACCCAGGAAGGTACGGCCGGCTAGACTATGAAGGGCCTTTCCAGACTTGTATGACTAATGTCTTTCCAAATGGGAAGAATGGAAATGTGCGCGTATTCAATCCCCTCGGCCGTTTGAATTGACTAACCTTATATGTTTAGGTTGTCCATCCCACCCAACATCGAATTCTTAGCATTCGCGAGCAAGCCCGGGCAATGGGATTTCCCGATTCCTACGTATGGGACCTTGAAGACGTGCCTGTGAAACTAGCCTTCCGGATGATTGGGAATGCAGTTCCGGTAGTTCTGGCATCGAAACTTGGCGAGGAATTACTGGAAGCTCGATTTCAGGCTTGGGCAAAGGCTAGACTTTAGGCGAGTGATAGTACGATAAAGGCGAGTGAAAGCAGTGCGATAGATGATGACGGTCCTGTTTTGATGTCTGATTCTGGCACGGATTCAGAGAGTGTAGGTGTGATTGAGCCATGGGCTGAGTAACAAAATTATGATAATCCTTTTGTAAGATATCTAGACACTAGAGCCGATGGCAAAAACCACTCATAACACACATTGGCCCGACTTACACATAGAGAACTTGAAGAATTAAAACCGGTGCTTTTATGAAATTAATAATGGTCCACAATCAGAAGATAAAAATACGATACCCTATAGTGCCCTATAGATGACATGAAATTGATATAAGTTTAGAAGCCTAAGCTCTAGAGTTATTTTGATCCTTTGGATTGGGGCCCGACGACAGAACATTTTGAAAGATGGGATTATTTCACCCTGGAGTAAGCTGGAAATTGAGATATTATCTAATAAATAACAAGTCATGTAATAAGTATATGATAGGTAAAAATAATAAGGAAGATATCTCGCTCTTTCAAGTAGAATGATGTAGTTCCTGGTTTGTTGTGGTGGAGTGTGAGATCATGTGATCCAGGGGCCATCTCAAATCACGTGCACGTTAGTGGACCCCGGGTCCCGGGTCCCGGGTCGTTTCAGGGGAGGGATATTATGTCATGTGACATCCTCGTCATCTTCACCAGGTGACAAGCGAACAGCTTTCCTGACCTTTCATCTCATCTCACAAACATCTTGCACTCAATAAAGTTCTTTCACTCCACAACAAGTCATTTGGGGATATTTTTATTCCTCATGCGCTCTTTACTCGAACACTCGATATGCCCATGTCTGTGGAGGAGGTTCCTCAGGGCTACGCGATAGTAGGGGGAAGGTTCCAGGACGCCGATGCGGCGCCACCAGTCGTCGATTCAGATGCATCCAATCACCAAAGTCGAGAAATGGCTTCGGAGTCGGATATGTATCCAGAGAGACGTTTGCCCGTCAATGAAGTTCGGCAACTCCCATCCCCATCGCCATCTCCATCTCCATCTCCATCGCCCCGAAGCTCGTCGCTATCTCTAGTCATACCTGGTACCTTATCTTCCAATGCAGAGGAGCGTAAATTCCCCAAATCATCCCCGACGGCCGAAGTGCTATCTTCGACGGGGAGTAAAGGTGTGATCGCGAGCCCATCTATATCCGCATCGAAGATTATACCCGGCCATGAGCTTCATCACGATTCTGTGGATAGGGTTGGGAAGCCTGGCAGGTTATCCTTGTCGAAAGCCAACGGAGAGGTCCTGAAATTATCGGCTGCTCAAATGGAAGAGTTGACTTCCGCGCCAGAATCGTTGCCTATAACATCTCCCGCGAGGTCGCCTTTTTCTCCACAGCCATCACTGGCCGCTTCCCCGATTTTTGATCGCAGAGCGTCAATGTCTGAGACTACCAGGCCCGATGAAAATTATAAAAGTTCTGTGCAATATAACAGCTCGACTGGCTTTGAGCCGTTGATGAGCGCATCAAACTCCACTGGAGATCGTCGTCCAAGTATAGAGACAACGCCAGCAATTTCGCCAACCAATGTTATTAGCAGGCGTCCTGGCTTTTCATCACGTTCTTCCGCCCAGCCTACGAACAACAACCGGGCGGCATCCTACCACAGAGGAACGTCTCGACAACCATCACCCAGACGCAAACCAGCCCCCAATGGAGCACGCCCGGAACATCTGGATATAGATATTCCCTTCAAACCTTTGCCAAACGGGCCAAACCCTTCATCAGCTCTGAGGCCGCCACCTTCCCCAATCCCACAGTCTATTCCTCTTCCGCCTATGTCTATACCAACATATTTACAATTGGAACTATCATCGTCAAGGCCTTCGCCTTTGTACATTTACCGATCTGCTAATAGCGATATTCCTTACGAATCTTCGAAAATAAAGTTCGAGCGCTTACTGAATTTCCTTTTATTGCCTCCGCAGTTGGAGCAAGTGCTTTATTTTGGCTCATTAGCGTGTCTTGATGCATGGTTATATACCTTTACCATTCTACCTCTTCGGTTTTTCAAAGCGCTGGCAGTTTTAATCCAGTGGTGGGGCGAGGTACTGGCAAAAGAAGCAAGGTTCATCCTGGGATTTATATATCATGGCGCTGGCCGTTTCTGGCATCGCCAACGTGGAAGGTCGGATAGCGTGGATTCTTCAGCTCGCTCTAGAAGTGTATCCCGAGTACGCCAGGCGGGAACCTCGCGAATATCATCATATCAATCTCAACCTCATTCAGGGAGGATCCTCGAGAACGTCAATGGCAATGGTGTTCCAGAACGTGCGTATCCTGAATCGGGACCCAGACCATCGAGACAAGGCTGGGGTCGCCGCCATCGGCGAATGAAGTCTCATCCTTCATCATTATCTTCAAATCACAAAGCAGATCTTCTTCAGGGAGCAGTCATAGTATGTAGCTGTCTTATTCTGATGAGGTTCGATGCTAGCAGGATGTATCACAGTATCAGGGGCCAGGCAGCTATCAAGCTCTATGTTATTTATAACGTTTTAGAGGTAGGTTTGTTGGCTTCGATGTTAGTCCAAGCGCTAAAGTTATCAGGTTTGCGACAAATTGTTTTCTGCCCTGGGGCAAGATATATTTGAATGCTTATTTTCTAACGAGACTTTGGATCGAGACTCCGATGGCCGTAGTAAGATATTACGACCATTAGGCATGTTCATACTTGCACTCATATATAATGTCATCCACGCCGCAGCCTTATTCTATCAGGTTATTACGCTGAACGTCGCAGTCAATTCATATTCGAATGCGCTGTTGACGCTTCTCATGTCAAATCAATTCGTTGAGATTAAGTCTTCAGTGTTCAAGATGTTCCAGAAAGACAATATCTTCCAATTAACTTGTGCTGACATCGTTGAACGATTCCAGCTGTGGTTGATGCTGACAATTATTGCTTTACGAAACATCGTGGAGGTTGGTGGATTGAGTATTGTTGCTGGTGATGGTGGGGCTGGAGATTTGTTGCAGGATGCAGCTGCATCACTCAAGTCGAACTCTATCCTACCAAATAGCTTCACCATACTTCCTAGCTGGTCTGGCGAGGTTCTTTCACCTTTCCTGTTGGTGCTTGGCAGCGAAATGCTAGTAGATTGGGTAAAGCACGCTTACATCGGTAAATTCAATCGTGTTAACCCGGCGGTCTATCAACGATATCTTGACGTTCTCGCGAAGGATTATTATACAAACGTAAGCTTCTTTTGCCCTATTTAATATCCCTTGCTAATTTTACAGGCTTTTATTAATCAAAATCTCATCAAACGTCTGGGCCTCCCCGTAATTCCTCTATCATGTCTATTCATACGATCCTCTGTCCAGACATACCACATGTTCCTCGCGACTCACGTTCCGCCTCCGATACCGTCAACTGCAACGGCATTGTCTGTTGAATCTGCCACTTCGTCCCCAGCCACCAGAGCCGCCCTCGAACACTTCGACAACATCATCCGACGAGCGCTTGGCAGATCTACCTTCGGAATCCCCGACCCTACTACAGCCAGCCGCTGGTATCTACCCAGTGCAGATGACGCCATCGCAGCTTTGACGATGCTCATCTTCTTCCTCGGCGCATTTTTTGTCCTCCTCGCCCTCAAGCTCGTTCTCGGGATGCTACTGTTGAAGTTTGCGCGGAATAGATACAGTACTATGAAGACGAGAGAGCACCAAAGTTATGATACAGAAAGCAAAAGACTTGGTTCATGGGGCATGACCGAGTTGGATGAGGAGAAACGCCGGCATATCTTTAACGATGATCCGGAGGCTTTGAGGAAATTGAGAGAAAAGGAGAAGTTAGGGAGAGAGAAAGCGGCCGCGGGAATGGACTTTTCGAAAGTTAGTCGATATGAGATGTCAGCGAAGAGGATATGGTAGCTTCTTATACAGATTTGGAAAGTATTACTAAGCAACCCCTTAAATGCCGACCTAACCTACCTAAGTATGACAGACGCGCAGTCCTCAATGCATCGCTAGCAGCTCAACTAGTGTTTGATATTCTCCGTGTTGACCTCATCTTTCAAGTGTGATAGCTTCATCGTGGTGTTGTGTCTATTCGTTTAACAACGGAATCTGACGCGGGGCCTGAAAATTCATTCGATGACCCCTACAGTTTTCCCACTACGAGATTATGTGCTGATCAGGCTTTCACCCACTCTCACATCGCTCGCATCCACAAATTGCCTGCCTTCTTCTGTTCCTGTCCTCCATTCCGTCCACTTCTCCTCCACACGGTTAACCAATTCCAGGGCTGTCGGTCTCTCGCCTGGCTGAGTTTTCAGCATATCACCCACAACATTACGAATATAGTGCGAGAAATCTTTGTCATTCATGCGGGAGATCTGCCAGTCGTAGGTGTAGAGAATCGGCGGAGGGATTCCCGTCATCATGACATAGAGGACTGCGCCTAGCGACCAGATTTCGGAAGCGCGGGTCCAAGGGCGAATATTTTTATTGATTTCCTTTTAAAGTTCCAGTTAGGTCAGGAGATGAATGGATATAAATAAATATAGGAATAAAAGACAACAGGGCAGATAGACAAGAGAAGAATAGACCAAAGGAGAACTATACCGGTGCCCAATAAGCCCTCTTCCACGTTGGCACATCCTCTGGTCGATTTGAAATCGCAACTTTCCAACCTACACTTCCACAAACCTTCGCCTGCTGAAACCCACCGAGCTTGCAAGCTCCATAGAAAACTCCTTTTGCCCCATCTGGCTTCTTAAACCATATTTGCTCCGGACTGACATCCATAATTAGGACCGCATGCCAGTCATCGTCATGCTTTCCCCATTCGCCAGGGATCCCCTCTGTCTCTTTAATCCCATGGTGCAGCCAAAGTAAAGCACGGCTAATACTGCGTAACACATGCCAGCAAAGAGATTCGGGGAGCGAGAAGCGACCAGTATCGGGAGCGACTAAGGCCGCCCAGCGTTCTTCATCGGTGAATGGCGGAATGGTTTTGGGGGAAGGAAGGAGGGAGGAGAGGCAACCGGCGGTCATGTCTTCCCAGATTGTGAGGTCGGCAAGGGGGCCTGATTTGATGCTGCCGCCTGGAAGCTGGGAGTTTTGTACCACATCCACGAGAGAGATTATGTTTGGGTGGTTGAGGAGGCGAGAGAGAGGTAGGGAGGCAGTAGGAAGGATAACTGAGGCCAGCTTGGTGGTAGTGCTTTCGTCTTCTAGGCCAGAGTCATCGTCTGGAGGAGAAGAAGCCGAGTCTTGGGGGTCTGGGATTGGAGTAACCACATCTTTTATCTGGATGTTGGGAATTGGCGCGGCGAGAAAGTAGGCATTGTCACTGGTACGAAGGACTGATATAGATGAGCCGTCCCCCTCTCCTTCAGATGGATTGCAAGGGATATACCGGGGGTGAAGGGGCATTTTGCTAATAGTTTCTCTGAGGTGAGATAACCCGTGGAGAGTGCGCGAAAGATAACATTCGTGCAAGAAAGGAAAAGAATATATTTCTGGGAAAGCTCCAACAAACGGAGTACGCATTAAGCATTGAGGAATGTGACTATGGATGACACTTGCAGATGTCTTTGTCCTTGTGGCACTTGCCCTTTGTTGACCCTGCTGCTTGACCTCGAGGAATAAAATACTCCAATCGCATCGCGATACCAGCCGTAAAAGCACAATGCAGGCTATTTCCATAAGGATGAAAACGTAGCGTTAGTCATTTCCTGCCAAACGTCTTCCATATTTTAATAAAGTTCTGGCCAGCGCTCGCAGAGCTAGTAACGAAACCGCAAGTGGGTTGAGGTTGACCCCCAATGAGGCTGAAAGAACCACTGCGCCACCTTTAATGGCGGTTCGTTATTTAAAGCGCGGAGACCAAAATGATACCATTGTAACGATGATCTAGTTTCCTCCGCTTTAAATTAGCGTAAGATAAAGGGGCGGCGCTTCCCCTAAAATGCCAAAATTTAAGCGAGGAAACCCCCTGAACCCCTGAATCTCCTGAGCTTCCTGTGTAACTACCTAGGTACCTAGGTAAAGTAGGTGCATATGTCAACCTTTCATTTCATTCTGGATTCAACAAGAAACAATGAACACTTTCGATCTCATTTTACACCAGCTGTACTCCAAATATTCAACAGGTGCAGTTCAATTGCATTCAGAATCCAAGGTGGTCGAGCATTTTCACCAGCTGCTCTTCATTTTCATCCCTGCACTTCATCGTGGATTCTTCCGGCTGGAGTCGCAAGATGTCTGGATTGGTGATACGCCATGGGATAATCATTTGAAGGACTGCATCAACATCGGCGGCCTTCTCAATCCCCTGGGTGGTTCTTGGGCGCTGCACTTGAACCCTTTCCAGCTCATCCTCCCATGCCTTCATGTCCTCCCATTTCACCCCGTCCGTATTAGATGATAGCGGTAGTGGCGATGGGAAGCCATGAAGCTTGTAATCCTGCAGTGCTAGCAGGTCGTTGTCTTCGTCACCAGGCCAGCCTCCAAACTGTCCACCACAGCCGTTGAAGGAACGGAAGAATTCGTAGGATGGATGAGAGATGCAAGCGAAGTCATAATCAAGAAGCGCAGTGATTCGTTGAGACTTGGGATCGTAGAGCATGTTGTTCGTAGCTACACGGTCACATGGCAATAAGCTTAACAATTTATATCGTAAGTAGAGGGGGTAATTTACTAAAGTCAGCATGTACAACGCATTTATCTTGTTTTGAGGCTAGCGATAGAAACTGCGCGGGGAGACCACTTTCCACAAAGGCATCGATCCGCTCCCTAACCCCATTGTTACGCCATCCTCGAATAATCGGGCTTTTATCAGCTTCTGCGATAGCTACCTTAAGACGGCCTTGAAAAGAAGCTTCATATGAAGGCCACGGCCCAGCATCAACGCTAGTCATGGTGGCGCTCACTGTGTTGCCTGACTGATCAAATGTCAGGCCTCCAAAACCTGTGATGGTCTGGGGAAGTTGATATTTTTGCAACGCATCTAGGATCTCGGCCATTTGCGCAAATATAGCCTTCTTCTGCTGAAGATCCATCGTGCGAAACCCAGCATCGACAGGAGTTCCAGGCATAAGTTCTTGAAGAATCCAGCCTTGGGGAGACGCTCCAGCAGCGCTGCCCCAACCGTACACAGAAGGCACCACTTTCTGCTCTAAATGAGCTAGAGCGGCGGAGGCGAGGCTAATGATGGCTACTTCATTTTCGACGCGATTGCTTGTGTTCATGCCCTCGGCATCAGGATTGGGGAGTCGCACAATAAATTGCGTTACGCCTTCTGGAATCATGGCACACCCAGGCTGCTGCTTTGTCTCATTACTGGCACCACTATTGGCTATTGTTGGTGAAGTCAAGGCAGCCCGATAAACAAAATTGTTGTACTTGAAGGGGCAATCGGCATCATATTCGATAGGGGTGATCTCGACTTGCTTCTCGTCCAAACTTACGATCAGCATTTACTAAACTCTATTGGGGAGGAGCTGGATCATGTATGACTCTTTACCCCTAGATTAAATCGCTCGCATAGTAATTTGCGTACAAAATCAAGCCGAAGCTGATAATTGACGTGGTTGTGGTTCATGATTGCGAATGTTTATTTGTTGTTTTGACTATAAAATCTACAAGTCCCTTGGTGGTAGTCGTGTGGGACGGGGAAGCTGTCCGGGCGGGACTGTGGGGGCGACGGTCTGGCAGCTGGTGGGTAGGAGGGGCAACGACAGCTCGGGCAGCAGAATAAACTTGGCAAGCTTATTAACAATCAACACCGGCCCAAAGGGCGTGGCGCCACGACCTCGACGCAAGCCGATTAGTAAATATCGACATCACGTCTTCTACTCGGTGCTCGTATTTGTCAACCAAGACTACTTAAAACTTCCAGGATCTGCATTACAGAACAATCCTCGAGCAACCACCATCTGCGCGCTGCAATGGCGTTCTACGAAGCAGGAACACAATGGCATGCGGGAGAGGAGGCCATACATAGGTTGCTTCGAGTTCCTGGACAAGACAACCCTACACAACCATATCTCGCCCCAAATGCGGCGAATACTCTCATACGGTCGCCTTTGATCGCGCTCGGCACCCTCGACTCAAACGGAAGACCGTGGACATCGGTATGGGGAGGGGAAGCTGGCTTCTCGAGACCTATTGGACAGTCGATTATCGGCCTAAAAACTACTATTGATCGAACACATGATCCTGTTGCCCATATATTGTTAGGGGATGCTGTTGATGGTGAGGTTGTGCACGAAAAGGGAACTGGGAGGATGGTCAGCTTGCTACCCATTGACTTGAACACAAGGAAGAGGGTCAAGCTGTATGGGAGGATGGTGGCTGGTGCTCTTGCTGCTACAGAACCGGGAATCGGAGAGGTCCAACTTGTTGTTAAGATTGAGCAGTCTCTCGGTAAGCTTTTCGTTGCCAACTATACTCCTCAAGCTCACACACTCAGGAAATTGCCCAAAATATCTCAATAAGAAGCAAATCATTCCCCACGTACCGCAGCCCAAGCTTGTTTCCTCCACCATACCTTTACCGCTACCAGCAGTAGAGCTTATATTGAAATCGGATCTCTTTTTCATATCCTCTTCAAACCACGAATTAGACATGGATACCAATCATAGAGGCGGGCCGCCGGGTTTTGTCAGAATACTTTCCAACGATACGGACGGATTAACTCTTGTATACCCAGAATACAGTGGAAACCGGCTATATCAGACTCTCGGGAATCTTAATTCCAACCCACGGGCAGGCCTGGTTTTTCCAGACTTTGATACCGGGGATGCCTTATATATAACGGGAAGCACCGAAATTTTAGCCGGTGAAGCTGCCACAAACCTCATATCACATACAAATCTAGCTGTGAAGATCAAGGTCGAAGCAGCACGCTTCGTATTGGACGGCCTAGCCTTCCGTGGCCAGCCTGGAGAATTCTCCCCTTACAACCCTCCAGTGAGGTATTTGTCGACTGAGAAGCCAAGCGGTATCACGGCAAGTGAGAAGCAAATATATGCGAAGCTCATCGATAAGAAAATCATTTCGCCGACCGTTGCGAGATTTCGTTTCCATATCTCTGACCCAACAAAAGCAGGCCCGTGGAAACCAGGCCAATACGCGACACTAAGCTTCAAGGACGAGCTGGACATGGGATATAGCCACATGCGCGATGATGACCCAAAGAGTCTCAACGACGATTTTCTGCGTACTTTTACTATATCGTCTAGCCATACTAGCTCAGATGCCCACAATCAATTTGAAATCACGATACGCAAGGTCGGTGTAGTCACAGATTTTCTGTTCCGGCATAATATTCGGTCCGAGCTGGAAGTGCCTCTTCAAGGCTTTGGCGGGGAATTCTATATTCAACAAATCAATGGCGAGCATGTCTCATTCGTGGCCGGTGGCGTCGGGATTACGCCTCTTCTTGCTCAAGCCGCAGACCTTGATTTGAAGCGCTTGAATCTATACTGGACAGTACGAGGCGATGATATGGCCCTTGTGAATGACACCTTTGATAATATTCCTGGACTTTCAGAGAGAACTAACTTGTTTATTACTGGGAAAATTGTCAAGGAGTCCGATGAGTGGAACCGATTGTGTCAGTCTCCCGTAAAGCTACAGGAGCGGAGGATATCCAAAGAGGATGTCTCAGGCAATTCTACTTCCAAGTGGTTTGTGTGTGCTGGAACAAGCTTCCGAAATACCTTGCTCGAGTGGCTTGATGGGCAGACTGTGCTTTACGAGGATTTCAATTACTAGAAGGTATTTTGCTGTTTTATATAGCTAGCATTAATCTTTCTCAAAAATACGCCTTTAGTCTTTTGTTCGTAGACAGGTAGCACATGATGTTGGTGCTTTACATATACCTTTGGCAACCCCATAGTGGTTATGTGCTTGGGGTAAATTAACAAGTATTAGCTACGTGGTCCCCCTTCCAGAAATAGTTCAATCATCAGCGTCTGTCACACTCCACAACTTCTCCGTTCCTTCCAGAGTCCTCTGCAAATCCCCAATCTTAACCCTCCATCTCTTTGCACTATCCTTTCCTAGAGGCAATCTCAAAAACTCCTCCGTGCCCTCAGCCTGGCCACTTTTCATTACCACGTCAAAAATAGCCCTACACCCTTTGTGCACATCTCCTGGAATGCTCTTTTCATCAACCCCCATCTTCACCACTGCATCCATGACCTGTTGCGTAATCGTGCCTTCGTAATCCTTCGGCAAGGCAGCTTTCGGGATATTCACCGCACCGGCGAACCCCGACCTAAATGCGCCGGGCTCAACAAGCAGAACTCTGACACCTAGCGGCTCAAGTTCATTGTATAGGGCCTCAGACATTGCTTCGAGGGCCCATTTTGACGCACAGTACGCTGACCGAGATGCTTTGGCTTCGATTCCTGCCGTGCTACTAATTTGTACGATGGTACCGCTGCGGCGGGCACGCATGGTTGGGAGGACGAGCCGCGTTAGGGTGAGGGGACCGAAGTAATTAGTTTCCATTTGAGCGCGCACTTCTTCAACACTTTTGAATATCTTCATTAGCTTCTCGTATATTTTTTCTTGCCAACCTCCCGAGCACTTCAAAACCGGAAATAATAGTGTGAATGTACCTAATTGTTTCAAGAGCGCCGAGTATAGCATAACCTGCAGAATTCACTAGAATGTCAATGCGGCCATATATAGCTATAGCCTTTTCGACCGTTTGGGCGAGCTCCGCCTCTGGAGCGCACACGTCAAGGGGCAACCATTTTCCGCCCAGGGATCCGACCTGCGAGACCAAGGAGGGTGTTTTAGACGGGTTTCGCGAGGTTGCTATTACTTTGTGGCCTTCACCCAGGGCGATCAGGGCAAGCTCCAAACCGAAGCCAGAGGAGCAGCCGGTTATGAACCAGACTGGTGGATCGGGAATACTGGGACTGGATGCCGTCATATTTGATGATGGATGTTGGCAATAGGGACAGATAATATTAAGAGGAAGAAATTTGAAGAAAAGGTAAATTGCAGATGGACTGTGAAGTACTGGTGATAGGATTGCTGATAAACCCGGATTTCACCGGAGTTAGATACGCTTACTTCCGTTCAAGCTTCTTTTCCAAATGCGGAATTGAGGCGTAGACAACCTAGTTTCTCCATATTATATCCAGGTAGTACCGTACCCCTAGCATCCTATCATCCGTAAAATAATATATTTAATATTAGCAATCACAGACTCTACTTATTTATCCAGCCCCTCGATAGCTACTAGCTGGCTGTTAGCACTGAACACACATTTTATGGGGTAGGTAGAGGAAACGCATGCCTTTCTTTAGTAGTAATATTTCTTAGGATCTTTCAGGGTATATTGATAAGTAGGTCCAAAAGACTCTAGTGCTTGAGGTCGACGATGACCACAATGTCTTCGGCTGTTGTTTTAAGGGGGTCTGCCAAGTGGAGCGGCCCGCTGAACCTTATAAGCACTACGAAGTACATATTCCCTAGTCAATGTTCCCATTGAGACAGCAACGACGTAAATAGAAAAGTAGTTAATTTAGCATGTAGTAGGCCTAGTAAGGAATAAAATCTCTATTTAAAATCTAAGAAAAACCAGAGGCTGGGATAGTCGTAGGACAGCCGAGGTTGTTGACAAGTCGTTGACTTGGGGTAAGACCAAGCAACTACTCCGTACGATAAGGTTTGCTATCGTTATCGCTACTCCACTTCGTCAACCTTATCTCCGCTAAACAACAACAACAACATCGACTACACAGATAACTCCTCAATCATGGAATACAGAAAGTTGTCATCTCCCATTACACCGCGCCTCATAATTCATGGTGGCGCAGGCAACATCCTCCCTAGCAACCTTCCCCCTCCAAAATACAAAGCGTACCATGACTCCCTCCTCAAAATCCTAACTTCAACCCATCACTTCCTCACCTCCCCATCCTCGACATCCTCCTCCACCTCAGCCCTGGAWGCTGTTACCTTCGCCGTAACACAATTGGAAGATAATCCACTCTTCAACTCCGGGCATGGCGCAGTATTTACTCGTGACGGCGTTAATGAACTCGAAGCCTCGGTCATGGTGTCGCGGGGGAAGAAAAAGCGAGGGGTAGGGTTGATGGGGTTGCAACATGTTAAGAATCCGATAAAGCTAGCAAGGGAGATGTTGCTACATGGCGAGAAGGATTTAGACGGTGGGAATGGAGAACATAGGGGTCCTATGTCTACTGATGGCGTGGGAGAATCCATTATTACAGGCGCGCAGGGTCACTGCCAGTTATATAGGGATAGCGCGGAGGAATTAGCGAAACTGTGGGGATTGGAGATTGTGGATCCGAGTTACTTTTTTGTGCAGGCGCGCTGGGATGGTATGTTTTTACTCGATGTGAAGTATAGGATTAGACGCTGACTTAGGCATTAGAGCATATAGCAGGCCTGGAAAATGAAAGGGAAGGAAAGGGCGTTGCTACGTGGGACGAAGAGTACTTCTTCCCTCAAGGGACATGCGGGGCCGTCGCTTTAGATACCGAGGGTATCCTCGCTGTTGCAACCAGTACCGGCGGTATGACGAATAAACTTACAGGGAGAATCGGTGATACGCCCACGCTAGGAGCTGGCTTCTGGGCGGAGGAATGGGAAGAAGATTACTCTTGCCAAACAGAGAGTATATTTGGCCAATCGGGCCCGGCACTCGTTCTCAGTGAAACATTAAAAGGATTGGTGGCCGATTGTCTCCCCCAGCCAATGGCATATTCTCCACTCCTAGAAACAGACATCGATCCTAGCTGCCTGGTGAAGGGAAATCGCGTGTTCCGTTCTTCAGCTATGTCTGGAACTGGGAATGGAGACTCATTTTTAAGAATGAATGCCGTACGGACAGCGTCGGCTATCGCGAGGTATCGAGGGTCAAAATCGAACCACAAAACGTCTTTGCAAGAAGCTGTTACGGAAATCACGGGTCCTGGTGGAGATTTAGCCAAGAGTGCAGGTGATCGGTGGAGGAAGACGGGTGAGGGAGAGGGTGGAATCATCGGTATCGAGCTCACGGTTGCCGTTGATGCAGATGGGAATAAGAAATCGGCGGTGTCGCACATTGTTGATGATTACAATTGTGGTGGGATGTTTCGTGCTGCGGTGGATAAACATGGGAAGGCTGTTATGCGTGTATGGAAACCCAACCAGTATGAAGGCTTGGAGGCTTATGAAGGGGAAGGGAAGGAGTATGATTTGACGGATTGGTTAGATGAGAAGGCATAGAGTAGTAGTTTGGTGTTATCCATCAAACACCTTAGAATGCGTTCTGGGGCCCCCGGGATGCAAATAGGAATAATATTACTAGAGCAATCCGAGCTAAGGGCCTAATTCGTTTTAATCATCTGGGTTCCTGAGATATCGTTCGCTTGCCCACCACAACACCGAGTCAAAATATAGGCACCTTTTCGCTCACACGAGGCGACGACGATATGCGATATAAAAAAAGATATATAGAATAAAAAGAATTAAAAAACGAAAAAAATTATGTACCACCGGGCCGGTCACTCAAGGGTCCTTGCGCGCTGCTCTCTGCACTACCCAGTTCTTCGTCATAGTTCCTGACTCTCCCCGAAACACCCAGTAATAGCTAATGGATTTCGCTTTCACTACGTCCAGCTTAGCTATGCTTAGGGTTGAAGGTAAGTGCACGACTCTCCATCCGAGTAGACCACTGAACCACAGGGGCTCAGGGCAAAGGCTTAAAGGTTATTATATAGTACAAGTTCGGTTATAGGGAGGGAAGATGCAATTCACGGTGAGTCTTAACGCCCAAACTCTAAGTTCACTGGGCTTGGATACTAGGCAGTATATAGTCTTATATTTCTATTGACATATGCTACTGTTATTATTGTTCCTTCAAGACCCAACAGCTAGTGAAGCATTCCTTTTGCCCACCTTGTCCTAAGACTTAGCGGCACCCTCTACCTCGGTGACCTCGAATCCTTTCTCTGCAACCGCCACTCTTGCCTCTTCAAACTGGCGCGCCTTCTCGGCCCTCATTGTCATGAATAGCAAGCCGCTTGTCCATATCGCCATTGCGAGACACGTACCAATCATAGCCCACATACCTTTCTAGAAAACAGTCAGTACACACCTTCGCCAACAATATCAAAACACCACGCTGAAAAGCAATAGCTGAGGGAAGACCAAACTTACAGTAAACCTGGGCGCCATATCTGCCGAATAGAACAACAAACTCCACCAAGCATTCACAGCATTACTTCCACAATTCATCCCGGCAATAACGACAGCTCTCAGACTATCCTCCTCATACCTCATCGCGTCATTCGCCCACGCGAAGAAGGTAGCCTGACAGGCATAAACGGTTCCAGCCCAATAATATGCTCCAAATATCGATGCCACACTTGCATTATTATTCAATATCATACCCGCCGTTACGATCCCCGTAATAGCTATCCAGTAGCCTACTAGGTATCTCTTTCCGGCGAGGAGATCGGTAAGCGTTGCCCAGAAGAGCGTTGACACTATGCCGACGGCGGGGACACCCGTGGGGTAGTTGTTAAGTTGGGCGACAGTGTATCGTTTTGTGGATTTCATGTATAATGCCAGGAGGGAGTTGGAGGAGAAGGATTCCGTTTCGCCAGCTATGATCCAGAGTACTACAAAGCCGTACCAGTGCCAGCTTGTAAAGACTCTTTTGACGAAGGATAGATTGAAAGGCTTTCGTTCAGGGACTTCGGGAACGCGCGATATGGCTAGCGCACGCTCTGCTGGAGTGAGGTAAAAGGCTGAGGTTGTGCTTGGCGTATCAGGGAAGAGGAGCAAGCCGTAGATGGCGATGGGGATGGTTATCAGGCCGTCAATTATGAAGAGCCAGCGCCACCCGCTAAGGCCTTTGGCGCCGTCTAGGGAGGAATGGATTGCTGTTTGCAAGAAACCACCGAACATTGTGCCTGCTAGACCAGAGGACGTGAAAATTCCACTTCGCTTTCCGAGCTCGCGAGCAGTGTACCAGGAACCTAGGATGTAGTGTGTGCCGACGAAAGTACTAGCTTCGGCAATGCCTTGGAAGAATCGAATGGCCATTATATCGCGGGGATGTTTGGCTGCGGCCGTGATCATCGTGAGACCTCCCCATATAATCATCATGCTGGGGAAGAAGATGCGGGGTTTCATATGGTAGAGGGCGAGATTGCTGGGGATTTGGCCGACGACATATCTAGGTCATTGTAAGAGGTTTATTCTTGTTTGAAATATGTGACCACTTGATTTGTAGCTGCTGATCTAATAGTTGAAGAGAATAGCCTGCTACTTCGCAAGGCATCGTCATCCCCAACGAAAAGCCATAAAATAATGAAATTAAAACATACCCAACAGTGAAAACCGTGTTGATGAGATTTAACTGGTTCCCCTGAAAGTTTAACTCCTCCTTCATTCCACTCACATAAGCATTTGCCAAGTTCGAACGATCAAGGTAATTGGTAAAATAAGAGAGACAGCAGAATGTCAAGATGAAGAAATCTGCCTTTGATTAGCACCGGCTCCATTTCAAGAATCAAGGAGATATATCATTTTCAACATCCGAGGCAACGACAGAGAAGAAAGGCAAAGGTAAGAGTGAGTACTTACCAATTTTTCGAACCAGCTTCCCCTCCCCTGGATGCGTATAGGGTTGGGAGATATACTCTCTTACGCGTTGAAGCCCCATTTTGAAGCGTCGTATGGGGCCTTTCAAATACTTTGGTCTAGATTCCGCAGTGTAAATATCCCAGCAACAACACCTTTGCTATGACGAGCAGGGACCCAAGTTTCAATCCTGGACGCAATCGCCCATATATACATATTCTCACCTAGCTCAACCCGGTGCCGGCCAACCCCGCATTAGCATTAATGGTTTGCGAGGAGACTATCGACGGCAATTAGTTAGTAGATCAATCGCGGAATATGATCCACGGGAATAGGTACGTATCGCTAACCTCGGGAGGCACCTGTCTAGGCGGTCGTGATATCTCCTCGTATTCGAAACTTGTCGATCACGCCCTTATTTGATCATGCACCCCGCATGTAAGCCCTAAACCTACTTTTAGGAGCTCTCTTGTAGCGAATGGAAAACAAGATGTGGAGCGACCTAGATCGATAAGAAGCTCAAGCTCAAGCTTGTTACTTGATAAAGATACCTCCGTAAGTCTGCCGTTCTGTCAAGAGTGGGGAGATGGCACGTGATGTGCATAGTAGACATGACTCGGGTCTCTGAGTACGGTGATGCTCGAAGAGGAAACTGAACCCCTTTTTCCCCTGTCGACCGAAGAATCTCTGTTGTTGACTCGGGTCAACAGGGTGACCAAGCTCCGATGTGCAACAAAACTGTTGTCCACTCACCCTCATAGGCTGAACTTTGGCCGCAGCACTTCGTAAGTCCGATGATATCACTTCACGAAACTTCGTACAAGAGAGGAATCATTTTATATTGGTCATACGCAAAGTCATTATATCTAGAGTAAAAATGTATTTAACCTGCTCCCAAAACTCCCCAATGTAGAAAAGCAACGATAAGACGCCAAATGAATCATATCTCAATCATCTTCGGCCGGTGACTCCTCGAATGCCCACTCGACTCGCTGTCCTTCACCTGATCCTTGTGCTTTTTGAAGAGTAGCGATAACGCTGAGCTCTTCTTCTTCTTCTCCTTGGTCACGACTTGAACCTCTTTGCCTTTACTTTCTTTTCGCTTTCTCTCGCTCCTCGAGGTCTTCCCGCTCTCAGATGGGGCGGGACGAGCCTTACTAGTTGACTTGACGGAAACCTCTGTAGCCTGGATGGTTCCCTCGCTGCCGCGTCTTCTGACGCTCCTGTGGCTCCTATGGCTTCTCTCGCTGACAACGCTCTCCGCCCCGGAGTGTCTATGACGCTCCTCCCTCGCACGTTCCCGGATCCTCTCTTTCTTCTGCCTTGCGGCTTCTGGGGTGATGAACTCCCCATCTACGCTTGTACCAACACTCTGCACTTCCACCTCCGCAATCCCGCGTCTCCAGCTCTCAATGCTGCCCATCTCAAAGTTATCGTACACCATGGCCTCTTCCATGCGATTAGCTTCCCTCTTCGCATCGTTACTCGCCTGTATCTGTTTGACGATCTTGTAGCCGCCGAACATAACAACCGTAACACCCAGCGCCAGCCCACCAGCGATTAAAAATTGTGGGGATGCGAGTAGGGCGAAGATGGCAGGTGATGATGTCTTGAGCCCGGCAAGGATGGCGGGGCTCATCTTCTTGAGAATATTTGAGAGCTCGGCAAGCGTTAATGCAACGGCTGCCATGGCCTCGGGGTTGCTTTGCAAATTTGAAATTATAGCCGTAGCCGAGTGCTGTAAACAATGCGCTTCGAGGAGTAGTGCGTCCAGTTTCGACATCGTGGCTTGCAACTCTCTATCCTCTTCGACGGGTGACCTCGGGGGGTGGTGCAGCTCGCCGTATGCCAGGTTCATGTCAATATTGTCGTGGAAGTCAGGATTCGAGACGCTGCGATAGGGTGGAGGGGCACGCTCAGCCATCTGGTTCCCTCCGTGCACTGAGAAATCCGAATGTCGACGGATAATACCGGGGTTTGGAGCGTACTGATCTGTATCTTCCAAGTACGGCGCGCGATAGTCGGCATGATCTCGATGACTGATCGATTGACGAGCGCGGGGCTCGCTGCTGCGACTTCGTCTTGAGGAGGCTACGCTGCCTTCTTCGATGTGCGAAAGGTTTCTATGGGTTCGAGGAGGACGAGTAGTAAGAGCTCTATCTTTGTGATGGCGGGAGGAGTGTGAGCGGCGAGAACGCCGGGACGAGGCAACGGATTGTGTTTCTTCGCGAGCTTGGATGAGCTTCTGCGCAGCTTTGTATTCGATCCGCTTTTGATGCTCGGCTTTCTTCTCGGCCTTCTTCTCATTATATGCACTCTTTGCATCTTTGAAAATATTGGCCAGGTGTTTGCCCTAGAACGGTCAGTTTAACTAGCATGTGGGATGGGGAGGCGGGGAAATTCCGTACAGTGCTGACGACCTTGCCTGACTTGTTGATGATCGTAACGGTCTCCATGATAGGCATCGTGACGGGATGGTATTCGATAATAGGATTCGAAGACCAGCTTCGATGGGTATATGATGTGGTCGTGAGGGTCGTGGGGTTCGTGGCAATTCGTAGGTTTGTGAAATTGCGGTGAGGGTTACGTAGTACTCCGTACGGATAGTTGAGGGCTGGAGCTTGCTTTAAAGGCAAACATACAAAGACAGCCAAGAAAGATAAAGGGACATCCAAGCTCTATCTATATCAATGCGCAGAAACAAGCCTTTGTCCGGCGGTGTTTCAATACAAAGGAGCCCTAGCGGATATCTGGCTCACTCGACCTATACTCTGCGCGGATATCGAGGGGGAAGTAAAACAGGGCGGTGCCTCGTGATTCCCGGCCGTTGGATGAGATTCAGTTGGAGGGCGCGAATATGTCGATTGGCCTCTCTCTGGCCCTGATGTCCTCTCACCCAGACAAGGCAATTTGGCAATTTGGCCGACTGGCAAGCTGTCACTGGCACCAACTAGTAACTCAGGCACAAAACGAGTGCCCTGGAACCAAGAGCGGACAGTAATAATGGGAATGCGCCTGCGACCCACCCGAGGGTCGTGTCATAGTTTTGCTCGGTGGCAGGCGATTAATGGAACCCAGGAACTGTGCTGGCGCTTCGTGATTTGATCGCGGCTCGCCGGTCAGGCTCCGCCCAATGAATAGCAAGGAATAGCGCTGGACCAGCGCAACCAGCGCAGCTCAGCAAGGAACAGCCAGTCGTTGGGCTTTGGCGGTGGCGAGGCAAGGGGCGACCGTGAGGCGGCCTTTTACTGAGTGCCTTACGCCAACGGGTACTCCAGATTCCAGGTTTCACTACGCTCAGCGTCTGAGGCGGTGCAACTGTGGCTGCTATCGACGCGTTTGCCTTTGCATGTGGAATCAACTGTTATCAGCGGCGTCCCCACGAGAGGGAAGTAAGAGGCATATGATGAGATATGTACCTAGGTAAGGTAGGTACATGTAGGCTGAGGCAGATTGTTTTCCCTGGAAATCTGAGTCACTCACAAATAGCGCATTATTGTGACGGCTTTTTATACGAAGCACTAAACACGAAATAGGTACGAAGTACATGATCGGGAGTTCAAGCATGCCAAGCAATGCGATAATGCCTTACCAACCCAGGTACCACAGCGAGTTCGCAGGCATTGGAGAGCACAAATCTTCGCACAGAAGATTCTAAAAAGTTGAAATAATTACTATCTTACTTCGATCCAGCTGTCACTATGGTTGAGACGTTTTGTGGCAATTGGCTACTTAAAAGTCGCCCTTCTCGGAGTGTAGATGTTGGGGTAAGCTGGGCAGCTGTTGCTGCCCAAGTCACATCTGGCCAAGATTACAAGAGTGAAGTCACAATAAAAAGGCCGATTGATGGTTTGCTATTCGTTATCATCGAAGGCCGACATGCTAGATCTCGTACCCATTGCCATAGACAGGATATATATTCCCCCGGACTTTTAATAAGTTAGAATACAAAGTTGTCAACTAAGGACAAGATAACTGAAAGTCCCAACGCCTAATTCATCATGCGCAGAATCAAACCCCAGTTGAAAAACCGCCGTAATATCACACTCTATGCATGGCTGACTGATCCAATACAATGATTGACTATTTGGGCAGCGCGAAGAATAATCCTGGCGACTCAGACTGTGTGAGAGAGAGATACACACCGTAAAGGCTCGATTCGTGATATATGTAGACCGCTCATGTCTTAGACGCTCAACAGGATGAGAAGTACCAGTATGTCCATTCAAAGATCAAGGATCATTTCGGGGGATGAAGAGCTACTCATCACCAACTTCCGTCATGCAGCTAGGGCTGTAGTGACCGGGCCTGAGGGCATCGCTTGGTTGGCTGTCGGTGGCATCCTCAAAAATCGGGTCGTTGTGGAAGTCCTCGAGAGTATGAGTGAACTTGGCTAGTTGCTCCTTCTCATTCATAAGGCGACCGCGACGTCGAGCCATTTCGGCATTGCCTTCTAGGAGCTGCTGGCACTTGGCCTCCCCTAGTTGAAACTATGGTCAGTATATAATATTATAGTGAAGTAGGGTGTATTCTTACCGTTTCCAATGTCGATCGTAAGCCGCCTTTCTAAGAGGTAATCTGCGCCTTCCTTAATCTCATCGAACAGCGCTGCATTGATATTGGCACATATCAAATCGGTAAATCGCAGTCTTGCGGTAGTATAGTACCCGCGAATGTAGGCAGCGACATCCAATTCTCGTTCGAATTTGTCGGGGCCGAGTTGCTCGTTCGTCACCTTATTGCGCAAGTCCTCCTTATCAAGCCGGCTATTGGCCAACCGTGTCGACCCATCTATATAAGCATCCACCCGAACTCGGCGCCTTATAGCTCTTAGGTTTTCGAGGGCTTCAGCTTTATTGAGGATGAACGCACGGTCGTTAATCGTGAAGAGGGTGGACTTCTCAATCGCGTACATCTTCAGAGACCTCTCGCGTAGCACCTCTTCGTGGTAGGTAAGAAAGTCGTCCACAATCACCTTCGAGCGCCTGTATAGGTCGGTATCAAGATAGTGGTCAAGGACTCCGCTCAAAACTCTGTGGAACTCGGCCCTTAACATCGCAAAAGTACTATCAAGAAACGTCTTCAATGGATATTCCCAGGGAATTATGCTAACGAGGGCATAGTGTTCCTTGACCCGATGGCTGATCTCGTCGGGAACTCCAGGCCGGCCATGATTCTCGATACTCTCTCGGAGATCAGCGAGGGACATAGCCCCACGGCCAGAATCAAGATATCTTTGGTAAAATGGCCCAAAGTCTTCCATCTTCAATTTTTTGAAGGCAACGGAGAAGCCTCCATTTTGCCCATTGATGGCCGGAGTTCGAACAGGTCCACTGCCTTTTGGCACACCTTCATGTTTGATCGGGGTCGGTGTGGTGTTGATCCGCTGTCTCTTCGCAGAGGGTGACTCAACATATTGTGCTGGCCGCTTGCTCGATGGGACTGGAGTTCGGAAACTAACAGGGCTTCGGCTACCGCCATCGGAGTCATCGTCGATCGTAATAACTTCGGACACTTTGTCGGACGGGTGGTTGCATTGGCAGCCAGGCCGCATCACCTCTGTAGCTTTTTGAAATTGGTAGCAAAGTCGCTTCCAATCGCTGTGAAAAGTAGTCGAATACGCCGCGGAGGTTCCATTCCCATCGAGAAGGGTTCGAATCTCGCTACTAAATTTGATGAGCCGTTGACGGACCGTGTGTTGGACCTTCTCCGTGTCGAGCTTCGGGAGCAGCGACAACTCCTCATCGACCTTGGCCGTCCGTGCGCGGATCTCGTGTTCTATATCAGGGATGCTAGAGAATGTTAGTCGCTACTTAATAAGATGTAACCTTCTAGGAAGCATACCTTGACGAAATCAACTTCCCGAACTCTATTGAAAGATATTTTTGGATTGGAGAAGTCCCACATCGAGATCGGAATTGAGACCATTCACCTCCGTCCCTCCAAAGTCGATCAGTATTAAAAAAATCTTCTTCTTCCCTTCGCGCTTGTTCATGGTAATCCGGGCCCTTAAGACACCTGGAGGATGGTCCAGGCTGTTTTGTTACAAAATAACCCCTTGGAAGGACATATTTCTTTCCTCGCAGAATGTTGTCATAATCTATATGCTTGTTTTCCGCATGGACCCTGTCTGGCATAGTGAGAACCCCAATGCATCTGTCCTCTGCTTTGCATCGGGAGATAACAGCTTTTGTGCGCGACATGCCAGCATCATTTTGCATAGCCATGGCACAAATTATCAAAGCCCTCTCGTGCTTGATATATTTCATGGTCAGATTCTCAAAGACGTTGATCAGATATTCTTGGCTTTTCTCCTCAGCATTATTGAAAAGGCCGGGCAAGTCATAGAAAGAAAGTTCTGGTAGTCCTGGGCCGCAAATCTCAACCGCAATGACATTTGGAGAGAATCCCACTTGCTCTGTAAAGTCTGGGTTTGAGGTCCGCTCATAAGAATGTCGGCTGTGGCCAGTTGTGCCCGGAATGAACGAAGCGTAGTCGGCGTTAGGGTTACGGAGAGCAATCTGGGCCCACCGCAGGACCTCTTCTAGCTCCGACTTCTCTTGGATCGCCTTGAACGATCTAACCAACATTCCCTCTTCGCGCTCCGCCCAGTGCGGAAACTTTGCCCTAGGTCTCTTCACAGGATCATAATTGTACGATTCATGCAAAGATACCTCGCAGCTCCACGTAGCCGCATCAGAGGTCTTTATGTTGGTCGGACAGCGAGTACACATCGAGTCCCCTTTGGGAAGATTGATCTCGGCAATTGCTGACATTAACGAAGATTTCCCGGCACTCTGATCTCCAACCAAGACAAGCTCGGGAAGATGTGTGTCGATGTCCTTTAGGCCGATCCGGCGCAACTCTTCCATCATATCAATAAGGCGTTTTACATGCTTTCCCACGGCCTCCAAACCAGTCTGCTCGGACGTAGTGGTTGCCATTGTATCGGTTCGTGGGGGTGGTGGAGCTCGGGAGGACCGAAGTGAAACTAACGCGATTGTAAGTATAAAAGATGAGATTTGGGTGACTGGAAGGTGAAAATCTTACCTCCCTCTGACCGGCGATACTGCTCCGACGTGTTGCTGAAGAAGCTACTATCTGCAGTCGGCAAGCCGTTTTGAAATCCGAATGACGGACCGTGAAAGTTGTTGTCTTGTAGACTGTCAGGTAGAAGTCCAACTTCTTCGACCTCCTCTTGTTTTGGGGTAACTGTGCCAGCAGTTGTCATCGACTGCGAGGGCGTCGGAAGCCCACCAAGACCTATAGTGGGCTGGCGCTTGAGCCTCATCCCCATGTCAGAATCCATATTCAGTGAATTTCCGAGGGGTCTTCACCTCTTATGGAGGCGACGACTCAACTTGAGAGCTTAAATTAGCATCTGAAAGAATATTCACAGGGTCGATCTAAAGTTGCCTTTAGAGCTGGAAGGAGGCTGTGTATACTAAACGTACCCTCGAGTTGCTTGAAGAATCTGATACCGACTCTGAGCTTCAAGGCGTGGTAACGGGCCAAAGAAAGAAGCCGAAGCAGCAGATCGCAAGGCCCCCCGAGCAAGTCGAGAATCGAATATTCTCAGATACAAATGCGGCAAGTGGGAGATATGTTACAAAGTAAAAGCGATAAGGGGTGGAGTGTTTGCAGGGTAAAGTGTGTTGAGGTGGTTGAGAAGGTTGAGGAGGTCAAGGCTAGCAAGAAGTGGCTTTTATAGACAAGAACCACAAGCGAAGAGAGCGCAAAGTGAACGAGAAAGAGTGAATTCGGCTCGAATTCACTTTTCAGCTTTGTTTCTAAAGTGCATGTGCGGGTTCAGTTAAGACGAAGGCACGATTGGGAGACGGAAGCAGATGGAAGTGAGAGTGAGAGTGAGAGGAGAGGCTCGATCAACCAAAAACTCGAGAATCATCCGTGGGATATAGAGGGGTAGGGGACGGAGAAGATTTCTGTCCTGAGAGCCTGACCTCAACTTTATACTTGCCAACAGAGCCGAGACCTCCTGGGCTTTCGTGTATCTTTTGTCGCGTCTCCCTCGAGATATCAAGCTGACGGCCACCGTGTCGCGAGCACAGAATGCGAGGTTTAAAGTGGGTGCATACATGGCGCATGGCAAACGCAAGAGACAATCTCCAATCAATCCAGTCCAGTCCTGAGCTGGGATCATGATCTCTCAATGGCGAGGAGGGGAAAATCAGCCATGATCGGCGTTGTTCTCGCAGGTGTTAGATCAGAGCACAAGCGAAGATAGCGTTTGGCGGGCCTCAACACCAAAACAACATCTAAAAGTGTGCACTTAAGCAAACACAACGAGGATATCGGTGAGCGCCTGAAAATGTGACACAGCTTGCATAAGAGGCACGGTAGGTTCCCGGGAACATTTGTTCCGGGCGTGAGCAGATTTGCACACCTCGACATCCCCATTCACGGCATTCACAGCCATTTTGTATGTGAAAGTTCGAGATCTCTTCGTGAAGTCGTGAATCGCTTCACAAACACGCCCTTTCAACCACAGGATGAAGGGCCTTGGCCACCATGCTGACCCTGGCCTCTTTGCAAATCAATTGCCGCACCTCCTGTTACAGGACAATCTCGCTGCCACGGGTTCCACAACAGCTGGGGGGCCGCGTCGAGTACCAATTCCACCCTTGGGTCTTTGATTGCTGATGCTGGTGGGGAAGGCCACAGAGTCAAAAGTAAAAGTCCATGGATAATCCGTCATTGCCGGCCATAGCCAGTCCCAGTCTCGGGATTGCAAACCAGGGACGTGGCATCATTGCTCACCCTCCGACCGACACCGTCAATTAGATTGTGGCAGCGTGATTCTGATGTGGAAGTCGTCAACTGCTCAAGAGGAGTCCAACGATGCTCCAACGATCTGTTTACGGAGTAATACAGAGTTAATATCGCCCTAGCAGCCTAAGGCGCCTTCATGCTACGACACCGCCTATTTCTGCCGTAAACATCCATGTACGACGTATTTCCCAACAACAGCAGTCTCGAGCTGGGAAAATAACTTTCATCTTGAAAAGGACGTGTAAGAGTGCGATAGTGCTGCCATTGTCAGGCTATTATTAGTGGTTATCTTCTTTGGTTTTACAAGGTCTAGACTCTAAAGAAACAAAAATTGATAGTATTACACAGCAATGAACAGGTCGCCACGCTATATTGTCCCCGCGGGCGGTGAGACTCCCCTGAATTTGGCGCTAAAACTGACGCTGGTCCACTGGTGCTTCGTGTCATTTATTGCTTTATGTTCAAGTCAAAGGCAACCCAGATAGGATCCCAGCCGAATACCCCATCTGCATTCACATTCCCATCCAAACAAGATCCAACATGTCTCTTCACGTCCCTCATAGAGAAAAGGCAAACGGCGCACAGGGTGGAACAAAGGCAGTCATCCTAGTATGTCCGGGCTAGACACCTTCCGCGTCTCATAAGGGCACATATTGACCAGCGACCCAATAGGTTGGCGGACCATCCAGAGGAACACGCTTCCGGCCATTGTCTCTCGACCTGCCCAAGGTAGGTTCACTAAATGTCCATTCCTAGCTTCAAACCGCATTGCGCCCTAACACACTTCGTATCTTAGCCTCTCTTCGAAGTCGCAGGCCATCCCATCGTCTGGCACTGTCTCACCGCCATCGCAAAGGTCCCCCACATTCAAGAAGTATGCATGATCGGATACTATGACGAATCTATCTTCCGCGACTTCATCAAAGATGCCTCGAAGGAGTTTCCCAAGATTAAGATCGTATATCTGCGCGAATACCAAGCTCTAGGCACAGCTGGAGGACTCTACCACTTCCGTGATGCCATTCTCAAGGGCCGGCCAGAACGATTCTTCGTCCTCAATGCGGATGTGTGCTGTTCATTCCCCTTGAATGACATGCTGAAGCTATTTGAGAGCAAAGATGCAGAAGCTGTCCTTCTAGGTACCCGGGTGAGCGAGGACGCCGCCACCAATTTTGGATGTATCGTTTCAGACGCCCACTCAAGCCGAGTCCTCCACTACGTCGAGAAGCCCGAATCCCACATCTCCAACCTCATTAACTGCGGCGTCTACCTCTTCTCCACCGAATGCATCTTCCCCGCCATCCGCAGCGCGATCAAGAAGCGTACCGAACGTCCCCGCCTCGTCTCATACCCCTCTTCCGAAAACCTCGAATCCTCCTATATGCAAGACGATGACGAAGAAAAGTCAAACGAAGTACTACGACTGGAGCAGGACATCTTGAGCGATTTGGCAGATAGCAAGCAGTTCTTTGTCTACGAGACTAAGGATTTCTGGAGACAGATCAAGACCGCCAGTTCAGCCATACCCGCGAACGCCTTGTATCTCCAGAAAGCTTTACAGTCCGGGTCGGACGAACTTGCTAAGCCATCTGCCAACATCCTCCCACCTGTGTTCATCCACCCAACTGCGCAGGTCGATCCCACGGCGAAGTTGGGCCCGAATGTCTCCATCGGGCCACGAGCTGTCATTGGAGCCGGTGTTAGAGTCAAAGAGTCGATTGTGCTAGAAGATGCAGAGATCAAGCACGATGCGTGCGTGCTATACTCTATAATTGGCTGGAGCAGCAGAGTTGGTGCCTGGGCTCGTGTGGAGGGAAGCCCTACACCGGTCAATAGTCACTCCACGACTATCATCAAAAATGGGGTCAAGGTCCAGAGCATCACTATTCTAGGTAAAGAGTGTGGTGTCGGAGACGAAGTTCGGGTGCAGAACTGCGTGTGTCTACCATTCAAGGAGTTAAAGAGGGTACGTTTTTCGTCTTACCTGCCGCAAACATATACTAATGAGCATAGGATGTGTCGAATGAGGTTATCATGTAATTGATTCTCCCATCTCGTTTTAGAAGTGTTCTTGGGGGAGCGGTACCGAATCAACTAATAGCCCCATTCTTTCCTTCCTAGCATCGTATAGGCACATTCTGGCTTTCATGATACAACCAAAAAGCAAGCTCTGGAAATAGAATTTGTTGAACCTCGCAACTCGTGCAAATTCCCTCAACCAAACAGGCATCATACAGCGTACTTGTAATTCGTGAACACGACCCAACTCGATATTGGGACGACTCGAGATATTACCCTTGCTTATTGAACCCCTTAGTAAGGACGCATATTTTGCCGAGGCTTATGAAGCGCCAACAAGACTTTGATTACATTTCGGGTTTATGTTTTACTATTTGTACCATGTTATTATCCTCTTTGTTTTAGAAGGTTTCAACTACTCCACACGAACGTTCTATCCCAAGTGTCAACGCCGAATTTGGCCATCTGCAAGCAGCGTTTTGTTGTAACTAAAATATAATATGGCCATATTTCTATTAAAACCCATGTTAGCGTACAAATCCAACGTCTAACAGTCCAATGCATAGCTCAGACGTCTATCTTTCCCAACTACGCCCACTTCCCCAATACGCTCATAACCACCAACCCGGCTATCAACGCGATCATAGCGATTCCTGTCCTCAAAGGCTTCGCATCCATTAATCCTCCATGCAACCAATCACCCGCCCACATCTCAACCAACCCCACCCAAGCCAAGATGCCCGCACTAAGCGCATCCAGCGTTCCTATCGCAATGATCGTTGATGGATCATTACCATTGAAGCGGCCTAAGACTCCGATTCCAATCGCCATACCAAGCGGTGTGGTAAGCGCGTATGTGATGGCCATAGCAAGTTTAGTAGTGAAAGAGACGGGCTTGGAGGCCGGTGAGGCACCGGTGGCTTGGCTTTGGGCTGCGGTGGAAGGAAGCGCAGCAATGCAGGTTCCGAGAGCGATGCCTTCGAACACTTGGTGGAAGAGGATGACGATGAAGAGTGTGATGAAAAAAGAGTCGCCTGCAACGACAAGGGTAAGACCTATCACTATAATGAACCAATAGTTAGAGCGGTTCAATAACAAGAAGGCGTGGTTGACTCACGTATACTGTGGAAAATAATTCCAGATTCTAGGACAAGTACGCTAACTGTTTCAGAGCCCATGCGGTGGTGGTGTTTTCGAAGCGTTGTTGGCTCGTGAGGGCAACTTGGCCGTATATCCGTGTCATCACTTGCTTCTCCAGGGGCTGGTTGCGCTTTAGGATCTGAAGAATCCGACTCAAGTAGTCCTGATGAGACTTGAGCCTTCCTCCAGTGGGCAAGACGATGTCCGAGATATTCGACTAGGAAGGAGATGAATAGGCCACCTAGGAAGATGGCGGCTGTCGTTGACTCATACTCTAATGTTCCGAGGCAGGAATTTGAAAACATGAGAAATGCGTGGGTGAAAAGCTGCGTTGGGTTAAAACCAAACATAGGAGATAAGGTTCATGAAGCCTTACGTGGATAAAAGCTGTGGAGATAATTACTCCAGTCCCAAATTGCTTCAAAGCCACGAAGACTATGTTCTCGGATGAGAAGCTTGAGAAGGAGGTGATGAAGATTGGGATTGATACTCCTAAAAATTGTGAGAACAGAACGGATTCGGTTGTATCAAGCGGTCTTACCGAGGAAGCTCGTAACAAGTATCACAAAGAGAAGTCCGATTCGTAGTTTAACATTGTACTCTCGTCCTTTACGATCACAGGAACCTTCTGTTCCGGATTCGCTCTGACCTTCGCCCACGCAGTGTCTGTATTGGCATTAGCTAGACCCTAGAATCTAATGGCAAGAGAAGGAGAGGTACTAACTCAACCCCGGCATGGAAATGGCAGTTTTCGCCACTGCTCGTTGATGATGCTTGCACTCCAGTCACTGTCCCTGAGGCTTGTTGTTCTGTGGTATCTGTCGATGCGCCTTCAACAGCAAATTGACTTTCGTTGCCATCTGGATCGAAACACCACCTAGCACTGTAAGTATACTTTAAAACAAGAGTTTGTACAAAATTCAACATACAGGTCACTGGAGTGAGAATGACAGCCGGTGTACTGTGCTGGAAGTGCTCCGGTCGCCGTTGGAGTAGTTAGAAGTTGATATTCTTCTGTCCCCGCCATGCAATATCTAGGAAAGTTAGTGGGCGGCGCTCCGATAGGAGCTTTTGAAGGCATCAATCAATACTAACTGAACAGTGCCATGCATATGACATCCAGTCAGAGCAGTGACTGGGCTTGCTGATGATGATGCTTCCGCTGGGATTCTCTTGACCCTCGTTGGAACGGGGTGCTCAGTCAGTGAATAGCCTTCAACAAGAGAGGCTTCCAAAATAGCCGAAAGGCCGCCAATATACAGGAGCTTTTGAAGAAACATATTGATCTCGTGGTATTGGATGTACAGAGGCTGTTCTCAGGAAGGCGTCCTTCCAGATTATAGGGGTCCGTCAATGAAAGTATACAAATTATATTTTTCTAAATGAACAGAAACGAGCACACAGGAGCTCAAAGGGCAACATATCTCTTTTCTAGTTACACGGGCAGCGGTGTCCATGTGGAAGGACCCTCGGCGAACCTCGGTAGATTGGTTTGTCCCCAGCACATTATTCAAAGCGGGCATCATAGCGGCCACTCACTGGTGCACCTTCTGTATCTCGCGTTGCCAAGTTGTCAATAAGCTTGGCCAGAGGAATGGTGCTCAGAGTTTTATGGAGCTGATCCTGGAGCACGATGACGCCTACGAGCACGATGCACGGAAGCCGGCGAGAGATGATGGCCAAGACGGCTGAATATCGTAGGCATCGCATCCCAAAGCCGCCACGAGCAGGATAGCAAAGAGGTTGGCCTATCATCTGCTTACTGTTTCCCTAAGTTGTGCGCAAGAAGCGGCTTCAACAATATTATGTCGGGCAAGGAAGGAAGAGTGGGCGGGTAGAGACGTAAACAAATACCTTGATGGGTAAATACCTGGATGGGGCCAAGATAAAGAGAAAACCCCCACGACCGCCTTTTAGCAACTTCTGCAAGCCAAAACCTTGGAATTCCTAAACAACACGAGAGTCATGAGCGGATGTTTACAAAGTATGGCTAATTCAGGGAACTGCCCGGGTGCCTTTTGCGAGTCCAACAGCAAAACAATTCAAGCGCTGACCTTGGCAAGGACGGTGGCTTCCACGCAATAGAGGTATGGTGCATATAGACATTTCTTGCGGGCGCGAGCAAATTTCTTTTTTGTTGGTATTAGAGGTCAATAACTCTAGTTTGAATTATGTCCACACCACTATGGACCTTGAAGTTTTGAAAGGTGGGCATAGGACCTCAACAACTACGCCGCTGTTGCAGTATGATAGCTGCCAACCCCCATTCCTTCATACAATGTGCCAAGGTCTATTTAGCTTTAGTACCTGAAAGCATCTCATATTGGGTAATGCAGTTAGTGACAATGCGAGGGTTATTATTGCTCATCAAGTCCATGACAAGGGGCAAGCGACGGATCCACAACCCAGGCAATAGGGGTGAGGGCAACCTAATGCCTACGTCTATATATTTAAACCTCCCTCGCATGCTTTACTCATTGCTCTCATCTTTACCTCACTCTACGTCCTGTCACTATCGAATCCAGTTGCTCAACCGCTACTCTATCTTGTACCAATATCAAAATGAAGTCGACATTCGCCCTCGCTGCTTTGGCGTGCTCTCTCTTCCCCTCTGCCATTCTCGGTCAAGCAGACCCGGGCCCATCGCCCACAAACTCTTATGGCTGTGCCCCTCACAACGATCACTGGTTCGTGCCCGAGTTCTCATCTCTCCCCTACTACCATCCAGTCCAAGCCCCTTCGAAGCCTTATATCAAACTAACCTCCCAACTCTCCACCAGGCATTGTTCGGGTGCCATAACTCCCACGGCAGCCATCACACCGACAGTTTCCCCAAGTGCACCAGCTTCTGCCATCACCTCCGCAGCGGCAACTACGGCCGCTCATGATGATCATGATGACCATGATGACCACGACGACCATGACCATGACGAGAGCTCCAACACTGCAACTGGAACAGGCTCTGCCACACAAAGCGTAATAGCGGCTCCCAGCCCCACTGAGTCAACGGGTTGTGTCCAACATAACGATCACTGGCATTGCTCTGGTGCCAAAAGCACCTCTGGCACGGGGGGAGCAGCAAGCTCATTGACAAGTGCTGCTGCCACTGCCAGTGGTGCTATCAACAGTACGGGTGTAGCTTCGGCAACGCCCTCGAGTGTTGAGGCTAATGGTGCCGCTGCCCGGGGTGCTGGCGTTGGTGTCCTCGGAAGTTTCTTGATGGTTATTGTGCCATTGGCCATTTAAATGGAGGGGTAACTGGGAACGATAAACCTCAGTCCGGAATCGTAATACTCAAACGACGAAGGAAGGGATTGAAAAGACACTTATGGCTTGGTTGGAAACGGAAATGGAAATGTATTCTTCTTCTATTCTACAGGTGAGACGCGGGACTTGTTTAATAAAATTAGTTATCGAGATTTAGAAGGAAAGGCAAACTATAACGTGACTTGAAACTTTCAGCTAGTTGCGGTATAGAAATAGAACATTACGTGGAAATTAGCAGCCTTTCAACCCATATTCGAGTATCATAGCACAGAAACAGAACATTGTGCAAGTTAGTTACATATCAGACCCCTATTCGAGAATTTTTATTAATTGACGACGATGTTCAAAAATAACCATACCAGCAAAACATCCTTTTATATATATATAAATAAATGAACTCCGTATTTTATGCTTGATAAAAACGAGCGTCAAGCTTTGTTTTATTTTATCTTTGTAAGTATACGCCTCAAGGGGCAATAAATAACAATATTTCCGAGTCATCATCAAACATAGCCAAAATGGCAACATCATGCCATCGTTATTTCATTACCCATAATATCCGATGCCCAACTTCTTGATCATAAAGATTGAACGGTGCAAGGCTACATGCACCACAGCTTCCCGAACTACACGGAGCTGATCAAACCCCGGAATCGTCTTGGAAGTGAGTCGTGTTCTCAAAGTCCCAATGATTGAGAGGGTTTGACACCCAATGGTCCCATTTACTGCACATTCTGGTCATTTTCCTCTTGTCACCAGGCGCATAGGACTTATCGATCAGTCGCTTGTTCTCGAGAATCTGCATCGCGAGGCCGGATGATGCGTGGAATGCGATGTGGCAGTGTATGATCCAAGGGCCTATGAAGTATAAGTCTTAGTAAAAAACAAAATCTCTATTTATGTATAGGCTAGAGATGGGGGAGCTTGCCTGGATTATCAGCCTTGAAGGCGATGATGAGATACCCGTATGCTGGCAATAGGGCCACGTCGCGGCGAGGTGGGTTATCGCATTTGACCCGCTCGTCTGAGCAATCAAGAGTAAAGTTATGCTTGTCGTCCTCCCAAGAAGTGGTTGACTGCCTCAGAAGAGCGAAGTCATGCCCGTGGAGATGCATTGGATGAGCCGCAGGTACAAACATACGCTCCCCGCCCTCAGAAGGGATGCCATACGGAGCAGTGATGAGGAGCCAGATCCAATGGTCTTCCCCATCGTCCGGCGTGTCCACCGTAACCACATCGGTATATCGCGGCCAGGTTTCACGCTCGAGCGATAAGATCGTTGGATCGCTGAAGTTGATCCGGAATGGGTCCAGGTGCATGTCCCATCGCAGCTGCGACGCTGATTAGCCTCTGTGCTTGGACGAGTCGATTGTCTACTTACCAAACGCTTGTCAGGCACATAGGGCACTCCTGACGAGTTTTTCAAAGAGACCTGAAACTCTGTCTTCGTTAAGTCTAGCAGATGCGTTAGTATTAAGAGAAGAGCTCTAGGCAGTGGGCAGTGTGCAGACCGTTATTAGCTGGATTTCCAACTCTCCATTTCTTCCACGGGATAATTTCTTCGTAAGGCTCATCGGCACACTGTATGTCAAAGAGAAAGGGTGTGCTCAGTGGATCTTTGTCGCTGTCAGGCTTAGTTGTGTTATATCGCAAAATACCCATTTTTTCGTCGGGCCCGCAAGCAAACTTCGAACATTGTCTCGCCGGTATGGTCCTGATCCAGTAATTGTTATGCCTCGCGGGATTTCTGGGTTTGGCATGGACGATGACATGGTAGCGTTGACCTGGGAGCGGATGAGTATACATGATAAACGGGGGGAAATCTACGGGATTTACGTACCAATACCAATCCGGAGTTTCTCTCTATAGTATGGCACGATGGGAACGAAGTCAGTTTCAACAACCTGGAGGAGATGTTCGTCAATTGAGAAGATAAATGTCGTGTCCACAGCGGTATTTATTAGAATCAGCAAGTATTTCTTTCCCTAGAAGAATCGTGAGAATATAGCTAAAGACCATTCCCCTGGGAGCTAAATATACCTCTTCAAATGTCATGTTGAATTTTTCTGGTCGATCTGGTCCCGACCCGTATTGACCTTCGAAGCAAGAGGTTAGCACTGCCTTCTTGAGATATCGATACCCTTCTAATTAGTAGACCTGCTACATACCGTTGCCGTTTAGAAGGATGTTTGTCATTTTAGGAGCAGCACCAGTTTCTAACATGATTGGCCAATCCTAAATATCTCGAGATTTTAGCAACTGGGGTATAAAGCGTACCAGAAGATACAAGGGAGGGTACTTGCCTCGAAGACTGAACGGTGGTTCCAATCGGTCATCAGAATAGGCTCGAGAGCTCCTTCAAGGTCATATTGGGCAGTCGTAGGGCCGTAAATTGTCATAGGTCCAAGCATTCCATCGCCGTACTGTAGCGAGTAGTGACTATGATACCAACTGCTGCCATATTGCAGAGCACGGAACTTGTAGGTAAAGGTGTCTCCAGGAGCGATGGGGCATTGCGTGATGCCATTGACACCATCCATATGGGGAGTATTAAGCTGTCTAATTCCATGAAAATGAACCGATGTTCCGTTGTACTGAAGCTTATTGGTGACGGTCACCTCTGCGATTAAGTCAGCCAGGCAAATGACATGGTAAAAAGTACTTGCTCACCGATTGTGTCCCCCCAACAAGCCTCTATAGTGCATGTTAAAATATCAATTATTGCTAACCTGATTCAGTGTACTCACGAATCCAAGGCCCAGGATATTGTCGGTTGAAAACCTTGCCATGCTCCATGGTAACTCCGTCAGGGGACAGTGGCATTTCCCCAATATCTAATTCAAACTAGAAAGAGAATTAGCATTTGTAAGTGTGTTTATTGAGCTCCAACGTCAAGGAAGTAGAACTCTTACCCTCCGCGTTATCCCCAACGGAACCTCTTTAGGGTTCTCGTAATCTGAATTGATATCGAATTTCCGGCGTCCATCATGGGATTTGATCCAGCAGTGCTTGTCATTTTCGTGGCATTTTCTGTAGCCCCGCATTCTTGGGTACTCGCAGATAAATCCCTCCCCAGTTCGTGGATCCCTTGGGGCCTCAAACATCAATGGTTCAGAACCAATGTTGTCAACATGGGAGACGACATTGCTAGTATGACCTTGGCCCAAGGGAAGCTGGTCCTGGACTGTGTTGCCGCTCAGTAATTCAAAGACGTACGACAGGCATGTCCACAGCGAGTCGACCTTCATGATGGAAATAGTTAACCTCAAAATGCAGCGGGGAAGACTGATTCAATTACTTGAAGAAATAAATCGGTCAGATGCTACTTTAGGAGATCAAGCATCTGAGATAGCCGGCTCTAGGAAGTGTATATATACTCCACGCTTCTCCTCTAACCAGTCTAAGTTCCACTTGAGAGCAAGCTAATATTGAGGGTCTTAGGTTTCTAAAACCTTTGAGTCAGAACCTAACATATAGTAGAAGGGGCAATAAATCTTTCCTGGTATGTGGCTAGAGCGTACTAAGACTACAGAGATTTTCAAAGCTGCAAGATACTAAAGCCTGCTGCTTGACCTGAGACTTGCATCTCCTCCGAACCAGCCATGGAGATCAAACTGTACAACATCGAGTTCAAAGCGACTCGAGGCCCACAGGGAACTACCCCGCACGGCAACGGATAACGGTTTAAGTGGTCTAGTTTCTTATGGGAGCTGATCTCATAACGCCTTTGTCGAGTGGTTACCACACAGCTGGCTGAAAGTCCTACAGTAGACAAAAGCATGCTCGGGGGACGAGGCGGGAATTGAGTTTGGCATTACTAAGGTACATAATCGACCCACATTGAAGTGACAGGCGTGCATCTCTGCTGCAAAGAATATAATACTAGTTTAAGATAGCACAGAATACGAGATAAAAAGATGGGCATGATCGCCAGAGTGGGAAAGCCAACGGTGCTGTGCACATGTAATAACGCTTGTATTACGAAAGGGGTTGCTGCTTGCAATTTTTGAGTATCTTATCAAGCCACTTTGTGATTGTTGGAAGAGCTCAAGCCATTAGATAATGTTAAGATTAAAGATTATCAGATAACACTCAAGCCTCGATTCCCACACACTCCGTAATCTCCAATGCATCCTCCATGCCGCTAGGTTCGAAGCTCTTCACAAATCGACTCTTGTACTGCAGATTGGGATTACCCGGGTCATCAGTTGCTGGGGCTGCTTCTGTCTTTGCCTTCTTCTCAGCCACAGTTGCCCTCACCCATTCAGCATAAGGAGGATTGCCAGGAAGGATCATATTGTCCGCCACTAGAACGGTGCCAGCTCCGACCAAACCCAGGCGCTCACACAGCTTAAGATCAGCAGTGTAGCTCGGCTTGTGATGATCAAAGAACATCATTCCTAATGGTGACCCTCCGTCTTGAAGCAACTGTTCGTCCACTAATCTCTGGATCCCTTCGGCTCCAGTCCCGACTATGACCCGAACTGTATCTCTGAGACCAGCCAAGTCTACGAGAGCAGTTGCAACAGCCGCAAAAAGTGGGTTCTTCTCAACACTGTAATAGTGCTTGCCGCCGGCTGCTTTCATGGCGCTGCTGAACATGATGGCAGAGTAACCAATGTACCCACCCAGCTCAAGAATTGTGGTTGGCTTGTGCTGGGCGATGACTGAAGTGACAAGATGCCCCTTGCTCTCACCAATGTTTATCAGCCCCGTGACGGTTTGGGCGAAGGTGTCAATGGCGGCAAGGATCTTCGTGGGATTGCCACGTAACTCAGGCAATGACGGATGGTTATACATGTATTCGAGAAGAGCAACCTCTCGGCCATCGCCAAACTAACCCCGCATTAGCCATATTTCATTGTAGCAGCACCTACAGAGTGAAGCCACCCAATCATGTCAAGGGGTGGAAAAGGGGAAGGGGAGCCACTAACATATTTGCCATTCACTTCCCATTCCTTGTACGCCTTTGAAGGGTCGAACAACCCGTTTGCTGGTGAGGTAGTAGCAGTCATGGTTTGTGCAACAATGGCAGACGGCTCAATCGCTCTCCGGTGATGCAGGTGATGGGTTGATCTGTCGATTGGGAGGAGGTGATTCGCTGTATGTAATTCGATCGTATAGGCTCAACAGAGGGGGCCGTATCTAATGAGGGCAAACATATAGGAAAATAACAGCAATTTAAGAGACATAAGTAGGCCAACGGCTGGTGTCGTTGCCGTTGAAAGACAGTTGAGTGGATGCCATCAAACAGAGTAGCTTCATTTCGGGGCTACACGGTAGCAGCCGCAGCTGTTGAAGATCTCCAGCCAGCCACCCGGACAACGGGTTACAAGGCGGCCACGTCTAGTGTGAATGATTGATCCTCTGCAGGCGGCTGAGAGAAAAGCCTCGCAGAAGGCGGACGCTTCAATTACGCACCCGCACCACCCCGGCGCGCGCATCTGCACCGTCGATCTGCTGCGAGATATCACTCCGAGGCTGCGGCCAAGCTCGCTGCCGCCCTGGCGGTGAGTCCCCATATCAGCCAAAACATTGGCACTGGTCCATTACGATTGTAATATTCTCCGTAAAGACTACCTGGGTACTTAAAAAGTGGCTTTTGTTATTGCTGAAAAGGGAGAAAGAAGTTAAGGGCGATAAGACGACCATGCACATGACAGGCCTCCAGAACATATGTATTACTTGCGTAAATTTTCTATGGAATCTATGCACAAACTCTAATTAATACTAGGTACGCTAGGCTTTGTACAAACCGATCAATAGGGAGACAGATAAATATTAGCACTTTTATAGGGCCTTTTTGGCACTTCCAAACACCGTGACTCAATTGCCACCACGCTTATTTCTTCCACGACTGAGTTGCCCTTCACGCATGATGAGGCTTGCAGCAAAGGCGAGGGAGCCACATACTAAAGCGAACACTAGATACGTCAGGTTAGATCAGGTCCGGTTGGATATTTATGGGAGTGAGTGACATACGCCAAACCTTGACCAAACTCTCTGTATAGGCCCCAAGTACCAAGTCCCTGACTCTGCCCGAAAGCCGACTGATATTATCAAAATTCGACATGACATCTCGTACAATCTAAAGGCGCATTAGGAATGGCCACATAGACAGACAACAAAAACGTAAAGCCATTTCGCCTAGAGGGAGATTTAACTGACCTGACGTCGGTTCGGCAAGTCTTTGAGATTTTCAAGCAGAGTTCGTTGCACAGATGCTTGAACCAATAGCGATGCAAAACTAACCCCAATGAGACTCCCGAGGTTTAGACTCAAATAGAATCCGGAAGTCGACACGGCAACTTCCGAGGGGTCTAGTCTGGCTGTAAGGGCAATGAATGCCGCAGATAAAGAGACTCCGAATCCCAACCCGACCGGGAATCCGTATAGGCACTCCAGCCACCCAGTCGAACCACGCCATCGTAAAAAGATGGCGAAAAAGCTTGCATTCGACAAAGTGAGGGAAACCCAAATTACAAGCCGATACAATCCAGTCCTAATGGAGCGTTAGTATAGAAGTCAAAATAGACCGCTCACGACATACCACTTAATGACGAAGCCGCTAATCAATCCGCCGATAATAGTACCAAGAGTAATAAGGAGAAGTCGGACGGCAACATTTGTGTTCGAAGACCCTTGGGTGACGCGGAAATAAAGCGGGACAGAGGTGTAAAACTATGAGACTTGCATCAGAGATTGTTCACTATGGTAAGGATGAAGGGTGTACAGACAGCCATTTGTGCAGCAGTTTGCAGAAACTGAATTGCATATGAAGAGAATACATTACGTTTTACCATTAGTCGTAAAGGTAGGATAGGCTCTTTAGCCCAAAACGCCTCTACAGCAATGAATACCGCAATGAATGCAATCCATGTCCCACCAGGAATGGCAGCGTGCAGGGGTTGGAAGTTGCCAAAATTTCTCTGAATTTGGTCGAGAAAGAGAAGCAGGGAGCAGTTTGCGAGGCCAAGGCTAATGGCTCCTGAGAAATCAATTCTTCTGAACTTTGAGCGCGGTGGTGTTTCCTGTGTATCCTCGGTTTGGTGCGGCAGGGGAAATGTCATTTTCCACCAGATGAAGACAAGACTCAGAATGTTGAGGGGGGTCTGGTAAAGCAGAGCCCTAAAACCATTAGCAAAGAAAAGGACAGTCGAGGATAGGCACCTTACCATCGCCAGTTTGCATTATCCGCAATGAACCCGCCTAATGACGGACCAATAGCTCGACCGGTTTGATTGATTGCATAGACCAAACTTCTCCACACTGCAACATCTCGCATAGGAACAAGGTCTAAGAGGAGAGTTAGAGAACTTAGTAGTAACAAATATTCTCCGCAGGTACGCTTACCAACAATCAAAGTTGAAACAAGGACGGTTATGCCAGCGTTACCAAATCCAGCAATAGCCCTTCCTAGCAAAACACTGTAGAAGGAGAAGCCGATGCCACTGCTAGGATGTTAGATTGCGCAGAATGAAAATAGATATGCAGCTATTTTAGGACCGCAATTCCCCAAGGATTTTGCACTCACGCTAATAGCCCGCCCGTACAGTAGCAGCAATATGCAACGAGGAGAAGTGGCTTTCGGCCATAGATATCGCTCAGTTTGCCAAACTACACGTTTCATCAGCATCCAAACATCGTTCAAAGTCGTTCAACAGGATCAGAGATCGTATAATACCAATGGTTGTGCAATAATTACGCCAACGAGGTAGCTAGTTATGATCCAACTTGCGGAGGGTAGGGCGTTGAGATCAGATGCGATTTGTTGGAATATTGCAAGCAGGATAGCGCTATCTGAATTAACTAGAAAGACGCCTGTAGAGAACTTGGTAAGTATCTTAAGAGTGGTGACTGTTAGGAAGAACGTACCTAGCAAAAGGGCAAGGCCTTCTTTCCACCGGAATTGGCGGTCTGGTTCGATGGTCGCGGCGGAAGACCTTGTTTCCTCACGGCTATCTCCATCGTAGTGGCCGTTCAAGCCATGAGGAGCAGAGGTACTGGAATAAGATCCCGAAACCTTGCCCAGAAGTCGAGTATGCTCGTCAACCATATCCGCTGTAGCCTCCCGCAGCGTCATAATGGCAAGATAGATGCAAAGGAGGGTGGGGGACGAGAATAGGAGATGCAGGTCACTCAAGGAAGGAAGCCCGCATGCTCTTACAATTTTTGGCTGTCAATATAATAGCCTTGGACACCCCACGACGGCGTCATCATCGGCCCAACAATGGTCAATGTCGGTGATCGGATGGAGGCGATTTGGTGAGCGGGAAAAAAACAAAACCCCGCATTGCGGTGCACTGTATATCACTTCAAGCTATAGCACCAATGATAAACATGAGTCGGCCATACAAATGGCACGTCCGAGAAAATGTTCGACGATAGGCGCAATGTACGAGGCACCTCGTTAATCGGGGCATCTCGGGGCTACCGCCGTGTACAATTGGCTTCGTCATGTACCTATCGCTATGTCGATCCCGGTGGATATTCCGATCTTTGGCCGCCTTAAGGGGGGCGATCGTTCTAGATCCGGGTGCGGTAAATTCGGGCTCAGCAGCGGAGTCGTCAGTGGCGCTGCTGAAACCACATTTCCTTCATAGAACCTCATTTGTGCCAGCTGTGAAAAAATCTAGAAGTGGTACGGACTATCTAAGTAAAATATTATGAGACATTGTAGAATGAGTAAGACTTTACCTGATTGTAACACGAATTATTTTAGCTTAACAAATGGTAAAATTAATCTTATGGCGTTATCGATGTGGCGTTTTAATAACCTTGCGCTGTACGCATACAACGCAAGAGAATATTAATCAAAAGACATAGCTAACAAGCATCATTCTTAGCTCTCCTGCAATATCCATGTACGGAATACTACATACCTCCTAGCCAGTTCTCATCTACAGCTAGTATTCGTGGTGTCAAACGCCCGATCTGCTTCATGCCGCGTCGGCAATGCCTTGGGAAGATACCAAGTGTGCCGATAATAGATCAGCTCCAAGTTTCTGGAAATTGGGATTTCCACGCGAGAACATTATGCAAGGGCTTCATGATTTCGATTGGGTTATCTCAAGTGGCGGTGAAAACGTTCTCGCAAGCAATGCGCGTTTCGAGAGTACAGCTTCCACTTCTCGATTTAGGAAGGACTTAATTTCGACGTCTCTTTGCACTTTAGAAGGTAGGAACGTCGATCACGGTGCCGCAGGAGTCCAAACTAGCATGTCCCCGACGTCCCGAAACATCAAATTGCCATGGCTTGCAGCGTAGAGTATCCAAATCTCAAGAGTATAAGAATGAGCTTGTTCCACTTCACATGCTGTGTAAATTCAGCATTGCAATCTCAAGCTATCTTGCCGCAAAAATGACTACTCTCACTCAGATAAATCAACACGGAGTCTTAGGTATTCCGAGCCAGAAGAGCTGCAATGGCTTCATCGATAGCTACCACAAGTCCCCGATAGTGACGACACGCGAAATTTATACACACCGCTCTTCGAACGGGCACGAAGCTCAGTTACTGGAAACCCCTGTGATAACTGGCGAAGCCCATTTGGATAGCCAGAGCTTTCAAAAGGCTCTGCTTGCTTCAGACCAAAGAGTACTTGACATCCGAAGCAAGGGTTCTTGCCCTTTGGACTTGCATGCAAAGACCCTAGAGGGCCTTTCACAGCCATCTGGATCCAAATTTTTGCCGTCGCTACTTCTCTGGGACAACAAGGGGCAGGGCCTCTATGGTGATATCCTTGAGACGAAGCACTACTATCCGTACCGTGTAGAAAATGAGCTTTTGGAACAACAAATCCACGACATTGGCAAAAAGGTTGCATCCACTGGCTGCGAGGTGCTTCTTGAACTTGGTGCCGGCAACATGCAAAAGACAACGCTCCTACTGAACGCCATTGACGCTCATGGAATACAACTTACCTACTACGCTCTAGACGTAGACCACGCCGAACTTGAGTCTTCGCTTTCAGGGTTGGAAGCCAGGACCAATCTCCAAAATATCAAGCTACGGGGTTTGTTGGGGACTTACGAGGATGGCGCCAATTGGCTGTCGACCGCGCAGGAAGTGAGAAACAAGCGCAAAACTTTGGTCTGGCTGGGAAACAGCATTGCAAACTTCACGCCCCATGAAGCTAGCGAGCTACTTGGGTCTTTCACGAAGTTGCAAGCCGGCCAGAGCCTGCCAGGCTTCGTTCTTGGTATTGATGGGTGCCAAGACAAGTCGATGATCGAGTGCGCCTATGACACCCCGGGAGGACAATCAAGACGGTGGATTAAGTATATCTTAGAAGCCGCCAGAAACCACTTGGGCCCGGAAGCAGCCGAGCTTCTTGATGATGACAATTGGAGGGTTGAAGGTGGATGGGATGCTCAGAATCTCCGATTTGAGAACTATCTTTCGGCTGCGATTCCAATTGCCTGCACCATCGGAGATACTAGAATTTCCATCAAACGCGGAGAGAGAGTGCACATATTGCGCAGCGGGAAATGGAGCAAGAGTGACGTTGGCAGCATCTGTGCCAAACAAAGCCTGGACATTGCTGAGTGGTGGAATGGCTTAGAAGTTGACTACGGTAAGTTCTATCAAATGTGCGATACTGAACAAAGCTCACATTGTATGGTTCAAGGTATTTACTGGCTGCAGCCGACCCGAGTATAGTCTATAGCGAGGGGCGTCCTCCGGGTTTGGAGCTGCAATTGAGGCGCAATTCATTTCGAGTTCAGCGGCAGAAAAGTTTAGTCCCCTTTGACCTAAACGGGCTCTGCGCTTTCCTATCTTCTGCTTTCCACACAATTAGATCTAGTCTAGAGGGCTGGGAATAGGTAGACCAACACAACATGTTTCCGCACTATTGCGCAAGCAAGCCATAAAATTAGCGCCGATGCTACTGCGGCCGCCGATGGATGAAGCAATCTAGGCATGCTTCAAGCGGTTGAGCTGAGAGAATTGAGTTGCTTGTGCGACGCAGCTTCGAGACACGTTGCCACGAAGCGCAGCTGCCCCAATGAGACCCCAATCCTCTATAAAATCATTTTCAGTAGTGTGGCCTGACACGGGCCGTGTTCATGTCGTGCTTCGGCACCCTATGATCCTTCTCCTTCTTTTGATAGGGCATTATGATGGCCGTCCAGACACGACAATGAGACGCTGCGGTAGCATGACGTCGGTCAAGGGTTTGGTGATGGAGCTTTTCGTTGGCGCTGGGGTTTGGAAGTCCGATTGTTGTTTTTGCGAATGTCGAATTATTACATAAGCAATGCACTCGCTTATTAGGCAGGGTATATACCCCTATTATGCCAAAGAAAGTTCTTTTAACAACCGCAGATAATTTCCGAAGAGTAATCTTGTCCTAAAGGCTTCAGCGCGTGTAGACGGAAACACTCCTAAATAATTCAAGGCGTTAGCGGAAATAGCGAGCATTTTTACGGGAAACCTGACAGCCATCTATGATAGCCATACAGGATTGGCCAGCGCGATAGTACTCGAGTGCGGAGTAGTGATGTTATAAAAACTATGTATATGTATAATCCAGGGCCAGTCTCAGTAGCCCCTAAGGCTTTCCATTTTGTTCAGGCTGTGTGCAAATGATCCTTGGAATCTGTTGCCGTGCTTGGCACGGGAGAGGAGCGGGAGCTGGCCGGGTGGCCCCTCCCGTTCCGCGTCTAATGCAGGTCTATGCGTTTCTAAAGTCGGAAGATATGGCTCAAGGCTCAAGAGTAACACCGGGGCAGAAACCGGCATAGTGGAATCAGTGAAAGCAGATTGGCAAGCTGGGGAAGCGAACCGAGAAATCAAGTGCAGTTGGGATCTGTTGATCCCTGTTCGGGCTTGCTATGTACAGCAGGCAGGTATGTTTCTTTCTTGCGTTTGTTTTCGTTGCATCAATGTGCGACTTCGGTAAGATTTGCAGAGATGCCAGCGCATTTTCTACGAAGCAGCATATATGCATTTGCATGCATTTTTAACTGCAGTATTACGACGATCCCCAATACTTAGAGATTGTTCAGCCAGCCTTCTATCCCCAGTACCAGCAGATCATTCCCTGTGTCGATCGAATTAATTCGGTAGGAGAAAGGGCCGCAAATAATGACAGTGATTGGGATCCCTGAACTCTCAATGCCGAAATGCGTCGGTACAACTGACCGCCTCGTTCGACCATGAGTTTACCTACGAATCAATTTTTATAATGAATTATCCAGCTGCACCTCGTTGAGCTCTGCACTATTCCATTTCCAGATAAAATATCCGTTTGGGGCATCGATTTTGCGTTATGCCGGCCATTAACAGAGGCTGAGAGAAAGTTAAGATGTGCTGTGCACTTGCTTTTGCTATGAGAAAGCATATAACGTCTCTACATGTGGTCTCAAAAATACCCCTCTGTAGCTCCTGGGCCTTGTTTCCAGGCACCTGCTCTGTTTGGAAACTATCCAACTCCGGATGGTAAGATTCTAGCATGGCAACTTCCGTGTCACTTATTTGTGCTCGTTGAGCATTTGAAGAGTTTCAACCAAACGTTTGGAGTCAATAACATCGGCCATGGCTCCGTCTGTTTCATCCCATGTAGACGTCCTTATCGTTGGAGCGGGACCTGCTGGGTAAGTGTGCAGTTACGGTTTTCTCTCTTCATGATATTTCGTCCTATTTTCGCCGCAAAGCTCATCGGTAACTGATTTATTTAGACTGGCTTTGGCCAATTGGTTTCGTTCCTCCAATATATCGGTCCGCCTTCTCGATAAGAAACCTGGCCCGACTCCACGGGGGCAAGCGGAAGGTCTCAAAAGCACTACTGTTGAGATATTCGAGTCGCTTGGGATTGGGCACCAAGTATGGGCAGAGGCATGGAGGTTAGAAGAGATTGCCATCTGGGGGCCAGATAGCACAGGAGGAGATGCAACAACTAGCATAGGTATCAAGAGAGAGCAGGTCATACAAGATCAAGTCCCTGAACTTGGGAAAACTAGAGAAGTCATGCTCCAGCAATGTAGGTCGACCTATCGACTTACAGTTGTATCTGATATTTTTTCAGTATTCGTTGCCATCAAGTGGTTGCTTTTGATATCATAAGGCTTATCATTTCACGTAGCACGAGTTGAGCATCATATGCTTGAGAATCTGTCCGCAAGCCCAAACATCGAAATGCAATTTCAAAAGAGACCCACAAGCCTCAATATAGATGAGAGTATATTCGATGATCAGGATGCGTTTCCTTTAACTGTCACCGTGACAACAAACACAGATAGGGTAGGCATAAATGGAGTTGCAGCAGATGTGAGACGTCCGTGACCCCGCTTTGATGGTATAGCTAACATTTTCAGTGCTCGAATGGAGATCTAGGTACCGAAGAGATCCATGCCAAGTATATGGTAGGCTGTGATGGAGCTCATAGCTGGACACGGGACCGGCTAGGTGTAAAGTTGGAGGGAGATTTGACAGACTCTGTGTTTGGTTGGTTGCTCCCAACTCTCGTGACTTTCCATACTTACGGTCTATAGGTGTTGTGGATATAGTTCCCAAATCCAACTTTCCAGATATTCGGAAGGTCTGCTATCTGCGAGCCTCTACAGGGACCATCCTTCTCGTGCCTCGGTCAAACAAAGAGGTTCGTTTGTACGTTCCAGTGGAGAGCGGCGGTGCTCTTTCTAATCCAAAGGACTTGACTTTTGAGCGAATCATGGATGCAGTACGCAAGATTATTGCTCCATATACACTAGAGGTTGGCTCATGCAAATGGTGGTCCGCTTACCGTGTTGGGCAGCGTGTCGGTGATCAATTCTCTATTCATAATCGTGTGTTCCTTGCGGGTGATGCTGTCCGTATGTCGTTTTGAGCTCCTCCACTACCCAATTTGGACCGTGACGATTGACATTATTCAGACACCCATTCCCCAAAAGCCGGTCAAGGTATGAACACCAGCATTCAAGATGCCTTCAACCTTGGTTGGAAACTTCGTCTGGTCCTAAATGGCCATGCATCACCATCCATTCTTTCGACCTATGAGTCCGAGCGACTGCCTGTGGCACAAGATCTCATCGCCTTCGACCGTGGATACCTAAAGCTCTTCTCCGCACCATCCGCATCATTTGAAAGCGAATTCCTACGTGCAATGAAGTTCACGACCGGTCTCTCGATCCGTTACCCACCATCTCCAATCGTCCAGCTCCCAAGTAGTAGCAACAACCAAGAACCCGCGCAGCCCCTAGGGCCTAGCTTACTGAAGGCAGATGTGGTGTCCGGCAAGCGCCTACCTGACTTCCAGGTCGTCTGCCAGGCTGACGGCATCACAACACGCATTCATCCACGCCTCCATGCAAGCGGTGCCTTCAGGATCATCGCATTCGCAGGCAATCTCGCTCAGCCTGCTCTGCTCGCCCAGCTTCAGCACCTTGGGTCCTGGCTTAGCGATTGTGAAGAGGGGCTAGGCAGACTTACCGCCGGCGGTGCTCAGGCGAGAGTAGAGGTGCTGGTTGTGCACTGCGCAGCAAGAGAGCAGGTGGAGCTTATGGAGCTTCATGAGGTGTTTCGGCCGTGGAGCGATGACGAGGGATGGGATTACTGGCGGGTGTATGCAGATGAGAATAGCGCTCATGAGGGACATGGCAGGGTCTACGACAAGCTTGAGCTTGACAGAGAAAAGGGGTGCGTTGTAGTTGTGAGGCCTGATAACTACATTAGTGCTGTGATCGGAATGGAGGATTTCGGAAGCATGAAAAGATACTTCTCCAAGGTAGAGAGTGGCAGCTGCATGTAATGAGCATGAACGTGGAGATCATAACTACCATTATATTCGTTTCTACCTATCTAAGAGCCATATATACACCGTTAGTTTTAGTTCCTACTAAATGGTAACGTACATGATAGCAATGATCCCTTTTATAATATCTTTGATGGATTTTCTTTAGTTGCTTGCCATTTGATCCGCCCTTGGGTATCATTCATGTGAGTGAGCTTTGATTGCAATAGTCCACGTCTAGCACCTCTCAGTAATAATAATGAAGGCAAAGGAAACACTGTGGTCCTGTATTGAATTTTAGTATAGAAATTGACGACCCGTCCTCAATCAAATGATCAATCAGTACTCGAGGACCAACGTCAATTTTGGAAATCGAAATGTCAGGCATAAAGTTCTACTGGCTATTGTTTTCGTTAAATGTTTTGCAAAACAAATCAGGTTAAAGCTGTAGTGACCAATAGCCCATCAGGAGCAAGGCACATCGAGGTATGGGTTACCTACTGGGGGAAGGGGACATAAGTGGGTGCCCTTGATGCATGTCTTCATGCCAAGTCCTAGTCGGATTGCACATAAGTGTTACCCTCGGACGGTGGGATATTATTATTGGAAACGGATCTATTGCTACGTAGTGAGTGGCATGCCGAAAAGCACCCGTCGCCTACCCACACAAGAGCTCAATCGGAGTTCCTAAACTGGTTATTGACGTCTGGGAATCCACCAAGTTTCGAAATCCTTCCGGACAAGTCCGAGTAGGGATTCTTGGCCACAGGAGATATCCTCCTATTGATGCATCTATGGGCTGTTCTATGTGGTCTCTACAACCCCCACGTGCCCTAGAATGCAATTTGACCATTAGGTACTGTGGTACAGTACTTGTTACACATCTTACGACTTTCGTTCCACAAGACTAATACAAGATTGCTTTTCTGTGGGGTGTCGGTTTTCGGGGTCCAATGTCAAGTGTGCATCTGGGGCTGAAGGCTAAAGCCACTTCTAATATCGCTGATTCGTATTGCCAATGGTTTCTCGGGACGAACTATATTGCAGGATGCAAGAATAGGGCAGGTAGGACAGAGAACACTATAGCGTCACCTCCCATGGGATCCTTTTAGTGTGGCGAACGACCAGCTACCTAGGTATCTTATTACTCTGCAAAGCATGGAACTGGTTCTCCCCAGGCCGATTATCCAATCAGGCATGAATCCAAAGATGCATTGCTTGTCCATTGCAGGGGCGCTTCTCTGTCCCATTGTGACACTGGCACGGATATTACTCGGGGGAGTCCGCCACAAGGAGATTGGGAATAGATCCAGGTCGCCTGGATGGGATGCCTGTGATGCAAGTATTATGTCAATGCTTCGTTCGTATCGATTCCGCTGTGTACAGATTCTAGATTCCAGGTTCCAGAACTTAACCTAGGTAACTTACTAATAAGTAACTAAGTTAATTTCTGGTTCGTACTGGAGCGATCTCCACGCCCAAAACCAAAAAAATAAATAAAAATCCCACGGTCGATGATTTTGGTTGCGCAACACGCGACCAGCAAAATGTTAGCGCACGCGATGCGTATTACTCGAGTGCGCCCTGTAACGTTGAATCGATACACGTTTTGATCGCATGTCGTCCAGGGCAGCCAATCACTCCGGCGCATCGAAACACGTTCTGGAGATTGCTTGGCTCGTCTGCTCGGCCTGCTTGGCAGCAACGCCTTTGAATATCAACCGAACAGAATCCTCATCATCGCTTCCCAATCTCTTCATAATCCCTCCAAATCCCAACTCTTATCTCACTTTTGGTTGGGCTTCCAAGACTATCCAAGACTTCCAAGACTTCCAAGAACTCCCCTAAGGCCACTAAGCATCCGTCCAGCGCGGCGGAGCGCCGCCCAGGCAGTCGGACAGCGCCCTCGATAGGGTTACTGGAGGGGCAACACGCAGAGAATACAGCACCAAATGCCAAATGGGTCTCGCGCTCCCCGATCATAGCAGTGCTAGGCAGGGCCCTCGAGCCCGAATCTGCACGTATGGCTCTGGCGGTTGAAGCACGTTGTGTGCGCACGACTGCGAGGTTTGGGATGTTATTGGAGGAGATCGAAGCATTCTGGAGAGTTCATCGCGGGCAGAATTTGATGCCTCGGGGGCACCTCGTGGGAACCGGCATGGGACGGCGGCGGTTTCTGAAGTCGCAGCGCAGATAAATATGTTCATCGCTCCCTCTTCCTAAGGGCCAAGGTTCCATTCTGAAGCAGCGCAATTCGATTCCTTGCTTGCAGTTGCATTGCAGTTCATATCGCAAGGGGCATTCCTCCTTCATATCCTTCGCTGGATATCTCCTTCAGTCAACCTCCAAAACCCCCTTCTCTTCTATTCTATAGTTTTTGGTAGCTCCGAGAGCGATCTTCTTCAAGATGCCCACCCTTCACCAGTTCGATTACATTTTCGCCATCGGCCTCATCTTCGCATTCTTAGATGCCTGGAACATTGGTGCCAATGATGTCGCTAACAGTTTCGCGACCTCGGTTTCGTCGAGGTCGCTGACCATGAAGCAGGCTATGATGATAGCGTCGGTGATGGAGTTTGCGGGAGCGCTGGGTGTTGGGTGCGTTACCCTCCAGGTCCAGATGGCTGTACAATGATCTTGTGGTGCTAACTTGAGATGATAGTGCGAGAGTAGCGGATACCATTCGGAGTAAAATCCTCAGTACTGCCGCCTTTGAAGCGGAGCCGTCCATTCTTATGTTGGGAATGACTTGTGCGCTTGTTTCTTCCTCTGTCTACATGACAATGGCAACTCGGCTCGGTATGCCCGTCTCAACAACGTGAGTATTGCTGTTCTTCCACCTGAGGAGTGAAAACATGTGCTGATTCCTTGCAGTCACAGCATTATCGGCGGTGTTATGGGTGTCGGAATTGCGGCACTGGGTGTTGATGGAGTGAACTGGGGCTGGAACGGCGTCTCGCAGGTCTTCGCAGCTTGGGCCATTGCGCCTGGACTTGCAGGTTGCTTTGGTGCCATCATCTTCCTCGCCACCAAGTATGGAGTGATGAAGCGTAAGAACCCTGTCAGAGCCGCCTTCATCATGATCCCGGTGTACTTTACCCTCACCAGTGGTATCTTGACCAGTAAGTCAAAGAATATTTCAGAATCACTCAGCTTTTGGGAGGGGCCGACCGAGTTCTGACATTCATATAGTGCTTATCGTGTGGAAAGGAGCTGCTTCTGCATCCGCAAACGTCAAGACCTGGGGCGCAGGAGAGTATGTCGGTGTCATACTGGGAACAGCGCTTGGTGTTGGCCTTCTCTCTGTAATTTTCTTACTACCATGGCTCCATCGAAAGCTCATTATGGATGACTGGGAGATGCGGTGGTATCACATCTTCCAGGGACCACTCTTGCTCCGACGTGGACCTGTCCCACCAAACACCTCTGGCACCGAGATCGTTCAAAATTATTACGAAGGACACAAGACCAGAGAAGAGCTAGATCAGGAAGGTAGCAGCATCCCGCACCCAGCAACCGATATCGAGACCAACAACAGCGACGAGATCAAGAATAAGGAAGCCGCCGAGGGTATCACATCAGAGCGAACTTCAGGAGAAACCCCCAAAACCACCGGTCTGAGCAATGTCAACCCCGCACCGATGGTCGGCAAGTGGTATGAACCCAAGAATCTCTTCGAGACCGCCAAGAGAGCCTTCTTCCACGGTGTCGAGGTCGATGTCATTGCGGAACAGCAAAAGGCTTCCATCCTCGCCGGTAACATTGAGGAAATGCACGCCCGCGCCATGCACTACGATAACAAGGCTGAGCACGCTTATTCGTTCCTCCAAGTCCTCACTGCAGCAACTGCATCTTTCGCCCACGGTGCGAATGATGTCAGTAATGCAATTGGTCCTCTTGCTGCTATCTATCTCATCTGGTCTACCGGAAAGCTGTCATCCAAGTCTCCCGTCCCCATCTGGGTTCTGGTTTATGGAGGTGCTGCGCTGGTCATTGGTCTCTGGACTTACGGGGTAAGATACATATTTCCTATACATTTACCCTTGCCCCCCTCAATCTTCTGTTCTCTTTCCTACATCACCAAACACACTCTAACATTTCTTCCAGTACAACATCATGCGCAATTTGGGTAATCGTCTCACCCTGCACTCCCCATCCCGCGGTTTCTCAATGGAACTCGGCAGTGCCATTACAGTCGTGATGGCCACCCGTCTCGCCCTTCCTATCTCCACTACTCAATGTATAGTTGGTTCCACCGTTGGAGTGGGACTGTGCAATGGTGACGTTAAGTCGATTAACTGGAGAATGGTTGTATGGATCTATCTTGGATGGATCATCACTCTCCCTGTTACTGGAATTATCGCTGGTTGCTTGATGGGCATTATTATCAATGCCCCAAGATGGGGAATGGCTCTTTAAGTGCCGCTTATAGACAAGCGGGGTTTTTGGGGGTGTTGGAGGATTAAGTATATGTTTGATAGTTGATGCATTTCTTCGCTCGGGGATATTTTGGAGCTTTAAAATAGTAATAGATAGATACCATGTTATAGCATATACTTTCGTTGAAACTCTGATCACATGTGCTCCGGATCTTCAATTTGGAGGTTCTCACTTACCCTCACACTAGTAAGAACTATGAAGTCCAGCTGCCGACTAAGGCAGTATGCTCCAATAGTTTCCCTAATCCCCGCCTATATGTTGCAAGAGAATTATCGATCATCACACGCTACCTTGCACATGGTAGAATCATTAAGTAACTTACAAGATATAGTTTGGTGAACTAGAGCTTGGACTATGTAGGTAGGTGACTGTAGGTCTTTACAAGCCAAGTTTATATTGAGACTTCTCTTATCTATTTTAGATCACGACTATCGATAACAATTATGAAATGACTTCCCATGACTAGGTATTGCTAATCCTCTTCAAGGACGTTGAAAGCCAGCTCCCAGGCCACCTAAACTAGGTTGTCTAGAACCTCCGCCTTCCTAAATGTGTTACCCACAAAAGTCCGTGGAGGATGCTCATGGGGTGTGACAACTTCGGCCTAGGGCTCCTCCATGACAAGTAAACACTTTCCTTATAAGAATTCCAGGCGACAGAATCAATGTCATCCCGTTTTCTTATCTCCAGCTGAAACATTCTGTCATTCATTTTTCTCTCGTACTTCAACATTCTTTCGTCCATTCTTTCGTCTCGTTTTCTCCTCTCCTCTCTAAACATCGCCTCATCCAGCTTCCTCTTCGCCTCTTCAAACGCTATTTTCTCCAGTTCTCTCTCGCACTCAAGCATTCTTTCGTGCATTCTTTCGTCTTGTTTCCTCGTCTCCTCCTCTCTAAGCATTGTCTCATCCAGTTTTCTCCTCTCCTCTCTAAACGGTATCTCATCCAGTTTTCTGTCGCACTCGGACATTTTCTCATCCCGGAAGTATCGTCTATTTTCCTCGGGATAACTGCGTAATGCGCAAGCAATACAAACCAGATCGATCTCGTCCAGGAAAAGGTCATGGGATGGACAATCTTGTTCGAGGGCCGCCTCTGGTAATCTACGGCAGCGCCACAGCCTCACTTCTGGTCCCCTATGGCGGCATAAATACACTTTCTGAAAAAGCCGGCACATTTTGATTTTCCGAGTTATTTCCGATAGAACATCGTATCAATCTATTAGATAATAATATTAGGCGTGGGTTATTCCGAAATTGGCGTTGGTGACGGCCAAGGAGGGTGGCCCCATTAAACGACTCGAAATTCCCTATACCATCTCTTATACTTTTAGTCAAGCCTGTCTTAAACGGTTGTTTTATAGACAAAGAATATCATTTACAATTAACAAAGAGAGTCTTTATCCGCATTGTCGTCATAATATTTTCTGCTTTAGCAAGCGAGAAGTGCTTTCTTTGACTTTCGGGCTTTAAAGAGCTACAGGTTCGGCGTTGATATGTATGAATGATGTAAGATCCATTGTTAGATTCTAAGCTAGTTGGGTTATTACTGGTCTCGGTTCTTGACACGAAGGCAAAGGGCTTAAAGCAAAATACAAGGCGGGATGCGGGATGCGGGATGCGGGAGAACAATAGCGAAAATAGACCGACGGTGAGATCGCCGGCATCTTTGACTTGCAAGCTAGGTGTGCATTTGCGGCCATCATTAATTCGAACATTCGGAAAATAGGGAATGGAAGCAATTACACTGCTCTTCTCTAGACGAAATTTCCGATTTTATCCCGTTTCTTGATTTTGCGTAGGAAAGAGTGGCCTTGGCGGGATGAGGTTAAGATGCTCTTAAACCCCTAGAAATATTTGGAATAGCCGATGGCCACTAGACTTCCTTATATACGTATTTCTCGAAGCAGTGTATACCACTATAGTTGAGACATAATCACAATTTAGTGACGGGATGAGATGCGCATTCTCACGTAATCACCATAGAAGGCAAGTAGTGCGAGCCTCGCATTATGTAGATCACGGAGCGAAAAAGGGGTCAAGATTTGCAAAAACACCCCCACTCACCCACACCTGACGACTGGTTTCAAGATGTATGCGTAAAGAGCTCTTGATTACTTGAATTGGCGGCGTAGCACAGGTGGCCGCTGACTATCATTCCTCGTTCATATGGTCGCCATCAGTAATACAATATCCCAATATCTATGATAATGCTAAGCACCCACCGCCGAAGATGCCTAATCTTGGAAGAAAACAATGCAAATGCTGCGCCTTCAATGCTAAACCCCTGAGTGCTGCGCATACTATGCATACTCCTTAACGCCAGGCCGAAGCCGAATAAATATTATGTTCTCTTTGGGGGCTTTTTGCGCTGAATGAATGGGTCTACTGGTGCTTTTTTACGAGGAGGTAAAACTCCTCCGTTCGGTAGCGGTGGCCGTGCGGTCGGAGCGGGTTTCTTTGCTTCCAAGGCCTGATATGCAGCGGTGAGATCTGGGGCCTTCACATCGTTTGAAGTGACAATCTACGCAGGTTAGCATGTTTTCCATATCAGTTTGTGTGCTTCGGATGGCTGTACCTTCTTCTTGGGAGGATCTTCCTCTTTGATCGACGACTCCCTTGGGCGCTTTCGATCCTCCTTTCCTCCAGCTGCAGTGGTACTGACAGCACCGATCGAAGTACTTCGGAACTCCTGTTTAATGGCCGAATCCCGGCCGGCATTATTATGCGCCGAGCGGGCTGAAACGGTACTGCTTGCACTGACAAGTGATTGTGGGGAATCAGAAGCACTGCCCGGGGCATCAGCCATCTCGACATCATCGTCTTCAGCCTTTGGTCGGTGTTGATAACTTTGTGCCCAGCTTGTAGAAACCTGCTGCGGACCGCGATCGCCCATCTCACCATTCCTCTGAGGTACTGGATCTTGAGTTCCCGGGGCATGACGCGCAGTCGGGCGTGATAGCAAATCCATGACATTATTTCCCGTGTATCTGTTACGGGCCTTCGAGTCTTCAATAAGCTTATTCCAGAACTCGCCCTGTTGCAGCGATCGCGAATCTCCCAGTACCCACAGGGATGACTTCGCTCGTGTGAGACCAACGTTCATACGTCGGATATCGCCAAGGAAACCAATACCCCCAGTTGCTTTAGCTCTAACGCAGGAGAATACGATAATCTCGCGTTCACGACCTTGGAAGGCATCCGTGGTATTGAACTCGATCTCATCAAATATGGAATCGCCGAATTTTGCGGCGAAGCGAAGTTTCATCTCATTAAGCTGAGCTTTATAACTTGTGATGATACCTATCTTTCCGGTGAAGTCGTATGTCGGGTAATCGGCCTTTAAGCGCTGGTAAAGCTGAATTGCAGCGTTAAGTTCCGGTACGTTAATGAACGAGTGCCCTCTTGCCTCCTTTGTCTGGACACCCCGGACGTCGAAAAACCGATATGGCCCGAGAATCGTACTTGCGTGCCAAGGCTGTTCTCTCAACTTGGCCATACCAGGTCCATCAACCAATCTGCCATTATAGAATTGCTGGCTGGGGAAGCTGCTGATTTCCGGATGCATACGATATTGCGTATCTAGGAGATGGACATAGTTCGGATGATTCCGCTGCATCCGGACGAACAAACTTTGCTCGTACCCAAAGCTTTGAGCGGACCGCGAGAGAACAGTGGGTGGCAACTGTTCAGGATCTCCGACGAGAATACATTTTGAACACCCATATTTCAGAGGGATTAGGGCACTCAGCTCAATACATTGGGCAGCTTCGTCAATGATAACAGTCTCGAACTCAACGTTCAAATTCCGGAACATATCATGACCACTGCCACTGAGTGTCGCACACAGGACATGGGCGCCATCAATTATCTCCTGCTGGTATCGGCGTCGATTGATTTCGTTTTGGCGTGAGACGGTATTACCACTCTCCTTATCTTCGTCAATCTTATTCCCGATATGGGCTTGACTGCGCTTGAGAGCGTCAAATTGCCTTTGAAGCAGGAGCTCTGACGTCTTGTTGCCATTTTTACGGGCTTCATCCATTTGAGGTCTCAGAGCGTTGAGTTGCTCCTTGATTTTGCCAGCATCTTGATGGAGCTTATCCCTGTCTTGAAGAAGCTTATTCTTTTCGCCATTGTCACCCTCCAGTTTCCGCGTGACCAATTCATCCAGCATAACGTCTTTCACGCTGGCATTGATGGCATCACTTCGTCCGATACGGATTACGTTGATCTTCTGACGAGGTCCGCTTAATGGCTGAATACCCTCCTTCAGTCTGACCACCAATTCATCAACAGCGGCATTACTAGGTGCGCATATTAGAAGCTTCTTCTTTGGCTTGTTTGATGGAGGTGGAGCTGCTCGCCCTGGCACCGGGGCCATGGCCGCAGTTTGCTGCTGTAAACTCTGTGTTAGAAGAGCACCAACCATTGCCACAATAGTCTTCGTCTTTCCGGATCCGGGAGGGCCCTGAATAAGTGTAAAACCGTCGTTATCATTGGCGGAGAGGATGGCTTGGGACTGTCCTCGGTTAAGGTTGTACTTGGATGATATAAACCCAATCTTATCGTCGGAATACTTTTGCAACGGGGACGGTTTTGCTTCCAATACCTCATTGCACAAATCATAGTACTCCAGACTGCTTAAAGCGGCAAACTCGCGCTGGGTAGTTGTCATATCCGCAATCTTCACAGCGTGAATCTTGCCATTCGGAGCAAGGGCTTGCAAGAACGTAGGGCTAATATCTCTACTGACACGGAACGTGACCTCGACCACATCCTTCTTGCGGGTCGTTCGATCAACTCGAGCAAGGCAGTGTGGGTCCTGTTGATTGCCTAGCGGGTCGCGGTTTTTTGACAATAACACAATGTCTCGCTCAGTCATTTTGATATCCCGATTCATAGTAATTGGCATCTTGCAGCTGACTTCCATGAATTTATCAACCGATAGACGATTTAGGACTGTAATTTCCAAGGGCTTGAATGAATTCTCCTCTTTTGCTGTGACGAGAGATCGCCAAACTTCAGATATCAATAACGGCCCAAATGTCCTCTTGTACAGATCCAAATCTATGAAGCTATCCGCAATCTTTCTACATTCGTTATTGCTGGGCGGGTCGTCACCAGGATGGAAGATGTCCCAGTTTAGTATTTCGATATAGAGCCTATCCATATTTGGCTCCACACGAGCACGGAGATCCTTGGCGGATCGTATAATTTTGGCCTTCTTAACCGGTCCTTGCAATTGCAACTTAAGGGCGTTTCTCCTGTTTCGTTCATATTCGGAGACCATCTGCGAGGTTGCTTTACGAGTCTTGATAAGCGCTCCGGTCTCATCTTCGTCATCTTCTTCATTAGAATCCTCATCTGAAGATCCCACCATGATTTCACTACGGATTGGGGCATGGTCCTTCCCGACTATGCCGCCGATATCCTTGACTCCGGATCCTTCTCCTCGTACCCCGGCTGGGGCACGAAGTGCCTTAGCTTTGGCTATTGCTTCCGCTCTTTGCCGTCTCATATCTTCCTCGGCCTTTCTACGTTTCTCCTTGAAGGCATTGATGGCCGGATCATTAGCAGCGGGTTGCTGAGCCTGCATTCGATCCAGAATTGATCGGTGTTTATCAGATAATCCGGAGACCAATGGCTGGCGCCGTGGCAAGGTTGGCTCATGCTTTTTGCCATCTGCCGACCTCGACCAGGAATCGATAGTGGCCTGCTTCTTAACAGTAGTAGTCGTTACAGCAGGCGTCTCGATTATTTCAACACCCTGGTGCTCATCGAGGGCTCTTTGCAATTCCGCTTTCTGCTGATTCGTCAAGTTGGTTCGCCTGAACTCCCTCTGATTTTCGCTCTTGCAGGCTGATCTGATGAATTTTGAGGCATAATCGTCAATCTCGAGGTTGTACTCCCCGAGACAGCGGAGAAGCTTGCCTAAAAGGCTAGTGATAACGCTGATGAGGTAGGCGTCTCTCAGTCTGAGTAATCCTGTCAATCCGTTGACATTCTCACATACGACCTTCAGCACCTTCTTGATACAGTCCTTGGAGGATAGTGGTTTGGCAACTTGATCTTTCTCTGCAGTGAGATCGCTCAAAGCCGACGCAAAGACACTATACTCGTCGAATAGAGCCTCCGCATATTCCATACTATCACGGCAGAAGTCTTGCATATATGCTGTTGATTGATTAACTCGCGGAGCCCATGATTCGGTAGTAGAAAAGCACATATCTAAAGCACGCCATTGGACTGTCCACCAAGCCATAATGGAATTATGCTCCGATCTCAAAAACGCACGCCGACGCAGAATTCCGGTGTTTCCGGCTAGAGACTTAAGAACCTCCCGTCCGATTTTAATCATGTAAGGGACCGGCCCAAATGTTCTAGCTCTGGTGATCCGGCTAACGGCATATACCAGAGAGTTCAACATAGGAATGAAAGCGGTCTCCAACAAGTCAGAAATTGCATCCTGCTTGCCGAGATGGCCTGTTGTGCTTTTGATGACTTCGACTGCCGCTTCATAGACGCCTTGATTTGCTGATACAAGAGCTGCAAATAACGGACGAGCTGTTTGTGGCGATTGACATAGTTGGCGTAAATCGGCAGCCTTGAAATCAGTCAGCCGCTCAAATACCCTGGATATATTGTCCATAAGCTGATTGAAATCCTGATTGTATTGAACATGATCCTTGGGTAGATCTGGATTCTTTTTATTCTCTGGCATGAGCTCATCTAAGCCGGTCAGTTCGGTGGTGGCTCCGACGATGCTTTTTGCCAGTTTCAGATTGCCAGGTCGGAATATATCAAGGGCGGCTTGCCAAACCGCTTGCGAGTGGGTCCTGAGCCCTCGTTGAATCGGTGTTCCATTTTCAAGCGCAAAGAATTCTGCACTCATTGCCTTGCAATCAAGCATGAGAGCATCCTGGATCACGGACATGCCTAGATCCTTTAGCTCAGGGTCGCTTCCTGCACCATCCTCAAGGTCGGCGCATCTGACAATGATTCCCTTGTACTTGTCAACAAGCCCCATTATATCGTCGATGACTATCAAAGAAGTCGATGGGTTGATTTTGTAGTCGGTACTGATGAAAGTTTTTAGGGTTGCCCGGAGAGCGTCAAGCCCAGCTCGGCAACATGTTATTCTCGCCGCTTCAGAGAACCGATCCCCTTGGAGACGCTCAAATAAATTGTAGAGCAATGCACGGCAGGCATCATGTTGATGAATTGGATCTAGAGACTGAATAAAACTTGGGCTCCATGATATTGCAGGATGCGTCTCAAGATTCTCGAGATTGTGGGTATTCTCGAGTACTTTCTCAAATCCTTGGCTCTGGAATATCTGTTCTGCAACTGTAGCGGGCGAAATGGTTCCCATAGCTGACCAGAAGTCCTTCGGAGCCTTTTCGAGAAGCTGACAATATGATTCGATCACAAGTTGCACAACGTCTTCGGAACCAAGCGCTAGGTGCTGGAGGCCTAGATGGTAGACATCCGGCTGGACCTCCATTGCTCGAAGTGAGTGCGTGATTAAATCTCCCTCCATTCTGTCCAATATCAAGAGGAATCCCTGCCAGAATCGTTGAACGTCTCCGATATCTGCATTCGGCTGCGAGACCAGGAATACCGTCTCGGACAGCACGTCGTGCACCACCCAATCAAACGTCTCTTTTGTGAGGGATACGGTCATTTTCTGCCATGATTGAGTGGCAAATCGCAGCCGGACAGTATCCTTGTGAAAGAGAAATCGAGCCATAGCCGGTAATATATCAGCCATCCTGAGAGTCTTCTTGGTTTGGACCTGGGAGAAAACAAAATTGAAATGGGTCGACAGCCGGTCCTCTGATTTGTGATAGTCGACGCAACAAAGCGATTCATAGAGAGCCAGGAGTGCGGCCCGGTCATTCTTCACAAGGAGGGCTTGAGTACGATTAGCGGCCGGAGCTTCAGTGAGGAGCTTCTGCGCAGATTTTAGGCCCGCGTCTATCCGATAAAAGTCAATGGCGTTGAGGCGGTTTGACAGCTCCGATACAGTATCGTCGTCGAATTGTCTATGAAGGCAGATGAGCACCCGCACATACGAACGTGCGATCCATAGCCACTTACTCTGTCAACTCTTTGAGGTATCCTTTCCGGCCCATGTGCCAATTATGAACGCACTTGTCGCAGCTTGTCAACAGTTTGTTTAAACCGTCCGTATATTCCTCCAGTATTCCCTTTGATCCCTCTGGGGCGAAACCCAGAACAAGAGACAGTTTGTATGCTACTTCGTGCCTTCGTTTCGCATCGTTAATCAACTGAAGTTTCTTCTCGGCGCTTATATCCTCCTCAGGCTCGTCCGGATGGTCATAGTCGATAGGATCGTCGTCGGCCTGCAAGGGACAGAACCAGTGGGCATCGGCAGGGAAACTCTTGAGTTCACTGCGGCAGTAGAATCAGCAGAGGTCTCTGGATTAGAAAGAATGAGGGCAGGGTCATACCGGCCGAGCTCCTCGAGCTCGTCCATAATCTCAGCTTCTTCCCTCATTTTGAAGGTGAGGAGTTCCAACAAGCACCTCCGCTACACATCCACGCATCAAGTAGCTAGAATATTGCAATCAACCTAGCACCAATGGCTAGAAACCCAATAGCAGAAATGCCTCAACGTAAAGAAATAGTTGTTAAGCCTGAATAGTCAAGAAAGATGCAGCAGAATTATCAGGGGCGCTTTCTGAAGTTGAACCTACGGGCCGCCCCTGTGGAAGCGAAGGCTGAGCGGGTTTGGGGACAATAGTAACGACGTGATCCAGTTCTGCCCATTTATGCCGACGAAGAGAATCCACTTATGTGCTCGCTGCTTTGTTTGCTTTGTTGGGAGGAGCTTCTTGCCGCCTCTTAAAAGAATATCTACTTTCACGCGCGACCCGCGGGTCGCGGTTCGCGAGTCGCTTCAGCTTCAGCCTTTATCCCTGCAGCCTTGCGGGTAAGGCTACGTGCGCTTGGTACAACCGATACGATTTCAGAGCCCTCAACGACTGATGGAATTTTCTACATAGGGATAGGCTATTAAACCATGGAAGCAGTTATCCGTTTGAATTCTTAATCGTTATCATTGATCCTATCATAATAGTCATTTTCTTCTTTGTTGGATGAGCCATGCGCGAAGAGCTCCTCGGGCCAATCGCCTACGGATGGCAAACACGCAGAGCATTTTAACATACAAGTAGAGTTTAAGTAATATTCGCCTTGATTCAATTATTTGCATGTATGCAGTACACACTATATACAATATTGGATCCTACGATCCTACGTCCAGCCACCACCTCCGACCAGCCATCATTCATCGGCATCACCGAAAGGAGAGCGACATCTAAGATTTTCTCCCAACCAGAATATAAAGCATAGAAAAGAACAATCAATCGCCTGACGATTAGGGGTGAAGCATAGACCAAACCCCAAAACCTCCACTCCAGCCTTTTATAAACGCCAGTACACCATTGCAATAAAAATTCAATGCGGCGGGGGAAAACCGGGGGTCGTAGATCGCTCATGCAGATCATCATGCAGAGAGATCTTGTCTGTATCAACAAAGGAAACCAAAAATAATGTATTGTACAACTGAGTTCGACAGTTTTCTTTTGAAGAGAGAATTCGTAGGTATGTGGGTTATTGAACATCGGTTGTCGAGTCATTCCTCCGACTTCTTGATGGACCAAGTGAATGAGAGCGACTTGACTCTAATCGAGTCAATAAGGCTGCCGAGGTAAAATCATTACTGGCCTCGAACGATGGCCGAACACGATCCATCGAGGCACGTATCCTATCGAAAGACGGCCTAGCTCTTTCGATGGTTGGGTTAGGTATGTCGTTCTGGGGATTGAAGTTGAATTGATCGAGGGATTGTCGATGGCGTGTGAATTCCGTGCCGTCGCTGCCCGTCTGGCTTCGGCCGTTGTGGGTAGCGGCAGTTGGTGCAACTGAAGGAGGGTAAATGGGTCGTTGGTCTTCATCAATGCTCGGATAGTAGGCATGCTTACTCGGTTGGGGGGTATCGGAGGAAGTTGTAGAAGACTCCTTAGATGCCGTATCATCGGAGGCTGCAGGCTTATCAAGGTAATCGAAACGGCCTTGTCGGACCTGTTCCCGAATAATATCGGTGTCGTAGGGAAAGTATACTTTTTGAATAAATTTGATGCAGAACCGGGGAAGAAGTGCGAGAATGACGGAAATGCAAGTCACCGCCCAGAAAGATGGCTGAGCAAAACATTCAGCGGCTGCTTTGTAAAGGAATGCCGAAGCGGTGAATGATGAATAGACGCCGGTCCAGAACCAAACAAGGAGTATACTTATGACAACTAGGAGGACCATAAGCCAATCCCATCTGTATGTATTGAGCAGGATGTAAAGGTTGATCGCTATAACCGTCGCAGGTGCAATGTAGATGCCGAAACGTTCGCGACTATCGACATTTAAACCATTATAGGTAACGGGACTGGCAACACGGAAGACAAGCCATGCTACGAAGAAGCAGATTACTGATTGGTAGAGTCCATCGAGCATATAGAGCCTAGAACACTGTTAGATATTCTGTTTTGCAAGTTAACGATCGGTCACGTACCAGAATTTAGGTTGTGTCCACTCCTTGCGCTCAATACCACGCCGGTAGAGTTGTGGAACAGCGAGGGAGACCTTGTCGCTGACGTCCTGGTCGAGAACACCCATGAAAATTACAGGCAGGGAGGTGAAAGCCACGTTGAACAACACGATGTAGCTATAGTCGTAAAGATAGGTCATGTCGAAATTGCAAAATATCTGGTACCAGAAAATCGTAAACGTCCAGATAACGTTCTTGTAAAAGAAATTTGCAATGGTCTCTCCGATTCTGCGGTACGACCACCTTCCGTGAACGAGCACAAGTCTCTGCAAAAATCGAAACTGCCCAATGGCGTAGTCTGCTGACATGACCGCTTGACGTCCTTCCTCTCCAGCTATGCCAACTCCTATATCCGCCTCTTGGATCATGGCAACATCATTAGCTCCATCTCCGATGGACAAAGTCATCACATCAAGGCCGCTCTTAACCATCTGGACAACGGATGCTTTTTGAGCGGGACTGACACGACAACAGAGAACCGACGTGCATTGCTTGCATAATAGCAAGAATCTTTGCCGCAACTTCGGGTCAAGAACGAGCTTGAGGGAATCGCCATCGATAACGATGGCATGGGTTGGATCAGGGGCTTGGTGGTTTTTCTTGGCAGCTTTGAGCTCTGCGTCCGATCCAGTGATGTTGAACGATGCAAGATGCTTGTCCAGCTCAGCCTCAGCTGTAGCTAATTGCTCATCGTCAATCTTGAACACGATGAGCTCCATATCGTTGTTGAGGAGATTGCAAGAGAAGCCAATATTAATTGCCGTCTCCACCTTGTCACCTGTCAATACCCACAGCTTAATTCCTGCTTGCGCAAGGAGGGCAATGGTATCTGGGACACCCTCTTGCAATCGATCCTCGATAGCGGTACCTCCTAGCAAGCTCAAATTTTGCTCGATCAAGTCGGACAGAGCCTCCAGCTTCTCCTCTCGGTCTGAGATAGCTGCTGCTGCGATTTCGTGCTCTTTGTTCCACTTCTGATATTCCTCTTCGCCAAGCTCCCTCTGAGCAATACAAAGAGTCCGCAGCCCCTCCCTTGCAAACATCTCCAAGTGTTCGGCGGTGGTCTGGCGGAGCTCTTGTTGCTGCCCGGGTATCAGTCGCGAGTAGATAATACTATCAGCGCCTTTGCAGAAAAGAATGATCTTGTTATCTGGCATCCTGATAATGGCGCTCATTCGTTTTCTAGTTGAATTGAATTCAAGAGTATTCAGGACCTTGTAATGCCTATCTTGTCCTTGAACATTTAAATGGATTCCGTCTTCTGAGTTTCCGAGGACAGTGTAGCCAACATCTCTAGCAGTAGCAACCAACGCGGCTTCATCAGGAGACTGGGCTTTGAATTCAATCCGAGGGGGGTCGCCAGGAACGGTTTCCGATATGACGGTATGACATAGTGCGAGAGCCAACATGAATTGTTCGTTAGCCTGCTGCTGCTCTGGGGTCGATTCTCCCGCCATGTCAGCAACAAAGTCAGGGGCAATGAAGGTTATGTCCTCATCATGAAGATATGGGTTGTCATGCAGCGTTCGGAGACCAGCCAGCATCTTTGTACGGGCCCGGGCAATTTCTTCGCGTGCTCTGGCGCCTTCTGTCTCAACATCCATCCCTAGCCGCTTTTGCATGCCTGCTTGCGCTTCGGTATACGCTTCGCCGTAAGGAACCCCGTTGATGGTAGCCTTCTTGAATTCCATCACGTTCTGAGTCAAGGTCCCAGTCTTGTCGGAAAAGATGTACTCGATTTGGCCGAGATCATCCGATATATTCCATGACTTAGGGGTGCACGGATAATCGAGCTTATCGTAGTACATCTGAGTGTCGCTGTAGATGAAGAATGCCTGCAAGGTCTTGATAATTTCAAGTGTGATATAGAGTGCGATAGGAACCATGTTTTGGAAGAGGATGAGAGCGGCGAAGAATGTGATGAAGCCATCCATTGCAGGGTTGTTTCCAATGGAGCCAAATTCGAACCAGGCGATGGTATTGGTTCCCTCCCCCCATATGACACCTTCGATAATGGCTGATACGAGGCACATCCCCACGAGGATCACGAAGTTGTAGATAACGTTCCAATTCAACTCCCTAGATATGCGAGAGCGCTTACTAGGTGTGATTCCGGCATTCATCATGATCTTAGTATCGAAACCTGTAAAGACGACCACACCAAGGACCCAATCCGTATTCCTCAGATTGCAGCCTCGCAAAAGCATGTTATTGATCGTTATGGGTTCGGCCATCTGCTCCCCGGTGGGATATTGCTCCCACCGTGCAACAGCGCTATACTGGTAAAGGTTGGCCTGAGGAGGTTCGCTTTCGATGCTGAATTCGGTCCGCTCGCAGTCCCGCGCATGCTTGACCTTGCGTCCACTGCGAAGCGCGTGGCGTACCTTCAAATTCGTCTCTCCGTCCAAGTTCTTTGTTTCCACGTAACAAGCACCATCTGGGTCGGATGTAGACAAGATCACTACATCAGCGGGAATTTGGTCGTCATTATATATTCGCAAAAAATCGCCGACCTGAACATTTTTCCAGTAATCTTGGTGGAATCGGGGGTTTCCCGTCACTGGCCGGCTGGGATTCATCACATTCCCAAAATCCCTTGAGATAGGCGGGGCCTGACCTTCAAATGAAAGAGAGGTCGAAGGGCGGCCTTGGGGTTGGAGACCATCTTGGTGAGGCAACGGAGACGGAACGGGTGTCATCTGAATGTCCTCACGTGCAGATGCAAAAGACTGCCTCTGTGTATGTGTAGAGAATACAGACGTCCTCCTTGTTTCATTTGACACGCGGGACTGGTCCATAGCCCTTTCGGCATATTTCTTAGCTGGACCATCCTTACTCTTGCTGATCTTCCTCCACGTTGAGGTAATACCGCGTGTCGTAGCCTTTTTAATCCTCCTCCACATCGAGATGTCATCTGCGCTGACATTGACGTTGTTCCAATCGACCAATCGGTGGACCGGGGAGTTGTTAAGCTCATTGTCGAGGACTGTCCGTCTATAATCCTCAATGGCGTCCTTTATAGCAGTTGCGACCACAATGACAATCAACGGCACGGCATTGAGTCCTGGATTTGATGCGCCGAAGATGCTGAAAAACTAGAATCCAGTCAGCGAGACCCCGATGGGATTACCTATCCATGCTTACAGCTAAAATAATAAGGAACAAGAAGTACACGTTCGCGATGTTGTGGAATTGATACCACAAATTCTTGGGAATAAAGCTGAGCGGTGTATACTTGGAGGTCCTAATCTTGTTCCTCCGATAGTGCTTGAGTGGTTGGCCTTGCTCATCAACATCTTGCGGTGCCAAGGGCGTGTTGAACATAACCCTTCTCGGCCCCTGGTTGTCCCTATCGTGGTCTGGATCATCCGCGGGTTTGTCGTCTTCTGGTTCTTCCTGGATGCCACCGAGATCCGTGACGGCCGACTCTCCACCGCCAGAATCCCGCTTCTTCTCATTATGTGCACCCCTGTGGTGGAAACGGTCAATTATTGACGTTCGTTTTCGATTGCCGGTTTTTCCCTTTACTCTCTGTGTCGCCCATCGTAATCGCTTTGTGGGCAACGGAGCCTCCTCGGGTTCCGCGAAGGAAGAGATAGCCATGTCGAGAAGCAGCAGCTGTGGACGCGCGAGGCCCTCGCGGGGAGAGGCAATTCAGCCCCCCTACTTATACCACGCCAGCCTTCCCTTTGGCAGGTCTCCGGTGAAGTGGGAAGAGAAGTATGTACCTCGGCGCTGGCGTCGTCCTGTCCTCAAACCGGTGTCGACGGCGGATTTGGTCTTGAAGCCGTTGTAAGGGGTCAAGGAAGAGTGGTCGAATCTGGGAGATTGGGTCGGCTGGCACTTATGCTCTTGGCCCGGAACGTGCGGATCGCGCCGGTAAATGTGTACAGCGGCCGCTTTGGTTTCGAAGATGCCAGCGAGTGGCCAAACAATGGCCAAATTGGCTCGTTCGTCGTGGTGCTGTCGTCGCCCAAAACCCGTGGGTAGTCGAGGAAGATTAGAGTTGAAGGAGAGAGCTGACGGGGTGTTCGATGGAATAAAGTTGGGGTGAGTTGTCCTTGTCAGTCCTAAGACCTGCTGGGCGAGTCCGAATTGCTGGGGCGTTCTAGCGCAAATTTGGCTTATTCATACCACGGACTTAACGAGGACAAGAATACGAAAGCATTCGGACAGCAATGTGCCCGGTAGCCGGCGATGTGCAAACACTTATTTTAATAATAACTGGGGCGGCGAGCAGAAGTTTCGTGGTGGCCCTGGATCCGGATTGGTACTGAAGCAAAGAGAAGCTTCTCAAGAGCAGTGCAATGGTGTAGGTGCTAACAGGTGGCAACAAGGCAAAAAGCTAGCAAACAGTACCTATCAAATAATAATACGCTGCACGAACTACGAAGCACTTCGTAATACTGTACATGTAACAATCCAGAGGAGCACAGCCGCAGGACCAGGCAGTAATATCAACTTGACAGCAGCACGGTGGATAATAATACTGGACGCCGGCGGAGGAACGGCGAGGAATCACACTTGGTAATCCAGGATTCGTCGTCGTTTCTTATGCAAGCAGCGGCTGAAGGATCGGGTTGCTGACCGATGCACAACACAGGGGCCCGAAGCAGTTAGATCTGGTCGTGAGAGTGAAGTAGTCGGTACGAAGTAAAGAAGTAATATAACTTGCCACGAACCTACAGTACGATAAAGCGAGTAATGAGCCCCTATGAGCCCCTTACGAAGCACCCGGAGCCGATGCATAGTCCAGATCGCCTCTCGAGTGTATTCCGTACAGTAAGGTACGTTGCCTTAAGGCCTCCTTACCTAAGGTACTTTGTACATGTACTTCCTTTCTTTACGTACGGGGTAGAACGGCAAAGGAGACGAGCGTGGCGCAGTGGCGCAACCGGGACCACGGGTAGGGAGGCATACAAAGTACTAACAAAAGCTGCTAACAAGTTGCTAACGAAGTTGCTAGCAGACTCTACTCTAGACTACTGATCCACTCTGTAATAGTACTAACCAACGGCTTTGTCAGATAGATGCCGAGCTGAAGATGGGAGTGCGCCTGAGGTACGGTAATCGTCCAGTCATAATGAATGATATTCCTTTTCGTTTTCCTCACCAAGAGCTGGAGGATCTGACTGTAAGCCACGAGGTTCGACTTAGCCCCATCTTATAATTGCACAGCCTAGGAAGCTTATATTTTGCACCTGCCCAGAGTAGATATAACAAAAAGAAATGTGGCTAGGCTATTTAATAATAGGGGATACATACTTGTACACCAAACGGTATCCGTGTTGCAGTATGATGTTCTGTGATTGATAAGAGAGAAGCCATCTCAAGGCCCCCTTTATTATTATTCGGGTGGAGGCCCCAGCTGTATGATCCCTACACACGAATTCGTTTCCCTCTTGGCACACCTGCATTTAGAACACAGTTGCATCACCAACACCCCTCCGGAAGTAAATGTAATTATCCTAATCGTCCGCACACTGCGCACAGCCCTCCCGTTGGCTGGCCCTTGTTCCTGAGAAATCTCAGAGCCAGCGATCCAAACGGCTGGCTCAAAAACATGAACATTCTCGACGAATCGCACCGGACATAAGTATCTTCGGAGCTCTGCTTAGTGCCGAAGTAAATTATGCCGGCACTCGCAACGGACACTACACGGCGACTACACATGTCACAATCTCCTTGACACCATAGCGCAGTGACTGCGGTACTCTCGCGGGGCCGAACTTGAGTACGAGCACTCCGGACAGTACGCCTTGAAAAGGCCGAGTAATCCCAACCCTCTATCAATAGCGCCCCAAAATAATAGGGGCTTTCGGCCATTGCATCATGAACCCGGTATGTGTTGGTTGAATGTCAAGGTCAAAGGCGCAAAGAACCCGTTATCAGGCATGTTGTCAAACGGCCTTCAAACAAGGAGATGCTCATAGCGGGGGGACACAGGAGCTGTTCCTTCGGATGTTCGTGTTCCCTTATGAAACTGGCAAAAGGCCGAAGACCTCGGAGAGGGTGTGCCAACTGCCTGGTGTGCATCCGAATCCTCATCGAATTTGTGAAAAGCGGATAATAATGCCATGATTGCAATTGCCATGAACATGAAACAAATGGAAAGATTTATTTATCACCCGAGAATAAGGCACAGTACGGTACACATGGCGTCCTGGGCTCGAGACGGGGAAGCGAGAGCGATAGCGATAGCGGAAGCAGTGGCATCACGTGCTCAACGCGTCCAGCGCGACTTTGGTACAAACGCAGAAAACGCGCTCACCAACACCATCATGGGCCGTGCACCTTACCATTGTTGGCCTACTTCAAGGCTTCATGAATTGGTAGAAAGAGGGCTTGCCGTTTGTTCGAATGCAAATTCAAACCCAGCCCAGCCCAGCCTAGTCCATTGCCGACTCTGAAATTAAAACATGTCTAGTAATACGCTTAGAACCATAAGAGATTTCTTCAGACCTGCACAAGCCCCAGCAGGACAGCCATCTACACCAGGCACCGCAGCCTCACCGGCTCCGGCTCCAGCTCCAACGGCTTCAAGCGCGATAGTCGGTCCACCACCACATACCTCCAACTCTAAGAGGGAGGCGGAACTGGCTACGGAAAGGCCTACGTCCAGTCTATCACCTCCCCCAAGCAGTCTCTTTTCAAGTCCATTACCACCACCAAGGAAGACTGAACTACCTAGCGTTCCCGGCGATAGCTCATTGGACAGAGAAAGAGAAATTAAAGGCTCTGATGATGAAGACTCGGATTCAGACTCGTCCTTCCCAGAGCTCTCCGCGATCTTTGGATACGGGAATTCCGCAAAGCCCCCATCTTCAGCGACCACGGCCACTGCCTTCACACCATCCACGCCCACTACGTCAAGAGTCAAGAAGGGGCCTTACAACTTCCATGTATCGCCACTGGCAGTACTTCCAAAATATAGGTTTGATCTAAAGTCATTAATCAGCCATGTGGAAGCCGACGAGGCCACGGAGGCTAGCTCCAAAAGAGTCAAGGCGATGTTAGCAAGTTCAGGAGATGAAGATGATTCTCCCGTCTTTGCAAGTGAAAGCCATGTCAATTCGACAAACCTTGCGCCCGGGGGGTTATTAGAATCCGTCGTCGCCGACCAAGAAGAAGGGGGGATGAAAAAGGTCACACGTGCTCTGATGAGGACTGAGGCGACCCATGTGGAGAAACGATGGTACTTCTTCGATACACAGAGCCAGGCGCCAGTTCATCCGAGATCCTCTTTTCCCACGAAATCATTACCAGCATCATGGAAGAAAGAATTATCCAACCCCAAAACGCGAAATCAAACATTTATCTCTGGCTTCGCCGAAGATATGGTTTTCTTTGGAAAACCGCTCCCTGATGAGATATTGCTATGGATACTTGACGAGGTGTGTTTCGAGCCGCGTGAGGCACTTCGGACTTCCTACTTGAGCACAATAAAGGAGTCGCGAGAGCAAATTGGACGATTAGTCACTCCCGACCTAGTTGAACGGGTATTTCAGAACCTCGGAGCGACCGCAGTAGCAACTACTGTCACAGAAGCGATGAAACCGAGTCTAGGGCTCAAGGACCCTTATCCAAACCATGACTGGGCAAACCTTCGTTCTGTTGTACGATTCTTCGGCCGAACTGCAAGACAATTGCGGCAAAAGTCGAGAGAACATATTTTATGTCTACTTTTACGGATGAGCGCAGATCATATCGTCTGTAAAAGTATCGATATACTTAACGTATTTCAAGATGCAATAAGACGGTTATGTCGGTATATCCCTGACGATGCTTGGGAGACTTCTGTAAGTACCCCAATGGATTCTCGGAGACGCTACTAACCAGATATGCAGTGTCACGCTATCTGCACGTTACTGTTCAACACTGCTAGACAGGCGCCTCTTCGCCTTCAAATCGTTGATTCAATACCATCGATTACACCAAGAACACATGAGCTAAGGAGAAGATTGGCTATGTGTTTCTTTTTCAACGACCTTTCTCACTCCTCTACCCCTCCCCATACCGCCATAGATCTCAATTGGTTCATCGATCGACTTGAAGATCCGGCTTTCGACACAAACTCTCGCACCGACTACCACGAGCTTTCAGCCCTAGTATCACTCTTAGATATAGCTGTAGATGACGGGAGATCCGTAAATGTAGACCTGACTGATAACGAAACCGCCCAACGTTTTGATGATGACGTTGACGCCTTAGTCGAGGCTATCAGAGAGGTCATGCGATGCATTGGGAATCCTGGAGCCGCATATATCTCCAGAATCGAAGCAAAGGAAGGACTAGAACTTGTCAGTCAACGGATTTCGGACACGCTGCGAACTAAGCCTAAACGGAGAGCTATGCATTTCGATAACCCTCGTGGGAAAACCATTGAGGATCTTGAAAAGGAGAAGGCTGGAATGAGTGCATTTCTATCGAAGATGAAAGGCAAGGTTGATGCTAAGAGTCAGAGTTTAAAATAGGTATCCTGTTGTGGTAATGATAATGGCCTAATGGACAAGTTGCGTCCAAAGACTTCAAAAATTCGCAACAACGCTCACGGATCGGATCATTTATCATACACGATCTACATGCTCTAACGTGATATCTAGCAAATTGACACTGCCTACTTTGGAGGCCTCGCCAAACCTACAAAAGACCCAACTTTCAATCAAGCAATCAATTAGTCATAGAATCTCCTATTCTCGTTCTTTCCAAACAAAGTTGTCCGTATCGATGGCAGCGCAGTATCTTCCAGCAACTCCAGTCGCTGCTCGAAAGTATTGTTGATATCAATCTTTCCCCCGCCATCCACAATCGACAAACCACCAGCACTGTCACCACAAATTAGCATGTAACTCCTCAGTAACGCCAGCCAGGCAAGGAGAGACTCACCCTCCCTCTGGCAGCGGATTCGCCTCATCGATATCCGCCTCAATACCCTTCCCCATCTTCTCCTTATACTCGGCGCGCGCCTTCTCAATAGCCTTCTTAATCAAGTCATAATCCTTCTTCCGGCCCCGAACCAGGACCTTTGGCTCGTTCAGCGCATAGAAGGCCTCCAGCATGAGATTCTTAAGCACCACCGTATACTTCCCCTTATCCTTCGTCACGTCCCCCAGTTTCTTCTGTGCATCCTCGAAAATCGCATCAAGTAGCTCCTGTCTCGCGCTCAGGACTTTCAGCCGCGTCTTGTTGGCCAGCGTCGAGTGTGTGATTTGCTGTGACATCTGGGCGGATTTGAATTTCTTCTCGTAGGTGGTATCGATGGCGGAGGTTTCTTGACGGACGAGCTTAGATTTCTCAATGGCGAATTCTTCATCCGCTTTGATTTCGATCTCGCGGCCCTTTTCCATGGCTTCTTGTTTGATGAACGCCGTCATCTTCTTGAGCTCCTGTCCGACCTATAGCATGGCTTGGTTAGCTGGGAACAGTCTTGGGTATGGGGGGATAATTGCCTGGTCGTCGGACAATGCATGGCGTTGTGACATCTTGGGCGGTTGTGTGTTGGGAACTACGGCTGGATGTCGAGTTGCGATGTTGAGTTGAGGCAGCTGGAGCTTGAGCTGCGATAAGAGCGAGCAAGGCTGGCGAGCACGCGGCGAGGTTCATAAACGAGCCGGGTTAAGATCACATGACTAGCTACATTTGTGTACCTACAGTCCACCAGCACGTAACCATGATCGGCATCTTGCTATGATATTAATAAATGACAAGTTACATTCTGGAATCTTCATACCTGGCCTATCTATTAGTGTGACCAAAAACCAAGAAATCATGGGTACTAAGTTCTCATAGGCCGAGGGCAGCTGGCCAACGGACATTCCACCAAGGGGGTCAGTTGGAACCGGGGCATGACGGTGTGTCCAGACCACAGACTAGAAGCTCTTAGCTAGACTCTCATAGATATCAACACCTTTCGCAATTCCACAGTTCAAAATCAATATAATCCTCTCCTACCTGTCCCTCGCAACATCTCCCAAATGAGTCCTGGCGGCGTTGGCATTCCGTGATGGGAAATCTAGGCGATTTATCGCCAGGAGGAAGCGTAGCTGTGAGTAACCATGCCAGACATGCATCTGCACCTCGACCTAATCTGGCCACTCATTAACTCATCTGCCTTCTACAGATTGGAATTCTCGTCGGCCTCCTATCCACGAGCGTCCAGAGCCTAGGTCTGACCCTCCAACGAAAATCACATATCCTAGAAGACGAGAAAGACGACCAAGATGTGCGCCGACCACCACATAGGCGGCGGCGATGGCAGCTGGGCATGGGCATGTTTATCATTTCCAACCTGGTTGGGAGTACCATTCAGATAACGACGCTTCCACTCCCCGTGCTATCGACGTTACAAGCTTCGGGGCTGGTCTTCAACTCGATATGCGCCACGCTGATTCTCGGAGAGCCCTTCACACGCTGGTCTTTGGGAGGGACGATCTTGGTTTCAAGCGGGGCGGTGCTTATAGCGATCTTTGGAGCAATACCAGAACCGGCGCATAATTTGGATCAGCTATTGCAGCTTTTGGGGCGCCGGACATTTATACTGTGGATGGTTTTCCAGACGATGCTGGTTGTCGGGATCATTATTATAGCGGGAAGCCTCGCCAAATTCCCCAGCATAGCTGTAAGCCCTCGCATTCGACTTTGGAGGGGATTGGCATATGGGTGTATAAGCGGGATCCTTTCGGCACATTCGTTGCTTGTGGCTAAGTCGGCCGTGGAGCTGCTTGTCCGGACCATCATCGACAGAGTGAACCAGTTCAACAGGTGGCAATCATGGGCTATTCTCGTGGGACTTGTGACGCTGGCCCTCACACAACTCTACTTCCTTCACCGAGGCCTCAAACTTGTTTCGACGAGCGTCCTCTACCCGCTCGTCTTCTGCATCTACAACATTATAGCCATCCTCGACGGGCTGATCTACTTCGACCAAGCTGATCGCCTTCCAGCCTTATACGCCTGCCTCATAGCACTCGGCACAGCAATCCTACTCTCGGGCGTCCTGGCCCTCTCGTGGCGCCTCTCAGACGAACAAACACAACCAGCCGTTGCCAAAAGCGCGCTTGCACCTGGCCTCGGGTTTGTGGAGGACACCGACATGGATGAATCATCCGACTCCTACAACGCAGACGAAGAATCCTCCATAGGAGCAGAACACCGAGCTCTCTTAAACGGCGAGCCTCTGACTCCCACAGCCAAGCTGGACACAGTGCTAGGCGCCACACGAAACGTCCGCAAACCCGTCCGGCTCACGGAAGCGGACGAGATCTGGAGCGAGCTCCAAGATGATGACTCGAAACCCGGATCTCCTAATACTACAAAACGGAGTCTATCGATGACCACCACACCACAGCAAAGCACAAGTCAAGAACCCCCGGATGAGACGACCTCCCTCCTCCCCTCGCATTCCTCCCACCGCCGCCGAAGGAGACGCTCAACAGGCTTCCCGGGTTTTACCGCGCGCCCTTCGCCGCGTACTCCGAATAAGAGACGCGCATCCCGCCAATCCCAAGGGGCAACCGGCGGGTTCTGGAAGATGCAGTGGTGGAAGAGAGGCGGAGGTGGTGGGAAGGGGCCTCCTGATCCTGAAGATGGCGGGGGAGTGACGTAGATGCGAAACATTAGGATACTATGAAGAGACAGGAATGCTAATTTGGGGCTTTTGGAGTGGCATTATCACCTGCTGTGTTGGAATTGTTGCCCTGCACCTCCAACTGTACATACCATTGCACAACAACCTCATCTCACGGAAATCAACTCATCCACCCAAATGCCCTCCTCCTCTTCCTCCTTATTCTTATAGCATCTCCTCCCAACCCATCATCACCACCAACATCCTCACCCACCATCCCTCAATATAGTCCACAATACCACAGTAGCATTAGAACCCAAAACAGGACATAACGGCGTTTCCAGCATTTCACAACCAAGCCACGGCATATGGAGTTTTTCTATTCAGGGTGTTTTATTTGAATTTTCAGGGATACAGAGGCGGGGGAGCGTTAGCTAGGTTAATCGGGTACTGCATTCCTATCTTGCGGCTTAGGGGGGCGGGCAAGGGGGAAGGGGGTTGATTAGTTTACTTGTCGGTGCTTGGACTATCTAGAGATATAACGATATACGAATCGTTTTGTAAGTTGAAGGGAGTAAGCGGGCGGGCGGGTATGCTTTGACGAGAAATGTTCTAAACATAAAAACATAAATATAAATAAATAAAGTCATGCTTCAACCTGCTGGTTTCCTTTTTTTTTTTTTTTGGCGTTGTTGAATCATAAAGTAAGTGTCTACCGACCTAGACGCGCGTGCTTTGTATGTATGTGCATGATACATCCATCCATGCATCTCCTCCACTCAGCACTGCAGAGATATCTAACTCTAAGTGCGTATTCTCGCTCGCTCTTCCTGTCCCATTCTTTGCCCCCTTTAGCACCCCCTAATTACCCTCATGAAAACCATGAAATGCAAAGACTCTGATAACTGCTCTGTGTCTTTATTTTTATACCACAGCAATTAATATACTTTATATGCTTTGCTGGGCATTTTACATTCACTCAACATAGAAGGGGGGATAAATCGTGTTATAGCTAAAAGTTTTCCTAAGATGTAGGATATTTAAAATTAAGCTAGTTCCATCTGCGATGCTTTTCTTAGGAGTGAGCATGTGTGAGTTAACTCTAGGGGATGGATAGAGGAGTTTGACGGGGATATAATAATAAGTGCCAGACAGGAAAGAACACACGGAACGATATTACAAACCTGTTAAAACAAATGCTCCACACCAGCCCCTATTCCCATTCCTACTTCAAGTCTACAACTGGCAGAATTTCACAGCATGCAATTATCAACCCACAGTAGATAACTTGGCAAAAAAAAAAACCCTATTATCGATCTTTATTTGATAATGCTTCGCATTTATTTCAAACCGCTACCACCCGATATTCAGACCCGTGGGGCTGTCTGTACTGTACAAGATTCCGCATGAGCAAAGGCAAGAAAGCAAAAAGATGGAATGCGTGTGTGTATGAGAGAGGGAGAGAGAGATGATGATGATGATTTCCGCGCTAACATGATATGATGATTGATTGAGCTTCCTACCACTACGACCAACCCCGAGTCCCGAGAAGGTGATGGATGATGCAAATCAAACCCCGCAAGGTGAGAGAAAGAGAGATTTTCCATGATGACTATTTCTCGTGGTTCACATCGCCAAGCTCAACTCCTTCCTCCGTCAGCAAAAAGTTCATTTCATCCGTCCCATTCATCCTCGGCAAATCCCGTCGTTCCCAAAAATTCCAGAGATTGGTCAAATCCTTGGAAAAACATTATGTGATTATTTCACCCATGTAGCCTCAACCACCAATTTTTTTTGTCAGAGTAGAAAAATTCGAGACAAGACGTTTCTGTGCAAGCAAAGCTAATTGCGAGGGGCGAAGAAAATAACAGAAAACCCATATGAAGACACCCAAACACCATCAAAACCAGTATACACGGGGGGGGGGGTCGAGACCTGGAAGACACGAACGGGGGATGGCGCTCTAGTATTATGTGTCGGGTATCAGTGTTTCAAGCCAGGCCCGGCCCCTCCTTCGCGTACTGGGATCTCCACCCGACACAGGAAGCGATTATGCTTGGTGCGAATGTTGTTGTGGAATGCCGGCTTGCGGTGCCATCGGGTAACCACCTCCTCGTTGTTGCTGCGCAACGTAATTTTGGTATGCGAGCGCCTGTTGCTGCTCGAGTGTCTGTGGCATATAGCTGGGGTGCATCTGCGGATTTTGTTGTGGCATTCCGGCGCGAGGTTGTTGGGGAGGGAGGTGTTGCGGCGAGGGTTCTTCGGGGGAGTCGACGGTATTTTGATCATCGACGCCGTTCTCTCCGTTGCCCGCAGGTTCAGGAGCATTCAAACAGGCCTACGGCGCGTTAGACACACGTATAATGATATAATGATGGCGCGCGCGGGCGCGCGCCGATTGAGACATACTTGAATCAGGTTCTTGCCCTCGGCCTTGGTGACCAGAGGTTGGAGCTTGGGGGTCGTGAAGGTATAGACCAGGCCCGTCTCTGACACGACGAGGAGGAGGACTTGCGTGCCGGTGAGAACGGATAACTCGTAGGCCTACCGCGCGCTGTTAGCAACGACCATTTGTCCACATCGATCGCAGGGTCGCGCCAAAGGACGCGCCGACGCGTCGCGAGAGGCAATTGAGACTGACCTTCTTCATAATACCGGCTTTCCGCTTTGAGAAAGTGATGTGGCGACGCGACTTGTCGGTGATGAACTTGATCTCGATCTTTCTGCGCTCGCGACCGGGCTTGTCATCGTCATCATCATCATCGTCGGCAGGCCGCTGGCGCTTGATGCCGCGGGCATCTGGGATAGAATTGGCATTGCCGGCGGCGTGCTCCTCGAGGGTGGAGGGCGACGCATTGTCGTGCTGGTCGGTGATGTCGGCCATGTTCATCAGAAGTCTGTCAGGTATGACGAGAACGACTCTTTTGAGAAGGGTGCCGACGGGGCCTTACTGCTTATGGGGATGGGGGGGGTGGTGTGTGGAATATGGGNGTGTGGAATATGGGGGGTGGGCGGGGAGTGGAGAGGCAGCAGCAGCAAACAGCAGCAGCAGCTATCCAGCTTCGGCTTTGGCGGTCGCAGAGACTCGTGGGCAGTGGGCGGTCGCGGTCGATTAAACCTGGTTCGGGGCGACTGGCTGGGCTGGGCGGGCTGGACAGGATTAAGGTTGGCGTGGGCGAGGGGGAGGGCGAGGGTGTGGGTGCGGGTGTGGGTGTGGGTGTGGGAGACGGGGAGTGGAAGGGGGAGAAGCGAGCAGATGAATTCGGGGAACGGCGCCTGAAGAGCGGAGGGCGGAAGAGGACGGTGGTAGAGTTACTTCGTCCTGGTGCTCGAGTACTACTTCGTCCTGGCGGCACTACTCCACTACCCAGTAGGCACTAGGTTAGCAGATATGTGCTCGGTGCTAGGCTCTAGGCAGTCGGTGCGATAGGCTTGTCGGTGGCAGCAGCCGAGTGTTTCGCGGCGGTGGAGCGCAAGTCAGAAACCAGGCCCCGGGTCGAGAGGGCGACACTTCCGACAGGTGCAGCGTGCGGCGTGCGGGCGTGCAAGTAGCGATAAGGGGAAAGATCAGCTACAACAGCGAGGCCGTTAGTGAAGTGCAAGTGAGTGAATAATGTGAGTGAGCAGTAGATTGAGTGAATGGAATTAAATGACGGATCAGGCAATTTGAATTGGGGATGTAGTGTGTGGACAAAGTAGGGGGGACGGGGCGCCAGCCAGCGAGCGAATGAGGGATTGCAGGGAACAAGAGTAAGCAGCAGGAGGAGCAGGAGCAGGAGCAGGAAGCAGGAGGCAGGTGGGTGAGGGGTTTGGAGTCGGAGTAGCGGGGGAAGAGAGAGAAAGGAGAGAGAGGGGGGTTCTGGGGCACTGATTGGGGCACCCAGTGGTAAAGTGGTGGCGGGTTGCATGCTGGAGAGTGCGTGCTCAGTGCTGGAGGGTGCCCAGAGTGCAGGCCCCGAACGCCTGCAAAGCCGTGGGCTTAGGGTCCTGGAGGCCCTGGAAGCCCCCGAAGTAGGGGGAGGGACTGGTGAATTCCTCCCCCTAATAGCCTCTCTCCCAGCACCACCGCTCCAGCAGCACCAGCAGCACCACCACCACCTATCGGCACGCGCCCAGGCTACAGTTGGTATGTACTGAATTGTACTGTCTTGTACATGTGCCACCATCACCACCACCCACCACCACCACCACCCCGGCACCACCAGCAGCACACCCTCGTCGCTCTGAGACTTCAGATGAAAAGATAGATGAGCGCATGCCCCCGATAGTGCCCAGTCGTAAAAATAGAAAGAAAGAGGCAGCAATTTCGTGATCAGCGAGCCTTATCAGATCAGACCGAGATCAGATCGAGATCCCGACAACGCCTTCGCCCCTGGCATTGCCGTGAACGAGAGAGGGCAACTTTGCTCCATCGCTCCCGTCGCGCATCAAACCATCGCATTTTGATGCCGCGTGGGTGCGGCACTGGTCGCTTCCCCGGGGCCCTCGTAGCTCGCCCCTCCTGAGCTAACTGACCGTGCCGCGGCCGCTGCACCATGAACGCGTGAGTTTTGGGGTTTCGGGTTGAGGATTGATCGACTGCACACTGCAGGAGAGTTGGTTTGATTGCGCCGGTGTGGCAGGTTGTAGCGGTCGGCAGCAGGGCATGGATGGTGGATGGGACGGGGTGGTTCATGGATGCAATAATGGCGGCCATCTGGCCTCGACCCTCCGCCCATCCATGCATTTGGATTCGGTCCCCGTCCGTTCCCCAGAGACAAAGCGACAAAGCGACAAAGCGACAAAGAGACAAAGGGGGGCTTTTTGAGGGCCAAGCCGGACCGTTTCGTTATGGCCACATGTTATGTGCATGTACATAGTACTGTAGTAGTATGTATGTGCTGCTGCAACTGCAACTGCATATATAATATACTACTGTACTGTACTGTACATACATATACTGCAGGCCGATAGCGACAACCGGCTTCGGAGAAGCACGGAACGGGGGAGGAGGGGAGTAGGGGAGGAGGAGCAGAGAGAGTAGTGCATGGGAACGGATTGGAATGCAGCGGAATGCAATGCGACAACAACACCACAAGAGCAACAACAAGGAAAGAGGCAAAATGCAAAAGAGCACAGAGCAAGGAATGAAGAGCCAGGCTGACCGGTATAGATAGATAGAGTGCTTATCGACGTACCTCAAGTATCAAGTACCAAGCAACAAACAACAAGCAACAAGCAACAATGCTATAAAGCTATAAGCTATAAGCTTTGCCCTATACCAAATCCCGATACCGATCTCCCGCGTGTGTGGCCGGCGACCGATGTCTCACCGGAGTTCGGGACGTAGAGCTGCGCTGAAGGGTTGGCGTCCTGGCAACTGGCGACTGGACAATCAACTCCCAATTAGTGGAGGGCGCAATAAAACGGAGTTTCAACGGGTTCTCCAAGTCTCGAGTCGAGTTCGAGTTTCGCGGACAGGGATCGCTTTTGTGGGAGGAGGGAGGCGGATGAACGTTTCGACGCGGCTCTCGATGCAAAAGCTGTTTGTGGCCAAGTGGTTGCTGTTTTGAGAGGATAGCAGCACCTTTAAAGGATAGCGCCCACCACACGCTTACGAAAGCCACTAGCTAGCCGCCACCCAGTTAGCGTGCGGGGCTGCAGTTTCGCCGATGCCCCGCGGCGTCGAATGGGAGGCCGCGGAATTCGGTTAGTCATCATTATGGAGGTGCTGTGAGCCTCTGAGAGCGCGTTGCAGTACGGAGTTACTTGGTACAGTGTACTTTGTACTTTGTACAGTGAGTTATACAGGTGCCCGGGTGTGCTAAGGTGTGCAAGTCCTGGTACGTGCTACTTTGTACAGAGAAAGACGTTGAGTCCCGTGCAACGGAGCTCCAGGAACGAACCAAAGACTGTACTGTAGGCTGTAGCGTGTTATGCAGATGATCTACAATCTGCAATCTAGATATGTACTGTAGCACTGTACGGGGTACGAAAGTGCTGTACTCACATTTCTATTTACATTATCCGCATTCACATTCACATTCACATTCACATTCACATTCACACTTGCATGCCCAGCTACAGGCTCCAAGACAGTGACTCTAAAGTGACAATGGCACGTGATGATATGAGCACTTCGTGGTTTCTGCCGGGCGGTGATGTGACACTGCACAGCCTAAGAGAGCCTAAGGAGTACCGTAGAAGCAACCCCCCCTATCTTCACCAGGTACCCAGGCATCCAATCCATGATTTGGTACAGGAGGTCTAGATATAGATTATTTGGATCATATTCAATAATTAAAGCAAACATATTTTCTAAAACATAATATTATTCGCTTTGATACTTTCTACGAAGTATACATCATTGCAGGTAGTACCTAATCAGGTAGGGTCTCTGTACATGTACCTACCTAATCCCTCATACCTCACGTGGATAATAAGCCCACCAGTACATGCCAAGGCTACCATCCAAGCATCTCCGGCCCCGTCCGAGCGTATCTTTACGAGGTGTGCAATCAATCCATTAAGATATTAAGATGAAGCCTCTCTCTTACCCGTACTTCCTGCAACAACAGTACACAGTACACAGTACATAGTACACAGTACATAGTACATAGTACACAGTACATAGTACATAGTACATCGCACAAAGCCATGCCCCCAATAAAGCACAACCTAACCCAACCCAACCCCAGGTACCTAAATATAGCTCTCCTCTCGCTGCCTCACCAACTTCGTCAACGGCACTCGTAGATTCGAACCGTCCATGCGCAGCCAATCAAGCGCCAACGCAAACCCACAAAGTGCGAAATCCACAGGCCCGTGCCAGCCCGAGATTGGCGGCAAAGCCGCTGCCACTTTCAGACCATCTTGAGGCAGAATCCAAAACGCCCAATGTTCTAGGACCCCGTCCCCCAAGCCCAGAGCCGCGACAATGGCGCGATAATGCACTGCAAGTGTTTCCTTTCTCTCTCCTACTACGAAGTACTGTCGTAAGCTCTCGAGTCCTGCATTACAGTGTCTGTCGAATCTGCCTGGCCGTCCGTCCGTCCGTCCGTCTCTCGCTGGCTTTTGTTTCCCATGCATACTCTCTTTTAATCCAGATCCAAACGTTTCATTCATTGCCCTCTCTTTTCCTCCAGTTTCTTCGGCCTGGTAGAAGGTTATAGACGCCGGTCGTCATTAGAAGTGCTGGAGATACCCTAATCGACCGATTCCCCTCGCGCAGATCGATCGATACGATACCACAAGACGTTGCCCAAGATGCGCGACAACCTTCTAATCGGATATGTGGTGATGGACGTGCTATTCGTGACCACCGGGGCCCTGTTGATTATATTCGCCTTGATGACAGAGGCAGAGATGGCGAAGGAGTTGACGGCCGAGACGGTGGTGCAGGATCTACTACTGGCGATGTGCCCGCTGAACGGTATGCCGCTCCAGCAGTACGCAAGGTTGCCCAAATACCCTCGATGCTAACGGTACAACAGCCGCCATCGGTAACGCCGTTCTGGTCTTCATCACATTCCTCCTCTCCGTGCCCGCGATAGTCATGCCAGGGACTCGAGGATGGTTGAAAGTCCACGGATACATGACGGTCGTGTGTGCGCTCTTCACGATGATACTTGGTCTTAGCATATGGTTCGAAACTCTGGAGACGAGGAAGAATCTCTCCAATATCTGGAACAAACAAAAGCCAGAGGTTCAAAGTTTGCTCCAGGTTCAGGTATGTCCCTCCTAGGGATGCTCTGGTTCTCCACGCAAATGCTAACAAACCCCCGCTAGCTCAATTGCTGCGGCTACATGAACAGCACCTCCCCGCCCTTCGTCGTCGACGCCACATGCCCGAATGGCCTCGTGGCCGCGGCGCGCGTTGGGTGCGTCAGCCCTTACTCCACCATCGCCAACAACTTCCTCGATCGAATCTTCACGGGCGCCTTCGGTATTGTCGGTATCGATGTAGCCCTCGTCCTCGCCACGGCCATGCTACTGAAGGACCGAAAGGAGAAGCAGAGATACCGGGCCATCGACGAGAAGAATAGCGGTGGAGGGTTTTAAATCCCCTAGCCGTGGGTGGGATGGATGGACTCGAGAGATAAGAGCTGGTGGAAGAGAAGAAATCCTGGTGGTTTTTCTGTCTCCTATATATACATCTACATTTACAACATTTTTTGTATATTTCTATTGATGCGCTACAATTATAGAGTATAGGCCCATCATAAACCTATGAACCATGAACCAAGAATATATATTTGCAATCCGCAGTCCAATCCCTGCGGTTATGTAAATCAAAGCCGTTCGCGGTTCCAGACGGGAATTGCTTCATCCACGCCTGATATATACAACCTTCCACTCATGATTTGCGGCAAGTTAGCATGCCGGTTGATGGCTGATGCATTAAAGTCCTGTATCTCTAACATCTTGCTCCTTTTCTGCTCTTCAGACCAACTTTCCTTACCATATATACACATCTCCGCCCACTTCTCCCCCATAACTCTCAATATCACTTACTACAAGGAGCGAACAATCAGCAAGCAGATTTGCCAAATGCCTTTAGGACCAACTAGCAAGCTAAGTCGACCCCACCAAACACATCTATATACCTCGGGATACCTGTCGAAATACGCATCCAAAGCACCGCCACTGTATGATATTACATTACACGTCGACTGAGCACCCAGTACACCGCCCGAAGCCAGCTAGAGCACTACAAGCTACAAGAAGAGCATACAAACGCCGTCGACAATCTCTATAACCTGCTAGGTGCTAGATCTAAGGCTGATAGTTATTATGTCTATATGAAAATGATATCGAAGCCGGTGGTGAATTTCAAAAGGTCAATAAGGGATATGGAGGGGGGTCTCGGTCTTCTATCCCGGGAATGATATCTAGGAAGACGCCTACCCCCTCCTGCCATTGTAGGGGCTGGGTGTAGCTGGACTTGGATTGCCAGTCCTGCCTACGACATCCACAGACTGGAAAGGGGAATATGAATATCTCCGCCGATACAGCGATCACTTGAGCGCAACGACAGCTGTCTCTAGGACCTCACTGGTTTATATTCGGAATTCAGCGGTTCTCGTGCTCTTCACACGGCGAGCCCCTATCTCTACCCCCATTTCAGGTTCTAGTGGTGCCCTATGCACAGCCAACGCATCCCTAAGGTAGAGCAGCCAGCTTGTTCCTCTGTGAGTAGGGAAGAGCTTGCCACTCGTTTACAATGCTATGGCGTGCCAGTGCTGGGACTAGATAAGTAATGCGGGACCATGGAAAGCATTTGCACCTCGGTTGAAATGAGAATCTCGATGTGAGTGCTGGTATGAATGTTCAGCTGTTGGGTTTGAGTCTTTGACAGCGGCTATACCGTGGGTTTGAGCGTTGAATGAAAGGTTGAAAGAAGGTTGATAGTCTGGAAAGGTTGAGAATTGAAAGTTAAAGAGGTAAAGCGACTTTTAAGGTTGAAAGTTGAAGGTTGGAGGATGAAAGCTGGAGGTTGAGTGCTGAAAGTTGGAGGTTGAAGGTTGAAGAAGAGAAGGTAGGTCGAGTAGCCCTTTAGGAGTTTAAACGCGCCCTAGAGGAGGCCAAGGTGTTAATAGATTAGAAGGGACTCCCTATCCTTTGTTACTAAGTATCATAAGTGTAAACGGTTTTAAATAGTTACTAATAATAATAAGAAATTGGTTTACTAGTTATCAGCCTTGTTATACCTTTCCTCCTTGCTTTAGGCTATTTAAGCTAACAACATCTTTTATAAGCGCCCTTTATAGAGCTCCCTTCACATGCATAACAAGCAAGTTTTGTCAGTATTAGTAAAGGCGTACTTATTAACGCAAATCTGCATCATACCTAGAAAAGGCTACAGCCGGGGAAGAACGATGGCCTAGTAATGGGCTTGATTGTGAAGATTGTCAGGTGGGTTCACAGAGCGAGGCGTATCGTCGCCACAGATACCTATTCAATAGACCAAACCAACAGGCAATCTATCATATGAATCAAAGATCACTACTAATCAATATCCTCGACTCCAAACCATAGCTATTCGTTATTAACCCACGGTACAAGAACACGCCGCAGAGCAAACGGCATCCCAGCACATCCAATATACCCAGCAAAGCGCAGAGCATCCTCATACCGTCATACGAACACAGCTTCCCCCAAGGTACGCAGCTGCTCATTCTCCGTTTAGTCCCCTAAACCCAAACACGCCGAAAGGTAAGGGTCCGAATGGTGTGATCAGCTTAAGAGAGAAGCTCTTGTAATCTTCAACCTTCCCGGGTAGGATATCAGGGCGTAGAGATGTGAATGCTAAGATTGAGTATAGCTGTTCCTCGGGATATAGAGCCGCATGTACCTAACTGTCGCCTGGCTGTCCTGCTTTATAGTTGCAAAAAGTGTCTTCTGGGTTTTAGCTCTATTTTTACCTCCAAGACAAGATATAGTACAAAGACTGCTAGGCGGACCCAAGAATAAGATCGATGTGACGAAGCCTGAAAAAACGGGTTACACAATGCGAGGATGCTAAGCTAGCCATAGTGAAAAGTAGCGAGATGATCTAGATGAAAACATCTCAAAAGGCCGGGAAGTGATCAAGTTGTCTCTCCTGAATTGACGCCGTCTCAGCCCGTAGGTCTACTGTCGTAATAATCAACTAACTCACGCTGACGGTCTTAGGTAGAAGAGAACGATGACTATAGTGATTACGACAATGGACAATGTTTTAGTGAATGCTGGGTAGAGAGAGATGGGCATTTCATCTTGTTGTGCTACTTTGGGTCGATGATTCGTCACCTTGGACTTGGAATTGGAAGGAGGGCATTGGGGGAAATATGCCTCTTATATCTTTCGTGGCCGAGTCAGATGCACAGTATTGGCCGTGCCAGCATTTCCTAATAGTGCTTCCAATCGCCTGTAGGAACTCGGTATTAGGAAACTCACCCTTTGAGTATAGGGTATGAATTTCTTTGTCGGTTAAGCCGTTGTAAGGTGCGTGTCCAGTCATGATTTCGTACAGACTGGAGCCGAACGCGAAGAGATCGCCCTGGACAAATACGAGGGACCCGGGGTATTCGTGACTAGCCGTTACTGCGATGGGGAGAGGAGATCCGTCTATAGATGATCCAGCGAAGTCGGCCAGCTTAGCGTTGAGATTCTCATCTAAGAATATGTTTTCACGTGTTAGATCTCCGTGAATGACACCAGCTCCGTGGATAAAATTGATCGCCTCTGCAATCTAAATAGCCCAGCGCAATCGTTGTCCGAAATCGACGTCATGACTCTTGTTAAACGTGTGGAGGTTGCCTTCGGGAGCGTACTCTAGGCGGATCCCCGACTCAAAGATTCCGTGATAAGATAGTATTCCTTTATGACCTCCGCATGTAACAAATCGTTCATAGACCTGCCTTTCCCTCGATATGAGGCATACGCGCTCCTGGTCGAGAGAATCAAGAGGTGTCCTGATGATTGTCTTGGAGGGCTCATCGAGGACGACTAGACCCGTAGTTCCCCAGGCAACAACATCTTTCAAGCCGAATCCTGACGGGTATTGGATGTCGTCTGACGACATTTGGAAGACCGCAATGCTCCCCTTTAGAAATACTGAATGAAGCGGGGTTTGGCTGCAACTGCGAAGAAGCGATTGCTTATCGCCGGTACAAGAACTGAGTTAGCTGGTGAGGAATAGCGAACAATGGCAGGTAAATGCGATGGTGTTGAGCGGACAGGTTAATAAATGAAGAGCGGGGGGTACTCGTATTGGTGACAAGCTGAGAAGAGAAGTAGGAAGGGAAGATAGATTGATCACAGGTAGACTACCGGGAAAGCACGTGTCAAAAGAACTTGTATTTCGTCAAGCTTTTTCGACGGCGGACACTGGAAGTATACCATAATTTGACTTGATCCGATGGGCTGCTTCCAGCCAACAGAGCAGAGAAGAAATAGGGGGGTCGAAGCCTTAGTATTCTTAGTCAGCCCTGCACATGCTGACTTTTAGGCGCCGATGACAATAGCTTATAGTCCCTCAGAACATCACTCTGGCCTGCGTTGCTTCACAATTTTTGTCTCGCTCGGTCCCAGCTAGGAAAATAGCCGCATGAGCACATCGTAAGGCCTTTCAAAGCGCAAGATGGATTACGAGTGTGAGGAAGAAGAACGGTTTTCGACGCCACTGCATATCGCAGCATCGTGTAGAGACGCCCCGGAGCTCTCTCGATTGTTGAGTACATCACATGAATACATCAACACCCGGGACCCTTGGCATCACACACCACTGCATGTCAGCGTCCAGAACAGCGATCTCCCTTCCGTTAAGCTTCTTCTTTCACATGGTGCAGACCCAAGCCTCGAAGTTCCGGATCCTTACGGGTACTACGTTGATGGCTCGAATTCGCTGAGCCTGGCTGCGTCCTTTGGATATGTCGAAGTTCTAAGGGTTCTAATAGAAGCGGGCGGTCCTGTTACTTCGAAAGTGTTAGGAATGGCTGTTGAAGGGGGGAGATTGGAATGTGCTAAGGAGGTCTTGACTTGGGTTATGAAGGGGAATGGGCGAGTGTTTGATGATGGAGTGGCTAGGGATGAGGGTGTTGGGTACGCGTTGCGGATTGCAGCTGCCAATTGGAGAACCGAAATAATCGAGGTTATGCTCAGACATTGCAAACCAAGCAGGTCGGTAATGGATATCGCTCTCCTGGAAGCACTTGTGGACATCGAACGTTACGATGATTTCCATGTCATCAACCCAGTTTCCAGAGGGACCGTCCATGGGATGAAACAACGAGTCTTGACGGTTACTCTATTGCTAGATGCTGGAGCAGATGTTAATACCAGAGAGAAATTATACGAGTATGAAGGAATACCGCTTCTTCATCAAATTGTTCGAATTGCGAGCGGAGCGGAACAAGCTTTCATGGCCAATATAATTGGCGTGATGATAGGTGCTAGATCAGATGTTGATACTAGAGGGCAGCAGCTAGCCGGAATTGAAGATCTTTGTCAAAATGTTCGAATGGGAGGAAGAGAAATATTTGCCTTGTTCTTGGAAAGAGGATCGGATGTGAATTCTACAGATGGTGGCGGACGCACGCCGTTATTTCAAGCTATTCTGGCTGACGACGTTTATTTCGCCCAACACCTTATCGAAAAAGGAGCTGCCATAGCCCATTCTAACAATGACGGACTTACGCCACTACATGTTTCAGCTAGCAACGTTACGCCCGCATGTTCAGCAATCATATCACTCCTCCTCGATAGTGGCGCGTCTCCAAGTGCTCGAACTCCACAAGGCGAAACCCCACTAGACTACGCATCTCACTACGGGAACGCAGCAGCAGTGAAAATTCTTCTCCCCATTACCCCGACGTCGATCGATGATAAAAACTCAATGGATTAGACATTACTCCTCTTTACGGGTAATAGGCAAAGAACGACACGATAAATCGAAGTCTTGAACCTGCTTCTTGCCCACGGCGCGAATACCAACGCGTTCGCCGCACAAATCTACATAGTTCTCCACTGTGTAGTCACATCTTACACGGATCGTGTTATTGATTTCATCCCATTGCTTACACTCAACTACTTAATTATCTATTTATATAATCGAGTTAAGTTAGGTTAAGTAATGAGCTAATAATTGAGGATTCAGTTGAGAAGTGAGTGGAAGAGACTCTTCAACTCCAATGGGTTCAATTCCTTTAACACACTGGTCAAGAAGTAGAGTAGTAGCTACAGAATCTTTCATTTCTATTCCATGAGTTTTACTTTCCTAATTACTCTCTCGTCTCATAACCATCCCNCCCCCCCCCAATCCAACGCCCAAGAAAATCCTAGTACCCATACAAATTCAACGGAATTTTCCCCCCTTCAACTCTCCCATTCGCTGTCCTGAACTGGCTCCCAGCAAACTCCACATCCTCTCTAGAATCCTTGATCTCGTCGAAAATCTCCAAGAGACGATTGTATTTCACAACATTCTCTCCTCTGGTGGGGGCGCCGGTTTTAATATGGCCGCTGCGGAGGGCGACGGCCAAATCAGCGATGAATGAGTCGTTGGTTTCTAAATGTGAATGGGAGATGAAGACGCCCCAGTCGTAGGAGAAGGCCTGGTTGGCACTGATTTTCTTTTATATTAGCGGGGGCAAAAAAAGGCTGGGTATAAGGGGGGACTCACGTGGCAAAAACCTCGCTCAGGGTTGGAAACTGGTCTAAACTAATCCGGATGCCATTACACACTCCCTTTGCTCGGGCTTCTTGCATCCTTTTATGAGCCATGGTCTCGCAATCCACAATCTCCACATACTTCCATGCTCCCTCCTCCCTACCTTTCTCAGACATGACATGCATCCAGCTTTGCCACTCGTCTTCTGGGAATGGATCCTCAAGAAGGGCGATGGGGTACTTAGTCATTATGTCATGGTAGATATTTAGTTTCTCAGGAGTGTTGAGGGTGGCTGAAGCAGCATTGATACCCATGGAGATTTTTCCTGTGTAGCCTGCTGTGTGGATCGCTGTGGCGAGAAGGTGGAGGGCTTCAAGGTGGGGAATAAGAGGCAGGGAGAAAGACCCCGAGGAGGTCGTGTGTGTCGCTATGCCTGTCAGTACTTGGAAAGTGGTGTTTAGATGAAAATATGAGATAAGTCACTGACCAGCCGCCCCTAGCTTTTCTTCCAGAGCTTCTCTCAAACAGCGATAGGTCTCTGAGCCCATCCGTATAGCATCGGTCATGTTTGATGCCCCTACTGGTGCAATGCTATATTCCAGCCCGTCACTGTCCAGAACAGTGAAGAAAGGGACGGGCATGATATATGGAGCTTTTGCAGCTGGCGCCTTTTGTCGGAGGAACTCATATAAAGGAAGTCCCTGGGTGAATCAGCTGGGCGTTTTATGTATCTGAATTGGAAAGGGGAAATGAATAAGCGAGGATGAAAAGGGGTAACAAACAGCACAGGCAGCACCCGCCCTCGAGCATGCGATACTAATTCCCATCATCTCTTGATGCCCTAACCTGTAGGAACTCGCTCCAGTTTCGCTGGCAGCAAGCTCCTTCAGAAATCTATCGATCTTGTTTAGATCCTGACCAAGGTCGAATTTCTCCTTGATGAGCAAGGGCGCGATAACATTGTCGATATTGTGGAGTGCTTGGCTTAAGTGTTCCTGATTATCACTAAATGAATGAACCACGTGCTCATTTCCAGTTCCTCTTATGGATATGAGGGAGGTGTAGATTCCTGGAATAATATTTAGTACGATGATTATTGGAAGGGAATTAGTGGATGTTGTCAAACCATTGGAAGTAGAGAGTTTTATTTCGAGAGCTGGGCCTCCGCTTGCACCTAGGCGTTGGGAAGCCGTTAGGGATGTAATGTATGATACCATAGTGCTTGGTGATTTGTGTTAATTGGTTGAAGGTCGTTAGTTTGTGGAGGATAGTGGAACGGAGTTGGAAGCCATGGAATGTTGCACGGTGGGTTGAACGAAGATTATATACTAGAATTGGAATGGCGTGTATAAAACCAAGTTATGGGAGGATTTTCAAGGCGGAGGCGCGTGGTAGGAAGCGTACGATGTTTTCTGCCAAAGTGGTCTGATGTTCGACGTGCAGCAATCGAGCGGAGTTTCTCAAGCTCGGTTCCTGGCACCTCAACTTACTCATATAGTTATCGCAGGACTCTCGGGGGTAGCGTTTTCCGTACTATCTGATGAGGAGATACAGCTTAAATTGAGAGTTTGGTTGCGGTGGTGATCAGTACGGACCGTACCTGTGAGGGGAAACCTGGTGTTGGAAGGGACTAGTATTGCTAAGTCAGCCGTGGCATACACGTGGTATATTGACCTCGGCCCTTGAGGATACTTAGATTAATTAATTCGTCGTCGTTATCTATCACATATCGATCCGTTTCCAGAGTCGTAAACATATTACCAATATAATCGAAAATTTGTGCTGCGATACAACGCATCATGGTACAAAATGTTTGGCAAAGTATGATTGCCGGGCGAGGAGCTTGGTCCATGGAGGGGTTGGCTGGTGACAGGCGGGGATTCTGAGAACCCAGAATTGCCCGCCTTGTGGACAACATTAAATCACAATGCACCCCACAACTCCAACTTCTACGGCAAGAGCAAGCTAGTAGAAAGTCGTATAGCAACAATGTCCCACCTGTACTACGGTCAACTTCTTATGCGTTTAAGCTCAAAGATAGATTGGCGCATTGCGCTTAGCACTCAGAATCTAGACTATGAGGTCATGAATTTTCCGCATCTCGCTTATTCCCCCTATTTCTACCAATTAGGAGGGCGGGGCTATTATTCCTTCTCTACAACACTGATTTTCTAAGCAAACCTAAAGTCTTAGTCGTGACTATTTCCCTCTCTTTAAACTCCGTTTGCTGTTAATGGAATTCGAAGGGCATTACTGTTGATTCTCAATGCTATCAAGGACGGCGGCCTTATCTGGTGTGTTAAAATGCTACAATTCTCCCTGCACGAGCTGCCTCGCTTCTGGCCCCCTTGGCTTGTTCTCTTTCCATTGCCCAGATTTTTAAAAAAGATAAGAGCCCCTAATACCAGAATGATCAAAGAGAGCAGTCTGCGACTCGCGTTAGCGTACTGAAGCGTCACGATTCGCTTGGCTCGAAAACTTGCATGTTAAAAGCAACGGTGACAAATATTGGAATCCGAAACTATCTCCAGATTGGCATCGGTATCACCCTTTATAGTAGGGAGGGTGTGGAGGAGGTTATTCGCTTTTCAAGAATATTGTATGTGTCTATTGTCCATATATCAAATTCAGACTTGCCTCACGAAAGCTTTAACACCACCGAGCAAGATATAAGACTGTTCCGAGGCAACGAAGTGACCTCCTCGCCCCCTCGCCCCCCTCTTCTCGCTGCTCCTCTATCATAAACCTCACGGTAATGCTCCTTGGTAACTGTAGACGGTTGAAAAGACATAACATTCAAACCTGAAAATGCAAAGATAGAACTTAGAAGGCGAAAAAGATATCTAGTCTAGGTCTAATTTCCATTTTGGTCTGGGGCACGAACCGAGAGAATCATGCTGCCATTTCCCCACGCCGGTGCCTGTCCCATCACCGTTCCATCAGCTCTAGAACAAGCATCCATGATTTGACCAGCACCCCGGGCAACATCCTTGCTGTAAACACATTAGCAAAAGCGTCTTTCCCAGAAGACTTTTGAAAAATGCCCTCACCATGGCGACGAAATCGTGGGTAGGTTGGCACCGCTTCCAATGGCCATTCCGACGATGATTGTGTTGCCACACCTACGGAAGACCGTTCCGATGGCGTTAGTTACACACTTCAAATCCAGGGCGGCTAGTTCGTTGATGCGTCTTGGGTCTGGAGATCCTGGGTATTAGTAGTGCAGGATTGGTATATTTTGGCGTTGAAGGCGTACTGATCCTCGCTCCCAACCTTTAGGATGATCGTCTCTACAGTCAGCTGTGCGTGTCTCGAGAGAGCTGGCTTCGGCAAGGGAAGCAGCTGCCAGGAGGGACTGGATAGGAGCTGCGAGATTGACCATGGTGTTGATTAGCGGTAGCCGAGAATCTAAAAATCGTGGAGGTTGGAGGGGGTGGTAGTCTGAGCTATGAAGAGTATGAAGTGTGATGTTGAGTAGGATACTGAGTATAGAAGTTGAGAAGAGCTGTTCAGTGTTTATATATACTTAACTATTATAAGCAGTGTAGAAGCTTGTCTACTTACTTGAGCCGCTCGTACAAGCAATTAGTCTTGGAGAAGACCTAATTGGTGCGCCCGTACAAGTAAGATAGACTCACGGATACAGTCAGCTTCTCATTGTGACCATCAGCCGGTGCGGTTGTTGCGGTTTGTACTTCACAAAACCTTTCCTTTCTAAGGGTACGGAAACTGCAGATCCTTCGGTACATTGGTACAACACCAAAATTATAGAGCCGCTGTATGATCAGTGGTCACTATAGTAAATCGTTCCTCCGCACATTGTAGTCTCCCAACTACACTACACCTACTGTCACGCCTAAATTAAGCTACTCGCACCTCGCCGTCGAAGTTTGCCTTTACACCTAAAATGAATTGCCTGCATACGAATATGTCTTCTATTAATTCCTTATTTAGTATTGTCGATACGGTTCTTGATCGTATAGCTAAAGATCTTATAATTAATTAGGATTGAATTTGCGACTAAGACTTCCTCGATGCCTATTAAGAAGGAAGGTACTTCTTCACTGAGTCCTTTAAATCTAAGGATACATCTATTACCTCGGGCCTAATAGGGTCCTAGACCCCTTCTTAAATCTAAAGCACAATCGCGTAGATTGTTTTTATTATACCTAGGTACTATATACATGTTATAAATAACTTCTATTCGGTGCGACGGCAAGGTGTGAATAGCTTCAATTTGCGACTCCGAGGGAGGAGAGAGTTAATATGGTGCACATATAGCGGCGCTGTAATTTGGGGGTTGTACCATGCTACCGAATGATCCGCATTTTCCTAACCATTAGAAAGAAACACCCTTCACAGGAGCGAAGTCTTCGTATATTGATTATTCATTGGCTGATTGATTGATTAGTTGGTTCATTTATACATGGTTCCAGCCTCTAATACGGTGGTTATGCCGGAGAAAGCAGATTTATCATGCCTCGGCATGGCCAGGACTCCCCTTCCAGCGCCTTCCTGCACGTGATCTGGCTTCTATATATAACCAAAAACAGACTTGTTTGGTTTGTTCGCCTTTCAATGCTTCGAAATATTAAATGTCAACTCCAACGCCACCCACCGGATATTCGTAGTTGCCGGCATCCGTTACGCCGGTGTTCCATCTCTAGCACAAACAAACGCCAGAGCTCCTGCATGGTCCATTCTCGATGTGTTATTGCCCTTAGCCGTTTACAAGACCACTGGATGACCGTTCTCATCCAGATTTATTCCGCCCGCCTTCAAAAATTGAGGTGCTCATTCTTGTTTTTCCTACCCGTCCATGCCGTCTCTGCAGAACTAACCAAACTGATATCGCTATCCTTGCTAATCCCCTCGACCGCCGTGACCGTGTCTGTGGAATTCTGGACGATTGGTGAAAGTACGATACTACTATCCAGACGGGATATTACAAAGCTGGGCTTCGTAACTGTCCGATGCTCGGATGAGAGCATTCCAAACCGGCGGAGGGTTCTCTCAATTGATGACTTCAGACAAGGCGTGCAAGCCGCAATCAGGCCAATCAGCTCCTCAAGTTTAGCAAAAGTGGTAAGGTGGACAGCTTTCTGTAGTGGGTCACCCAAGTACACATCCTTGAATGTGGTCATCTTGACCCCAGAGATGGCGGTAGTAAGGAGGCCCATTGCCATTAGACAACCGACTAATACCTTCTCACGAACGGGTCGATTTAATGTCCGAATCAGCTTGATTGGCATCAGGGCCAGCATAAGATCCATCGATGTAAAAATACCTGTTTATTGTTAGTTATTGGAAACCTGAGCGAGCTCTCCACAAGCCTACCAGCAGTGGCCCAGCCATATACAATTGTAAAATGACGGTCCCAGCAGACCATGTCCGGAACCGGCTCCCAAAACGAGCGTAGAGGGCGGCAGTTGAAAAACAAAATTATGTGCCAGCCAGCAGCTATGATAACATGTAGGATTATTAGCGACCACAAAGACCATCTCCAAAGTCTACTGGTGCTGAATCGCATTAGGGAGCACGCCACAGATATTCTGATCAGAGTAACTCCATTGGTCCAGCAAAACTGGACCACGAATCCGCATATTTTTATTGTCCTTCGATCCTCTGGACTGACGTAGTAGGAGGGGTGGCCCCATCCTAGAGCAGCAGATGCGGCTGAGAGGAGGAAGCTGGCGAGTGAGAATATCTATAATCGCGGTTATCAACCGGTCTCAAGCAAATATAACAACCGGTGTGACGGGTCAACTTACACCCGCAGCTGCGATCAGATAATCATCTGCGGTTAGGTGAGGTGAGGGTCGACAACGGATGATGATCCGCGTGACGCAAAGACAAGTTGCAATCACGCTGAGCACCCCGCACGGTATCAGGAAGATTGGCGCTATGTTAGTATCCGGGCCGGGAGGAGATGATGTCGCCATCCCGAATCGCAAAACGAGGAGACTGGCAACTAGTGGGGACTTCGTGCGGACTCCTGAGCCAACAAATGCCTTGATAAGGTGAGCGAGGGCAAGGGGGATGTTCCGAGGTTATTTATCTCCATCCTCCGCGAGCCTCGTAGTCAACAGGCGCAGACTAAGTACACCCGCTGGAAACAGAGAGCACCACTTCCGGACTCTGTACGTAGTATTTCGGCCGCTTGAGAGTTAAATGAAACTCGTCCTCTCGGTCCTCTCGGTGGCCATGGACGGCGGGCTTGTTTTGCGGGGCGCGGGAGACTGGGAGCCACGGCATCAAGGAAGTTGACCCGGAACCCGGGGAACGGCATCCCCGCGAGCCACCATGCGGCGGGCGCAGGGTCTGGGAGTCCTGGAGCCAGGAACAGGTGCCAATTACTAATTACTAATTACCGTGTCATCCTTGGCTTCGCGTGGTGAGGTTCCTGCTTATAGATCTTAGCGTAGCATTGCTGTGGCCTGATCTTCAAAGCTCACGTTGCATTTTGCCCCGAGGACGAGGTACACGAGTCGGAGGGAGGTCCGGTCTCCCTTTGGCGAGAGGATGGCCTGATAATTTAGTTTGAGGTCGGCCAAGTATAAGAATACATAGGTACCTCCATCGTGCTGCAAAGGTTTTGGGGTGGGATGGGTGAATTCTGATGTAAAGACAGCCAGCCATGAATGTTACTACAGTCAGTACCAGCTATTTCCGCCTTTGGTGTTCTCCGGGGGCACGAAGTACGCAGGTACGTATAGGGTCTGCTATGTACAAGTCTCAGAGACTCGATGGGATTCTGGAGCATAAATTTCGTGATCTAATCAAGGTCCCATAGCAGGCACAAGTACAGACCACCTCGAGGATTTGATTTTAGCGCAATGCCACCCGTGAAATGACTTGCAGAAAAAGAAATGCTCTATTTCAGCTATGCCACCATCCCGTTGGAACTACCACTGCTGATAGCCTATTAGCGCTCAACGATGTGTCCATTATTCACAGGCAACTAGCCACGGGACAATCCCATACATCAAAGACCACCCAGCCACCGTTGATGTGATTTGAAAAGGGCTTCAAGAGCCCAAGCCTCCTTAAACCGATATACTTGGCAAGCAAGCTGCGACCCTCTGCTCCCTTGGCAAGTTGGGATATGCCGCATATCGGCCAAGTCGAGAGTAGTCGAGGCTGCGCCCGAATAATAATGGCCAAGCTCTGACGGAGTAGCATCCTGGCATCTGGGTGTTGCGCCAGTACGGGAGGACCGGCGCGCCGCGGTCCAGTAAAAGAGAGCGTGCCGATGTCTGCTAGCGAGCAGCCGGGCGATGATTCTTAGCATTCGGGGAATCTCCGTGTGAGCCGGGCTTCCAGCGGATCAGAGCAATAGTCCCTCTCCTGAACCGCTCGTCCTCAGGACAGACCACCATGATCGTTACAACGGCCCCAGTCGGCGAGGATACAGTCAATCCGAAAAACGCAAGCATAATGTCGACGATGGATGTTAATTCGTGATCTAAATTATAATGCTTTCTTTTTGGTAGATCCTGCAGGAAACTGGCGCTTGCTAGGTTTGAATTAGATGCTGAAATAGGAAGTATAAGTGCTTTTACAACTATTGCTGTCTTGTTGACTATTGTTTTGAAGTTGGTGTGCTTCGATTTGCTCTGATTTGCTCTCATATCCTGGCATATGTTTCTCGGTTTCTCAAGTTCCTAGTCCTTTCTTTCTTTGTCTAGGGTTACATTTTACTCAACACTTTATTCATGTGCCTTCTAAGCTACTTGCTGTCCGTGCGTGGGGTGGTTTTGACATCACGAAACCCCTATTCAGGCGCCCTATGTTTGCTGGGTTCTATTAGGGTATGTCGCTCTCCCAACACGAGGTTGTTTGAAGCCTAGTCGATAGCTGATGATAATAGATCACTTGCGCCATAAACACTACAGTAAATAATACTGCCTATGCCACGGTTGTCCAGCTCCTTGAGCTCAGTACCGACTCGGAGTTCCATTTTGGGATCGTTAGAAACCTTTCGTCCGTTTTCTAAAACGGTAGGGACACCACGGAAGTCTTATTACGGACACCCCAAATTGAGCCTAGAAACTTCCAAAGCTTCGACGATGCCTCCAAACACCTTTGCAAATGGCTTATACACTGCGGCCTAGAAGGTGAATACCTACCGGGTTCCTCGAATCTGCCCTGATTCCTATTTCCGTGCTTTAGCATACTTCCGTACCACCGATTTATTTACTTATGGCAACCAGTTCGACTTTGGCCACAATTTATTCTGGGATAGCAGATCGCCGCCTTCGACTCAACCATGTTGTTACGCCTTGTTCCTAACAAGCGGTTGACACTAGAAACGGACGACTCTAACATCCCAGCGATTTTTCTCAGAGCCATCGGACTCCCCAACTACAGACCGATTATTATCATTAGAGGTTAAATGGTGGCCAGGAAGTGCTCCATAGCCAAATGGAGATACGGGCTCAATAGGCAAGTTTGGAAGTTATTTCATATGAGGGGCCTGGTCAATCGATTGTCTGCCGCTACTAGAATCTAGGGTTATCTTCTAGCAGAAGAAAACTGCTACTTCTCTGACTGATAGCTTGCACACCTAGACAATGTCAACAGCTCCGCCATCGCCTTAGTCGGACTCCTATTAGCGACCTTCTCGCCCTTCCGCCATCGTGCCTCAGCTTTCGGATCCAGGCCTTTCCGCTACTCTGCCATTTGATGATATTTACGAATTTGGACCATTATTTCCCCAGCAACTTCCTTTCGCTGTTCTATATGGCTAGATACTGGGTCGGGTAAATCTCGCATCTCTAGCGATAACTACTCTCGTGTTGAGGCGTTTCCACTTGATCTACTAGTATTATGTCGAGGTTTAGTTCGCTACTGAGTTTGCGGATGACAACGGCGATTGGAAACGAGCGCTCTTAGACGATGCTCCCTTGCAGAAGAGCTGAACGAGACGGACGGCGAGAGGGGAAAGGAAAACACGAAGGGAAAGGGGTGGAGAATTGAGTAGGAAGTGTACCCTCAATGTCCCTAGCTAGCTATGCCTAGTTGTTGGGGTGATCTGTTTTATGTCTCTGTCCGCGATCCATGATCCACGGTCAAGACAGCCAATTTCCAACTAAACAAAAACCTGATTAGGCCTGACATGCTCTCATCCACCCAGCCTTTCCGGTAGTATATTAAAGGGGGTAGCTCTACTTCTCGATGGTAGAGCATTAAAGGGGAAACAACGCATCTCCCGAGATACTCCGATTCGACATTGCCCGACAACCTGCCGACTTCCGTCCTCGTACTGGAATAAGATTCCTATGCAATGGCAAGGATCCCCTCGTAGAAGAGGTTTGCATATTGGGCACTATCAAGAAATGCGCAGGAATGATAAACATCGGCCTTTTCCAAGGGAGGAATAAGAGGCTCTAATAATGGTAGCAGGTACTCTATCAAAAAAGTTAAAGTCTCCGGAGTACGGTTCTCTCGGAATCCACTCTCCAATGTTGTACCTTCGACCGAGACTTGTAAGTACCTAAAATTAATTAGAAGTTGCCGTACATGATAGACCAACACTTACTAGAATGTTGAGATCGGGGTAAATGGTTTTCTGAATGCTAAGAGTCTGTATGCGCTCTTCCAGTGCTAGAGGTAGGAATATCTAAACGATAGCTTCATGAAACTTTTCAGGAATTCTTTGGAAAACGCAACGCTCTGATGCTGCCTGAGGTATGAGCATGGATCCAAACAGAAATTCGCGAAGAAAGAAGAATAAGAGGCCCGTCATTCCCTTTAGGTCGATCATGCGGAGGCACTAGAATCCGGGGCGGGGTGGTTTGGGGTAGAATTGGCACAGCTTTATGGCTGGAGGACAAGGGGTATCCCAAATCCGAAGGCCACTGGCCCGCAGGCAGCACAAGTCGTAATAGGCCGTCCTATAAACGGTACGTAAACTAAGCTCAGATAAAGAAGGGGGCTTGAAAGACCTTTAACTCTGCCATGACACCACGCAGGTATTCTTCATTCTCAATAATAAATGCAAAGCAACCATCATCGTCATTTTTGGAATTAGTATCCCCGTATAACCGCTTCACGCTTTTAATACCCCTCGACTCGATACTCAACTTCAAAATCCGTGGCGAAGTTTCGAGGGCTTTCTGCAGAGGCGCGTTCCCAAGAGGCAATTTGGCTAATCGGCTCCTCCGCTGGTGCCTCTACTTGGGCCGCTGAAATTTGTTCAGCCAACCCAGAACCAGCCATATACCTCCAGAATGTAGCATCAGCACATGCATCTCTAATCATCTCCTGGAAGGCCACATATCAATGAGTGCCTTCTGATTCACTTCCACCTTGTGGATGGTGAGTAAACAACCAAATGGGTGTAGGCGATTCTGGATGTTTGGGACATATACGCAAGGGCAGTATCACCTTGGGCGACGGTACCCTGACATAAGACACATGTTCGTGGGCTCCTCTATGAGTAGATTCTATTGCTGTAAACGATATAGATTTGAATGGTGGGGTGAGTATCCTTATCAAGTGCCGCTGTGAGGATGAAATTAAGACCGTGTCACTAGAGAGTAAACCTGACGCGGATGAATGTCCATACACAAGAGCGTGTAAAAGTGCCGGGTACGACAGGGACGCTGTTGGGCGAAGTAGACGCACCAAAACTTCCTACCTAGGCCCTAGGTATGTATCACACATTAGGGGCCACCAATTCCTTCGCGCTTGGAAATCTCCGTTTCCTCTGATGACCTAACCTACCATTACGAAATAACGCAAGAATAGCGGCTCAGGATCGGAGTAGCTGAGCCTGGTTGCCTCAGAATACGAGTACAAATATCAGCAACGAATGTTGGCGTATCGAAATGGCCAGCTTGTTCAGCCTTCGATTTCCTGAGTTTCCTCCTGCGTTCATGGCTTATCTGATCTAGATTGCACCCCAAGAGGCGCCATATAAATCTACATCATCAATATCGCATTCTGCTCCCCCGCCGATGCGAAACTATTTATTTACTACAGTTCTGATTGCCCTGTGTTATGCCTTCCCCCCTGATTTCTTGGACCAAAACTCTTTCAAATAACAACAGCTCTTCCCAAGGGGCTGAATAATAGCGTTAAAGCCACCTACCTCGGCATACGAAGTTCCACTCTAAAACACTTAAATTGAAGCTCTCCGCGACTTAAATGCAGCTGTTTGCCAGGAGACTGGGCTCAGGAGTGGCCACCTGATTCGAGCGGTTATCTATAGTGCCGACAATGAGGAACTGGGAGGTTCTAAGCTGTTCAACAAGTGTAGGTGAGATGGGAATAGGTTGAAGCGGGACTGTTTGTAGTCTACAGTATGCCCCTCATCCTCTCATGGAACTGGCAATTCTCCAGGATATATGACCCTCCACCCCATGGTCCTAGCCTACCGACATGTCTTCACCGAAGACCGATTCTGGATTTTCATATCCTTCCTTCCATTTCACATTCAAGATCGATAATGCCAGATTCCTATAGTCGACCTTCACCAGCCGCTTGCCCAATATCTCGCGAAGATATTTCCCCACTATATATTATCCCAGGGGATGTTTTTGTGTACGCTGGGGTGGGATTTGTTAGCGACGATGTGGGATTTGACGGGGAGAGATGCTCGGTTCCAATATTCTTTTGGGCTAATACTTGCAGAGCTGGTCTTGTATCCACATCTTTTTAGGATAGCCCATGTTGTGGTGAAACAGTTGAATGCGAAGAGTGTGAAGGCTGGGTGGTTGTGCTGGAAGGTGACTGTGGCCTCGTAGCTAGTCGTGGTTGGGCCATTTCAAGTTATAGCTGATGGCAGATATAAGCGCAAGACTACTTGTATTTTATGAGAAATGCACTCTGCGAATTGGCCCAATATAAAAGGTTGACCGCTTCGTTACAACAATGAAACTAAACCCGACCAGAAGCAAATATTGGGCAAATGTTGCGAACAGAAATGTATATATGTATTTATAAGTGTAATATGCACCCCGCTTCTAATTTTCCATACGGTCTGTCGTTGCAAGCTTGTACTCCGGACACCAATCATCAAGACTCAGTATATGTTCCTGTAAGAACCTGGTTGGCTGACTATAGAGCGTATTTGGTCAGTAATCTTATCTCTAGAACAAATTCAAGTTATTGTCCCGTTTGGCAACTTACTGCAACCCCAACGGATGTGGGTAGTCAATTGTCTCGACCGCAAAAGTCCGCGCAATCTCCATAGAGGGCAAGTTAACGCCTCCCTCAATACCTTCCTCGAGTTCTCGTTCTTCAAGCTCACTCATTCTAAATTCCATTCGGTATTAGCAGAGCTCCCCCAATACCTTCCCCTCGCGCCACAACTGAGGAACATGGGGTGCTCACCTATCAAAATACCATTGATCCTCCGGCTTTGGATCCGCACTCCACTCCCACTCGTCCAGGACCCTAAGCGTCGTACTCCTCTTCCTCAAGCTCAAACCCCCGTTGAACCCCTTACCCCAATTCTGATGGATGGGCGCGCCAATAAAATCATATTCAAAAAAGTCCTCGACCTTCCGCACGCTATTGCCGCAGAGCATGCTGTCCGATTGGAAGATAAGTATGTGTTCCGCGGGCGCGAGATCGTTCCATAACCAAGGCGTGGTAAGGAAATCCGAGACGCTATTCCACGAGGGAAAGTATACACCCTCAGCGAGAGGGCGGACGATGATGCGGCCGCTGCGTTGATGTCGGAGGAGCGCCGCGGATGTGCTAAAGGTCCCGAAGTTTTCGGCGGAAGTATATATAATGACCGGCCAATCGGGTCCCAAAACTGCACTGAATTGCAACACCAGCGGTACAATCCCTCCAGACCTTCTCGTCTCTACTATCACCGCCACTTTGTTACTCGTGCTCACATTGACGGATATGTTATCTTCGTTCAGGTTGGGGTCGGTTTTGTTTTTCGTATGTGTGAGGGAGGAGTAGTATTCGTAGAGGGAGAGACGGGTTCTCGTCGAGTTCGTCGAGTTTCCTGAACTCCCCGAGATAGAGAAGTGGAAGCTAGAGCCGTGTCCCGAGCGAGAGATAGCGGTTCTGAGGAAGATGACGACGAGGAGCAACCATATAGCAGGAAGGACCCATTTCCGTGCTTGTGTCCCTGCGATACTGGCGGGGAGTCGTAGCATCGTTGCGATGGCCGTTACTGCTGTTGTTTGGAAGAAGTTTGATAAGATTAATCTATCTCCACTTCGTAAGTGCGAAGCGTCTCACGACGAGATCGATGTCGACGATGCCTGCTGGGGAGGTGTAGGTACCTAGGGATAGTGGGAGGGCGTTGAAAACTCCATCGTCTCGTGGCACGACATCGAAGGGTCCGATAACAATATTTCGCACTGTCTACGCTGGATGGAAGGATCTCAGCTGGCTTTAACGCTGGAATGAAAGAGGCGTATTGCATTTTCCGGGCGGCGCATTATCGGTCGATCCTCCCGCTAACGGATGAAACATCGTGTATATTTTTGGATGTGGCTGGCTGGCGCACTCAGCTTGAGTTACGCCGTAAGGAGGCCAAAAGAGGCCACGATTAGTGGGATTCCCATATCTATCGGAGTGCTAAGGCGAAATACGAGTTACTTCGTTCAAGACGAATAGGGTGTCTTTTCTTGCTACCTCTTTGTTGTAGGGCTGATTGAATACGAGGTTTTGCGCTACAGGGGGATTTCACGCCGTTGCCCCTGCTGAGCAAGGATCTGTCTTAGGCGAGTCAAAGGGGTTGAAATTAGGGAGCTACTTACTGTATACCTACCTAGGTAGGTACCTAAATATTCAATAGATAGAGATAGAGCTGTTTCTCAGAGGGAGGTAAGAGTGAATAGGGATTGCTACCGAGTATGTTTCTAGTTATGTACTGTACCCGTTCCATTCGCGTGGAGATTTTAAAGCTACGTTGATACTTGACGAGGGATAGGATAATAGGAGTAAATCGTCACATAAACGTCAGTTCAAATCATCTCCTCGCCATAGTTGTGAATGGGTAAGATCTCGACTATTAAAATAATAACTTTTTAGGTTTCATTGCCTGTACACTTCAGACTTATGATATCAGCGTGGTCGTGTATATCCTGCTTATTACTTAACACACAGATCTGTGTATCCCCTCACTCATAGGTCTCTTCCCCCCCTTTCTATTGACATCATCAATATGTACAGTACCCGTGTGCATCTTTTCAGCTCTGGGATCTCTCTTTCTATCGAGAACACTAAGATCATCCTTATCATCATCCTACAAGTCATAATCTTGGGTCAGCACCATTCTAGGAATCTTTGACATTGCACGGCAAAATAGATAGTTCACTCACGATAAGATCTTGCGTCGCCTGGCAAATGTCTGCAATCAACCGATCCAGCAAATTCAAACTCATACTCTCCCTAACCACCACCCTAAGGATCTCGATCTTCTCCTCATTCGGCGGGAGGGGATAATTAGGAATTATATACTGCTTCGCTCTCAGCAAATTCGAGATACTACGCTGTTGAATATGCGGGAATTCCTTCTTGAACTCATCGCTGAATCGGAATGCCACGACAGGGAGACCAGCATTGTAGTCAGCGGATGTCTCTTTTTCGCTGCTGGTGTTGGCCTCGTTGGCGTCTCCCTGTTTGTGGACGCCCTTTTTGCGGTGGATATTGGATATGCAGGTGTACCAACCGGTGGCTTCGAGAGACTTTGAGAGGAGGCGCGCGTTGGATAGGCAGTTCTCCATGATTTGCTGGTAGCCGGTGAAGCCAAGATGCACTAGGTTGTAGTATTGGGCGATTACTTGGGCACCAGGACGAGAGAAGTTTAGGGTGTAAGACTCTTCTGTTCCTCCGAGGTAGTGCTAATTGTGGTCAGCGTTAAAGGTCGGGAATATTAAGGATGGATTATAAAAGGAGCAAAAGTAAGTTCATCTCCTTACAAGTTCGAAAATAAGATGCTTGGGAAGGAACGACTCATCCCGCCAGATTATCCACCCGACACCCGCATAGACAAGACCAAATTTGTGACCTGAGACGTTAATGGACTTGACACGAGGAAGCTCGAAGTTCCACCGTTGACCTCCAGCCTTGGCATGGGTAAAAGGGGCGATGAAAGCTCCCGAAGCACCATCAACATGAATGGGGATATCAACTCCAGTACGAGCCTCATACTCATCTAGAATTTTGGAAACGTCCTCGACAGGTTCATAATGGCCTGTGTAGGTGCTTCCCAGAATAACGAAAACACCAATCGTATTTTCATCAACGTTCTCCTTCACTAATTCCGGATCAAGTCTGAAGCAGCTCTTCTCTGATACAGGTAAGATACGGGCCTCGACCTCGAAATACCTTGCGAACTTCTCTAATGCCACTTGAGCATTAGCTGCCATGATGATGTTGGGCTTCGATGTGTCTTTGCCTTCTTTCATGCGCTTCTCTTGCCAGCGCCGCTTCATTGCTAAGCCGCCGAGGTGAATGGCCTCGGATGAACCGGTGGTTGCTGAACCAATTGCTCGCTCACCCCTTTGAACACCCCAGAGGTGGGCGAGGATGCTTATACAGCGGTCATGCAGTTGCATCATAGCGGGATACTCATCGCAATCCGCTATGTCAAGGATGGTATGTTAGAGAAGTAACAAGTGTTTGTCACTGAAGGGGCCGGCCATACATAGGTTTTTGGCGATATTTTCAAAAATTAGTTGCCGAGCGGGTTCTTCCATGTATGTGCCACTATGGGAAGTTAGCATTTCCTGCCCTGTTTCAGACAATAGGGGAACGGAGGAGAACAGAGCAGGATTTAAAATGGATAACATAAAATAAAAGGCCGAGTTAGTAGAACTAGAACAAAGCTCCTGTGTTCAATACGGTCCCAAGTTTTGAACCAGCATCGAAACTGGGGCACGAAAATAACTTGATGCCAATGAAGCGGTGGTTGGAAAGTGCTGAGAAAACCATGCGGTGGAAAATATAGAAGATATTCTTACACAAAACTATCTCCATTCATTAGCACACGTAGCCCCCACAAAACGGGACAGAATTGGAGCCCACCTAGCCAAGTTTAAGTTTGGAATACCGTCAAGATCGAGCTCATCCTTGATCATCTGATGAACTGCATCGGCTGGGGCACCATCGTGGGGGAGCTTGAATCTTGGGATCTCCTGCTGGCTGGCGTATCGAGAGGAGTATGGGGTAATGGTAGAGATGTTTTCACTAGGGTGTGCACGTCTATGACTGCTACCTTTTATGTGCAGATTTTGGAGACTATCGATTATCTCGTCCGGGTCAACCTTTGAGGGGGAGTTAGTTACCACTAGGCCTTGTTGAAAGCGAACGAGGCCAGAATGAAAGGGAAAGTGAAACGTACGTGGCGTGCCAAAGACATGGTGATGGGGTATTTTGTATGTCGGATTGAGGGCTTGGATGGGGGATTTTGTGATGTATCTAGTTGCTTTGATCCTCAAGACCCAAGGGTGCAACGAGGGATTGAAATAATAGACCGGACTTCTGGCCAATCTATATAGATGGCTGGAGGAATGTGGAAGGGCGATTGTTCACGATGGTAGTAATGCGGTGGATGTAGGGTATATTGTATGTCTCAGTGTCAGGAATGACCGATGAATTCCCCAGAACTAGGACGTGACCGGAATGGCGGGAACGACGACGTAATGCCTCCTCACCTCGGTAGAAAATCTGGGCTGACACCGATGTACAGTGTTGGCATGTATCGATGATCATGATGTGTTACGTAAGGTACGTAGATGCGTACCTAGTACGGGACGTGGAAAACGTACGATATATTTCAACCACTGGATTCGCATTTATTTACTTTTCCGTGCAGGACGAATGAAGAATAAATAAATCCCAAGCGTTGAAGCCCCTGACAGGTCCCCCCGCATTATCCGAATACGACAATACGAAGTACGAAGTATCGCCCGTATTTCGTATTTCGTATTTCGTACTCGTATCGCTATCGGTACTTCGGTACTTCGGTCCCTCTCCTACGAACACCTTATTATTAGTTACATCTCTCTAAGACGATGCTATGGCAAGGAATTACCGATCGATGTTATGCTTGTCGATAACGATAGTTCTACGAAGTACTTGACGTATGCGCTATTCTTCTCAGCACGGAGAATACCTTACTCAGAAGTTAAGTCGCTCAAGATTCGGGGTGACTTTGCGCCGCCTGCGCGCATCTAACCAACAAGTGATGACGCATGCGTTGCTCCTTGTTTCGTGCTTTGGAACTCGTAAAGTCCGCGACGCCCGGCAATTGCATCTGCATATCAACGAGAAGGAAATCCAACGCTCTAATTGATGACTGAGGTTGGGACACGCTATCCATTTAATGCCTAGATATAACAGTCCTTCTCTTTCTCATCTCCACTGAGCTGGGCTCTTTTCACTCTCCTCTTCCCCTCTTTGCAAGTTGCAACCGGTCCATCAATATCAATAGCCTTAGCTCCTACAGAGTATCCATATCCGGGATGAAGTTGGTTACTTCCCTCGTTCCGCTCGCGGCCATTTCCCTTTCCACTGCCTTCATCATCCCCGATGACCACATCACCCAGCAAATCGCCTTCCAATCCCAGAATGAGGCCGAATCCCAAACATTCAACGAGAGACTTCAAGGAAGCGTCGAGAACGCCTGGTCCGGTGTGGAGGAGACATTCACGGATGCCGTAGCTTACACTGAGAATGCCCTCGACAATGCCTTTAGTGCCGCCATCAAAGCTGGCAAGAAGGCCCAGTCAACATGGGAATGCCACAAGTCCATGACGAAGTTCGACATGGACGGGTGGATTGACAGTGGACTCTCAGTCCTCGATGATATCGAAATATTCCATGGAAACACACAGAAACCCAAGAAGCCGCATCATCCTCCACATAGAACTCCGAACAAGACAGTTTACGAGCTCATCGCCGGTAGCAAGCACACGACCAAGCTAGCAAAGCTCATTAATGAATATCCAGATTTGATCGAGACATTGAATGGCACGGCTGCGAACTACACGGTGTTTGCACCCATCGATAAGGCATTCGAAAAGCTTCCCAAAGGCCACAAACCGTCGAAGGAGCTGATCAAGAAGGTCCTTTCCTACCATTTCTCACCGAACTTCTATCCTGCCGGTCGTCTCTTGGTCACCCACACCCTACCATCTGCGTTCGGCGAAGATGCCCTCGGGGGAGAACCCCAGCGCCTTCGATTGGGCTTTGGCATCTTCACGGGATTGAATGTCAACTTCTATAGCCGAGTCGTCGCCATTAACATCGTTAGGCCTCTCCTCTCCCCTTAACGAAAGCCTGCTGATATATGTGCAATAGTTCGGCACTAACGGTGTAATCCACGGGATCGATTCCCTGCTGCTGCCTCCTCCACCGGCGCACAAGATCATCGAGCTCTTCCCTGGCCAATTTAGCACCCTACAACTAGGTCTCCTTAAAACGGGTCTTGATGAGGCAATTGCCCACGGACCTCACGTAGGCGGCACACTCTTTGCTCCCAGCAACTTAGCATTCCAGAAACTTGGGCCAAAGGTTAACGCCTTCCTCTTCAGCAAATACGGAGAAAAGTACTTGAAGGCGCTTCTTAAATACCACATTGTTGCCAATCAAACACTCTACTCTGATGCTTTCTACAAAGAGAAGGACGCCAAGTCGAACGTTATGACAGAGGTTGATATAGATGATGTACCCAAAGGGCTTATCCACGTCGATCTCCCCACGCTGCTAGATGACAAGAGTTTGAGTATTGATATTGGGAGATACGGAGGACTTATCAGTATTAAAATTAATGGGTTTAGTACTGTTTCTCTTCAGGACGGTCTTGCCAAGGATGGGGTCATTCAGGTTGTTAATACGGTGCTTATACCGCCCAAGACCCTGGGCGGGCGGCAATATGCTGGTGAGGAGTTGAGCGTGGAGGATTTGAAGAATAGGTTGGATGTGTATGTTGAGGAATTGTGAGAGGGTTCATATCGAAGATTCTGATTAAAGCTTATGGAAATGAATATGAATATGAAATACGATGAATGGATACGGATGAAATGGAGGTTATAGGAATATGAAAGCATATGTGTTAAATTGTAACATCAAGACATAAAATATGTGATCTGTCACATGAAATAAGAATGTGGATCGCACAGTTTGTAGTGTGTGGCTTATTGCAGGACTTCGATTCCCTAAAAGCACCTGAGAAAGGAAAATTCTATACTATATTGAACTGGAGGTCAATATTGGCTGCGTGGTATATGGCATGTGTCAGCCTAAAGCTGCTCGAGTTGGTTTCTGACGTTGATATTCGTACAACCCTACATGTGTGAATGCTCCTAAACGTTATAAATCCCATCTTTCAACATAGCTGATTTCCTGCCTTAGGAGCTGTTATTTTGGATAGATAAGCATTTGGTAGTGATGGTAGACAGTTCCGTTAATGAAACTAAACGTGTTTCTGCAACCACACATTCTTTGAAGTCTGTGAAATCCGAATCTAGGATGTCTTTTAGGGCGTGGAATGTTGAAATTGCAGGGTTGACATTGATTTGGTGCCAACTGATGGTGATGCTAAAGATTTGAAGTGCCGAATAGGGCGCCAGGTCTGCCTCTTTCTTGCCATAATGCTCCTTGATCTATAGGTACAAAAGCAACATCCAGAGAGGGGTCCAAGTCTTGATAATTTCGAAGTCTAAGGAATTGCTCAGTGGGCTTTAATCCTCCATGGCGAGAAATGCAAAATCTCGATTCTTCGGTTTGAGAGACGCCATTATATGCCATGGTTTCCACGGTGCAGGATATTGTGTCGAGGCTGAACTTTTGAACATCTGTGCTTTCAATGTTGCTTGCAGATTTGTTGTAAATGCGTCCAATAGATCATCGCAGGTACTTCCGAGAGGTATCAATCCTGAATAGGATAGGTATGTTGGATATAGCTTGCATAGTATCATCCACTCGAACGAGGGACCGGGATTTGGACTGTATGGGGAAACGCGCTACTATTGCACCGACCTTGTTTGTTGAGGGCCATACCCTTATTATAATACAAGCTATACTACCATATATACTACTAAAGGGATATAATTATGGATGCAAACTAATAAGCAAGCTAAGGGGCACCAGGACGTGTCAGAATTCATGAGCCATCAGAATTTACCACCTACTCGTAACTTTATAACACAGCGGAAAATATAAATTCTAAAGCGATGGAACTTTTATTTATTGACTTTATACTCCCATGGACTTGTTTTGTAATTGAACGTTGTGTAATTGAATGTCCCACCAATTCTGATACTATCTGGTGAGGTTAAGAAGCAGTACGTTCGCAAGGTGGCAGAAAAAGGCGGTCGGTACGGACTAAATCCACCGAATAAGCTTCATCGGGTGTGGAGCTTAAATTATATGTAGACTCGTGTCGATCCCCGACAACCACGAGTAGTAGCCAATTCAATCCGGAATCAACAACCATATTCCAACATCCACAAGCTCAACACCCTCTCTGAGCTCCCAATTGACAAAGCACAACATGATTACACGGCTACCCACGCGGGTGCTATCAAGCCCCTCAATATCCAGAGCTGCCGTTATACAATACACCAAAACCCTCGAAGCACCAGCAAGCCGGTGCCTCCGGCATAATCAATACCAGCGACATTACTCAACTCCCCCTCCTTCCTCCTCTCCAGAAACCGAACCCCGAAAGCCAATAACCCTCCGCTCCCAATTTACACCTCTGCCAACCACACAACCCCTCCCCCAACCCAAGAAAAAGCGCTCTCTGCGCACCTACATCTATGCAAGCTTTTTCCTTCTCCTTGGTGTAGCAGCGGGCCAATACACGCGGCTAATCGTAGCACCGCCGCCGCTCCCAGATTCCGGGTCAAAAGAAGACCGCTTTATGGTAGAGCACCTGAAAAAGAAGGCCGAGAAGCTTCCCATTGTGCAGTCGCTGTCCACGGACCCGAACTGGACATCTTACGAAGCATACTCTAGCGTTCCCGAGGATCAGCGATTGCAGCGACTTACAACTGGCCCATTGGGTGGAGCCCGTGCCCTCGGAGGCTTCCAGCGTATATTTTATAACGAGACCTCCGGTGAAGTGGTGGCCGTTATTTGGATTGGAGGAGCTATCTCTGGTTGGCCGGGTGTTGCACATGGAGGTGTTATGGCGACGATTATGGATGAGGTATTAGGACGTTGCGCTATCAGGCAGTTTCCTGCGAAGACCGGGGTTACGGCGAATTTGGAGCTGAGCTATTTGAAACCAGTTGTTACGAATTCATTTTATGTTGCGAGGGCGGCACCGGTTAGGGAGGGCTTTACCGAGAGGAAAGGCTGGGTGCAAGGGAGACTGGAGAGTTTGGAGGGAAGGGTTTGTGTAGAGGGCAAAGCTCTATTTGTTGTTCCGAAAAAGTTCAAGACGAGGGAGATAGCAGATCAATTTTAATGCTTCAAAGGAGCAGAAAGGAAGACCGTTCGTTTATACCGATGAGTTCCGGACGGTTGTGCCTCTAGATATGACCCGCCATTATAGAATTGAGATACATTGTATAATATCCCATAACTCTGAGAGCTATTCCAATATGGCAGGATCTTGGGTAAGAATTATCTAACTTTATTTTACACCTTAGATAAATCTGGCTTAATAATGTCCCCATATGATGCCAAGTTCATTTCCAACGCATGCTCAATTGCTCGAATATGTGGCCCCTACCTAACTGCTTCAAGCCCGCATCTAACAGAATTATGTTTACCACAGCTGCATGCAACCTACTTAGTAATATAGACTCGCCTTAAGGACTCGCCAATGTGCCGTTGCTCCAACAGCCTCTACCTCCTCCACGAAACAGCGGCACCACACTTTCTCATATTCCTCTCATTCCTTTGCCTTGCCCTCCTCCTCTTGACTCTAAGATTCAAATCCAAGTCCCGGAATACGCGCTCGAAATCCGCAAAACCACTGGGCAAATAAGGACTTGAACTCCGCCGATTAGAAACATGGCTCAGTAGCATTGACCCTCTCTGCATCCACCACCTAGCACCCTCGACATTCCTCCTCATAATTTCGAAGGTCCCAAAGAGGAGAGTGGCAAGGATTGTAGTTTCCCAAGCCTCGCCATCAATTGAACGGTTCCTGGTAGTCAAGAGCTCGTGAAGTAGTTTAACTGCTTTGGCATAGTGTCGGAGGGCACATCTATGAAGTTCCCCAGCGTGTGACTTGTTGGCTTTGGTTCGTAGTTGGAGAATTATCGCGGTTGCTAAGCTGGCATGGCGTATACAAGGCTCTGTATGGCATCTTTGGAGGACAATTGGCCACAATCCAGGTCTAGATAAATAGTCGATTTTGCTGAGTGACCCTACGAAAAGGTACTGGAAAACATGACCGTCTTGTTCGGTGAGAGCAAAGAGGGATAGAGGGGCGGACGGGCGGGTGATTGCTTCAACCACACGTGCTTCTCTGGGTAGTGATGAGGAGCGGCGAGGAGGGGTTGGAGGCTTGGGTTTGGGGATGGTGTATGCCTGGAAGGAGCATTTCTGTCCTGGATGTGGACATCTGTTGCACGTAGGCCGGGTTGATTTAATTACTTCCGTGCGAGGAATTCTGACTTTCATTAGCCATGCCCGTACCATAGAAGCGGGGGTACAAACTCATGTGGCGTGGATTCGGAGACGGCTCTTGGGTCTCTCTTTTTCCTTTGATTCGGCGGAACAGCAGCGACCTTTCTCGAGGCATGCTCCGTTGAAACATAACTCTCCTCGTCCTCATGCCCATGCCCATGCCTACGCGTCGAAGGAATAGCTCTGATAGCGATCTTGGTCTTCAAGAGCTGGTCGACACTCAAAGACGAGATATGTCCAGACTTCCGTCCTTTCCACTTCGTCGGCGAAAACCAAACGAAATGAGGGCGACGGAAAACCGCTCCGCACAGGAGTCTCTCCGACTCCTCCCTCATCGAGTCTTCACCACACTTGCGGGGTTGTCACGACCAGAGGATGTCATTTCTCCCGAGGATAGCAACGCCGTTATATGTGATCTCCTCACTGCATTTGCTGCAGTGCATCTCGAATGTGATTATTATCCTCGGGTGCGCATTGAGAGCATGTTTGGTCCTGGGCGGTGGTTGGCCGATCCAGATGAACCATTCCCAGAAACAGCCCTTGCATCACGGCGAACCATGCGCTGCGCAGGGAGTATGGAGCGCCCTGATGCTGCAGGGAGTTATAGCGCTCGCTACGAGTACGCTGTAGATTGGGCCTAATATCAACAATGGCAACTCGATTCGAGGGGTTCCAAGCCACTACGATGGGCATGCAACAGCCCCGGTCCAACCATTGTACGGAGTAATACGGGAGTGAAGTCTGCGCCTAAACCCTACTATTAGGAATAGTTAGAAACTATAAGCTCAGGCTACTTAATTGCTAACTATATCTAGCGGTACTACATTAGGTATAGGGAGCTACAATATAAAAAATATAAAATATGCTACATTATTAGTACTAAGTATAGTAGAGTTCCTCTCGCTAAGTTATAGTTAAGGTATATAACGTGACCAGTATTTAGAAGTAAGAGATACAACAGTACTAGCACTATAAATCAACCACTTCTAGTATATGAACAATTATTATTGCGGTCTGTTTAGACACCAAACGGTCCTCCCACTGCTTTAGTTGCCATGCCCGTTTCGTGGAACCTGGGATGGTGGTCACTTTCGACACTCTGAAAGTTAAGTGACGTATTCTCCGGCATATAGCCAATCTAGTTTAGCAACAAAGTTTTGGCATGCCTGGTCAAATTAGCTTGAACTTGCTTTAAAATTTAAAAAATCCAGGTGCGTACTGGCGTAGAAGTGTCCATCCCTGAATTTATAATATTAATTCTGGCATCCCCAGGAACTCCCCTTCGTGGGTAATTAACATCTGGCAATTTTATATCATTTGGCAGTGAAATTACTTTCAGATCTTCCGGGACGTCACCTGGGCTAAAACTTGTCTTTGTCAAGAGTATAGTTGGAACTACTCGTTTATCCTTTAGCTCATTCGACTCAGGTTCTCGCTCTCTAGCAACTAAAAGTTATAGACGCTGAAAGGATACTGTTCTGGTATAACAGCTGCTACCTACAAAACGTTAAATTTGCCATACCACTCATATTGGGGGGGCCTTACAGCAGGGTCTTGCTTAAATAGTCCTACCTGCTCGGGGGTGAGAGCCTGCTTCCAATAAATAAGAATTTGTGCTTCTTTAATTTCGACATGTTGGGAGGCGGATCATATAAGACACAACAGGTTAATTTTACCCGGAGTATTCCCTTTTGTTCCTACACACAACTTCTACCTACAAATGAATAACCTCATCAGCCTCTCGGATTGCAAGCAAGAGGTCAGACACCATCCAAGGTTGTTTCTGAGCGACAGCAAAGACTCAGTTGTGCTGCCCGACCAGCCGCAAATCTACTCTACAACTAAGGCAAAGGCAAGGCCATCCCATCCTTTCCCGCCAACAGTCTGAATAGCCGTAGTCTCAACCCTCTTCTCATTCTTAAACATCTCAAAGAGCTTCCTAATCCCTAGAACATTAGGGTCCTCGGACCCCGCATCCACAACCCTTCCCCGCCTCACCACATTATCAACCACAATCAACGTCCCAGCCCTACTAAACTCCAGCGCCCGCTTGAAATACCCAGGATTATTTTCCTTATCCGCATCAATAAACACCAAATCAAACTTTTCCTCCCCTCCCTTGCTCATCTTCTCCAAAGTCTCGAGAGCTGGTCCAACTCTGACCTCGACTTTATCCTCAAACCCCGCGTTCTTGATGTTAGATTCCGCGACGGCAGCTGACTTGGGGTCAAGCTCGAGGGTTATGACCTTTCCACCTGAGGGCAGGGCCTTGGCTAGCCAGATCGCTGAGTAGCCGCCTAGAGTTCCGACTTCTAGGATGCGTTTGGCATTGTTCATTTTTGCCAGGAGATAGAGCAGTTTGCCTTGGTTGGGGTGGACATTGATGGGGTCAAGAACGGATCCACCATGGGTTTTGAGGGTGCTCTCTAGGCCAGCATCTTGCGGGACCAAGGAATCGCAGATCCAGTTATCCACCTCGTCGAACTTATCGTATGCTTCTTTCGGGATGGGTGTAGTATATGAGGAATATCCATGAGCCTGTGCCATGATGGAGGTCTGGTATAAATGGAAGAGACAGCTAGAGAATATCAAGTGCAACGTTTGACTTGTGATACTTTAAGTTAAGAAGCTCTAGGAAACCGAAGCTTCTCGGAAGGACGAACCACTTGGTTTTATAGTCTCAACTGCGAGTAATGAGTGCCGGGAGATCTTACTGTTCAAAGATGGAAAACGGAATTCGCTTGAATACAAGTTACCCATTGACTCATATTTAGGCTTCGACTCTATCGAACGTTGCGCTTTTGACTGGATGGAAGTGGGTTAGTCCCATTAGGCAGGAGTGGAACCTCAGAATCGGAGAACGTATAATATCCGCAACCGAAATGAGGGTGCAAATAACAATAAGCTGCTGCCAGCCGTTGAGTAATAGCATCAAAACCTAAGGTCTCCAGTCCCCGAGAGCCTACTCCTACGTCTAATCAGGCTAATACACTCCAATGATGTCAGCCCACGTCAAAGGCATTGGTGCGGAGTTGGCGATTTGAACTCCTTTGGCCGATATCCGGCCTAAGCTCTTATGCCAATAGATGCGCGCTCTCTACTCCGTAGATGACGACGCAGATATTGTGAGGGAGATTAGATGGAGATCGATTGATAAGATATGAGCCAGATGTATCTACAGTGGAGTCAGAGGCACAGGCTGCAGCTCCCACCTTCATTTACTGGCTGACTAGAAGAGCTTCCCTGTCCGAGAAGCAAGTCTTGTTAGCCCAGTCCCGAGCAACACTTAAGTAGAACTAGGAAAGGATTGGGTTAGAAGTTGTGGAAGGAAACAAGAGTCAAAAAGGTAAAATTATATAGCCTCGCCAAAGTGGGAGACGATCCACATCAGATTGCTTGCTACCTAGTTCTTGCAGATCACAGCCTTTAAAGGTATCCTTTTCAGGTTGTATCTAGATCAAGTCCACTAGGATCTCTGCCACCAACTTAAATCATAAAGCTCATAATACTTTCACTACCGCACATTGACACCATTATGAGACAAGTCTTTCAATGGAGCCCATATTGCATTGGCTCATTTCTTGAGATCCCCAGATTGGATTCTGTTTCCTTGTATGGTATAGTTCCAGCCTTGTCTAGGAGGCTCTTAGGCCCGTTTCCCGGAAAAGGATGGAGAATGGCTTGGGCAGGCGATGTGCCAGACCGTAACCAGATTATGTCGCACGGCTAGTTGTGTGATCACACGTAGCTGCTATAACCAGGAGCTATTGGTTTCGGTTCCTGCTGATCCCCAGATCCCCCGATTCCCCAATCATCAAGGTGGAAGATCTTCCGACCTCGGCCTTCAACAAAGTTATGTTGTCGTAATATCTGAGACCTCTTTCAGACTTCACCAGCTCACCGCCCCTCTCCAGAACCCAGCGTGAAACCTTGCAATCTGTCATCCAACCATCTCGAAACTTCTTCCGCTTGTCTCTTTATCGCCATAAGATTGGCTTTCTTGCTGGCCCGAGCGACCGAGCTTCTAACGCTACCAACTTGTGACGGAAAGCCGCTCCCGGTTGCTGCCACCGCACTTCCTGACATATCGTTCTCTGGGATCGCCTCGTGACTCTCCTGCTGTGGGGCCGGCGAAGATGGAGGTGATGTATGCGACGAGGCAACACGAGGTGTATGCGGCGCAAGAGAGCTTAAATCTGGTAAAGCTGTTATAGTAGTTGGGACGCTGGAAGGGCCTATAGCTACAAATAGGAGTCCACATGAGAGCGACCGGATGACCATTATGCCGTGCGATATTTGTATGGTTATTGAGTTCAGGTCGCTTCCGTTTGTCGTACTTGCGCCTGAAGGTGCTGGGGATGAGGGGCCTTCTGTCGTTGCTTGGGAGGAGACGGACTGAGGGGACGAGACGTGGTTATTGCCAGCAGATTGGTGGGGATCGCGGTCAGGGTCGGGGTGGTGGAGATTCCAGAGTGTGCTGGCCACAGTTGATTGTGTGCGGAGCGTAGAGGCTGGGAGAGGGGAGCAACTCGAGAGAAGCTTGCCGGTCGATGAGATCAGTAGCATCGTTGGGAGTTCCGGCGAGGTATTTTGGGAGAGGAACATAGTGAGGGGTTTTGTGAGGAGCATTTTATCGGACATTAAATTGTTGATGTGTGAGGGCTGGGAGTAAATACTATGTTGCAATTAAGGTCAGCTCCATCCGGACAAGGGGAAAGCTGATAGGATGCGATAGAAAGGGGGGTAGGAAAAGCTCTATTCTACTCACAATGGCATCTATATATTCCGCAGCGCAAACAATTGGCTGTGACGTCCGCGACACTCAACGCGGTGTGGAGTAACCAAGGCGGTCTGAGGTTGGTGATTGTTTTCGTCGTGGGGAGCTTGAAGGTTGAAGTTGAAGGTTACATACCAGGTACGGAGGTTGGGGCAGCATCTTAGCTTGCTTTGCGCCCAGAACTACGGGCAATTTCGATGTAACCCACCAATCCATGACGGCACGATGCGATAAGATAACCATGCCTGGAGTGGCTTCTTGTGTTTGCTATACGTAGTATCTGCACCGAAATCCCTTCGCTCACGAAGTTTATGCCCGTTTCCCTGGCCGTTGGGAACGGGCCTATCATGGTTCTTACTGTATACATACTCCGTAACAGAGTACGAAGTAGTACTTACCATCTACTCTGTACGATACCCAATAATGCTTTGCTTTCCTCCTGAGCCAATTTCAAAAAGGAGATGGTCAGAATAGAGGGATACTCTTTATGTCAACAATCATCGATGTGCAAGGACTCATACCTAATGGGCACAACAGTGGACCGAGCCTAGAAGAGCTACAGAACCCTGGGCATGTTCTGGGTCGGCCTGTGATGATTGTGTCTTCCTCGGCTTTAAATCCGGGGTAGTTTATTAAGTTATATCTACACGTCACACCGCAATTCTGTGGGGCTTGAGCTCTCTGATCGTCAATCGTCCCTCTCTCCTCAATCCTGCCATTCAAGCTATTTCTCAAATCCCTTAAGTTTTATGCTGTCCAACTCAATCCTCAATCTACAGAGGCTCTCCAGAACCAGCATTATTCGGTCCAGCTTTAGCACTGTAGCACCCGGTACGAGCTCCATTGAGATCCCAATCCCGCTTTGGTAGCAGGTTGAACTGTACTGATGAGACACCATAGCGGCCAAATACGCAACCATGGCGACAGATTTGAAGTCTTATAAATTCAATCACTCGATGTGCGAGAAACACTCGGCCATCTTCATCCATGAATTATACTGATCTCATAGATAGGATTCGGGTGAAGGACCCCAAAGAGTCCGGTGCGTCTCCCCTCCTAAAGCTATGTACCATGATCCCTTGGTCTAACTTGACGTGCTTGATCAGTGAAATTCTACGAATATCTTGGCATGAAGATGATTCGAAAGATCGAGCAACCTGAAGCTAAATTCGATCTCTACTTTATGGGTTACGATTCCCCAAAGGCCCTTTCACATGCCAACCATTTTAGCGATCGCGAGGGTTTGATCGAGTTGACGCACAACTATGGCACCGAAAACGATCCCGATTACAAAATCACAAATGGAAATAGTGAACCTTTCAAGGGCTTCGGGCATACATGTATCAGCGTCGACAACCTCCAGGCTGCTTGCCAGAGAATTGAAGATGCGGGCTACAAGTTTCAGAAGAAATTGTCCGACGGGCGAATGAGGCATATTGCTTTCGCACTGGATCCTGACGGATATTGGGTTGAGATTATTGGCCAGAATCCCATGGAGAAAACTGAGGGCATTACAACCAGCGACGTCCAAACATACCGGATGGTAAGGCCTTCCTTGCGTATATCCCCCGGAACACGCGTTTACAATATTAGAACCACACGATGATCCGGATCAAGGATCCCGAAAAGTCTCTTAAGTTCTATAAGGAGGTTATGGGGATGGAATTAATGCGAACGAGCGAGAACGCGAGCTCCAACTTCAACCTCTATTTCCTCGGCTACCCTGGCGAGAAGGGCATCCCGACTGCTTCAGCAGATGGTGTTAACCCTCTCGCTGATAGAGAGGGTCTTTTGGAGTTGACTTGGAATTATGGAACTGAAAAGGACGCGAGTTTCAAATACCACAATGGCAACGATCAGCCGCAAGGCTTTGGGCATATTTGTAAGGCAGTCTTGCTCTAAACATTGGACCAGGCTAATTCCAGCAGGCGTTTCTGTTGATGACCTGGACGCTGCATGCAAGCGTTTTGAGGAGCTGGGGGTAAATTGGAAGAAGAGGCTAACTGATGGCCGCATGAAGAACGTTGCGTTTGTCCTCGACCCGGATAATTACTGGATTGAGGTCATTCAGAATGAGAAGCTGAAGGGCCGGGCCAACTGGTAGTGGCCGGACTTGGCTGTAGAGACGGAGACAGAGAGGGAGAGGGAGAGGGAGACAGACCTGCAGAAACCCATGAATATTCCATCCGCCGTCGCATGTCAATGCTCATGGAACCAAGAATAAACTCGCAGACACCGAGTTTCGTTTCGTTTCGTTTTGTTTTGTTTCGTGTCCGTTCTCTTGTAAAGCATTCAGGTGACTTGATGCTTACCCGCGGGGGGATGATGTGGGGGGGTTGCATAATACTGTATATCATACTGTAGTCCATCCTCCGTCGTACTCGCAGCTTGGAGTACTGTGCTCGTAGATCGGGGTCGCTTTCCCGGTGGCGCCGCTGGGCGCAATTGAAGCGGTCGCAGCTAATAAGCTCGATGCAGCAGAACGCGGGGGTTCTGAAATAAGAAAGCAAATAATGGGCTTCCTGCATTCCGGGGACCCCACCATCTCGAGCGACATCGCTGCTGGGTGCTGAGGTGCAACATAAGGCTGTACTTGTTCCCTCCCCGTCTGTTCCTGATCTGAACTGAACTCGACTCACTGATCTCCCCCCGTCATCCCTGATCTCGCCATTCGAATTCCAAAGCGTTGTTCGCTCAGCAATATCTATCTACTCCTTTTGTCTGTTCCTTGAACCCCGTTTCTCAGTCCACCTAGCTATATAACAGTACACGGTTTCTTTTGTTCGATTCGTTTTCTAAAATCAATTGTTCGCAATGGCCCCTTCTGCCATCGCTCCACTGGAAGGCAGTTCTTCCTCGTCTCGTCCCAAGATCCTGATCCCAGAGAAAGTCTCTCCAGATGGCCTCGCCCTGCTCTCCCCGCATTTCGACATCGATCAGCCAAAGGGTCTCTCGGCGGAGGAGCTTCTGTCTATAATCCCGCAATACCACGGTCTCATAATCCGTTCCGAGACCAAAGTTACCGCTACTGTCCTCGCAGCCGCCAAAAACCTCAAGGTTGTTGCACGTGCGGGAGTGGGAGTTGATAATGTGGATGTTGAAGCAGCTACCACGCATGGCATTATCGTCGTGAACAGCCCAAGCGGCAACATAGTCGCAGCAGCAGAACACACAATCGCTCTCCTCATGGCCGTGGCACGCAATGTTCCCGCCGGAGATCGGAGTCTGCGTAACGGGGGCTGGGAAAGGAGTAAACTAGTCGGAACGGAAGTCGGCGGGAAGACACTGGGGATAATTGGACTGGGGAAGGTAGGATTGAAAGTTGCGCGGATGGGCGTTGGATTGGGCATGAAAGTCGTAGCCATGGATCCATACGCCAGTCCTGAGATCGCAGCTTCAGCCAACGTGACGCTTGTGTCTGATCTTGCCACTCTCCTCCCCAAGGTGGATTTCCTCACGATCCACACACCACTCATAGCAAGCACACTAGATCTTATCGGAAAACCCGAGCTCGATACTATGAAGAAGACGGCTAGGGTCCTCAATGTTGCCCGCGGGGGTGTATACAATGAAGCCGCACTCCTCGAAGCCATAAATGCCGGTACAATCGCCGGCGCGGGGCTCGATGTCTTCACGTCCGAACCTCCAGCTCCAGGTTCCGCAGCAGAAGCTCTCTGTCGACACCAAAAAGTCGTGGCAACCCCACATCTCGGAGCCTCGACTGTTGAAGCACAAGAAAATGTATCCATGGATGTCTGCGCTCAGGTCCTGATCATTCTCAAAGGAGGTCTTCCAACCAGCGCCGTGAACGCACCACTTATCCTACCTGAAGAATACAGAAAGTTGCAGCCATTTGTCAAGCTGGTCGAGAAAATGGGCAGCTTATATACCCAGCGTTACAGCGGAAAGGGCTCCAAAGGCGCTCTCGGTGGCAGGACATTCGATCTCGTATATGAGGGAGAGCTTGCTGGGATCAGTAATACCCGACCCTTATTCGCTGCTCTAGTCAAAGGCCTTACCTCCTCCATTTCTGATAGTGGTGGCAGAGATGTGAATATCGTCAACGCTAGGCTCATTGCGAAGGAGAAGGGGATTGTCGTCAATGAGATCCACAACCGTGGTGGTAGCCCTAGGGATCTGGTCTATGCCAGTCTAGTGACGCTAAGAGCCAGTGACTCTGGAGAGGGCATTATCAGTGGATATGTGAGTGGAAATACAGTTTATATCTCGAGGCTGGATAAATTCAGTGCTAGTTTTATCCCGGAAGGGACATTACTTGTACTACACAATTACGATCGCCCTGGCAAGATTGGCGGGGTTGGTGGCATCTTAGGGAAGCATGGCATCAATATTCGGTTCATGAACGTGGCGGCGTTGGAGAAAGTGGAGGAGGCACAAGCAACTGGGTCTGATCAAGTGGAGGAAGAAAAAGAGGCTTTGATGATTTTGGGTATTGAGGGCGAAGTTGGGAAGGAGGTTGAGGATGAGTTGAGGGCTGCGAAAGGAATTTTGAATGTTAGCGTTGTGAAACTTTGAAGGAGGTATTGATGTATTGGGATGGAGAAAGGATGGAGAAAGGATGGAGAAAGGATGGAGAAAGGATGGAGAAAGGATGGAGAAAGGATGGAGAAAGGATGGAGAAAGGATGGNGGATGGAGAAAGGATGGAGAAAGGATGGAGAAAGGATGGAGAAAGGATGGAGAAAGGATGGAGAAAGGATGGAGAAAGGATGGAGAAAGGATGGTTATCTTGGATGTTCAACACATGAACTGGGCAAGGAAGGTAGGTAGGCGTTTCTGCTTTTTTCTACTCTTTTCTGCATACAGTTGTTATTCCAAGCAAGATATGACCGTCAGATGGCATAGACTCAACGGATTTTAAACACCCAAACTCTCAACAGTTCTATGAGAACAAAGCTTCCGGCTTACGTGAGATAGCTCTATGTGAGATAGCAGACCTAATCGTGCAAGTGACATGAAAAGACCGGCGTACTACGTCTTTTCCATCCAAGGTTAAGGCAGCCAAAACAGTTCATAATACATATTTATTTTCTTATTTAACCTTACTTTCCCCCTTAAAAGTGAGATATCTCCTTTTAGATAGATGTCCTGCTTCACCTTATCGTCAACTAAGCAGAATGTTGATAGCCATGAGTTTGAAGCTGTTCCGGGCGGTGACTAATGGGCAGTAAAAGTCGCGTATCTGCAAACACCGCTGATTCCAGCCTAGATATATTCCAATCCTAATCATCTCCTTCTCGATCTCCGACTTGAACCTTAGCATACGTCTAGACTCACCAGCTAACTTCTACTTTCACGCTCTACCTCCCGCGACGAACATCATCATCAGTAATAGAACCACTCCGCAAGGAAAGGGCTTCAAGTACACTTGGGCACACCTCAAGGAGTGTGGCCTGACGTGGTAAGCTGATATTTCACTTTCCCCTTAGTGGTATTCATCATTTGCTGACCTATTTTGCCTTTAGAACTAGGGATATAGCATCCCTCCCTCGTACTCTCCACTCTTGTCGAAGGACAATCTCTCGTCAACATTCACAGTAGGACCACCTGGTAAGAAATCACACAGTCATTCAAGCGTCAAGTCTTCCTAGTCATAACCCCCCTTAACACTATAGACCGGTCTACCTGTCTCACAAGTATTCCTACCCTCAAAGACTTGCTATAACGAGCTGACATGAATGGCGAACAGGTGTAGATCGCTGTGAAGAGCAATAATTGCAAGCCATCATGATGAACACAATTCTTAGGCCAGCCAGTTTGCTGGAAGCGGAACCCCAAGCATTATCCAAATTGTATACTGTACCCCTACTGCAGCATACCCACGGGGAACTTTCAGCCCCTGTAGTAGGGGTGTCTGCCCTCCCTGGGCCAATCCGAAGGCGTCGCTGAGCCATTTAATTGGTGGCAGCGACAGACGGTGGGAGTAACCATGAAGAGGAGCCGATGGACCTTCTCAGCAGCTATGGGGACATCAACTGTGTACAAACGGCGGGACATAATCAGTGCATTCTGATGAATTTATTTTTGCTGTTATGGAGCACTATGGGTTCAGTCCAGTTGGCTTCCAGCAGCAGATATCCCCTGGCAAACCACAAACCACCTTATCGATTCGCCCCCTATCACCGATAACATGGCGGAAGGCATGTTCATCGCACATATTTGTACAACAGCGTTCGAAGTAGCCCTTTGTCTCCAAATATTGGTAGCTTATTGATGGTGCTTGAACCCCCTCACCACTGATGGGAGGCTGTCGCCTGAGTCATACGTAATTTTCTAGCTCTGGTTGTTTTCTCAGCCGTTTTACGGTCCCTTGGGTAGAGCTAGACAAGCGGATGTGTCCTGGCGTGTTGTGTAATATGGGTTATTGCCGCGTAACACTTCTTGTATGTTGCTAGCTAGTTTGTCTGTGAGGTCTTTGCTCTTATAGCCATGTCGATGGCGGTGGTTCCTAACAGATTTCAGTCCCAACTGCTTGTTTCGCTACTCTCCTACGGATCAAAGGCTATAGTATTAGCTTATTTCCCAATCGGATAGCTCTTCAATTCAGCTATGTTGGAACCCTAAATTCTGTCAGTGGATAAGTGTATTGTGCTCGAATTCGACGCCCACTAGGCGTAGAAGCTCAGGGCATTTTCTACTTGTCGGGAAAATCTACTGTGGTGTATACGTGGCTTCTGACATATGACTTGTCCAGTTGAAAGAGCTGACAAATAGGAAATTCGAGGACGAGATATATCAGTATAATACAACCACCCAAGTTTCACTCTCTCTTACTCACTCCTTATTAGCAATCGCAACAGCACACGACAATCATAACAGAATCTCATATCCAAGATCTGCAATCCCTTGAAGTCGAAGTCTGCGTCGTCCCCTTCACTCCCATCAAGCTCAACCTTCCTCCGCCTAAACCTATCGCTCTCGGAACAATAATCTTGTCATCCCCCTACATCCCTCGGCTAAGAAGATTCGTACAGCTCATGGACAATCCAGTTTGTACCATGTAGGTGGAAAGGCACGAGGGAGTAACCGCACTGATGGAAACTTGGAGAAAGGTCCAACTCATTACTCCACCGGCATAATCCGCAACTTCGACATCATGGAATACAACTTTACGCCAAATGGGGTATAGCTGTTATACCTTTTGTCCTGAAGCCTGCGAAATATTACAGCTTGAAGAGTGGAGATGTCAGAACCTCTCGCAGTGAATGGATGGATGAGTCGACCAAGCGTGCTTTATAAGAGCTTCAATCCTTCGTTAGGGCTTAAAGGGCTACGGTGGGGACTCCACGTAGATGTGGGATACGGTACTACTCCACTTGTATCAGCGACGAATTACTCTACTAATGGCATCACTAATGTCAAAAGCCTTGCCGATTCACCAAACGAGACTCTTGGTGTGCGCCATTAGAGCTCGAATTGCCTTTCAAAAGCTAGCACATGTGTGGTCGATTTTATTTGCATGACTCATGATACTAAATAGCACCTACTAGGAATTGTGCTTACTATCTAATACTTACGTTACCATCAAATAGAAGCGGTGAAGATGGGAGATATTCTGTCGTACAACCGTATTTAAAATGATAATGCTTATAATTAAGCATACGATAAACCTCTTGGGGGTCCAACGGGACAGAGGTTTGAGAGCCGAAGCCGTTTCGTAGACGACCTCTCGCCCTACGAAATCAACGATTTCGTCCAAAACTGTGTCATACCCTACATATGAGACTTTCGAGGCGAGATACTATTTGTTTCCTTTTCCATAAGTCTAGCGCCGTTACCACCTTTTTGCTGCTCTCATACGTAGTTGTTGCGTGTGAAGGCGGCGAAGACCGACGTCTGCCCCAGCCTACTTTGAGACTCGCATTAGAGCCTCGTCGCCAACGACCTCGCTCCGAACTCAAGATCCTACAGGCACTTCGCAATTCGGGCACCCAAGGCCTGCTGCACCATCGTAGATCTAAAAGATCGAAGCTACTTGCAAGCGTTATCTAAACATTCACTCTGCAGCGACTCGACATTCTCCTCCACAGGTCTTCTCCTTTTCAAAATCTCTCGAGGAACATTCCAACGTCGAGCTTGACGCGTCCCCAAGGTTCCTAGTCAATTCCCTACTCTAATCGACTCCAGCGTGTCCGATTCCAACAACACGTCAAACCCCCCAACTTCTCACCTGCGACGGTGGATTTATGCGTCATATCATCCCACAAATTCGAATCTGCACTCGCGCAGTCAAGAAGCCACCAGTAACCACTTACCGTGCCATTCACACAGCAACTGCAAAGTTCATCACTATCAGCCCCCAAGGGGCTCCAGCGACTCGCGAGGTCGAAGTATATCTCGGGGATCCAGAGGAAGCATTTGTCTTGCTAGACCCCGAAATCTGCCAGGCTTTCAAAAGAGGAACCATGCTGCAGGGCGGTTGCTCCATGGCGCACGACCAATATTTGTATCCATTGAAATTCCACCACGATACGCGACACTTCTCCCATGGTAATAATATTACGTCGCTGGCAGTCATTCTAGAAATAGAACGCTTAACTAATATCATCTAGAGTCATCACTGTATCCTCGACTTGAGATACCGCAAGACCTTCCCCGTCAATCGGATACAAACAGTAGCCCAGCAACTCTTCATACCTATGGAGCAACACATGCAATCACCCTTGACGGAACGCCAGACGGTCTGCCTACATACTTTAATACATATCTATCTCCTGCTAATCTTAGACAGAGGCGTTCGAACGCAGTCTCAGAGAGTCAGCACAACGGTTGCAGCCAATCTTAGATGAGCTCAAAGATACAGAGAGCATTCCCAAGGATATGTCTACGAACTTTTGATAAGGTATGTAGTTGTACTATCCTTGGCTTAGAACCGCCAGGTTCAATTTGCGGGAATTAGCACCAAGAATGGCGTCGGGTTGTTTTGTGAGTATTTTGTACACTTGGTAATACTTTAGATCTTATTACAACATAATTCACCGTGTCTTATCCAAGATTCCCGCAAACCCCATTGGTTTGACTCATAAATAGCGAACGGTTGAATTGTTCATTACAATATCCAAAATCGTCTAACATACGACTAGGTAGGCCATCAAGTAAGACCCATTCCCACCCAACTTCAATTACCCATTCACTAGCTACATGGTAGAACAGACTAACCCACTGCCACGCCAACCCTGAACATCACTTTGGCCCACCGAATCCTCAATACTCCGTTGCTGCATTGCGACATTCCATAATCTCCGGACTCCAAGCTTCAATGGGCGTCGTAATTGATTCGTAGTATTGTCCCAGCTGTTTCGCATCCCATTGGCTCGTCGTCACGGCGACATGGGCATTGGTGATATCGTTGATTAATAGCATCAGGAGCCATAGGTCGCTCTTGAAGCTGATAACCATTGATCTTCAAGAACATATCGGCAGCGAGAAGCGCTGTCCTCTTGTTTCCGTCCTGGTATGCATGGTTCTTCATGATCTTCTCAGCTAGGGTTGGCCGCCAGCTGGAAGAGATTCTCCTCCTTCTCATAGTACTTGATATTCATTGGCGAGTTGACTGCTGAATCTAGCATGGCAGGTTGACTTGGCTGGCGGTTGGCGAGAATCCTTATATATGAAGTCTGATGACCTAAGAGGCAGTCAAAAACCGGAAGGTCTTGGTAGCAGCGGAAGACATTTGACGACGATGGAGGTTTTGATGAGCCCAAGATAATGAACGGTTTGATAAATGCGTCGAAGTCGGTTCGTTTTGGTTTGAAGACGAAGTGTTGAATATGATAACTAAGGTTGGTCTGGATAGGAAAACTTGGACGCACCACCCGTACTTTATAGAAGAATTCCTTAATTGAGAAAGCGCCCTTCCGTTATCCAACATTGCTTATTGTTGGAACTTTTTTGAGCTCTTCATGGTTGGGTTTTCGGCGGCTCGTCATCTCGCCTCGACATGGTAATTGTGAACCAGAATAGATGTTGGTTTGACTAGCATTGTAATTATCTGGGCGTTACGCTGAATCTATATGAAACAAGCAATCCTGACTCACCAACTACAGTATTGCATTAGACGGTATCGCGATGAGACCCGCACCAGATTCTGCCTTGGAGTGGCCAGAGAGATAAGCGCCGTTTGGGTGGTACATTGAGCGTCCGCCAATTAGGCGCCATTCATTCCCGTGCTCAACATTGAGCTGGCGAATGACATGAGGCAAAACGAAAGGTTTCATCTCTCTTTCTTCGACCACCTGAACCTCCCTCGCCTCGTATCTACTTCTCAAGTACTGAAACGACAAGAGCCAGGCCAGGCCTGTCGTCCCTAACCATATTGTACTATACACGCTCTCATGACTCACTCTAGTTTGCCCAACATTATAAGGCTGCGAACTAGCATCTACCAATTATCAATATTTTCAAAGGAGTAGGGTTTTCAGTTGTGTCATGAATGCGGCAGTTTTGCATGACCGATTAGGGCCAACATGGTGCTCATGCGGCCCAAAAGCCCTAAAATTAGATCTTTGAGCTACATGTTAACTTCATGGTAGTATGGGACGAAGACAGTATGTAGTCCTAAGTATTTTAATAACAGAATTTACTAGTAATCGTGCCTTTAGAGTAGCCGCATCTCTTCTATATATCCTTATTAACCGTTTTACAACAAACTACCTTATCTATATAAATATTGGTGTCGAACCGATGGAGGGGTGGGGCGGTCGATGGCCCGAGCTCAAAATTTGCTTACTTTCAGCAAGCTTCAACAACTTCAACGCGACCAACACGTAGGTGACTTCACCCTCTCAGATACCTCCTCTCCGCCTATCTCAAGCCCAATCTCTCGGACTGTATATCCCAATCCAGGAAATCTCAAATTAGCATTACTTCCCCCAAAAATGACATCCCGGCTCCCAACATCGAACGCGCCCCGACTCTCGACAGCACCGAGCAGCATCAAGCCGCGACAATTGGTATGACGCTATTTCTACTTGACAGTGCAATTACCAAGTGGCCTCCCAATTCTAACCAATATTTCCGCAGTCTCATCTACATGCTCAACTAGCACAACTCTCCGCCAACCTAGCGGATCTCGAGAACCTCCTCCGAATGACAAGTGTGCAGGCGGAGTCCATCCGCGGATTGGGCGCTTTTCATGGTGGATTGTACGTTGACAGCCCCTATCATTTTCTCCGGTGCTAGATGATGAGGTTGAGAAGGAGCGCTAGGCGTCCCACCCAATATGACGAGTAGGCGGCTAATGCGTTTGCGTAAATAGGTTTATGGCCGCGAGTAAAGTTCTGGGCGAGGAAACGATAGCGGGTTCCGCTGGGCAGACGGATAGCCAACAACATCAGAGGGGAAGTGAAGGGAGTGATACGTGAGAGACGCCTTTGGACATGATGCTACGAGCTACGCCCGCTATGATGAATGATAGATGTGACATGTTTGATGGGACTACATTCGAGCACTGGAAGGGCAATATCCGAACCTAACATTAAGGCCATAGCAGAGCGCCCCCTCACGTCAAGAGTGTAGAAATTGCCACTGGTTTGAGGCACGAGGCGTCGATAGGCATTTGATTGAGACGGCGAATAGGCAATGGGCAATGTTCAATGCAAACCACAGGCAAGCTACACGGAAATGATACTAGGTTCCTTCTGCCCATGAATATCACGAGTGGTTTCATACTATTAGTGAAGTCAGTGGCCCCTTTTCCTTTCTCACTCTGATTACCATAAAGAAGAGTAGAACTTCCTGCCGGAACCCTACTCGATGTACAGGAGATCTGGGCCAAAATCTGGTTTGAGCTTCAATGTCTCGCCACCTTGCAGCCGGCCTTCGATTTTGCCACGGGTAACTGGGCTTTCTCAGGCGCCGTTGGAATTAATACAGCAGAAACACTTACTTTGAAAGCGGCTCCCAAATCGCGGGGAAGGCTTCCGCCACTGGTGGTAAGTTGGGGGCCGAGGGACCGTGGAACCGGAAGCTTGTTGCGTTCGATGTCGCACATCTGGGGAATTCGAGCGGGGAGGTGAAGCCCAATTGTTCCACGGTGCCTACAGTAGCATACCGGAGGCGGGTTCTTCCCCGACACTAAACAACTTTAGCTTGGACCAGATCCGATTTCCTGAAGCTCGGGCACCCGTTCCATCGTCAGCTTCGGACTGGGGAAAATCCCAGGCTTTGCTGCAATCGACGGTCTCGGCCTCTGCAAGCACACGGGATGCAAATAGGTGTGACCGTGGTTTCATTGCGAAAGTAATCGGCACGGCGTAAAGGCGCCATTTTCAAGACCGAAATCAAGATATTAAGGTTGTTAGGGACGCATCGCATCGTCACTGGGCGTCATTGGCGCAGCCATAATAAACCGCCAGTGCATGTGAAGCTAGAAGATGCCGCCGTTGTCTCGTCGCGAAACCCAAAACAAATATATATCTTTTGTTTATTTCTGGCGATTTAATCAATTTCCTCTTCTGGACGGCTTGGAGTCCGGGGGAGTTGTGGAAGTTGTGGCGGCATCCATGGCTGTCCTTGCAAGTGTGTTCGAGCCTGCAACCCAAACAATGTCTTCCGGGGCAGTAGCTGCAGTACCCGCTGTCGTTTTCTTGCTCACCTTGAGCTGCGAGTGGCTTCTTGTGCGAAGCGTGAGTCATTAAGCCATTTTGTTTTGTCTCCATCGCGACTCATTGCAACTCATTGCGACTCAAGACTCATAATAGCGGCTTCGAGTCACAACCTGACGCACAATTAAACTCAATTTCCACTACCCCAGAGCCAGTCCCTCGATCCTTTTCCAAGCTAATAAGAGAGTTCTTCCTCCAAGGAGAGAGAGCCGTTTGTCCATTTAACATTCCCTTTCTCCATTGCCCCGCGCCACCTGCCCGCGCCACTTACTCGTGCTCAGCAACCCGATCTCTCCCCGCTGCCAAAAAAACAAACCGCCCGCCACCACCAATATCAAAGCCAAGATTATAGACTGTCAACTGCTCGAGTAACAACTAACGACTAACTCTCATGACACCCAGCGCAGCAGATTCCGCACGTCCACCACAACCACCACAACCAGGTCAGTCCCTCGTAATATCCTTCACCGCTCCCTCCGCTCCCTCCGTCACCAGTTCTCCCGGTGCTCTGTCCTTGCACGTGCAAGCTCCAGCGCAAGTTTATGCGCGGCACAAGGTTGCAACGCATATTCGCCCACAGAACCTGCCCAAGTGAACCAGGTCATCTGCTCGTTTGACTGATGCGTTGGCAGAAGCTGCTACCGGACGTGATTCCAGCTCACGCGGTTTGAGGCAGCCGCTGAACACAAGGGTCTGTCGCTATTTTGGCCCAACAGGTATTTTTCGGATTTCTTTGCAAATATTTTGATTCGCTGCCCTGCGGCGGTTATGGACTTTGTACACATCGACTGCATGCAGACAGGCGATGGTGTTGTACGGCATTCGCTCCGGGTCTCGTGATCTCCACCCCCTATCTGTGCCTAGCAGCGGTGCTCTTGACGGTCACCTTCAAAGTGTTGAGGCGTCGAGCTGTTGGTCCATTGAGCTCTTGAGCTGTCGATTGAGTTGTCCCTCAGTGGCTTTTGTCATGAGGAGGCTGTATGACCCAATATGGCAAACCCAAAGTGACACCACGTGATATGACGGGGCAGCACATAGAGCTCTGATGACATACGACAGTCATACGGTATACTAACTGAGTTGGCAGGTCATTGTCGAGCGGGGAACGACTGTCCGTTTCTGCACAGTACCATTTCCTCTCCTGAAACGGAGGGTACAATGTCGGCGCGGGAAGGCTTACGGCAATCCTCCGGTTCTGGACCCCTTTCTAGCAACGACGGCATGGCCCAGGATCGGCAGCAGGCCGTAGCTACCCCCATTGCCTCTCGTGTGGTACCCAAGCCAGTCCCGCGGGCACAAACCGAAGACCCCAGAGAGTTCCAAATCGGCCAAATCCGAAGACGGTTCAATCCCAAGGAGACGAGGCAGTCACATGGAGCGACTCTTCTCAAGTTCAACCTTTCTCCATCAGATCCAGACTTTCCGTTTGATCTATCGGCGCTAGAGTGCAGTCTCTCGGTACCTGCTGCATATCCAGAAGCCAAGCCTTCATTACTAGTTGGAAATAGAGACATTCCGAGAGGGTTTGCTTTCAATATCGAATCTGGTTTTGACGGCCTTGTTCAAGAGAAACCTGATGGTACGCTCTTGGAGCTGTTGAAAGCTCTTGATAGAAACCTTGAGTTGTTTCTCTCTGCGCCGAAAGCAGATACAATTAAGCTAGTGCCAAATAAAGATACCAGACATCTTTCAGCCCAATCTCCAAGATCAATAGCGCCTGCCAGAGGTACAGGCCCCGCCGCTGATGCCAGGAAAACCTTGATTAAGGATGATAAACCAATTCCAATTTCTACAAAGCCAGTTGAAGTCTTTACAGCACAGCAAAAAGAAGAAGCATCCAAGAGGCGAGAGAACGAGGTCCGTCAGCTAGAGGCTCGTATGGGAAGACTCCCACTTTACAAGAAGTCAGGTGATGGGATTGCTTATACACTACCTATTGAGCCTCGAAGACGAACTGAACTCCCTCCCACTCTGCAGGCTATGAAAACCGTCCAATTGTTTGTTCCTTTACTTTATCCCCTTCAACCTTGCCGTGTCCGCCTTGACGGAACTGGCTCCAAAGAGTCAACCGCTGTTGAGAAAGGATTTGAGCTAAAGGCAAGTCAACAAAAAGACACTACACTAATGGGTCATGTCAATTTTCTTGCCCAAAATATGCATACACTCTCAAAAACTACGTTCCTTCCAGAGACTCAACCCCTAGTGCCGATAATGGCCCAACAACCCCAATCACAGGAAGAAAATATACCCATATCAGCAGAGAAGGGAAAATCAGTTGAGGCACAACAAGACGCTGAACGAAGTCACATCCAATACATCATCCGGCCTCCAGAATGGACTATCATCAATCATGACGATCACTCCGGTTCTGATTTCGGATATGATAGTTACGATTCCGGAGACGAATCGTCCGAGAACGAGGGCGGTGTAGTTGTTGAGCATGAACCAGGCGAAGCATCTCAACAACCTGTCCAGAACTCAGAGCGTGGAACTGCAATTTCTTTCCCGTTCGTTGAGCTTTATGGAATAGAGTTGCTTGAGGTGGCGATACTAAACATCTCAGTCAAGTGTGAAAGGTGTAAGGAAGTCATGGATGTGAAGGGGTTGAAGAATGGAGCTGTCAAATCGGAAAGTTGCAAGAAATGCGCTACTCCGCTGAGCGTCGGCTTTCGGAGAGATTTCGTTCATGCTCACGCTGTCAGAGCTGGTTTCTTGGATCTTGATGGCTGCATCATCGTTGACATGTTGCCAAGGTAATTATCATTTCTTCCCCATCGAATGCTCTTTATTATACTGACTACAAGCCCAGCACATTCATCCCAACTTGTGCTCAATGCTCCACAGCCTACCCAGCACCGGGTCTCATCTCGGTCCGCGGTGAAACAACAACCAACGTGTGCAGAGAATGCCACCATAAATTGACATTCAAGATCCCGCAGACCAAATTCCTCCGCATCTCTTCGGCAGACCGACTCCCTTCCGCAGGACCACGCAGAAAGAAAGAAACCCTTGGACTGACACCTGGCACCGAACTTCCCAAACGTGGACGCTGCCGCCATTATACGAAGAGCTATAGGTGGTTCAGGTTCAGTTGCTGTCAGAAGGTGTATACTTGTGACAAGTGCCACGACGAAGGCGAGGAACACCCCAATGAGTGGGCTAATCGTATGGTCTGTGGCTGGTGTAGTAGAGAACAGAATTATAGGCCAGAGGACTGTGGATTTTGCCATAGAACTCTTATTGGGAAGAAAGGCGGTGGTGGGTTCTGGGAGGGTGGAAAGGGGACGAGGGATAAGTCCAAGATGAGCAGAAAGGATCCGCGGAAGTTTAGAAGGCGCGGAGCTGCGACGAAGACAAAAACTTGAAATTGGGAAATACTATTGCCTTGCGATAGCAGCTGTATGGTAGCATAAGGCTAGGGACGAAATAGCAGTGCATGGCTCTATTAATAGCGGTCCCAACTGCTATATAGCTATAACTCTTGCATGTTACGAGCCGAGTAATACCAACACTTATTTTCGAATAAGACACCTTAAAGGGGTATTCATGACTATCATTATTTGCTATATTTAATATACCATCACTAGTTTTAGCATGTATTCCAGCCAAAAGTTAGGGAGGGGGACGCGGCTTATGCGTCTTCCGCAGTCTTCTTACGCATAGGTCTTCGTACCTTTATAACTCACCCCTCGTAATCTCAAGATCCTCTCTTGAGGCTTATACATATTCTGTATATTCAATTTGACCATTCCAAGGCCTTATCATAAGATCACCCAATATTTCTATTGGCTTCTTCTGGGTTTACTGTTATTTCCTCTCAAGACTAGATCTCTGACCTTGAACATCTATAAGTTAATAAATTCTAATAAATTCTAATAAACTTCAAGACTCAGTATGCAACGGTATACAAACATCTACCGCAAGTCATATTGATTTCTTTAACCAAGACTACCTACTACGTCTTTAAATTTTCAACCCAGGGGAGAAAGTAGGAGAAAATGGGAGACTAGAGAGGAACGAAAGAAGCCATCATAGGGGCAATAGGGTTCGTGCCTACATGGAGCCTGGGAGAGGACTGGTTATTTAAGGTAGACAGTATCCCTACGGATGGAAACCTCGATGACTTTACTATTAGTACGCTCGAGTTTGCCGTGGATCAGAAGCGGTTAAAGCCTGTTTTAAATATTTATAGAATCTGTCCTCTTGCGAAAATACCCCAAAACAGGAGTCAAACCTTTCTTGTCCATATAACAAGCAGGTTTTACTCAACTCTAGCTATCTCTTAGGCAAATAAGGTCGTCAAGGAAGGAGCCTGGGCTATCAATACTATCAAAACTACATCTACACTAGAGAAGTACAAGGTGAACCTAGTTATTTCTTTTATGTCTTGTCATTTTTATGTATTTTGTCATTTTTATATGGCTTGTCAATTTTATACAACTTTCTCGATTTTATATATTTTGCCATTTTATGTATATACAGAATATGTACACTGTTGCCCGCGTTCTTGTCTACATCCTACCAGCCCAATACAATTCCAGCTTGGTGGTTTCCTTGTAGCTCCTTCAAGTTGTCGCGTTCCTTGTAAATAACCCGGACACGTACTCCAGTCATGACCATACAGTACGCATTCTAGATATGATCTGGCTTGGCCTTGAGGGCTGCTGTCATACTTGGTGAGCTGCTTAGCCTCTGGTGGGCAACTCAAAGGTGCAATCACCAGCGGTGAGGTAGGCTACGGAGCTGTACCTAAACTCCTAATCCATATCTCACTCTACTTCGTCTAGCTTCAATTCTAGAAGGTCCTGTTCGTCCCCTCTCAATCTAAGCACCAACAAATGGCACGCAGATTGATGTGACTCAAACCCTCCACCCAACGAAGAAGATTCAGCGTCAGATTTTGAAATTCGCTTGTCATGTCCGTATTTGACGATCCACGATCCCAAATTCCGAGAAACTCTGTCATAGGTTCGACCAACTCATAACTCATCTAACAATATCTTCCTCATCCACCTCTTCTGCATCTGATCATTGCGCTTTTCTCTCCTCTCAAACTAGCCACCAACCAACAGCACGCGCTTTCGGCCCCCTCTGGCCCCTTCCCCCTCGCCGCTGCGTCCCAGAAATCCGGCAGAGTAGGCGCCCTTCCCCCCGAAACCTAAATATATATTGTATCACATTTTAGCTATCACGTCTCTTCGCATTCTCGAGCCTCAGCTCTCGGCTGCCAGCACTACATCCGGCACGCTCCACACGCGCTTTTCGCGGCATCCCTCCCTTGTGGAAGTTACCGGAGGCGTGATCAATTATATGCCAATCAACCAAGTTTTCCACGAGCCCGACGATCAGGTCCGCCCGTTTCACTCAGTGATCAACCGGATGCGAAAGCGCCGGATTTGACTTGTGGTTTGTTCTCCTGAAACGTATTCAAACCAACGTCCTCGCACGGAGGGGGGGCGAATGAGACGAACCACGCTGGAGGTTTGTCTCGGGCACGAACCCAGATCCTCGGGATTTTAAGGTTGGTGTGAGGAAAAGGAGTGGTCGAGGACATAACAAGCTATTGCTTTGTCTCGGGGGGCACTCAGCCCGAGTTTTCGGGGAGGGGGAAGGGAGACTGCATGGAAACGTGTTGGTTGTTTCGGGGAAGCACCCGGGTTCTCGGGAGCAAAAGGGTGACCGCATGGCAATATAACCTGTGATTTCGGATGCGATAGGCTCGGGCAGAGACCCGAATTCTGGGGAATGCTGGGGCTGGCGAAGGTGGTGTGGAAGGGGGCAAAAGTTGAATGTCTGTTACAGGATAACGAGGAATATTGTGGGACGATGAGGGCAAAAAATGGACAATTCTGTTATTTAAAATAATATAATATTGCTAATTTTTTCATTGGACCATCGAGTGTTGGTTTCTTTTCAGTTTGGGAAATGATGGGACAGATGGTAAACAATAAGGAAAACTGGGAACGAGGATGGCAAAAAGTATATTTCCAGGTTTTGGGTTCTTCGTATTGGTCTTTTGCTTTTTTTGCCTGGGCCATAATTTGGTTGACGGCGGATGACGATCCATCACTGAAAACCTATTGGGCAGCTTGCGATTTTGAAAAACAAACTGTACTGGTTGAGAATAGAAGATATGATAGATGCGAATCCTCGCTATTATTTCTCGCAACTCTTGTAACGTCCATCCATACACTTGTATGCGAAGCCATTCAGGCCCCTCCCTGCATTTGCACTCCACAACTGGCGGAGCATGATCACCACACTTGTGAGTTTTTGGTATCGGATATATGGATGTATCGCGATAGCCGCAGCCGTGTGTTTGGGCAAATTGGAAAGAAAGAAACAGTAGATCCATCATTCATCTTCACCACTTCAGAAGCGCCCACACATGGAAAGCGCACGTATCATCAATGCGGACAAGCAGCCACCTCCTAGCCCATGTGCACATAAACTGTACATTGGATCATCAATGGCCCCAATCCCCCCTTAATCCTACATTACATTACACTATATAATGTAACATGACCCTCTGCTTGAGTCCCGCCGGGACGCTATCAGCCCTGAGTTCAGGGGCCCGCGCCATCCTTTCGCACCCAAGAACCAGAAACCAGAAAGAAATAAGCATAGAGGCCCACCGCCCATCTTGGGCGTATCCGCAAGGATGAGCAACACCCCACCTGAATGTCTTACCCAGATGGCAGAGAAGGAATATGATAACTGATAGAGCGACCGTAGGCACCCGGGCGGATGGTCGAGCAGTGCTTCCGCGAGGCGATGGCGTCGAGCTAAAGGGGACCAGGTGATATGAAAGGCTGCATGGCGGTGTGTGCTCCGTGGGGGTTTTGGGGGTGAAGTCGACTGCAGTGGCTGGAGGGCACGTTTCATGGGCAATTGAGGGGAGCATGGTGCCATTAAACCTGCTCATTTGTCGCTCCCTCCATTACTCGCCAATTTTATTTCCTTTGCTTCGTGTGCGATCCTTGCTGGGTCTAGCTGATAAAATCAATGACTATTATTTGGAACGAGTGGAAAGATAGGCAGGCATACGTACATGTGCCTACTCCGTAAGTAGGTAGTACGAGTACACGCTCATCTATCTCGTACCTACCGAGAGGACTTGGTGTGCCGTTGGTGGACATTGCTGTGTCCAAAAAGCCAGCGGCGTTTTTTTCGCAATCTTCTATATGCACTTCGTAGATGGGCAAGATTTGCCTGGCGGGCCGGCGGGGACGGGGCGAGCCTTCGCGCTTCCTACAGGATGTACTGTAAGTCTTGTCTATCTCTCCTCCCCTGATAAGGAGTTTTCCGTGCGGCGTAGATGTATAACAGACCCGCAAACGGTGCTCGTATTTTCTAGAGAGTTAAGTGCCGTAACCATTAAGACGCTTGCCTTGGAACCTGTGCCTTTTTACGCCTTTAGCAAACCTCGTGGAATCCTGATCTCTGGCCTTCCTCTCTCGCGGTAGCCGCCGCTCATGTCTCCCACGTGGTGAACCAGAAGGCGGGGCAGGGCAGGGCAGGACCAGGACACCGAGGCAGTTGGGAATCGGCGACCAAGGAAGAAGGACAATAATAATACTCGTGCTACTACGTACATGGACACATGGACACATGGTCTGTTTTCTGATCGATGGTTCCCTTGGCCTTCCGTTATCGTCGATGCCGTTGAAGAGGATTCCTTTCCTTGCTTGTATCTATCTTATTACTTATTTCTGTTCCTTGCGAGTCCCGAAGACCGAGTTTGCTTATTCTTATTTCTGTGCCTCGGGATCCCCACGTGGCTCTCACTTGCCGTGGACATACGAGATGCTACGTTGATGGGGTGAAAGTGCCCTCCGTCCTTCCCTTCTTGTCTGGATCCTTCACTGCTACCAAGTACTCCCATGGAGCGCTGCACGACAATCATCATCCTCCCAGGGCCTTGCAAGCAGACTACGCCGCACATCTTCACAAGACATTTGGAATTCGCAATACCTACTACGCCTTCCGTCCACTGCCCTGATCTGCCGCGCCGCGTCTACGAAGTATGAAGAGGCGTAAAAGCATATGAGAGTGCTTGCTGTGGTGAGATAAAGCCTCATCATGCTGGAGTACGGAGGCCTTGTACTCCGCGCTCGATAGAGAGAATCCGCATATGATGCGCCGCACTCGAGATTAAAAGAAGGGTGTTCCCAGCGTTCCAGAATAACTGGCCTTTTATGGGGGCATTAATGGTCCTCAACCATTATTTCGGATGCCTTCCGCATTAAGTCCAAGACTCCAAGCACATCCTGGGGAAGAATCCCTATTTTAGCTTTCGGTGCAGTACTTGGTTCGCTATGCAGCAATATAGTACATACTAGTATCGCATTCGTGGGTCACGATC